TGGTAAGTTTAACGATGAACTGTTGTGCATACTTTTTAACGAAATTGATCTTCCACTTATACGGCTTCGTTCCCACTGAATAAGACTGATGTTCATACCTTCCCACACCTAATCGACGACACAACAGTTTCATCATGTTAACTGCTTTTCCACAAAATTTCAAAGAGTGTTACCACGATACATTCCTTTTACTGCAATAACTAGAAACTGGAAAACCATAAAAATAAATTTGTTAACTGCCAATGCTTAGTCCCTTTAACTGCAGTGAATGCGGCCACAGGAATGCGCGTTCAACACTCAGGAAATCCAGAGGCATATTTACAACAAATATATTTTTTCGTTTAAACACTTTATTCTTCCTATTTGTAATTCTGTATGTACTGTATCATGTACTTTAATTTACGTGTTTGATGCAAAAACGTAATATTATTTGTTTTTTTTTACGTTCTGTAAATGTTAGTTTTGATATCTGTAATATTTCTTCAGAAATCTTAATAAAGCATTGACATAAGTTTCTTTTTTAAGCGTTTTTACTGTATTGATTTATCAGTTCATGGTATCTTTAACCCTCTATTGATATCTTCTCCGCCTTTTGCCCATCATAAGAGGGACATCAAGAATCGTAATTTCAGAGACAGTCATTAGAATAGTTTCTTTGACTGATATCAGTGTGATATCTGCTCCGTTATGGGATGTTCAGCAGTTTAATTATAGTTATCAAGGTTACGATGTAAAACGGAAGGAACTGTACCAACGTTCCAAAAGTTAATATCATGCAATCAGTTTAGCTAAACATTTCCTCCTCTCTAATTTTCAGCGAAACCAATTAAATGTATCGACATTTTAGGGCCGTCTAAACTGAGTATAAATGTCCAAATAAAAGGCAGTAAGATAATGCAACTCTATCACTCCCAGAGTCAAACATGATAAATGTCATGTTTCTCTGACTTTTAAGCCTGTGGCACAGCATCTTTTGAATGATATTTTTAGGACAGTACTTTCCCATGGCATTGTCTGTTTTCCGCTGTTTTACAGCTGACGATTTAGGGTTGTCACTCATTGCAACAAAAATGTCCTGATTTTTCCCAGCGCGCTAAAAGATTTTTAGATATAGATTTTCTTCAGCTTCTTTAGCAAGAAATCTTTTTAATACGCTTTTCACTTCCATTTTGCCTTTTGTTAGGACTCTAAATTGTATACAATATTTAGAGTATTGAAATGGATCACCTACAGAGTAATTTTACAAAATTATGAGTGTCTGTGTATTCCGGTGCCAACCTGAAAATAATCCTCCTATGCCTTTTTACTGACTTTTCAAAGAGCTAAAATTTTCCCTGAACTTTGTATTTCCCTTATTTTCCCCAGAGTGTTGCAGCTCTGATCAATGAAGTTTGGACTGATTCTAATTCGACAACAACTGAGTGTAAAAATGTTAAAAAGATAAACTTTGTTTGAGTGAGCTAAGATATCTAATTACACCTTTCCCTTGTGTTTCAACAAAAAATATCAAATGGTCAAGGATTTTCACTCCTAAGAAGAGTTTCTCTACGTATATCAAAGTATAATGGCGTTGAAAAAGAAGCAGCTACATTTACCAAAAGTACAAATCGCGTCGGCTTTCCTGCGAATTTGGCCATCTTGGGTTCAGAGAGAAAACAGAGTGGCACAGATTAATGCATTCTCAGTTCAGTTCCTTACAAAGGAACAAAATTAACTGAAGAAATTTTTGCCGATCGAACTGAAGATGATGATGCTAAAACCTTTATGCAAAAGTGTGCATTAGCTTATCAAGCAAAATAAACATCTGATGACGTGTCTTGTATGTTGGGTTGGGCATGTTTATATTGCACAATTGGTCATTTTTCTGAAGTTCATGAACATAAATCTCTCCCAACGTGAGACAATATTTTGTGTACTATTTCTCTCTAGTTTACAATGCATAAAAATTTACCTGAAAGAGAGTACTTCACATCATATTATTGACGTAATACGTACGGTGTATCGGGTGCAAAACGCAAACTTCAATATTGACTCCCATGTTCGCCAAATAATTTACCCACACAAAGCTGAAATAGCTTCCTTTGGTTACTTATAGTTATTTAAACATCAATCCGAAAAGCAATTTTTTGGAAATGTGACTTTCCATAAGTGAAATATGAAGTCTTTTGACAGCATTAGTGATAGAGTGGAATCACTGAATATTTAAAGAAACTGCGAATCTGCTTAACTCTGCTCTTCGGTGTTTACCACTCGTTCAACTGAAACAGTGTCTACTAGTTCTTGAGCTCAGGACTTCTTTACCTTCATAAGCTTAACAACGACTAGATCTCCAGAGCACACCTTTTGTCGCTGTTAAAGAAGGCAGCTCGCGAGCCTGTATAAGGGTATTGATTTCAAAAAGAGTGCATCTGTTCCTGCAAAAGGAAGCCCGGGAACAAAACATGGATCAAATAGGTTGGTTACGTTATTTGGCGACTGAACGAAACTCACCTGAGAGCTGACATTATCGGCGCCCTTTTTGGTCGAGTGAAACTCTTTTTCTTTATTTGAAGGGATTATACCGCGTTTTACTCATTTGTGATGTAATTTCTTTAACAAGCCTGACGAGATAAACCGAGAAGAGCCTGTTGTTCAAGTGAATCACCACGTCCAAAGTATGAAAAGCATTCTTCTTCTCACTGCGAAGCTCTCCAAAATTTGGGTCTACCGCCAAATACGATCGGATCTTGCGCACAATGAGTCGCCTCGTTCCGTCTTTTCCTGCAACAGGATTTCTCGTCAGGATCAGTAGAAGTTCTGCTTTTTGAACACATCCGGACCAACTACGGGAAATATTACTTTTCCATCCGTTCATTCAAAGCCAAGAATGCCTTAAATCATGACCAGAAGAGTTGTTAAGCCTGTGTGCCACCTCTGAGGGAGGGACTCCAGAGTTTCACACGGTGGAACTATTAATTTCTTTCCAGCTTCTTCGGTTTTAGTAAATAGCTCATCAATCCAAAGTAAGAACTAACAATAGCTGTAACAAACTCCAAACTGTAATCAGGTTCTGGGATCGTGCTGACCAACTTATGCCTCATTGTGTCCATCCCATAATATTACTTATGACGTAGTATATTTACTAAAGAAATGACTGACCACAAAGCATTTGAAAACGTGCCCTTGGGTGTTGCATATCTTCATCCCATGAAAATACTTCACGTGATAAAAAATTTTAGGTCTAACCACATACCTACTCCTGGAAGGAGGACGCCTTTCTATTTGTTGGCTCCGTATGACCCACCCGAAACTTTGCCCATCCCATGATGATTTATGACGTCGTATAAATTACGCAGGAAAGACTATCTACTTGGCTAAAACTTGCCTTACGATACACTGATGTTTGAACCCGCAGCAGTACTTATGTAGCGGTACAAATTACTCAGCAGAAGTGACCGACAACATAGCCTGCAAAAAAGTGCTTAAGGCAGAATGCTTTCATCCCATAATATAAAGACAGAAAAAATGAGCAGAAATGACTAGGCTCACGTCTCTTCATAAAACGCAGGCAAACCCACTTGCCGTCGTCCAACCTTTGCAGAAATGACAGTCTGTGATAAGGTTATGCGGCACTTAATGCATTGGAAATGTGTTGCCCCTTTTGATCTCATACTTCTTAACACCTTGTTTGTAAAGTCTTTCGTGGAAGCTGCAAAGAAGATGTCCTCTTGATGAGGTTGGATTGCTATTGCTCTATGGGGCGGAAAGACGAGAGGTACTGGAAACAAGAGTTCAGTGTGCAAATGTATTTGCATTAGAACAACTAAAATAGCGGGTGCGAGTGGGATAGCGGGATTCCTTTGAATGAGTTAAGGCTTTTAAAGCAATCGAACACGAGTTTTTAGTGGGATGAATCAAAGAGGGTGTCTCTTAATAAGTTCGCAAACTTTTGGCATTCTATGTGGCCATTGAACCTCATATCACCAAAATTTCCTGTTTTTCTTCACTACAACTTCGCTGTCTTCCTTTGTATGTATAGTTAACTGCCACAAAAAAAACTATTTATGTGATAAAATATGGGATCTGTACCAGCTTGTTAGGATCAGTTTGGAAAGATCGTATATAAGACACTGTACATGGCGAGAGTCAAAACATCCTGGAAGCTCTCGATTCTTTATGGCAAATATGAAAAAAAGGCATTCAAAATGTATGAGAGTAATCTTCAGCGGCTACAGAGTCAGTTTGTGGTAACCATCTTATAAAGGGTATCAACACTAAAAGTGCTAGTAACGTTTCTGATAAGAGCTGAAGTTATAACACCAAAAAGTCAGTATTATGTAACGGCTTCACCTGGATGCAAATAAGCCAAACAATAATTTAAGCCTTGCATACCCATGATGTGTTTTGTTTCCAATCGCACACCAGGACAATTTTTTGAAGGAGGATAGATCCACTGAGAGAAAAGAAATCAAATTTGGATGATTTTTTATGTAAGCTATCAAAAATGCATCGCATGAAGATTGTTGCACGTAATATTAAATATGTGTGGCAAGTGACAGGCTATTTCTTTCTCCAGGCTCTTTTCCCTCTCCTTGTTTTGCCTGTTTTAATTACGTTTTCGATTTCAGTTAAGTCCCTAGGTTTTATCCTCCTCTCACGCAATCAAAGAGACCCTTGTGCAAGGTCCTGGGAACTGGTTGTGTTTCACTAACGTCACAAACATATGCGCACTCATGCGCACTAGAACTAGCCCGTGAGTGCCAGGCTGTAACGCATGTAAAGCCATTGCCCACTATGCATGCGTTTGGCTAAACTGGATAGAAACGTTACAAATATGTATGGAAAATGCTTAATTGTTCCTCAAAAAACAATTAGAAGGAAATTCCTGTCCAATAAAGCTCAACAAAAATGTAAAAATGGTAAAAGACTAAGAAGTGCAAGGTAGAACTGGTCATGTAGAACTTTGGAACTTATTTGCATGATCGGCATTCTTTTTTAAGCGATGGTCTGTCAAAGTAAGGGTGACGTCAGATAGAAACGTTCGGTTATCGGAGTAAATTGCGCTTGCCTCTGGTTGCTTTCTTAATATATTGAGCTTTTATCTAAAGTCCGTTCTGACAAAATCATATTTCAAAATGGAGAAGGTGAATCAGTCAGAACAAGAGCTTGAACAAGACTTTTCAAAGCCATGGGAACAGAGCGATGTCATTCTTGAGGTTGAAGGACAACAATTTCACGTCCATCGTGTTGTTTTGGCCTTGAGTTCACCCGTCTTTTCTAGAATGTTCTCCGCAGACTTTAAAGAAAAGCACGCAGAGAAGATACCTCTACCCGAGAAGAAAGCGAGAGAAATAAGGGAAATGCTGTTGGCGATTTATCCAACTTCGTGGAAATCTGTCAACGAGAATAACTGTTACTTCCTGCTCGATCTAGCAGAAGAATACCAGGTGAGCAAACTCACACAGAAATGTGAAAATTTTCTGTCGCAAGCGGTGGATAAGGAGCAAGGAGCTGCCATCTTGGAGACATTAATTGTGGCTCAGAAGTATACCTTGGAGAAGGTGATAGATGTGTGCGTGAAGAAAACACGAAATCTTAGTCTCCAAGAGATAAAGAGCCATTCAAAGTACGATGAAATCGAGCCTCTGACCCAACGAAAAATGATAGAACTGCAAATGAGTAAGGTCGAGGATGAATTTGCACAGATGAAAAGATTGGCTGGTAGCGCATTGAGGAGCTGCGCCTCAGTAATCATGATGCTCGGTTGTCATATTCGGTACGCCGAAATCTTAAAGGAGTGGCATAGTAGGCATAATCATAACAAACGTGGCCCTTACCTAAAGCGTATCTCATTAAAGGAAAACATGGAGGTTATCCTTCACGAAAAAGAAGTGCCTAAAGAAGGTCATGTTGGTGTTTGTCGGTCATTGTACGACGTATTCGATCCACTTAAATGTCTCCATAAAAGCCTAATGGAAATGGCGAAGATTTCACAGAATTCTACTAACGAGGAAGACAGAGAACTCAATTCGTTTTTACTTCAGCATCGCTATTAAACAGGCTAAATTCCTAGACTTATCTGATAACGGGATAAGGTGGAAAAGGGAAACCCCCAAATAGCTGATAGGACTGCTTTAGCGTTATTGGCTGTGATCTATAACAGTCAGTTCGGTAGCCCATTATATTTTCTTTATTTACATATTATCACAGACGGTCTATCTCTGGTTTTGAACCACCTGATAAGGCGGTCATGCTTTTCGCAGAATTTGCATGAAACAAGAGTTCCCAGCTGAAAACCAGCAATTCATATGCAACACATTGCACACATTTGCCACTGAAAACTGAGTTACAGAAAAATTTGTTTACTAACTGTATTCAGACATTTCTCACTCAACTAGATCATTGCTGCAATATTAGATAGAAATTTCATATTTTTGTCAAGATCATAATTGAACAGATCAATAATATTTAGGGTTAGGGTTAGCCGTCTCTCCTTCAGCTCTTCGCCATTCGAAAGCTATAAAGATCGGCCAGAAAATTGGTGTAATTGCCATTGACTTATCGAAGGCATTTGACTTCATCTGCCACAATAGTTATTATTGGCGAAATATTAAAAGATGGCGTCAACGAGTCGGCGGTTCATTTAATTCGTCCATACTTGGCTGAACGCAACGAAAGGATTAAGTGCAATTATACCTTCTCCGAATCGCTTCCTACTTGTTTGTGCCGGTGTGTCTCAAGAGAGTTTACTGGGCCCGCTGTTATGTAAGATCTTCATAAACGACATTGACGTCTGGTTATCTCCTAACTTCAGCTATGTGCCTACGACTCAACGCAATAGGGGTGCAATTTCTTTCTTCAGGCTACTATCCAAGCACGTCCTCTGAGCAGTGATCTAGATGCTCTAACTTCCTGGTTTTCAGTGAAAGTTTTACAAGTAGCTACAAGTTAACGCCTCCAAGACTTACGCCGTAATGACAATCCATTGGTAGATTAACATGGATCTAAAGAATATAAATCTAACTTATGCCTATGGTACTTTTCCATTTAAAGGATAATATGCTCTGTTACTTTTTTGCTTCTTGAATATATGTCAGTGTATGATATGCCTATAATTTAGTTTAAATATAATCTGATTACTACGTCAAACAATTTTAAAATGAGCTACTGGCTTAAAAGATTGCTTCCCACGTTTTCGACTTACAATAAATTATTAGTATTAGTATTGGTGTAACAAACTCCAAATTGTAAACGGGTTCTAGGAGCGTGCTGACCAACTTATGCCTAATTAGGGCCATTTATACGAGGAAAAATAAGACGCGTCTTACATAAGTCGCGTCTTAAATAAGACGCGAACTTTCCGTATAAACGGCACATTTCGTCTAAAATAAGACGCGTCTTATTAGATAAGACATGCTCGTATAAATGGTACAGTTCGCGTCTTATGTAAGACGCGTCTTATTTTTCCTCGTATAAATGGCCCTATTGTGTCCATCCCATAATATTACTTATGACGTAGTATATTTACTAAAGAAATGACTGACCACAAAGCATTGGAAAACGTGCCCATGGGTGTTGCATATCTTCACCCCATGAAAATACTTCACGTGATAAAAAAATTTAGGTCTAACCGCATACCTACTCCTGGAAGGAGGACGCGTTTCTATTTGTTGGCTCAGTATGACCCACCCGAAACTTTGCCCAACCCATGATGATTTATGACGTCGTCTAAATTACGCAGGAAAGACTATCCACTTGGCTAAAACTTGCCTTAAGATATACTTATGTTTGAACCAATAGCAGTACTTATGTAGCGGTACAAATTACTCAGCAGAAGTGACCGACAACATAGCCTGCAAAAAAGTGCTTAAGGCAGAATGTTTTCATCCTATAATATTGAGACAGAAAAATTGAACAGAACTGACTAAGCTCACGTCTCTTCATAAAACGCAGGCAAACCTACTTGCCGTCGTCCAACCTTTGCAGAAATGACTGTCTGTGATAAGGTTAAGCACTTAATGCATTGGACATGTGTTGCCTCTTTTGCAAAGAAGATGTCCTCTTGATGAGGTTGGATTGCTATTACTCTATGGGGCGGAAAGACGAGAGGTACTGGAAACAACCAGTTCAGTGTGCGGCTGTCAGTTTTGCGGGTCCGGGATGGTGGGATTCCTTTGAATGAGTCAAGGCTTTTAAAGCAATCGTACTGGATTGCGAGCACACAAAATATCCTGCGCGGAACACTAAAATAAGATGGTGACTTTTGGATTATCTGGATACTTCGCTTTAAAAATGAAAAAAATTGTACGAGTCAGTTTGTGGCATCCATTTTACCATTAAACTAGGAATATGTGTATCGCACGGAACCTCACGAGGGTCGGGGGAGAAGGCTCGAGAAATCCAGGGATGGAGGCGGGAGAAAATTGAGAAAATTTTGTAACTACCAGCTCTAATATTGGAAGCTGAGCTATATCAGAAGCATATAACCCTTCTGGATATACTCAATCTCCTTTTGGTTGGAGTAAATTCATTTCAGTCGTAATTCTTTTTGTCTAAGGGTTGATGATTGGAGGCTCTAAAAATAACAGAGACAATTATCCGAGAAAATGCTTTCGAACAGAAGAAAAAGAAATCTGGATTAAGCGCTAATCGGCCTTCGAAGAACTGGGCCCTGGGATTTAAATGGGGTTGCTTTTGTTAAGGACGCAGTCTAAGTAAATTAACGTTTCCGACAAGAGATGAAGTTGTACTGCCAGTTGTAAAAAGTTGTAACCATCGCCCGTTCCAATCCGGCCTTTTTTGGCGGGAGAATTCTGTTTTTTGTTTTTTTTAAATCGATACCAGGGCATAACATCCTTTTTCTGTGAAAACAAACGCTGTTTAAACTTATTAAAATCACTTCCATTTAACTATGAAGAAATCGTTTGAACAACTTTACATAGTCTTGCGCCACCTGGCTGAAATTTAACATGCAATCGCCGAAATCTTAATTGTTGCAGCAAAAAAATATATTGACGAGTAAAACATAATCCTTTCAGAAAACAAAAATTCTACAAAAAATGTTAACCGATTGAGAAACCTGCATCAGAACTGTTCCTGCGGAATACTCAGCTGAGCTTCATTGTTTTTCGGCCCCGATCGGGTGGCATTAATAAAAGCCTTTGTCTCCCAAATATTCAAAACAACTTTCCTAGAAAAGACGGAAATGGGCAAATAAGTCTTCGGAGAAAACTGATTAACATACTGAGACCTCTTCTTTACCATCACTGCGTTTGCATCTGACTTTGGTCTAACTAATACCTTTCTAATAACGAATGGCTAGGAAAACCTTGTCAACAGAGTTGGTGGACTTTTCCAAGCCCTGGGACCCATTTGTTGACGTTACTTTGCTGGTGGAAGGAAGAAGATTCCATGCTCACCGAAGTATCCTTGGGCTGTGGTCTCCAGTGTTTTCAAGAATGTTCACTGCAGACTTCAGAGAGAAAACCGCTCAGCAAATTCCCTTACCAGGAAAGAAAGCGAATGACATAAACGAGCTTCTTCTGGTAATTTATCCAACATCTGCAAAACCGATAGATGATCGCAACTTTGAATTGCTACTTGACCTTGCAAAGGAATACATGATGACGAAGCTCACCGAGAAGTGTGAAGCCTATCTGATGGATTGGCTTGATAGTTCACACCAGCATGGTCTGTGCTTAAACTTCCTTGAAATCGCCCAAAACTATACATTAAAGAAGCTTGAAATGGCATGCGTCCACAAGGCTCAGAATATTAGCTTCAGTGAGCTGAGAAAACATGAGGCGTATGGTAAGATCAATCTCTCCAACTATCGTAAGATAATGGAGGCTCGTTTAGAAAGTATGGAGAAAGAGCTTGGAGCCAAGGAAGACGCCGTGTGGCGTTTGAAATCAAAAGCCTCCGAAGCCCGCGAGGGGTTCCAAAAGATTGTGTCTGCTCTTGTGTTTAAAATCCTCCGGTCCCCCAAGAGATGTGGTGTAAACCTGGAATATTCTGATTTCAACCGTACTTCCAACTCCTTACAAGACAAAGCGAATTTTCTTGATTGTGAATTGTTTCCATGGGGAGAGTCCAACGATATCTTCAGCAAGCTGCATCAAAGCCTTGAAGCAATGAACTCGACTAGTTCATGATTACCTCGCATCAGCGGTTGCGGTAGTGACGGCAGTAACTCACGTTCAGAACAAAAGCAAGCAGATTTTGAACCTTGGACTGCCATTTGTTACTTAAATAACATTTTATGACTTTAACTTTCATAAATAAGCATCAAAACATCTTTACGCTGATTGTTTTTTTTTCCTGCCACTCTCGAACTATGGAGCTTAATATTGCCAAAAGAGAGCTTTTAAAATTAAGAGTGACAGAACAGGTGAAAAGTGCACTGTGTAAGGAGTAGTAAAAACCCGCGTTTATGTTTTTTTTAAATGCACCATTAGTAGTCCAAATATTTTATGAAAAAATGTGTAAACCTCCTATAAAATCCACGTTTAAGCTTAAATGACACGATTTCGATTTTCAGCATTTATGGGTAGCTCCGAAAACCAAAATGGCGATTCTCATCCAAAATCCAGCTGTAGGCGCGGCTACATAAGCCCCCGGCATAAATTAGAAAGCGCACGAAACTGATCGTGCACACATCACATCTGAAACTAACTGCAACAATTCTGTGCGTCAAGATGACATGCCCGCGGGTATTATATCAGAGAGAAGTAACATCCGTACACACCTTCCGAGCTCCACTTTTGTCATAACTTCTATCAGCCCTGATTAGAAGAAGAAGATAAATTTTACCATGTAACCTGAAAAAACACCAATGATTCGATACCGCCAAGTTCATCTAAAATTTGTACAGGTTTATTTCAAGTTATTCGATGATTGGTCCGGTGTTTAATCTAATGTACACAGTTTTTTTTGGAAGGAGATGGGGGAGTAAAATGCTACAATTTCTTCATCACGTATGCAGAAGTCCTTGTCCATTTCCTACGGACCTTCAAACTACGCTGACATATAAAGACTAATTAGAGATACAAACCTAGTAGAACTATATGTAGTTTACACCATATGACGGCTTTCCATGAGCCGCTGGGACATAGGTAACAGGTTGCATACTTCCCTATACGCAAAATCTCGAAACATTGCCAAGACTGTTTACAAACAAACCTCATTATTCAAGTTAGGTATTGATGACTATACCTTCCACTATATAGTCAACGTAGGAAACGGTAGCATGGGGCCAAGATTTGGATAGTAAATTGGTTAAACTGAATTATCATAAAGAATACATGTATAATTTTTTTACACAGTATGCTATGTTCAGTTAGTTTTAATTTTATAGCAGTTCTGATTAACTGCAGGTTCTATTGCTTCTTCAAACGTACTTTAAAACATGAAAGAAGTCCTTTAGGGTTCACAGTTGCTACGAGCTGTACAGGCAGAACTGCTATTTTGGCAAATAGCGAAATAAAGCTATTTTTTGGATTAAGAATAAAGTAAAGACGGTTCTTTAGAATCAGTTAACATGCAATACAAAAACTACATTTTGACTGACCGCAATTTCCACCTCAATGATCCGATTCATGAGTGCACGTGCTAAATCTAATCATGTCTAATGGTGATCTATAACACAGATACAATATAGCCTCCACAGTTAGTACCCATCGCAAAATAAATGACGACGCACGTGACATTTTACAGGCGGATACGTGTGTATATCAGACCTTTCGTGTTCAAACTACTTTCTACTTGTTAATTGAAGACAACTTTCGAATCCAATGTTACAAATCAAACAGATAGAAGGAGTTCGCAAGCCAATCCCTAGTAGGAGGAGCCTTCGACGAAATGAATTGCTCATAGAACGCCTTCAAGTCAAAAACCTCACAAAGAACATTATGGGCGTCCTTTCGGTAGTTGAACATGTTGTCTTCCGGCAGGTTCCAGGTGGGTTTTTATTAAACATTAAAAACAAAAAATGCGGAACCATCAACAAATGTCTATAGTTACAATCTTTTTGGTTTCTACAACTTATCAGCTTACAAATGATATACAGTTTGATATGGTTTCGTTGAAACTAACGCGTCCACGCAGGATTTTACGGTAGTCCGCTCGTTAATGCCTCGTGGCAAAAGTTGTCCACTTAACCCTTTAAACCCTAAGATCAAAATTTGAATTCTCATTTGTTGCCCCTATTCATTTCCTCCAGAAGTAGCGGGGAGAAGTTGATAAAATATCATCATGTCTATTCATCTTGTGTGATCATGTCCGTGATTCTCATGACCACTCTATTTTACAAAGCATTGATATTACAAGGAGAAAATTGATGCTGATCACTCTTAAAAAGGTGTATGCACTGTACGTATTCATGTACATCAGTATTCTTAGAGTCTTCGTCGAGAATTATGAAAACTTGGTTGCGATAACTTTGAGTTTACTAATAACTGAATTAATATTTCAAATAACTAGGCTCGGGAACATGAGTTTCTCGTGGGACGAATCAAAGGCAAGGCTGTTTATACATTCGCAAACTTTTGGCGTTCTATACGTGGCCATTGAACCTCTTTATCACCAAAATTTCCTGTTTTTCTTCACTACAACTTTGCTTTCTTTAACCGCCAAAAAAACAACTATTTATGTGATAAAATCTGGCATCTGTACCGGTTTGTTAGGATCAGCTTTCCGTCTTTTCTGTTTGGAAAGATCGTGTATAAGACACTGTACATGACGAGAGTCAAAACATCCTGAACGTGTTTTGCTGGCGCGTGTTTTTTCTTAGACTCTTTCTTCCGAAAATAACCCGGGCAATATTCAATAACACTTCAGAAGTCCTCGTGATCAACATCAATTTTCTCCAAACAATGTCAATATATAACCAAGTAGAAAGGTTACGAGAATGAATGAAATGATTATCAAAGAGAAAATGTTTTGATCTTTTCACAAATTCTCTCAACTTATTTTTAAGGAATCTATGCAGATCAGTCTGAGGAATTTGTATGTGGATATTACCAGGTGCTTAAGGGTTAAGACGTGACCGACAAATAAAGGGCACAGCTGAACTCATTAGCCCCGGTCTGCGTTCTTTTGTCACTGCGTATGAAGCCAAAGAGTTGTTATCAGAGCTTTCAATTTAAAAGTCAGTTAATTTGTTCCTAAATTACTCGACTTGTTTGGAGAAAACCGTATGAGTAATGTAAATCTTTAGTCCACTACCGAGTCAAATGCTGAACGAAAAGAGACTCTTCGCAGGAAAAGTGATTACAAAGAATCAGAGGGTGTTTTGAGGTACATAATGGAACATAGTAACCAATTTCAAGTGTGTAAAATAAAGCATTTTTCAATCGATGAAGGTAGGTTTCAGTCTTGAAATATGTATCGTTTTAAAATTTTGCATAATTTGTCGAACGATACGACTATCACATGGCAATTTGGCTTGGATCGACGCGCCAGAATCTGCACTCCGTATCCTCAATACTGAAACCATTGTTTGAGAGATAATGTAAACACCTTAATATCAGAGAAGACTGTGAATCTTCATCGAAATATTTGTCTTTGTTCCAAGAGCGACGTCAAGATCACTGGCATATAGGTAAGATTCACGGAACACAGAGAACGTGACATTTAATCGACACTTTTTGACTTTGGTATTACCACCTCCGTGATTATATTTTTCCTCTTAATTTTGATGTTTACAAAGCTTGTTTTCTTTTTTACCTTTCTTTGCTTTAATCATACAAAGCCAAGTTAATGGAGGCTGTGCTAGTCGAGCAACAAAGCCGAAAAACAACTTTCATGGTGGGTTATGGGGATACACCTCTTTTATACAATTTGTAAAAACATGATTGTTCGTGTAACCTACCTTAATCTTCTGTGTAAAATACATGTATAACAATCACCACGGAAACGTCGTTTCATGAGAATACCTTTGGCTTTATAGTTCCAGAAAATGTAAAACGTACGGGATATTTTTCAAGAGCCAGAACAGTAACCTCTAATATAACACTAACAGTTTCCACTCAAACGTCTTCAGCAGGAACCGCTTTCTTTTTCGATCACTACAACTTTGTGAAATCCTTAAGCAAAATTTTCTCTTTCATATCAAATCTTTGTTTATATGCTTTGGGTTCTTTGCGGGGTTATTAGAGGATATCCGTGAAAGCTGTCAAAAACAAACTGGTGGCTTTGATCAGTCAATGAAATCCAAAACTGAAGAGACGATTCAAATAAAAGATTTGAGTGAGAGTTCCAACCATGTTGTTTCATTTTTACCATTTGTCAAAGATTTTATTTTTAGCTTTTTTATTCAGTTATCAATTATCAGGATTACTTCGGAGACGTGGCCACGTGACAGACTATAATCTCATATGCAAAGCACGTACGTCAATAATGTGAAATAAATTTTGTCTGAACCGCCAGGATTTGAATGATCTCCTTTGTTTCAGAAAGGACGAATTAGCATACAAACCACGCGGACTTTGGCAAGGCAAAGGTAAAAAGTGCCGTTAAATTTGAAGCGACGACCAGGGAACTTAGAAGAAAGGTACAATGATTACTCATTCCTGATTTCAGTGATATTTCACTTGTTTCAGTCGAATCTGGTCTTGCGAGCTATTCGATTGTTATTGAGAACTGACTGACACTTCAACAGAATTTTAAGCAGACAGGGTTTGGTACCCAACGTGTTGTTAAGGACAAAACTTCAGTGTTACGCTAGTTTTATTACTTTTCCATATTGTTTCCTAATAAAACCGCGTAGAAATCTTTCAGTTCGCACTTTAACATTTCTGTTCTATTAGATGGCAATGACTTAAAACATCAGAAAATTCAAGTGAACAGAATGGCTACACTGGTAACCTGTTCGACTGGTACTCGGTGTCTCATTTTTTCTATCTCGTACGGAGAACCATAATTTTCATTTTGAAAATAGAAAGCCTTATAATTTTACGCTCTCGTGAAAGTCTGAGGGCGATACTGATTTTTCCAAACAAAAGTAATAGCGAAAATTCAAGCTGACACTGGAGATGTGTTTTGAAGGGATATTTCGCCAGGACGATTATTATTCAGCGAATGCCCTGAGAAAAATAATAGAAATATTCTGGAAAAATATAGCTGAAAAAAGCCCCCCGCCGTTGATCATTTTTCCAGCGCTCATACCTCACTAGACCTAAAACACATCGAGTTCAGTTTATCCCGGTATTTACGGGGTATTGACGGACGGAAATGGTCTGACAAAGATTGTTGTTCAGAATGTGTCGTTCAAATAACTAAGAATTCAGTTAAAATTCTAAGAGGCGGCATAAGCACTTCTCAGTTGAAATAAAATGGTTCACCTAGTACTGTAAATACGTAACTCGACTTACAATCAGTTTCCGCGAAATCACCAACAGAAAGTTACCAAATAGATCACTTCGTTCAAATCTTGGAAGATCTAGTCCCTTCATTTGGTTAAATCAAGATATTCCGGTGGCTAAATTGCTCGGGTTATAAATGCCGTTCATGTTCAACATAACTTACTATCTTTTAAGTAAAAGTTGAGGTTGTGATATTGAAATGTGCTGTAACTAAAGAAAAGAACGAGACACGTCGCAGCTAATACTGTGAATTCTCCTATTGGAAAACCATAATATATTTCTTTATCTGATACTTCTGAGACGTTGCAGTGGTTGTTGGTACATCAACACATGCAATCGTATTTCGGTTAAACATTGGAATTATCAGAAGCAAAACAGCGAATTTGTTAGAAATTCAGCTGAAGTGTCGTGATTAGATGAATGTGTTAATAGTACTATTTACACAACATTTTAGCTTCAAATTTGAATACTACTTTGTTGATATAGATATCACAATCATGTTATCATGTGCACATATGATTATTTTTGTCTATTTTCGTGTACACGTAGACGTCCTTTGCTTGTGCGGAACACGAAGACAAAAATTTTCGCAGGGCAAGTCAGGACGCAAGAAAAGAAAACAGAACTCTAAGTACGTGCCAGGTTTAACACGAAAATGAAAAGTTCTAAATCGCTTGTATTATTGGTGATAAGATATGATGAACGCTGACCCAGGCTCTGTCTACACGACTAAATGGAACGTGACCAAAAAGCATCAGTCAATCATCTCCCAAAGCAAGAGAGCCGAGCCCCATATCACGGCACTCATGCACTCGCCTGTTATTCATGACCGTTCTCAAAATAAACTAGTTCCTCTTTGATCGACTTTTTTAGATTCTCAGCATCATAAGTCTTGTTCCTGCATACCCTGAGGCCAGATGATTATACACCGCTGTTGTTTTATAGATGAGCAGGTGATTTCTACAATAGCTTTCACTAAGACACAAGGACGAAACGGAGTCAAAACAAGTCAACTCAATGATGTCAAGCTCAACCTACTTTAGTTCTGACAGTGTTCTCAAAAGAAGCAGTATTCCAAGTAAGTGAATTTGTTAATGTGAATACTTTTTTTCAAAACAGGTATATGCAGTTTATTGAAATTTAGAGTACTAGTGAGGAATTCTCACCAACATCGAACACACTACAGCTGCAGGCAAAAATCTAAGAGACTTCCACATGATCCCCAACTTCCGGGCTGGACAGGTTACAATACATGCCCGGAGTACTGACGCAGGTTGTGAAATTCTACCCATCTTCTAGCATGAAAACCAACTGTTTCTAAACTCCACGAATACACGCAGTTTGACCTACAACGTCGAATCAACGCGACCCTACAATGAAGTTCTCGCTTCTTTTCTTACTGTTTATTTCTTATCCTTTTATTACTTCCGAGATTTCAAATATCTCCTATGAATTTTAACACATTAAACCAAGACCTCAGCTTACTGAGACGCTTGTTATCGAAGGGTAGATGTGAAGTTTGTCTTCGTCTTTACCTTTAATTTTCTTTCATTGGCCACAATATTAACCGATTGTAAGCAGATTTTAAATGAGGAAGAGATAAATATTACTGGAGGATACTTACCCGATTTGAAAACCAATTAAGTTATACCTTACATATATGAATATCCACATGTCAGAATATTTATCTACATTTCTGAAAGTTAGATGGGTTTGTCAAGCTGCGGTTTGACTCATCAAGGAAGCACCGTGTTTCCATGTGTAGCTTAACTAGAAAAATATTGTTTCAGAACCGGGGAGGTACTCCTAGGAATTCTTGGTGGAGGGTGTGCCGCCCGATTGTCTAAATCCTGATTTCAGACCAAAAAATGTCATTTTCCACACCCGTGTTCAGACGTGGCATCTACAATCCATACCCGTTTTCAGACTTGGCTTAAAGGCAGAGTTTTGTTATGATTACTTACATTAAAACGCAAACAAAACGTTTTTTTAGCACTTATTTCGAATTCGCATATTTCCCTTTCTCTCTCATTCATTTGGCTCAGAAACGACAAATACGTTAACAGCTATTTCGAGAAGGTTGCCGGGAAAAATGTGCACGCAACAATCCCGAAAGGAAAGACGGGATATGATCAATATACTGTTCCTCACACTGCAGCTGTCGAACCTCACCCGGGGGGGGGACTCCGCATATGAAAGTGGTGGGGATGCTCGTCGTCTCGCTTAAGGGTGTAAATTTCGGATTTTGGTCTCGTTTAGGGTGTTTATTTAGCCGTGAAGGTTTCGTTTAGGGTTGCACGCGAAAAAATATAAAAATATATATTTGATATGTGTATTTTTAATTAGTTTTATTTACTCCATCCATATAATCTAAGTTTTCTCATTTGTCTGTGTTTTAACATGGTCTCTTTTGGGGATCAAAAAAAGCTTGGGCCACGCCCAGATCGGTCTCCTCTAGGGGTTTAATTCAAAATTTCCGACTAGCATCCCAACCCCTTTCATATGGAGAGTCCCCCCCGGGGTTGAAACTACTTTTTTGCTTTCCTTTAGCACTCACATACATACATCCATGTCCTCTCGTGCCATCCTTTCAAATTTCTTTGAAGAACAGTGAACTAAAAACCACCCACAATACCCTTCGCGATTGTCGCGTGCACTTTTTCCGACAACCTTTCTCGAAATACACAGCTGAATACACAGTTCCCTAGAAAACTATACTCGATTCCAGACCAAAATAAGCAAAATGTATACCAGTTTTCAAACTGAAGAGGCGCAGAAACATGTTTTATCGGCCTAAACAAGCAAGCAAGCATTTCAGACGGATGAGAAAATTCTCGCGCAAGGCCACCGATATTTTTCTGTTAGATTTCTCGGTTGAAAAATAACAAGTTACTAGCCATTCAATACTAATTCTGCTAATTGTGCAACATTGCCTTGCGTAGCCTAAGAAATCCTCTTCGGTTGCCAACAATGCAAAGCGCAACTGGAAGTCATTAGTTTCGTTTTGCGTTTTAAGCTGCATATGGTCGAAGTACCGGACAACAAATTAGACGTCGTTCGCGTCTGGGCGTCACTGCAGTCGCATATTAAAGTTACCAACGCAGCGAAAGCAGATTCCTATTTTTGCACTTTGACTTATCAGCGGCCATCAGGGGATAAACAAATTAAAGACTCATTTCAGACTTAATGAGAGCAACTAACCTTCTTTTCTGCAAACTCCGTCTTTTCCTTCTATTTCTTGCCTAAATTTGTTTTTTCTTGCTTGATTGCTGCTTTCACAGGACCAAGATGGCGGCTTATGGCGCTGCTGGCGGCGGCTGGCGAAAAATGGCGGGAAAATTTCTCCCTAGGGTCCAGATCGTCGCGGCAAGGAGGATGCTCGTGTCTTTCAATAATAAAGGTCAGTTTCTACATTTCGCGAAAATAATCCATTTTCGTCTTTGCTTCTTAAGATTATCGTAGAATTTTTCGCTATAAAATTTAGGTTTTTCTTCTTCATTTTGGTATGTTAAGTTGATTTCTTCAGCTTTGATTGATGTATTTTAAAAATTTCATTTTGCGGTTTTCGTCTTATAATTATATAATGGATCGAGTCATTTTTCTCGAAAACGATCCGTGACTGGAATAAATTGCTTGATTTTGTGCGGCCAGCTCCAGGCGTTCACATAGTAAGGATCAAAGGCCAGAGAGGAGCAAACACAGCCAAGATGTCAGGAGGAGGGGGTGAGGGGTGGTGAGCGGTCTCTGTCGTATCCCTCTTCCTCTTGTTCCCCTTTTGTTTTACCGCTGTCCTTTTCGCGCGCCACTATCTACCATGTGATCGCCTTTTGTGGTGGCACCAAACCAAATAGCCTGTAAATTCTTTACGTGCTGAGTCGCAGACGTTCCTCCGCGTGAAACGTCCCAGCGGCGAAGAGCGAGGAGAAACGGATGTTTTCGCAGGCTACCTATTGGCCATTGGTTTTTTCCCCCTCTTCCTAGTAACAATCCCAGAAGTCATTGCAAAACTTAACTCGGCCCAGACTCCTCGTTTGTCGAAAGCGTCTCGTAAGATCGCATACAATACAAAACACCACCATGCGTGTTCAACTGTTTATTGCTATATGGCAATGGTCCTTAGGAAATAGTATGTACTTTTCCCATGTATAATAGGTTATGAATGGGGGCTACAACACTTTACATAGTTTCAGTCAATTCCATAACGTTGCAAATTCATGACGAAGCTCAGCAAAGGAAATACGTGTTGAGGGTTACTTAAGTAATTTTCCTTCCGATCGGGTGAAAACGTTCGAAAATAGTAAGAAAGAAAACGAAGTAGGAATAGGATGAGTTGCCATAACTTTCAAAGCCTGCTTCGTCTGGGTTGCCCGCTCACCCTGTTCAGTGTTAATAAGTCACACACGAGGCATTTACCTTGTGAGAAAAAGAACTATCATTAAATCGTTTATATATTACACTAATTAATCTATAGGTTTGAGCAATGTGTTAAAAACTTTCAAAACATTACGACTGTCCAATCAATATGAGTACAATAAAACCCATTTGCGCGTCGGTCGTAGAATATGCACTAATGGAATTGACTTTAACAATAGTATACAAAGAACAAAAGTAAATAGTCACACTGCAGATAGATACCTAAGCCTGTCTATATCCACACCAGCCAGTTAAAACAGTCTTCTGAACGTAATAGATGCAAACTCCACACGAGAACGTTCCATGTCATATGACTGGTCACGTGACCTACTGCAGTCGCCATCTTCAAAAAGACCTTAACGAAGCCTCGACAGATAAAAGGTATAACCTGTCTTGTGCAATAAATTCAGTTTCGTGATATGCACCTGCCTGAGGAACTTACCACTTCAGAGGATACGAAAATATCCGTTTAAGATCGATAGCTGTAAACGCGTTCAGCTTTATGTAACGGACGCGTGTGGACACTGGCTAAAAACAACGCAAAATAGAAACTTTATAAATTGTCACAAGCTACTCAATATTTAATAGACGAACTATGAATAATGATATAGATTACACCTTTTTATCAAGTCCTACAATTAAACAGCAAAAAACATTACTACAAAATAAACCACGGCTTCACTTGGTGGAGCCGTCCACTACAAAATTGGCTGCTTTGCTACTTCAATTCTACATTTTGTTCTACGCAATAGCAAATTATTTTATGAAAATAATACTTGCTTAGAAAGAATATTTTTTTTAATTATTTAAGCTACCAACTACGTCAAGCATTTCATCTGCAAAGATTTACAAGCTGTTAAAGGCGCAGAAACAAATGCTCTTTTGACATACCAAAGTGAAAATCATTTTCCTCAAATGAAACCTGATTCAATTACATGCAGATCTCCAAGCAAAAGACAAAGTTCACGGCAGTGCTATTCAAGAATTGGTTTAAAATAAATCTCCACATTTTTCGTTTGACTAAAATTTTTCATATAGTGCTTGATTTAAAGACAGTGAATAATAGAGTCAGGCTTTACCATAAGTCATTACTAAAATAGGTTATGATGAAAATCGCAAACATTACAGCATGCTTCAAAATATATAACACGAGTCATTAGTTGACCAAAACATTTTACTGCAGCTTTACAAACACAGGTTGCAGAAGAAATGACTTGAAATAACTAGTTCAGCAAAAGCATCTTTAGGTCTCTATATTATGTTTAACTGCAATCGCAATATGAGCTCAAAAAGTGAAGTGTATAACGAGGAGTAAAGATTTTAAGGTACAACAAATATTGTTAAATGACACGCTATATCCTTTGTCGAGTAAGGTACCTTTGAAGAGTATAATATTATTTCTTATTAGAAGGATACGTATTGTGTAAGATGTAATGCACCTTGCCGGCGCACTACTAATTCCTATTTCTACCTAAATTAATTGCGTGTTATCCACAACAGCAATATAACCCTTTAGATCTCAATAGAGGTTGTGAAAAAATTAAAATTCAAGTAAACTTCTAAATTACATTTTGAATTTTGAAACGGTGTTGAAGAGGTTTCATTTGATTGATCACATCATGGGATTTTGTCCAGGCTAAAAAATGAAGCCACTTTTAACAGCAACACTACACTACAGTACCACAGAAAAGCACTGCTCAGTAACTTTCATTTGAATGGTAACACAATAGGATTTCGTCCACAGATTCAAAAGTTAGGACCACCTTGTACAGCATAATAAACAGTACCATAGGAAAGTACTGCTCAGTAGCTTTCACTTGAATGGTCACATCATAGGATTTCATCCATGGACTCAAGAGTTAGATCCACCATGTACCGCATAATAAACAGTACAATAGGAAAGTACTGCTCAGTAGCTTTCACGTGAATGGTCACATCATAGGATTTCATCCATAGACTCAAAAGTTAGATCCTCATGGGATTTGTCAGCAGACTCAATCTTTAAATCCACAATAATTGAAAATGGAAGTCAAATCGTTAACACCAGCGTTGTGCAAATTAAAATACCACTAAAAGTCATCTTTGGTGATCAACTCCTAAATTCTCATGAAGTTACAGTAGGATTAAGACTGTCAAACACTATTGGGAAATAAAGGGTTAAAATTGTATTGTGAAAAATAAATTATTACAGTGACACCCTGTAACATCAACTCAACTCAGCTCCATCCTACCATTTTCATTTCCAGCATTTAATATCTCCAAACCAAACAAGAAGTTAATGTGAAGGCTTAAAACCAACAATTTTGGAAATTCCCATTACTCTGATGTTTCTTTACTGATTTAGGATATGACGTGATCCTAAGAGGAATGTCAAGTCTTGACTGGTTACGAATGCCTTGGTGAGTAGAGTACTGAAAGGGCTTTATGTAACAACAAGGTTTTGAGAATTGCTGCAGAGGTTTCTGATAAACGGCCACTTAGTCATTCTAAGAACTTTTCTCGCCCAGAAAGTTGACAGGGACTACGTAGAGATGCATTTGTTCATTGAAAAGCCTTTAAGGGTGATCAAAACTTAATAACTCCTCATAGAGGCAATTTTTACTCACACTAAAACAGTGTGAGAAGAAAGGACATAAATAACAATTGAAACAGTAAGGAGAATATGCTTGCTGATATGCGTGTCCAAGAGTGTCACTGTAACTGAAAGCAATGATCCTAACAAAGAATATTATACAATGGTAAGAGGAGTATTTCAATTTCTATATTTACCAGTAATAAAACTCAACTTGACCAGCATAAATTCATATTTGATATTGAGTAATTGATGCTAAAATGAGATTATACTATTGACTAATAAGTATATACACTTAATAGTAATGCGGTGATCCAATTCATTTTGAATGAGAGCACTGCGTGTAAAACAATTGTGCATGAATGTACAAGATAACAAATGTGACATTGCAAGCAAACAATAGTCAAGCTTGACTTATATACTTACAAAACAGTTTCAACTACAAAAACAAAGACAAACGTTAATGTATACTTTAGCCGCTACCTTGTATAAAACTGACTTGCTCTAGACGTTGCGTTGTTCACTTGTCATACCTTTCTTGAGTTTTGATTGCTGAAAACCATACTTGTGCCATTCAGGTTCTGATAGTTATTAGCGGGCAGCTGCGTTGACTGAAGCAATGTTTCCAGATGGCTTAAATTTGGAACCATGGTCATGTTAAAGGAGCTGCCTTGAGTATTCAAGTTGACATTTTGCTGTGGTAAGAATGGCATGTCTGATTGAGGCAATGAGACAGGCAAAGTGTTTTGTGTTGGCGCAGGAATACTGTTAGGGCTCTGGAGCAAGTTTCTTAACCCTTGTTGCATAATGTTCGGCTTTGAAGGTGGGTTAGTGTTCCACAGGTTGCTCCCCTGCACAGGTAACCCAGTACGCTTATTTGTAAGTCCAACATTTGACAGCGAGTTCAGAAAGTTCATGTTACTGTCTTCTTGATTCATGAACTGAGAATTCCCGTTCTGATACCTCAAAGAGGCATTCTGATTGTTTATAGTCCCATTTTGCTGTCCACCAAAGGTGGTATTTGAAGATATACGATTCCCAGCAAACGACTGAATGGCTGCACTTGTTATGTCTGGCTGACTACCTTGTGTAGCAATGCTGTTGGAAACATTTGGAAATGAGAATGTCTGTTGTGGTAATGTCGGGGTAACCACCTCCTGCTTAATGAATCCAAGCTCAGGTTGCACATACCCCCCTTGTTGCAAAGAGGCAAGTTGGGAAGCAAGCCTTTCATCGTCCTTCCTTCGCTGAGCTTCATCTTGATCGACCAACATGTCATCAACTAAGTCAACCACCATTTCATCTGTATAAGCTAACGTATCAGGAATGGCCTCTTTAAGCAGTTGTACAAAATCATTACGATTTGGTACAGATGACATGAAGCTCCCCACAGTGACAGTTGATGTTGCTGTAGTCGTGGGTCCTTGAGTTGTCAGTTGTCCAGACATTCCCATTTCCTGGGAGGTGGAAGTGTATGCAGGAATTCTTGGTGCGGCACCAGGCATCTTTACGTTGTTGGCATTTCTTGTGGAAGGGACAGTCAGCTTTTGCTGAGGCAATCCCATCATAGGAGCATTTCCAGCGGAATAATTATTCGGAACAGGCACATTTTGCTGGTAATTTCGCTCGGTACCAGAATTACCATTGCTGAACATGCATGGGTTGTTAACACCACGCATCTTAGCACTTGACAACTGAAACTGGATGTTTTCTTGTTCCATTGGAATCAAGTTAGGCTTGGTATCATTGGGATAGCAACCAACTGGTAAATTCCCTGATGATTGAGAAGGAATGCCTGAGGGTGGCATGTTTGCCTGATTATAATCAGCTTCCTCTTCTATTGAAATTGGTTCAATCTTTGGACCTCCCAGAGAGATACCACTCTGAATGGTACCATTTGACGGCACACCAAACCAGTCCCCATTAAGCAGACCATCGACACTTGCATCAGGGAAAGTTAGGGTCGGTGTTGTATCAGTTTGGCCATTAGCCACAAAATGGACAAGTTCACGATCCATTTTGGTCAACTCCGCACTGATGATCTCCGTCAAGTCTTCAATCTCATCATTATATGTACTTGTAGAGTCACCTTGTCCACTATAGCCCCGAGTGGGTGGGGACCAAGTAGTGACTGTCGCAGATTTACTACAAGGTTCACTTGCTGTAGAAGTGAACACATCATCTGCTTGAAGCAAAGGAGTTTCACAGGAAGTACTCCTGGTGTATCCAGAGCGTGTGAGGGCCATTTGGTCGAGCAGGGTTGGTTTAGGGACCAGTTTGTCAGCTGAAAGGCAAATTAACCACAGTTAGTTTGTTCTACAAGTTGTTGACTGCTTAGATACAAGCATAAGCTGTAATTCCAATAGCATGTTGAAATTACAATTTTAAACATAATGTTCATGGGTAAGAAAGGCACAGAGATGTTGTATATCCTTAAATCAAACATCCCCTGCAAGACAGACACTAGCCAGTTGGTTCTGTAAAACTGTGTATGGATCACACAACTACAACTCTTCCATAATGACCAGCTGTCAATTCGTAAGTCACCTTACTCAAAGTCATTAGAGACCTTTAGATTCAAGGACAAGAATGACTATGGGTACGAGATTTGACTATTTTGTGTATTCTCAAAAAAACAGACACCCGGAAAGCTTCACTGTACTTTTTTAAAACCAGTTCAGTTAGTACTGCTATTTTAACTGAAGGAGGTTACTGTAAGCCCACTCCTGATAGCCAAACGATAAAACACTCTACATTTGATAACTTGCTTCGCCACTATGACATTCTGGCTAAAACTCAAAATAGAATGACAATCGCCACCAGGTTTTCCCACCAAGATGACGCTGGTTCACATGTGCACACTACTTACTACTGAGCAAATCTAATTCTTGTAGTCACACTCATCTCAAAATCTAGAAGTCTCCATTTCTCCTAGAAGTCTCTATTTCTCCAAGGTAAACAACAGTGGTTGTTGACTGGTTGATAGAATTTCAACAATATTTATTTTCCTACAAGTTAACCCTTAAGTCCCAATAGTGACTAATGTCAATTTTCTCCTAACGATATCCATACAATGTCAAGAGATTAGGTTATGAGAATTAATAAAATAATCACCTAAGGGAAAATGCCTTGATCAATAAATTATCAAATTCTCTCAACTCGTTCATGAAGGAAATGTATGGAGATCAGTTTGGAGAATTTGTATGTGGATATTGGGGCTTAACGGGTTAACTCTCAATAAAGGTACTAGGGAAGTTTTGTTAAGATGGCACTGTCACTTTGCAAATAGTATCTAAACCATGTAACAACTTACAGTTTTCATGCCATTTAGGGTACACCATGACTTGGTCATCAAACTGGGCGTCTTTAAGTTGTCCGGTTTCATCAGTTTCGTTTTCTATCTCTGTGATATAAGCTCGAGGTTGGAAAGATGGCTTGTCATCTAACTGCATCATTCCAAGAACCACTCCGCGGTGTTCCACTTCACTTTTTAAAAACAAAACCATAGAAGCATGTTCACATCTCAAGGTACACAAATGCCGTATGTTCCATGCAACCGGAGCTTACATTTAACTCTTAAAGCTCGCTATATATGTAGGTTGGTATGTCAGTCAGACTTAACAAAGGTAACAGCCAGTGTTACATTGAAAATTAGGCATTATTACGCTACCTCTCTCAACTTTGAGTTCTTAAATGCACTATGGCTGAACCACCATAAATGATAATGCAGGTAGTGGTAGAGTTGTTCAAAATGGCTGCACGTATGATCTGCAGCACTTTTTGCAGTTGTGACACCATGGCAGGGCTGTCACGAAGGGCCGTGGGCCGGGAATTTCCCCTGGCTACCATGAGCATGACACCTGGCCACTTTGAGAGCAAATACAAGGAAAGTAGATGATAAAAAACTTCCTAGATGTTCAGTTTTCCGTCTATAAGTTGTATATGCCCAGCAACTTGGAAACTTAGTGACAGCCCTGCCATGGTTTAACAGACCTGTAGAGGACCAATAACTCCAAGTTCTACATTGCCCAATCAGGCAATAACCAGAATGATTCTTGATACCACTAATTTACAGTGTACTATTCATTTTGAATCTTGGCAGAGCCAGGCTGTCAAAATGTCAGTAATAGTTATCAGGTAAAGTTGACAGCTTGGTATTTTCCCTACTTTTGCACAACCAATTGCCCAGGGAAAAAATGTACAAAATGCACAATTTACTCTAAAGATCGGTACACTCACCAGGTGACAAGTTGCAGCAACAAATCACTTCAAGTGTACTGGAGAATTTTCGTGAAAATCTTTGTCTCCACAAAAGAATTTTGGCCCCTGTAACATGTCAAAAAAATTCAAATCACACAGAATTTGTGTGACTTGGTGTGGAAACAAAATTATGTTGAAGAGACAAAGATTTTCCAAAAATTCTCCAGCACACATGAAGTAATATGTTCCTGCCACAGTCACCACAACATGTTGCCGCAACAAGTCGCCCGACCTGTATACAAAGAGTGATCTGTCACCGTGACTTATCATGGAATGTGTTCTGACCTTAACCCTTTAAACCCTAATATCAAAATTCAAATTCTCATTTGTTGTCCCTATAAGTTTTCAATAGAAGTAGTGGGGAGAATCTGTTGAAGTATCAATTAGATTCATCTTGTACGATCATGTCCTCAATTCTCATGACCACTGTGTTTCATAAAGTGTGATATTACAAGGAGAAATTTGATGTTGATCACCTGACTTTATCTTACCTAACAATGTAGTTCAAACACAACATTTGCTTGAGTTCAGGATTTGTGGGGTGAGGGATGAGAGAGGCCTTGGTTTGCATCCAAACCCAGCCACCATTCTTGTTCATCCAGCGATAGTACTTTGTGAGAACTTGCCCCTTGTTAAGAACTGTGGAGATAATGGTAACATGAGGGAAACAGACAATTGACATAAATAATTAACAATAATTAACTAAATAATTGATTAACATACACTGACAGTGATCTGTTTTATTGCACAACAAAGACATTAGAAGTTCCAAACAGTAAACAAATTATTACACTGTTCAAGGGCAACAGGGCTCAGGGGTCAACAATTAACTATTTACTGCACCTCATAGTAAATGTTACCCTCTGACATCTCCCCTTAGCCTATGACTGATATTCACCTATTAATAGGTCATAACTATGATGAATACAACACCGGTATGTTTCCTTATTAAGTTTGCTTACATTTTGCATGGTGACCTTGAATGACAGCAATGTCATTTGCATGATAGAAGTCATAAGCAGAGATTCCAACAATGTCCCTCGCAAAATAATCCATGAATTTATGAATTCTAAAAGAAGAAATCAAACATTAGTGTCTTTTAAAATAAATACTGAAAAACAGACACAAATAACACAGTACAAATCAACTGTTACTTGCATTTACCTTCCTTCACAATAGACAATTTTAAGATCCATGTTCACTCGGCTCACAAACATATTGCACTCTAACGGCAGCTCATTTATGTTCATAGTAGGAAGTGGCTGTCCGATAGCAACAAATGCATACTTGGTGTCTGGAAGGCCTTTAGCGAAGTACTGTTTCATCCTTCCCATACAATGAATAACCTTCAAAGACAGTAAATTCAAATATAACTTATATTATTATTTTACGACAGTCCCGTGTTCCAAGCTTAACTTTTTTCAAAGTTGCCTTCTGCAACCTCAAATAAATAATAAAAAGAGGTCCTCTTGCAGGTGGGGGAATGTATGTCCCTAGTCTGAATTTCAAATATGGTTGTTTCGCTTTCTGAGGAGTTGGGCAAGTCCCTGTCGGTATTTAGCTCATGTTAAAGTCATGTTGCCATTTCATCTTGTCTTATGTTGCTGTTTCAAGGCCATGTCGTTTGCCGGATTTTTACGCTAACAGGGCCTCTACAAAACAATTGCCAGACATTAAAATTAATATTGGTTGCCAGAAGAAGAAAAACACTGAGCAAAATTACATGAATGTCAGAATCAAAATGTGACCGTGAAAGGCAAAACGGACACTAACGGTTATCCGTTTCAAGAGGATACAGTGTGAGCGTTCGTTATTTGCTCAAACACTTTAAAAAAGCCTTTGAGTGCAATCGATCAACTGTTTGAATGGTTTACATAACTGTTTTTAAAAAAATTAGCATTTGTTCAAAGGATTGTGACATCTGTTCAAACGGTTTTTGTTTCCGTCCGGAAGCCAAAAATGCCTGTTTAAAGAATTGCGACATCTCTGGTCAAACAATTACTCTGAATCGAAGATGTTCGTGCTTGACACTTTCCTATCCGTTCGATGTAAGTTCAAAAGGAGCAATAAATTTAACGATCAATTTTTCTCATCAGATATTAATTACATACTTTCAATTTGGACCAGTAATATTTGTTACAAAGTTTGTTGTGAAACTAATACTTTTAACACTTATTTCCCCCTGAATTTATAGCAGAGCAGTTTTCTTTGAGGTGAATGCCATGCAATATCAAAGTGGCTGTACGTAAGCACATTTTTTCCATTATGGTGTCATCAGGTCCTAGACAAAAACACTTGAGTTCTCGCACTGTTGAAAAAGAATTGGAGATATATCACGCACTTGATGAAAAATGCTCATCACAAACGGTTTTCCATTAGTGTTCGTTTTGCTTTTTACAATCACAAATGGCTGCCAAACTATCACAACCAAATTTTTGGAGATGCACGCAATATTTCCAGGCTTCATATTCAGACACCAGGGAACAAGAGGCCAATTTTATAGAAAATGGAGCATGACTAATATTTTCTGCAAATGCTTATAAAAGCATTCTCACCTTGAACCCTGAAGACTTGGTGTAGGCTCCCCCTCGTCGTACTAAAGTACACTTCATTCGCATGAAGAAGGACTTTGGTTTTTCCATGCCAGCATTGTTCTCATTACCAGGAAATGCTGTAATTTAATTCAAAAAAAACTCAGTATATGCAAGGTGCAATGATAGTGATGTTGTCCAAGAGTTCAGGACCAGAAGAATCCACCATTAGTCAAGTGTGGTCAAATATTAACAAAACATACCTTGCTGATTTCCAAAGAATGGAATGTTGTCTGTGTACCTTCCAGATGGTACATGTTCAGCATTCTCAAGTTCATCCCTGGCTTCTGCCAGAACATTCATAACATCTGGGTGGTCCTCAGGGTGAATGTAACATGATATGTTACTTCCTGTTAACTCAACCTGTAAAACAAATATATAAAAATAATAAAAAAAACATTCAATGATTCTAACTTTGTAAATGCACTGGACCTGCTATTCAAATCGTATTTAAGATTCTTCATTTCACTTTTTTAGTAAAACCTTTTTGCTTGCTTTTTTTATACTTCACAATTTGACATGCTGAACACACATTGTAGTTAGCTACAGTTATAGGAACACTAACCTGTGATAGACCAAGATGAACTGACACTGTCTCTGAAACATACAAAACTTTTCCCTCACCAGAAAGTACAAACAGAAAACCATCCAAGGCCTTTACAAAAGAAAAGAAAAGATATTTGTAAGTACAAGGAAAGTATTAATAAAAAAGATTAATCACTTCTCTCTACTATCTCCAACAGGTAAACTGGCGAAAGCTAATGATGGAAATCTTTTGCTCCATGAAATACTTTCCCCATAAAATATTTGACACAACCCCTACCTGCAGCAAAAATATGCCACTGTTATCTGCCAGGTCCTGAAGAGTTATTTCATTTGGATTGTAAGCTGAAACTGCACCTGAAATACATGCAAATAAATGCTTACAGATATCCTGAATGTAATGTATCAGTCCCTGAAAACCATACCCTGTTCAGCCACAAATATCCTTCATTGCCAAAAATGTATTACAGTAACTAGTGCAGATCCCAGGTCTCCTTTATTATTACTCGCACAAGCAATAAAAATGTGCTGTATTCAAAAGCATGGTCCCTTCACTCAATGATATGACATTTTTTTATGTAAAAAATTATTAATGCTTTTATTGTTAACGCTTACCTGCAGAGGAACTCGCTGCTGCCGGAGGTGAAGAAAGTGAGGAATTGGGCGAGGGACTCCCTGCACTTCCAAAATGAGCATCTGCAAAAAGGAGGTGAGGTCCTACTTTTAAATTTATCTTTAAAAGACCCGATCAAATCTACAGAAACAAGAAGCTTGTTGTGGTCTCAATGAGAAGGCGTGGCACAAGGCAGGAGCACTTGCCACCCATCAATAAGACCAGTGACAACCACATACAGTGGAACCTCAAAGTAAGGAACTTCTATATAACAAAGACCTCAGTATAACGAACAGGTTTCTTTACCTCAGTGATAGTAAAATACCATAAAATTCCCAAAATAAGCCCCAGGCCTTATATTTTCAAAGGCCCTTTTTGAGGGGCTTATCTACCGAGAGAAATTTGCGTTTCAAAATTGATTGAGCTAGCCTTATAGTTGGAGGTAAATTTACCATTTTTGCTTTGTTTTACTTTGTATTTGAAGGCAATTTTCCAAGTACACGCCCCCTTGGGGCTTAAATTTGGAGGGACGATTTAACGGAGGGTTTTTTGCATTACCAGCTTGGGGGGCTTATATTTTGAGGGGCTTATTTTTGGAATTTTACGGTATATGAAAAATAACCTAGATATAGCAAACAAATTTTACCAGGCCCGCGGCCCTTTGTTATATTGAGGTTCCACTGTACTGTAAATTCTTGAGTTAGCACCTGGGTCACTTGTTTACAACTAACATACAGGCAGTAATAAAGGTGACTGATGGAAACCATACATGGTCAATAACATGTCACAATCATAGCAACTAATAATGCAAGCAATTTGATATTTTATCAGAGCTATGAGGCCAGGGACATTAGGAGCATGTCAAAAGGCCATTTCTGAGTTCCCCCAAGCCTCTGTTTTGAAGCGAGGCCGAGTGCAAAGTCATTGATATGAGAATGACTTTTCATTCTCATTCAAATAAAACTCATTCACAAGAAAGATTTTTGCACTTAACCTTGTTTTGAAAGTGAGAATTTTTGAAACTTGGAAATGGCCAATTTCATGGGCTTTGGTCCCACTGCTGCAAACAATGCTCACATTACAAGTAAGCGCTCTAATTCACTCACCAACATCTACTTCTGACTGAGGCGAGGCTGAGGATTCTGAGTGAAATGAACAGTCTGAGCCCTGACGATACCGTTTAACTGTGGTAAAAAAAAATTGTCAAATAAACAATAATAATAATAATAGTAAATAAATACTTAATTATCCTCTCCCCTTATGGGACTTTTCAGGGATAATGAAACAAATAATTCAATGTCTAGATATAACTTAGTTGAATCAAAAACTCTTAGTACAACAAGTGTGTACAAACAGATGCAATGTGACTGAAAGTCTACAAGCAAAAGCTTAATCATTGATCATCTTTCTCTAAATTTCATGCAATTCTTACCTCTCTTAGGAAGGTTAAACTGCTTCATGTTCAAGTAACTGATTGTGAGGCGCACAACCGATGCTTTGTCCAGCTGCGAAGTAATGGCACCAGGCAGTGGAAGAAGCTTTGCCAACTCATCAAACTGTGCATTTTCTTTGCCTCGCCTACTTCTCGCAGCATCACGGGATCTCTCCTTGCGGAGTTCAACAGTTCTGAATGAAAGTAGGCATGTAGTACTTTAATAAACATAAACTGGGATCTACTAAAAAATACAGGTTGCGATAGTGAAAGAAATAATTAGCTGTCCTAATTTTGAAACAAATTCTCCATAACAGTATTGTACAAGATTGATTATAGACAACCGTGTAGAGAATCCACAGGTTGATAATAGGGTTTTAAGCATTTGTCAAATTTAGAAGCAGCAGTCAGAATAAAAATTAAACATTTCTAAAAATCAACAGCATTAGAGTCTGGAAAATGTTTTGGATATTTTAGCATTCATCAGTTCAGGATGTTAACAAATTAATTTTGTGACCAGTGTAAGAAAAAGATTTGCTTTTAAGTATTGTAGAATTAAACGATAGCATGATATGGATACTTAATGTCACATGCACATGCACATGTAAAGGTGCCTATACAATAAATATGATAAATAACTTTGGCGGAAAATGACACGACAAGCACATGCTAAAGTGAGCTTCAATGACACTCAAAAACAAATTTACATAATACTTAGTCAAGAGTGAAGCACTATCAGTAGTGTACACAATAACATTACGTAACAACTCAAGTTCTCTGAACCTCAGTGTCCATATTTCAAGATGATTGTACTATTTTTGGAGTCTACGGATGAAATCCCATGGCATGACCACTCAAACAAAACACTTTAAGCGGTGTGTTTCTTAGGCTACCGAAGAAATCCTATGGTGCTGATGACGTCCTAGGGTGTGACCATTCACTTGAATACGTAAACATACATGTATACAAGTCAAAATTCAATTCAGGTTAAAATTTTTTAAGCTAGGTTGATTCTCTATTTCCATTGTCTCTTAGCCTTAATTATTCATGTATTAGGACTAAGAGACAAAGGATATTGAAAATCATGCTAGGCTAATAGTAATATGTAAATCTCAAGCCCTAGGATTTCACGGTAATGAATGTTTCCGGCACCGTGTCCTTAGCGTGATCCAACGTGATCAAAATAACGGAATTGAAAAATAGTCTCCCATGGACATGTCCTGACATATTCAGACTGAGGGATAAAAAGTACACAAATAAAGTATTTTTCTACTTGGGTTCTTAACTAGAAGTCCACTTTCCTCCATAAGCAAGCCTTTTCAAAAATTTCAACCTAAATTTTATTTTGACCTGTAACATATATACAGTACTGTAATTTACTAGTTCGAAAGTCAAAGTTAAAATAATTGACATACCCACAGAAAGCTTAAGCTATTCTAGGAGAGCCATGCTTTGAGACAGTGATAATGCAGTGGTATGAAGAGCACCTAGTTTTGTTGTCTTAACACTCATGTGTCTCCTCTAGTTAGTGGTAAAGGATGTGGACTAGACTAGTAACCAGAAGGTAATAGGTTCAATTCCTATTGGCAGTACTTAGATTTTTTCTTCCAAGCCTCCTGTGTCACTGACTGGAAAAACATCTCATGTACATGTATTCACCAGCCGTAAAATTCACCATCACATTTGTATCATCACTGGTATCAAGTAACAAAAGTTCTGATTGGAGTAATAACTAGGACACAACGATACATGTCTCATTCAAATAAAAGCTACTGAGAAGTAATAAAATCCTGCGGTATAGTTTGTTATGCAGTGAATTGTACAGTACAAGTACTTTGAATTGTACAGTACCTTCCTGTGATACTGTTTGAATTGAATTGAATTGTACAGTACAAGGTCATTCTGACTTTTACATGTAAGTCTGTACATGAAATCCTAAAGTGAGACCATTCAGATAGAAGCTTCAGAGCTGTAATTCCTGTGGTATTGTTTGTTATGCTGTACAAGGTGGTTATGACTTTTCAGTCTGTAAATGACATCCTAAAGTATGACCATTCAAATGAAAGCTTCTGAGGATTAATTCCTGTGATAATGTTAATTGATTTTGCTGAACAGAGAGGATGTGCATGTCACTTTAGTGTCTGTGGATGAAATCCAATGGTAATACCATTCAAATGAGAGCTCCTGAGCAGTACTTTCCTGAGATACTGTTTGTAGTTCTAGCTTTTGAGTCTGTGGACAAAATCCGAAAGTGACCATTCTAGTAAAGCTTGGCCCTGATATTTTACACAATCAAAATACACTCAGATTTCTTTGTTGAATGCAAATTCCAGAACTTTTCGGATTGAAAGCGTTAAGTGGTCTCACGGTTCCAAGCAGTAATACTTTGATGAATCAATGCTATTCATCTTAAGTTATACCAGTCAATTTTATCCCTTCTACAGTGAGCAAAAAGTAATATTACGAAGTGGCTTACAGCCACGTAATCTTGAGTTAACGTTTTTACTCTAAGAATCGCCTAATTCCAAATGAGGAAAATTCCAGATTAAACATTGTCAAATGCTTTGTTTGATAAAACCTCATATTTCCTGACTTTGTCCTTTCATCATGCAAAATGAAGAAGAATGGTTTGCGGCTCTTATAGTTACAATGTCTGATCATTGTCAAGTATTTCATAAACAAACATAACCACAGTAGATTTGAGGTTTTGCAATCCTTTCGCATTATTATGTTGTCTTTGAAAGGGTTAAGAAGTACACCTAAAGAGTTAACCACAACACATGAATTAATATTTCATGAATTCACTCATTTCATGACTTTTTCCTGTTCAACAGTTAAAAAAGGAATGGACATGCACTGCTTTGTGGCGCTTTATCAATACGATCACAGTAAAGTACTCCATATGTACACTTAACTACAATAAGAGAATCAAATTTTTTTCACACCATCATATAGGTATTAAAAGGAAGGGCGGGCTGGGGCTTCATTGCCCACCTGGCTAATGCGATAGCTTGAGCTTAAAACTTGCTTCCTCTCTGCTTGTAAAACTTGCACTCAGCACCACAAGGTCAAGTGCCATTTTCCTTTCTTTGTATTCATAAACCATTGACGCATTTTTCTTAAATTTTTTCTTTCTGACATCAAAACCTACGCTCAAGTGTTGAAGACTAAGACCCCACAATAATGGGACAAGGCAAAAAGTTTTAAAAAGTTGCTATGTATATCATAAATCCCAGAGCTAAAGAGATACGATAGAAGCCTACATTGTACATGCTTCACAGGCTTTGCATTTTTTAACTGAAGCACGTGTTATTTACCTATTTATTACCAGAAAAAATCCAGCCTTCTCTCATGCTGTGCTAATTACACTTAGGTAATTTAGGTACAAAATTGGTATTAATCGTAATTTTACTATTTCTTCTTTCAAAACAAAGAAAGGAATCACACTGAAATGCTTCTGAAAATAGATTAACAATTTATGGCGCCAAACAGCTGAAACCAACACAAAGAAAATCAAACAACTGGAAAGAGAGAACAAAGATGCATCTGACACCAGAAAAGATTAATTGTCCACCAAAATAACAATATTGGAATGCCAACAGCAATTTTGTCATTGTTCACTGGTTTAAACAAGAAGCAAGAAGGAAGATCTTTAAGATTCAGCGCACGTCCACATTTTAAACAGCAGAGATAAAAAAAATCTGTTTCCTCAATACCAGTGCTACATCTGTGAGACAAAAAAACTGTTTTTGGAAATTTTTTTCCTAATAATTTACATAATTTTGACAACCTTTTTACATAGTGGATTTTGATTTATTGATCAAATACATTAACTACATGTAAGTTTATGTGCCTTGGAAAACACATCTATATACACCTAAAAACATATCACACATGTAGTATAGCTACTTCAACAAAAGGAATGTTCAAAGAGAACCCAACATAACTATTCTATATGAAACATAGCACACTTTATTTTGAACTTGTCAAAATAATTATTATTTCAAGTACATAGTGTTGAGGAGTTATGTAAACTGTGGTTTATTTAATTTTTCTGGTTTATTTGAGCTTTTAGAGAAATTAATAGTAACAAACAATCAAACTAGCAAAAATAAATCATTTCAAACTTCATTTACCTTGTAAAAATACAGAACTTTATTACATAAGACACAAGCTAAACCGTAAGTACCCGAACAATTTTTTAAGTTTACAGTGTGAAAAACACTGTAAACTGCAATAATTCTCAATTACTTCCTTACAAAAAAAAAACATGGAGAATGATCAAAGAATACAATCTAGTAAGACTAGGAATAATTTTACCACAAGTAAATGACTTGTCTTGTAATATTAAACTAATCTGACAAGTTTGTGCATATAAATTTACTAGCACATGACAGGAGGAAAGTGAAACTGAAGGCCTGTCAAGTAAAGTCAACAAATACATTGGGTTGCAAATGCACAGTAAGTCTTATCTAACCTTGTGGTACATGATAAGGACCACCAAGACCTTTATACATTGTAGCAGGGTGACTGAAAAGGCTGCAAATAATTTTTTAACAAGCATATCATTTGTCAGGAAGAGCAAAACATTTAAGCTCGTAAATCATGTGCCGAAGGCGAGTGATTTACAAGCTTTTCGAGCGTTCTCCCAACATCCCAAGTGAGTTATTACGCTGGTAAAGCCATAGAAAGTGTGGTCTAATGCTTTAAAAAATAACTTTAAGTTTTTTATGAGTTTAACGGCACAATAGACCATAGGCTTTTAACCAATCAGAGCGTGTATACTATCTCAGTTATTTTATAAAATGTTTTAACATATTAACGAACACAATGGCCTCCTTCCTGAGAGTCAAAGTTAAATGGCCACAACCCTTAAACTGTTAACACTAAATAACAATAAATGTACAAGTTGACCATGAGTTAGTTTCTCCCCAGAGAGTTGTAAACTAATCAAGAACAAAGGTAAATTTGAAGTGGCCAAAGAAAACTTAAACAAAAAAAATAATTTCTTTCGCTAAAAATATTATTCTCAGATTTAGATAGTAAAATGCAAAAGTTTCTTCCACAGACTGAAAAGTTTGAGCTAGGAGTAAAGGGTTAATCAAGAAGAAAATGAACATGAATCATTTGCCTGTTTAATTTAGACAATATCTATTTGTCAATAATTTTATGCTTCTTGGGTAAATTGTTTTAAACAACTCCTGTTATTAACTTGTAGCACAATCCCATACATTGTAGTTAAAGTCCATCTTGCTTTAAAAGTGCTTTTTTAAAAAAATTTGTGGCTTAACATTTCCAACCAAACAGCAAAATTCAGTTTCATGACACTTACAAACTTTCAACTATTTAAAAAAATTCTTTCCAGAAGAAACCTGCAGCCCCAACCTCAGGACTAGTCAAGTTAAGATCACAGTTCACAATCGTCCTAAAAGTGCGGAACTTTGAAATTTAATTCTTGATGGATTAAAAGTATTGGATAAAACAGTTAAGACCACAAACAAACACAACATCACTCAACCCGCCATGAGATACATGTAAATTGTTTCCTGTAAAAGAATTCTTGATCAGGTTTTGAGTACAACATTATTTAAACAAGGCACTTCAATTTAAGGAACATTGACCAAATAATTAACGCACAGTTACGCTTGTTATATGATGTACATCGAGCTCAAATGCAAAGTACTGTATGGTGTTGATTCTTTTTTGAAAAACAAACTAGCCTGAGTGTGGCATGATGACTGGTGATCTTGCTGTTGCCATGAGCAACAAAATAGTATTTTTATAACTAATTATATTTATCACACGGCTTTCGACTTGTTTTTACATTACTTATCTCAATCCATGACACCATCTCTGACCTATAAAGTCAATCAGTCAAACAGCATTAACTGATAAAAGATGTGGAGAATACAAAAAAGTTTTAAAAGGTTAAAACATGAGGACAACAAAGCAGTAATAATTCAGTTTTATGACATAGATTTACTTTTGGGCAGGTAAATTTATTATTAAAGGGGACGCTACCGTGCCAAAAACAGCCAAACAGACAAAGAAATATCACAAGTGTATTGATCTATCCTTAGTACATTTTTTGTTTGTCTGGGAAATATGCATATCGACTGCATGTCTGAGCTGCTTTTCTGAAAACACTGTAAAGTGTTTACCAATTTAGAAGCCCACTGTCTAACATTTGAGACAGCTTCCATATGAGACTTGACTATATTATCAAGAGGTGGGTTTGACTTTTGAAATCTTGCGCTGCTTGAGATGAACAGTTTAATTTACCACTGGTGAGCCAAGAAAAAATCAATTTATTTACTGAAGGCAAGGTGTAAAGCTAATACACCAGCTGCCATCTGACAGGCATTATGTTCAAACACATACACTGTACCAGAGAAATAAAACACTTCAAGGAAAAACCTTTAGCGCACATGTGATTTGCTCATGAGACGGAATAGAGATATCAGCTTCTTTATACATTTCACACTGCTGTTAATTTCATTAGTTACGTAGAAAGCCTGAGACTCGTCAACCTTTTCAGTTTGGCACAATGTCACCACTGTTCGATTTATTTGCACACGTGCATTTGCTCCCACAACACAATTCACTGCCATGTGCAAGCAGCAAATTAATTTAAGTAACAAGCTAAAAAGACAACTGGCACGTACAATACACAAAATGCAAGGTAAATTAAAGAGAGAAGACAATGTCTCAAAGGTGGCATGCACTGTAATTAAACCAGTATAACTTAGATGCATGTAGCTCTGTAAAGGTAAATTCATTTTCTCTGTTTTGGAAGGCATTTAGAAGATTTAACCATACATGCTAAGGTTTCTGATTTTAATACAGTTCGCTGTGATTAATAAAAATGGGCCTCTTGAACAAAAAGAAGTTATTCAGACCATGAGCTACATGAATGAAGCTAATATGAGTTCTGAGGCAAAACTGTGTGTCTCTGAGACCATTCCAAGATGCATTTGAATTCTACACAACCCAAAAACATTCCACTGCATAAGTAATTCACAAGATCATAATTCAGCAACACACCATTTTATGGTGAGTATCAGGTCATGCCTAGCGTAACTGATTTTTCAGGGATGCTGCTGAAACCCTGCACAACTTTTAAGAGGGGAAAAAGGGATCATAAAATCATGTGACTAAAAACTAGACTGACAAGATCTAACAACAAGACAACTTTCATGAAAAGTGACAATTTTACCAAAAACCCAACCAGTTCAGAAAATGTCTTGTTGAAAGCAACTTAAAATCGAAAAAATGTCATGTTTGATTAGCACACTGTTTTCATTTTCCCGACTTATTTACATGGAATTTAACAGGTGCCTGTTGACTTGTGAGGGTCAGGAAAAGAGAAAAACTAAATTCAAGACATTACAGTACAAATTCTTGCTGGGGTGTTACCAATGGAATTGAAGAAATTCATGTCTTGCAATAATATCACAATACTTTGATTACATCAAACAATAAGATGAAACACAATATTAGATCATCATTTATATACATGCATATCAGAACAGGCTGAAACAACACAAGGTAAGAACCGGTAGTCTACAAAAAAGCCACTTGAGAACACACTTTTCTGCTGCTATAACTAGCAAATCTAAAAATAATTACACTACTTTACTTTTAAAAATGCATAGTTTATTTCGTTTTCAGCATTCTTGTTTTTCATAGGTAACTTTAATACTGGATTAAACTTCAACTATCGACACTGTCTTGAACAGCTTCAGCAAATCTAATAAGTCTGGATATGTGAATAAATTCCACTGTAAGCAATGTATTCTAAAAACAGCATTAAGTTGGTATTCAATGCTAAAACGTGGCCTCATTATATTTTTAATCTCAGCTGAATTTAATTTCGTGAACGTAACATTCTGAGACAAATTATTATAATAACATTAAAGGAAAGCCCGTCGCTTGAGAAATCCCAGATCAGAGTACGATTATTAAGGCAAAAAATATTATAACAGCGTCTTCTTATTCTAAAAGTTACATGTACGACTTAAGCTCTCACCTGGAAAACAGTGAAAGTGTACGTACAATGAAGTACATATCCTTGTCGAATTAACATTAAAGACACCGCTAATAACAGGTTTTATAAAAAACAATCCTATATTCGCGTTTCACGGTAATCACACCGGCACCACCGCCAGCGAAAATACCGTTAACCTCAAAGTCTTCCGTAATTAATCAAGGACAAAGCATATTTGCTTCGTTCGTACACGCGCAAATTACGACAGCTTTTCGTGCTTGACTATAACATAAACAGAAACACAATCAATTTCTCGCTAAAAGTACCAGACAATACCGCTAAATGAAGCAGGAAGACTGCCACAAGAGATCCACCATTTTATGACAATGAAAACAACGCGAAAACAGCTGTCTGTTTCAGCGAAAATGAGCTACACTTACATACATGGTTTTTTCCGACAAGAGCAAATGTAAACAAAAAAGTCTCCAGCCAGGCCAAGAACACTCCAAACTTTTACCTTCGACTTAAAAACAATCAATGCAAATGCGACTGGGCCAGTTGAACACTGCCACGGCAAATAAAGTCACTTTTGAAGGACTCTAATGGTTTGCGTGATCACAGATTCCAAAGTAGCCGATTCGCAGACCTTCAATTCGACTAATATGTTATGAACATACAATAAACAAGTTCTTCGCTCCTCGATGTTTCGCAAGAAGAAAAAACGCCCTCAAACCATACCCTAATCACCTGAATCAACCCCAACAAATCACTATACAATTGCTTTCGCGTTCTGTTCTTAAATTGACAGAAAAATAGAGCGACAGAAATCGAGACTTCTCAATTACTGGATTGATGCTTAGCTAATTTATGCACGGCACCGGGTTCGCCGCGTTTCGAACAAGGTTGCGGCGAAAAAAAAAAACAAACTCCAAATTGTTTGGAAAAAGCGATCTTCACTCTGAAAAATTGGATCTTTTCTTAAAGACATCAATGCTACGACGTAAGGGTAGCGTCGTATAACTTGCACTTACAAGGAGGATCTCGAAGACTATTATTCAATCTTGCAGTTGTTCGATGTTACATGTTCTCCACACACGCATACAAGCAAATACAAGGCGACGATTTCCGTTTTAAGCGAGTCTTAACTGATGAATCCTATCAGCTAACAGCTGTTAACATTCAAAACTTTTCGATCGCCTACGATCCGTTGGGGTTCTACGGAAAGACTCAAGACGCTGTATGAATCTAGCAAAATGACAAACGTTATGGTACGTTACCTTGAATTGTCTGTACTCTTCGTCCTGAAAAACAGCAAAAAAACTGGACATCAGTGGATCACAATACCCGCGATTTATGCATTTTGAAATAGAATAGGGCAAAGCACATAGTGATCACAGTTATCGGGCGTTGTTGCCGTATTATTTCCACTCGTACTTAGCAAGATAGGCACTTCAACATTACTGCGTACTCCATACCTAGCTTTCTGTAAACGCTTTACAGGAGGCATAGCTGCGAAATTTGCCGCCAGCAGAGACCGCAAAATCCGTAGTAAGCAAACTCTAAGACCTCAACAATCTTCGAAGATGTTAAAAACCAAAATCATCTCCAAAGAAATGTAATTCCAAAGGTTATCCCAAACAACCAAATTCAAGATGGCGTTTGTTTTCCGACGATGGCAAGCTATTATGCACATTTTTCGTTTAAGCCTCCTGATTGGTTCAAAGGTGCCGTGTACATCACGTGATAATGATAGCCGGGGGACCTAATTCTAAAAAAGTCTATTTCCTTTCGAACGAGATTCATATAAAGGACGTGATTTTTCTTTTTGTTCCCTGCAATGACGCCACAAGATTTTCCTTTCATCCAATAAAAAATATCTGCGCTTATACCTACTTCAGGAAACAAAAGATAAGGCAATTTGGTTTTCCGTCACGGAAAGTGTGAAACAATAGTGTCAACGACAAACCGAATGAAGCATTGGAGTGCGCGGCAAAACACAGATATCACAAAAATAAAACATGTCAATCTTCTAGCACGAAAGAAAACAACTTCGAAACTGAATACAAGAGTTTCCGTCGAAGTCACCCTGTCGAAAATGTAAAGGAAAAGAACAGAGCAAATATTTACTTTGGAATAAAAAGAATTGACTGTCAGCGTCGATCTCTAGAGCAACGCCCCCCGGAATTAAACATCCGATATGGGGGCTTTCCTACGGCCGACCAGCCGACACTAGATTTATGAAAATATTTTTTTCGCTGCTAATAATAAAGAGCTTTGAACGGCGAAGGGTCACACATCGGTCACCGCCTTTTGTCACATGGCTAAGAAAAGCGTTATCTCGGTTTGTATTTTGCTCGTTATTCTAGGAAAAGCGTGTACACTACCAAATAACCACTCCAATATCTTTCCGGTCTTTTTAAGTGATTAATTTCAAACTAAACTACTTCTAACTCAAGTTGTACTCTTAACAAACAAATATAATCGGAGGTCAGTTATTAGGAACTAAATACAACGAAAATCATCTCTGCAATTTTTTGAAATGTTTTCTGTCTTTTGAATTCATCCGAGTTGAAATCTGTTCAATTTCAACAAAGTGCGTGCGTACGTGGAAACACGCAAGGCGTCACGCAGGGCGCTTTTTCATTGTTGATACATTCAAGCACGAAATGAAATAATTTGTAGAATAAATTTTAAAATTCAATTGCTCAGTTTCAATGACAAAAAAAAGGAAAAATTATATTATTATATTTTTAAACAGCTTGAAAGGTAGTAAATTTATTGACGAAAAGAGTTCTGTTTAAGTAAAGTTTAAAAATAATCGTAGCAATTAATGCCGTGAAATATATGAATAATTAATGACAGCATTTCACGTTAAAGATCGAAAAACAACAAAAAAATCCATGAAAATTGAACACAAGAATAGCCTTTTTTCCAACAGCAATTACTGCAGAAAAATTATAGATAAACTTTAAGGTGGTACACGTTCTCAAGAGAATGATTGCACATAGAAAATGACATTTAATTGAAAAATTCCCAAACAATCATATTTAGGTAAGAAAGTTCAAGGTCAATGAAACAGATGAAAGTTTAACATTCTTTGTAAGGTTAAGAAAAATGTCCTTTGCTTCTAGGAAACAAAACATTGATTTTCAAGACCACAACTTAGGGACAATATTACTTTCAGCAGCTTTTTAATGAGTCCTTAACTTTCAGACTGCCTCAGATTGAGCTGCTACATGTTTTCTCCTAATCTGTATCCTCAGACAACCAAAATAATAGGAATTGTGAAGGGTGAAGAAACCTGGCTAAACCTGGGGGGGGGGTGTACAGTCAAATCCCACTTTATTGACTTTATTAACACCCGCTTAATACAGGCACCTAACTATTATGGACAGTTTGCTTTGTTCCTAAAGAAGGAAAGCCCTTATATTTTCTTGAAATTCAACCACCTTATTTTATTTATTTTTATTTCATTAGATTCGCCAATTATTGGCAGGGTCACCGCAACAGCATGACGCCAATTACTGCAAGCCTGTAACAGTCCCTCCCCCCAAGAGAGATAGACCACCACACCGGAGACTACGTCCCCTGCTCTTTACGAACAGTGTGTGGGTTCTTTAATGTCCCACAGAATTTATATGTGCAAGGGTTGTGAGACAGGGCCTACGGTTTATCATCCTTATCCAAGGAGACTAGAAAGTCTAACCGTTTGCAGATGTCTTAAAAAAGGCAGCACTAGCTTTCTCCTCAGTCATTCAAAGACCCTGAGTGTTGGTTTGGCCGTGAGTGTTTTTAATTATCCAACTGACCTAACATAAATTTACTCAATTATTGTAATTGCCAATAAAGGACTTCAAAACAAGATGATGTGCATTTCGTCTTTTTCCTACGCAGAGTAATAAAATTGAGGTTATTGCACTTTTCCTGAACAGAGTCAGGGTTTCAAACCCTATACCCAAATATTGGTCGAAGACCCCCCTGGCCAACTACTCTCAAGACTGTTTAACTCCAGGACTCCTCCAGACCTTCTAGGTTTCAGCATTTTTGCCAGCAAGATAAAGCACCACCTGTCCCTCCTTTTATGAGGACAGACCCTCCCCTAGGTCCCCCTCCCCACCACCCCCTAACCAATATTGTCCTCACCTGCTTGTTATGAACCTCTACAAAAAGCTGTTGTACTTTAAAGAGGCTGCTTTTGCCTATATTTCGCTCACAAGTTGTAGTTAAGGGTGTAATGTGTCGATAAGCATAGACTGGTGAATGGGTTGCCTTAATTCTAAATTTGCGGGCACCAGTGTTATATAAAAACCCCATGTAAATGGGAATGAAAATAAATATTGTTGTTGTTGTTGTTGTTGAATGCGAAGGTCCACTCAACGCATAACTAAAACCAAACCAACTGGTTGACTTTCTTGCCGGATCTCCAATGTAGAGATGCTACTGCCAGACGTCACTTGAAGGCTTGCAATACGGCAAAAAGGGCTGATTTATTTCAGGACAATATGTTGCCTAACAAAATTAGCCTTCCTCAGGGCCAAAACTACACTGTCCCAAGAGGACTAAATTTGTTAGCCGAAATGTTGTCCTCAAATACATCAGCCCTTTGCCGTATTGCCAGCATAATTGCATTCAGTTTTGTTTTAATGCTATATACCTGCACAGTTTAAGGCCCAATATATGGGCCAGTCTTGACCAATAAAGATGGATTCATTATAAAGTCGAAACAGAACTGAAGTGTCTGTATCAAAAAAAGGCCATTGAAAATTTTCTCATCTCTCTTTGAGGAGGAACATGACCAGACTTGGGATACAGAAGAAATTGAGCCCACTAAAAATTTAGTTATTGGCTCTCAAATCTCAAGTGTGAGGTGAACACAAATCAAATGTGAAGAACAGCAGAGGAGCTTCATAATTCCCAGATGTTCAGAAGCAGAAAGACAATAACTCTTCAAAGCCAGTATCTCCACCAAAAAATGGTTGACTTTGGCTATTGCACTTCAGAACGTCAGAAAAATAAAAATAAACTTCTGAAGGTTGGTTTTCGCTCACAATGGAGTTGGAGTCATAATCAGAATTATCGTAGAGGGTAGTTTACCAGTCTATGTGCAGTGTCTTCCTAGGCCTTTTAGGTCAATGTAGTCTTTTTCTGTGAGGTGGATCATGTGACCCAGAACCCATAGGCCAAGCGGAAAAATGAGGCCTAGAGACTAGCCAAGAATGTAGTATAAACAAAAGCATTCTGATTCTGCTTACAACTCCATCATTTATGATCTGTTGTGGTGAAATGCCCGGGGGGTGGGGGTATCCCCATTTGAAATGGATGGGGAGGAATCAGAAAGAAATGGAATTAAAACTCAAATGGCTAGTTTTCACCCATCATAATCAGAAGTGCACAGCATGGGGAAAACAGCATTCCAATCCTGCTTACGATTCTCTTTCTTATGATCCAATGTCAACCTTTCCTTTCTTCTTTGCTCCACAGAGTTTCAGTTATATGATTGACTCATGCTTGGTGAAGTCAGCTTGCATACAATTTTTCTTTCGAATGTGATTAAGATGCATTTTTTTCATCAGGAAATTGAGTAATTTAATTTCAAGGAGACAAAAACCTTGTACCAGAATATTTCAAGCCTAATATCATAGGTGAAGAATTACTCCTTAATTCTGGCACAAAATTTCAGCAATAATTTGTAATTTCACATGTGGAATTACAAAATTGCCATGGCAACCTTCCATATGTCTCAGTGTCCAGATGGGGACGAAGTCTTAAAATGTCATGAATGAAGATGCCAGGGCATAACAAGATGCTCTACAAAACCTGAACACATGAAAGAGCACATCAAGAAGGATTCTAACAAGTATTTTGTCGAAAAACTCTGAACTTAAGCCAAATTTAAGCTCTTAGAAACGTTTGAGAGAGTGCAGGAGTTCTCGATCGATACGATCTAGGATAAAAATGTCAAAAATCCAAGACTGCAAACATAATTCGTCACCCATGATATTAATAGGTAATCAAATGGTACACTCGTGAAATTAGGGAATAATTTCACTCGTCACCATATGATTACACATAGATATCGCTAGAACATTTTCTTTGGAGTTATTTCATATAACTTACTACATTAAATTTTTATAGCTCTCGAAAAGTGTATAAAAGAATGCAACATGATTGAAAGTATTCTGGTACAAGGTTTTCGTCCATTGAAAATTAAAATTACTCAATTTCCTAATGGATTCCATCTTAACTTAAAATTCCACACTTTTGAATCCGTTGTAAGAGTCCCCATTTGATGTCAGAGGAATTGGAAACAAGGAAAGAAAACCCCTGGCGAAAACCATCTTGTTGTTGTTCATTTGTTTTCCATTACCTGTATACAGGTACTCTGGATGCTTCATTCCAATGCAATTTCACCCAATGTAAAATTGTCTTTGTTCTAGAGTAGTGGCTGTGAAACTCTTCAGTTACTAGCCCTTCTTCCCTGGTCAGTGAATGTATGTTATTATCACCCACAGAATTTTAACAGAAACAAGCATTATCTTACTTGAATTTATTGCAATAGATTTCTTCCATTGGCTTCATAAAACCACATGAGAAAACTCTCCTTAAATACAAACTGCTACTTTTTTACGTACCTTAATTATAACAATTTGTGCAGTCTTCCTACGGACCAAAAATTATCCCTTCCTGCCCAATAGAGGGTCAATGGAAATCCCAAAGAGAAGAGGACTTAAAGGCTATTATTTTGAAAGGAAAGTCTGTACCTACACTGGAATTTCCAAACGGGGGTGGGGGAGATTCAAACCAATAACCCTCCGCGGAGGAGGTACAGATAAATGGTATAACAGTATTATTATAGATAATGAGGGAAATGTACCCTTATCCCAAAAAAGAAATCTATATCAGTGCCGGATCAAGACCCTGAGAGAAGCGGGGAGGCTCGGCCATCCAGACCCTTAGATAAGGCAGGGGGGGGGGGGCGGTCTCCAAAAAAAATTTTTCGGCTCTTCGGGTCTCAGTTTGGTCTAAAAATAAGGGGAAGCCCTCCCCTGGATCTGCCGCTGTATATTTTTTTTTGGATATACGATATATATATTTTGGAAGGTTTGATCAGGAAGTACTCATTATTTGAGACAGGCTGGGTGATGACATACACAATATATATCTTATTTTTATCTCTCCGAGCAGATCAGATCACAAATAACATACAAGCATTGTCTGATGAATTCCATCATTAATCTATACATTAAACATAACAGCTTTCAAAATTTGAATTGATTGGTTTAAAATTTTTAAGTTGCACATATCACATTTCGACTCAAGTATTTTAGCTTCTTTTAAAACAATCACTTGCATAAGCTTGTTTTCTACTGTAGTTGTAATCCCTAAATTTGAAAATGGTACACTTCCAAGGTAAATTCACTGCCGCCCACCCTTTGTAAAATTTCCTTTCATTTTTTTAATACAATTCAAGTTCCTTTGTAAACACCGGTTGATGTTTCATCTATTACCCAATATCAATTTATTGTATAGTATAATAAAAACTTCGAAAAAGTTTTCCACAACGATCAATAGTTTGTCACCCGGCCCACCTTAAGCTTAAATTTGAACTACGTGTACCTCGCACTCTTCTAAAACATTTTACTTCCTGTTCTGATTACTGATAAAAAAATACCAAATGAAAATAAAATCAATAGTTTTGTACCAGTACCTTTTGTTTCTTGCCTTCTTCCGGCGTCGAGAGTTGGCAGCCATTTTATCTCTCTGTGTTCCCCTTGGAGTTGGTTTTCCGCTTGATTCAATCCTAAGCTGCTTTACATTGTGTAAAACAACCCCAACTTCTTGCATTGTAGAATTGCTTTTTGTGCTCTACAAATAATAAAATCAAAGACGAAAACCAAAACAAACAAAAGGGAACTTGAGCAAAACTGTAAAAACTTGCATACGTTGTCAAAAAAATTCAGGCGACCGATTGAAGAAGGGTAAGCACTGTACTTACAAGCATCGAGGGAAATCCAAATCTACGTCAATATCCGAAACGTTTCGAAAATACTTGTAGGGAGGTTTCCGAGCTGAGGAGAATGATCAAGAGTCAAAAATACTGATGTATCAACAATGAAAACTCTCACTCCAAGGTCCTCGAATGACGACGCAGAATGTTCGATTAACTTCAAGAAGGAAACGTGACATAAACACAGCCTTGTTGAAACTGTCAGTCATGTTTTTATATGATGCAAGGCGGTGCTAACCGGAAATTTTGCCAAAATATTTGTGAGGATTAACCGGAAGTAAATTGTAAGCGCGGTTACAAAGCTCTAAACTGTTTTGCCCGCGTCGGACACGATAGCCGTTGTTGGAAAGAAAATTTGCTTTCAAGTTTAAGCTTTTTCCCTCGTTTGTTATGCCACAGAATGACGGTAAGGTAATCGTGGCAACAAAGGTGAGAATTACTATGTCCTGAGTGGTTTCAATATAAATTGTTTTCTTCTTGCCTTCAGTCTAGCGAGTCCTCCATTTCTGCCACCGCGTCATATGTCGAGAACTACTTGGAATGTAAGTAAAAAATGTTACCCTTTTATGTTTTCATTTAAAGAATTTTTATCCACTGGGAAAAAACATATTCCTTATATTCATTAGATTTACTTGCAACTTCAGTTATGTAACCTTCCTTCAACAGATATGTACATCCTGTGTGAGTCGAAACTTGAAAAAGAGACTTCCGAAATATTTATGGCCGTCATTTAATATTCGTTCGTTCTCTGTTAAGCTAATAACCGAAAGATTATGCGTTAAGGCGAAAGTAAACAGAGGCTTTGACCTAAATAGCTTTCTCAAATCAGCACGCAATGTTCAAAATTCTCTTTCAAGTAGTTACTTTTGCATTTTGGGTATAGTAGGGTTTATTTCTGTGCCTCTGAAAATTCATGCCCGATTTCCTAATCTCACCACGGCCATTATATCCACGAAATTCGCAAGTCTCCTGCTAGTAAACCTGGCTTACACCAACGTCAAGATGCCTTATTTCTTGTGATGGATTGACGATTTTTGCGAGAGGTACTGATCGAGCGATCTCGAGAAAATTCAAGCCTTGCCTCAATCATGCTTTCAGTGTCATGTTACGGAAGGTAATGTGACAGACATTTCAACCTGTCACGCACTCTGTTATATTCGTGATCAGATTTACATGTAAGCACCTGGCGCCCAAATAAAGTTGTCGACGGTTGCTAAAAACATTAAAATTTGATCAATTAACATAGTTGCATGATATTTTATATCATGTTTGTTTTCTGGGTGGGTCGCAAAAAGTATGCACAAATCTTACCTCATTTTGTGTCTATTATATTTTTTTTTTTTTTTTTTTTGTCAAACTTCACGAAAGACTGCCCAGATCAACTGTCAGCTCCATAAAAAAAAATATCACAATGTTTCGTTGCAAATTAAATTCAGGGCTTTGCTTTAGCAGTGAGGTCCTTCTAGCAGGGGCTGGGGAGGGGGGTACATATGTCCCTAGTCTGAATTTCAAACACTACCGTTTCGTGTTTTGAATAATAGGCCTTGTCCTTGTTGGTGTTCAGCCCATCTTGATGCCGTTTGTCGCCATTTCATCTATTTTTATGTTGTTGTTACAAGGTCATGTCAATTGTCGTAATTTTACCCTCAGCCGCGCCTGGTTTCCTGGTGCCCCACTTTTGCTATTGGGCGATAACAATATCTTAGTTTTCTTCACAAAAATCCTATGTTGGGCACCCTGGGTGAGACAGTTTTAGAGAACTGGGCTCTCTTCAATTTTTCTTAGAACAGAGCCTTGAAATTTCATGTTTTTCATTTTCTTATTTCCTGAAATACCGTGTAGTAAAATACATATTAAAAATGTTTTCTTAAATCAAAACCTTATGCCGTTGTTTTAAATGGTAAATGTTCTGCTGAATGAAAACAGATTTGTGATATAGAAACAAATGATTGCAATAATTTTGTCTTCCACAATCCAATCCAATCTGGTTTAAACAGGTGTAGAATCCCTTCCTGATGATGTTCAAAGGAACATTTCTCAGATGCGAGAGTTGGATCTTCATTACCAGGGTGAGAAGAAGTATTTACCCTTTTAGTCCCAGTATCCACATGCAAATTCTCCAAACTGATCTCCATACGTTTCCATAAAGAATAAGTTGAGGGAATTTGTTCAAACATCATTTTATTTATTCTCATAATTTCTCTTTTAATTATGTATGGATATTGTTAGGAGAAAATTGATGTTGGTCACTCTTAGGACTTAAGACCAGGCCCTAGTTGTTCAAGAGGTGGATAGCATTACTGTTGTATCTGTTACAGGTCAAAATTAAAATCGGGTTATGATTTTTTGACCTAGGTTGATTCAAAGTTCCTTTGTCTATGCATTAGGGCTAGGAGACAAAGGAAATTGAGAATTATCCTAGGTTAAAAAAATTCAACCTGAATGTAATATTTTGACCTGTAACATATTAACTGGATAGATCTTTATCCAGTGAATATAGTGCAACTGGTTCCCTTGATACTTATCCATTGAAGAGTGATTCATCCGGTGGATTGCACCATTTCAGCTTTTGAACAACTATTTTATTTCTGTTTGAAACAGGCACAGAAGTGTCAGTTTGCAACAGTTGTAAGCCTGATCTTAGCGATTTATTTTCTTGAAAAGAAACTGGGAGTTTGAGATTTTTAAGGCAAAGCTGTTTGAATGTACTTTTTTCTTACAGAGAGGTTAATACTAAGTCATTTATTTGTCAAAGGGAAAAGTGAATGTTAAAATTGTTTTACTAGTGCATGGTATTAAGGTACAATAATAAAAAAGATTTAAAAAATTTAATCAAGTTGGTTGCATGTACAAATAATAGCAATAGTAGTGAGCCTGATCATAGCAATTTATATCTCTCTGAAAAAAGGAACTTGAGATTTTTACAGCAAAACTGTTTAAATGTACTTTTTTTTCTCGCAGAGAGGTTAAAAGAACTTGAAAGGCTGGTCAATAATTTCTTCAAAGAAAAGGACAGCACAGCCAGGCGAAAATACTTGATTCAGATACAAAGAAAACTTGTTAAAAGCCAGGAATATGGAGATGACAAGTTACAACTTGTTGGAAATATGATTGATCTGGTGAGAGCAGTATGACATTTATATGTATGAAGTGGTTGCCTACGTAAGAATTCCAAGCAGCCCACAAAACATCTTTAACTTGAGGTTAAAATATACACTTCAATGTGTAAGATCCAAACTTAAGTCTTCAAGATCATTTCATGGTCAGATTAGTGCTGTCCACTTGGTCTGGGCTATAGTTGAGACAAACTGACTAGTAAGATCTGCAAGCTGCCCAACTGGGGAGCAGTTTTGCCCTTTGTCAGAGAAATTTACTCTTAACCTAATTTTGGGCTGGCCTTTCAGAGTTCCAGGACAGTAAAATCAAGCAATATTTTGTCCTTTGAGCAAACTCATTTTGCTATTTTTGCCTTACCCAGTTGGATAAATATGAGCTTCTCTGTGGAAACAGCCCCATTTATAAATACCACAATTTTTTTTTTTTTAAAAAAATAGCTATGTTAATTAAGTAATCCTCAACTTATGATTACTTTTTTTTTTTTTATCCGGTAGGTTGATATTCGCACTCGGCAGATTGAAATGGACGTGGAAAACCTTGACACAGGCAGGAATGAGGATCTCCCTCCACTCTTGAAACAGGAAGCCCAGCCAGGTACCAACTATAATAACTAAAATCAACATCCTCTTTGTGTACACTTTATACCCTAAGTTCAGTTGTCGATGCATTAAAATTGTGTTTGTTTGCTTGTTACTTTGTTTAGTCATACTGGAAGAACACCATGCAAAGCCCACAGAGAAAAAACGTAAGCTAATCTATTCTTTGATATTGACTTAATTATGTCATGTGATTCTTCACCTCATTATGCTAGTGGCCATCCAAAAGGGATATAGATGATGATAATGCTTTTGTCTGATTAAAAAATCTTGTCCCTGTTAACCAATCAATATTTATTAATAATAATCATAATAGTAATTATAAACAACGATGATAATAATAATTAATAACAGGGACAAGAACAAGAAGACAACAACTGCAACAAAGTGAACTTGATTTACTCCACAGTTTCTGGGGAATAACTTTATTCCTTGCCATCTCCTGTCCTTTTTTTTTTACAATATTAGTCATAGTCTGATAATATTCTGCTCTTCAGGAAACAGAAGACAGCGTAACCATGACAAACATGAACATGATTCTGAAGGGAGGGGTGGGTCAGGTGGTGCCGGTGGGTCAGATGTCATCAAACCTGTTAAAAAGAAAGCAAAGACCAGTAGAAAGTGAGTATGAAAAGATTAAGGTCAGGAGCCAGTTGTTGAAAAGGTGGATAACACTATCCACTGGATAAATCTCTATCTAGGGGATAAAGCTATAGTTTGTCCAAATACTTATCTCCTGGATAGTGAGTTATCCGGTGGAAAAAACTGTTCAACTTTTGAACGACCAGGGTCAGGACTTTGAGGACAAAATAAGGTAGTAAGCGTGTCTAGCACATTCAAACCTCCATGTGCAACTACCTCTCATAAGTTTCAACCTCCCATAAGTGACTAGTCATTCAAAACACCAAAATTTTCCCAGTTTAGGTTTGTAGTCCGCATGTGTATGTATGCTAGATGATAATATTGTTCTTTGGAATATATGAAATAAAAAAAATTTTTCCCTTTCAAATCGCTATCGGTGAAGCCTCTCGCAAACAAACACCTTTTGTGAGTGACCCTGACCGCTATTTTGAGGAAACACTTTTCACATTTTCCTTTGTTATTTAACCTATTGTAAGTGACCATTTGACACATGGTGTGATCTTTATAATCACTGTATGTACTAGACTTCTCGTGGCATACAAAAAACTTTTAAACAACATGGAGCTTAGCATACTTAGAAACTGAATGTAGTAAATTCTCCTTTGAAAACTATATGCGTCAGGACCTTTTCTCAGAAAACACCCCCTATGGATTGATTCTCACAAGTGTCACTTCCTGTAAGCGACCACCGTTTCTTTGTAGAAGTAATGGCAGTGTTCTTTTTTCTCTGACTTCTGCTGTGTTTTCTCTGTAAATTAGGGGCAAGTCAAAGAACCAAGGATCACCTACACCTGAGTTTCCAATTGATCCAAATGAACCAACGTACTGTCTTTGTAATCAGGTATGCTGCCATTAATGTTAATATCATTTCAACTTAAAATAGAATTTATTTTAAGTTAAAATGATATACCCCCACCCCCTATTTAATATTTTATTTTACTGCATGACTTCTCTATTTTCTTAACAGTATATCCACTTGTTCCCCACTATAATTTTTACTTTGATTTCTCTTTTCAGGTTTCATTTGGAGAAATGATTGGATGCGACAATGAAGAGGTATGTACAATTACACTGGCAAGCACTCCATATGTATACATTTGTCTTTCATTCATTTCAAGAGTCATTTCTAAAACTTACATTTCCACCACAAAGATAATTTGCTATGTAATTATTTGTTATCATATCAAGACATCAGCTCCACTTTGTTTCTGTTAATTTTAGTGACCAAATGTTGGAAGCTTTTTTGACTCCAACCGTAAACTCTTCAACCAGTGTCCCTTTTTTTAGTATTTAGATGATTAAGATAAAAGTTAAGTGTTTTGATAAATGTATCACACATTTTTTTTCTCCACAGTGCCCCATCGAATGGTTTCACTTTCAGTGTGTGGGACTCACTAACAAACCAAAGGGAAAATGGTAAGTTATCTGTTGTTAAAAAGAAAATCTCCATATTGTTTTTAGCCTGCGCATGCGAGCAAGTTCTCCATTTGAGGAGTCACGTGCAGTCACGTGAGAGCTGCACGCGAAAGGAGACACACATTTGCTGGAGGCTTGCTTCGCTTGCCATAGTTGGAGAGCTTGCTCATAGGCTTTATTGATTTAAAAATGTGCGAAAAAGTAGCGTCTTTCCTTTATTTTTTATAAAGTTTAAAATTTTGGCAGTTTCTGCCATCATTTATACCGAGCGCTGGGAAAAAACGGGTCCGGGCATAGTTTTGACGTCATTGGAGGATATTAATTTCACGTGAGCGACACAAACTGCTGTGGAACCATGCGCGATGCCTGCGTTATTTTCAGTTATGACAATACAGCCGATCCTAAAAGAGGTATCGGGCCCCTAAAGATTCCATGCTGGGGTGATATTGGTGCTGAATTTATCAAGCGAAGAAGGATTTACCTCACATAAAACACTTTCCCCTTTTTAATTTCTCGCTTCACGGCCTTACGCTTATGAGTGCGCGGGAACGCGGGAATGGTCTCCTTCAGTGACGTCACAACATCGTCGTACCCAGCTCCAACAAATGTTCGGTAATGGGATACAAGAGCCAAGCAGCCATGGAATAAAATGAAATGTATGTGGGATGTAAAGAAGATACATGTTACTGTTAGAGCTTCAAAGTTAATATAAAGTCATTTTCTATCCACCAGGTACTGTCCAAAATGTACAAATGAACGCAAGAGGGAGCGAAATGGCCTCAGATAACATTCTTTGCCTCAAATGGAGAACTTTTATACTGATCACATCTTTTCATAAAGACGTGACCAACATGTATTATGTAATTTACAATCTGTTCTGAAATAGAATAGGTTCTTTATTTTTAATAGTTAATAACATATTCTTCCTAAAAGTTGATAATTTGTTGGACAAATACTTCCTTGGTCTCCAAAAATTAACATCTCGTAAGTACAGTTGTGAAAATGGGACAGCCATTTGTCAAGAAACAAATAATTTCACCATCAAAGATCACGATACGTTTAATGAGAGTAAATTGTCAACTTTCTTGTCAATTTTTATCCCTTAATTCGGCATTACTGTAAATGTAATCTTTGTTTGTGTGGTATTTTCTTTAATGTTGCTGAAGTATTTTTCTTGTATTGGTCAGTTCGTAAAGCCAAGTCCTGTTCAAACTTGATGCCTAAGCACTAGATCTTGCAAATCAGAAAAAGATTGTGTTGTGTTCAGACTATAGGTAACGATACTGTACAGTACACAATTGCTCCGTTTTGCGATGCCAGATGGCATTTCGAAATGCGAAAACTGTGAATAAGGTTTCTCGGAACCGACGGTGAACTCGTAGCACAAGCAATCGGTGCTTTGTGCCTGAATACAAGGTCTTTACCTTGTAACCTAGTACAGATCAGCACCCACGTCTGGTCTGAGTACTTGAACAGTAGGGCCATTTATACGAGGAAAAATAAGACGCGTCTTAAATAAGACGCGAACTGTACCATTTATACGAGCATGTCTTATTTTAGACGAAATGTGCCGTTTATACGGAAAGTTCGCGTCTTATTTAAGACGCGTCTTATGTTTCCTGGTATAAATGGCCCTAGTACGTTTACATTAGTCTCAGCCAGGATCGTTCGCTAGCAGCATGCTCAGGCACCAAGCGTGAACTTGACCTAGATTCAGGTTAAGTAAAGATTTTATTTTAGCCTTGGTGGTAATCTCCTCAGTAGTATTTATTGTACATTATAGTTTCAGCCTACCCTGAAAGGAAACAATTTTATGGTAGAATAAACAATCAATGTAGTCGGATTGTTGACTCTTCATTTGAATTATCTACAGGCAAGGCGGAGCAGGCTCTGCAGATTAAATGAATCTTTTGACAAAATTTTTACGTTCCCTTACAGTTTATATGAATATTATTAACTTTTATGAAACAGCTCTGTTCTGTTAGACCTTAGATTAAGACCCGCGATCAGAAGTTTTCAACGCGTCAGAGCGTGTTCTAGTGATGCGTTTGTTTTCGTATTTGTTTCTTTAGGATTTCGTTTTTTTATTATTATTATATTTTTTGAGGTTAAAGATAGTTTCGTATTGAGATATATAGAAAAATCCTTGTGTTAATTTGTTTCTTTTGCATCTTATAATTGTCTAAAGTTGGAAAGATTCGTTAAAAACAACTTCTGAAATTGCAAATCTCTTGTTTTGTTGTGGTTTTGCCTGGACTTACTTAATTGGGTCTAATTACCTCAGTTTTTTGGTGTTGTTGAATAAAAAAGTCAAAAATTAGAGTCAATTAACTATAATTAAGAGTTTTTCGTAATGTGTGCACAAAATTTCTTTTCGTTAGAATTAGCCGTTGATGTCCCACCAAAGTAAATGATGTAAAGACATTCAATAAATGAAGTTTCTCTCCTAATCAAGTTCAATAACGTTTTGTTTTCTTTGCTAGAACGTTATTCAAGGAAGCATAGTTTGTTTTTAGCTCTTTTATTAATCAATTGGAACAACCTATGTCGATCAATTAACAATTCCATCGTAAGTTCAACTAGTTTTGTTGACATCTTTTTTGAGAGAAACAAGGTGCTTCGAAGGAGACACCTTAACATTTTTCTGTCATAATGGCCTAGCGTCTTAATTATCCTAATTTAGAAGGACCAAGAAACATTATTCTCATGGTCTTAGCATTAAAAGAAGGTGTGAAGCCCTTAGCACTTACATCACTTAACAACTTTGATGACGAGCTGTCTGAAAATGTCTTTTGTTAACTTAAATTGTCTGTATTTCTTGCGTGTAGGTAACTAACTGGCAGATTTTTTTCAGACGGAATTAGCGCGCTTTTTCATTTAAGCAGCTCAAGATATTTGTTTTAAAATCAAGTGGTAAGTTCAACTGATTTTACCATGTGTTTGAAGAGCAGATAAAAGTCAGTTTACTCGGCAAATTTATATTTCTTTATTTTTTGGTCTTTAAAAATCTGCAAGTGCGGTAAAAATGCATGTAGAGGGGTACCTTGAATGATTGCCTGTTTCTAGATCAGCCAGTAATTAAAAGCCATTGCAAACTAGAACGTTCTTCGCCAAAATATGAACTAAGTTATCCAGGTAAAACGGAAATCTGTTCATCAGTTCCTTTTTAGTACTATCTAAGGTTATGTGAGTGCAAAAATGCGTGGTGACCCTTCTTTGTTGATGAAAACAATCTCTGCTTAGTAAATTCCACTTTTTCTGTATGAGTTAAACCTTGAAACGCTGCAAGAACGTTAAACGGGATTGTGCCACTGTTGTTCCAAGTTTTTGTAATCCATTGTATCGCCCCATACAAGGAAATCCAGGACCGTTTTGGATTCTGGATTCTACGCCGTGGATTGTGGATTTTAGGTACTAGATGAGACTTGGACTCCAGATTCCTTGAGTTCAATTCCGTATTCCAAAGCCCAGGGTTCCAGATTCCACAAGCACAAATTTCCAGGTTTCCAGAATCCGAACACAGGGCGAACCCAACGTCAGGTGATGTTTCAATGTACCACCAGGGTAATGAAAGAGAAGCTGATTCTTTCATTGTTCCTCCGGAGCCTGCATTGGATATGCGCAGTTCCTGTTTCAAGGTATTCGGGTAAGTGAAAAAAATATATTTGTTGTCGTTAATATTATGTAAAGATTGTGAGTATTAAAAATATCTTTTTACATACATAAAACATGCTAGCTATATAGGGCCTGGAAAGGGGTGTCCTTATCGCACATTTCCCGCTCCTTTTACACGAGGATAACGCGTCTCGAACTTCCATCAGTGATGACTCAATATCTTTCTTCCCAATCCCGTATCCTGTGCAATTCTGCTTCCTGGGTAGCAGTCAAATCCGGTATCCCGTTAACGTTTCTTGAATCCCGCACGATCCCGCACTGTTTTTTGGTCAAATCCCCGATCCAGGAAATACCCTTCCAAATCCGGGCATTTGCTCATTTAACTTTTTTTTTTATTGGCGTTTTTCTTGCTGTTTCCGTAAATGATAAAAAATGTAATGGTGTCTTTAGAATGTCAAGAAGCACTTGGCGTTGAAAATGGCCAAATTCCTGACAGAAAAATAAGTGCTTCGTCTCAGTGGGATGCCAATCACGCTTCAGAGCAGGGGAGGCTACATTTTCAGGCATCAGGAAGCAAAGTCGGAGCTTGGTGCGCCGGTCGAAATGATGATAATCAATGGCTCCAGGTGGATTTAGGCTCTCAGTTTACTCGAATCACAGGTGTAGCATCACAAGGAAGAAATGGGGCACATCGACAGTGGGTCACGAAATATAAACTGTTGTACAGTAATGATGGAATAAACTTTACGTTTTACAGAGAAAAAGAGCAAATGACGGAAAAGGTAAAATAAACAATTTAGTGTCTTCTATCATGCCTCAATCATATTAACTCTTATGCCCACATTGGAAAGGATAATTAAACTGAGTGGAGCGCATGGCTCGCGTTCGATTTGAAGCCACAAATTTGACTTCAGACCAATCTTGCACGACACAAAGTTCCATCCAGTAGAACTGTATTATCCATTTTGAAATCGCACAATTTGAGCGCCCAGCCAATAGGATTTTAGTCAGTATGTACATTTTATTGATCTTGGGGGCGGATTTAAAAAAAAGTGAAACCGGAAATGTTTTTACATATCCTGATTTTTGTCCGTGTGCTAACAAAAATAATGCGATTTAGAGCAACAAGACGTTATTTAGCACTGAAATGATGCTATGTAGGACAGATACGCATCGGAGCTGATTTTTTGGGGGCGACCAGAGTAGTCCGCAGTCCTAATCTCCAGCTTGTTATTACGCATGTGCGGCATGTATGTGACCAGCAGTTTAGCAGTCGTTTGTACTGCTACGTAGAATGAATGAATGCGCAGAAAGCAACCTGATTATCTGGAGGGCGTTACACCATCTATCACTCATAATCTGACCACTAGGGTTTTGATCATATAGTCGCGAAGACTCGTACGCGATTACGCAGTGATCAGTGTTAGAGTAAAAGCATTTTGACCTTCGATCGATCTCGCCCGCACCCCCTGAACTTTAGTTCGTTTTTTATTTTATTTATTTAGTTATCTATTTAATTATTTCGAATTTGGTTTGGTTTTGTATTCTTGCCCGTTCGCAACTTTCTCAACCAGACACTTCCCGCGTAATTTTCCCGCCATTTTGACGCGGCTACACATGTTTTTTTTTTTTAATCTGATTTCTTCATCTGAATATCGTCGCTCGTCATGATAGGCAGGAGAAACACGGAGTGCACGTTCTTTTTTCGACATTTAATCTGTTGTTTCACTTATTTTTAGCTTTTTCCTGGTAACATAGATGAGGACACTGTTGTGTATCATGGGCTCAATCCCCCAATTAGGACGCGCTACATTCGGTTTCAACCAGTGACTTGGAATAAGCACATAAGTATGAGGATTGAGATATATGGTTGTCGAGGTATCAAGTAATAGTTTTGTACATTAATATTACAAGTCTTAGTTTTTAAAGAGTACTAATATTCAAACTTCATGTGCTTTGCGAAAACCTGAAAGTTCATTGGCCTTTGGGAGGGAGTGTATTCATGGCGGATAACGCAAGTAATTCCTTCGTAATTCCCCATTTTAATTAAGAACATTGCAGTGTATTTTGTTTAAACGACGTATTGTTTTTCTTTTGAGTGAGTTTTCATTTTGTAATGTTGCCATTTGAACAAAGAAATACGCTTATTTTGTAGTTGCTGTTTTTTTTTTTCAAGTTCCGAGTTTACAGAGCGCTCTCTTTATATATCAGAAAAGTTAGTCTTCTAGTTCGTGATTTATTGTCCAGAGAAATTCACTCACTGCACTCGCTTCATTTAGAGCTCGGAATTCTTCATAATGCATCGGGCAATTCTACAACTAGCGCGTCAGAAATCACTCAGATTTCAGATTTTTATTTTTTGCATTATCTCAAGAGGTTACTAAAAAACTTACAATACATTACAAGAGAGAAGGAAAAAATAAAACAACAAATTACATAAATCATCAAAGGTTAAATGTGCGCAGTGACCAAAGGAACTTAGGCTTTCGAGTTGGTTACGGCCACGTGCAACTAACTGGAGTGGATATTTACATAAAACTACCAGTGACGTATAGCGAAAAAAGGAAAATTAAAAGTGCATACGTACCCATCAGATACGACAATATGAACTTGGTTTAAAATAGAACCGTTGCAATAGAAAATCTTCATTCATTTTTATTCTTTCGTAGTCGGTTTCCAGTGGAATTTCGAGTCATCCAGTGGTACAAATTTCCTGGATGAGTCAAATAACACCCAGACGTACGCCATAGGGAGTGGTTTGTACGTAGGAGCTGATACTCTTCATGTAACGGAGTCTGGTCATCTTAAAATCGAGAAGAGGGAAACGGACTTTGATAACAGTGGAGACGAACTAGGCGTCTCTTTGTGGATAAAGCATAAAGGTAACCTTACTATCTTCAGATTCCTTTTAAAGAGTTAAAATACATTAAGCAAATCGGGAATGAACCGTAAAAGAATCATTATTAGACGTCAGACATAGGAAAGTGTGTTGATAAACAAGGCGTGACCAAGCTTTTTAACAGACAAGGGTGTCTGAATATTGCGTTACATTCCTACTCCTGTGTGATTGTATCACTGTGTTTATATACCGGACGGAACACTCTTTCTTGTCCTACACTTTTCAGTGTTTAAGTGTCATATGAAACACTCCTCCTGTTTTGGTATCATTTCTCGGTGTTTGTATACCGGATACTCCTTCTAGTGTTTGTTGTAACACCTCTCTGTGTTTGAATATCAGATGAAACACTCTTTCTCGTGTTTGATATATATTACTACTCGGTGTTTTGATTTTGTATGAAAACTCCTGCTCATGTTTGATATATGTAATTTCGCTTAAACACTGCTTTTTCTTGTTTGATATGACTTCTTAACTGATCCCAAAGGCGTATATGAATGATCGGTGTAAATATGGCAATCACGGCCACCTTTTTTCGAGTTTACTAAGTAACTTAACCGCCACCTTGGTAACTCTGCTGATAATGATCACTGTGCAGGGGAGATTCTGATGCATTTCGAAATTTGTCATGTGGTATTCTGTTTATACCTCAGGTCATGTAACCGTCGCAGTAAAATCTGATGGAGGAACAAGCGACAATACGTCTTACATCACAGTGAATGGCATAGACTACAGTCCTCACAGTGCTGGAATCAACTTTGTGGTTATCGATTACGATACAGGTAAGACCACAGAGCTCGACGAAATTATTCAACAATATAAAGTAGAAAATTTTCACACTGTTCAGTCTGCCCGTAATTGGCAGAGGTTAATCTAGGGGGTACAGTCTTACCTTTCATTATACCTCTTGATGTATCGTGTAAGAGCTATTGTAAATGCCTTTTAAGGCTGGTAGAATTAATGTAAGGAAGGCTTATGAATCATTTCTCCTCAGGAGACGTTAAGTTTACCAGGGCCTTTGAAGTGAGTGACTCAGTGCGGCAAGTCGAGGAGTTTACCAGTATAATACTGGAACGCTCCGTTGTATTAATAACGATGAACGCTTCAGCGGTACGAGCCTCCTCTCTAGTGAATATTACATCACATCTTGTACGTGATCTCGGAGGAAACGTAGAAATAGACTCGCGGTGGTATTGTTTGATTGGTTTTTACGGTCTGGGAACGTTTCCATGGATACGCGAGCAGCAAAGTCCGAACGAAGACTCTTGTAACATTTCCAGTGTCATCAGGTTGCCAGGTAAGTTTTAGTGATTTAAGACCCTGGGTACAAAAGAACATGCACGTATGCGTTTATGGGTTTTATGGGTTGTTCTGTAGCACTTTGTAATACCTGTCGCACTTTGTTATAACAAACCATCGCACTTTGTAATAAAATAAGCTGTTGCACTTTGTAATAAACTTTAAATGGATGGTCGAAGGCCAAGTACATTGATGGGCTCCTGACCGGGTATATTTCAGGCAAGTAAGTGCTTGAAAATTGAAAATACACTGATAGACAGTAATAAACAGGTCTTCTTCTCACTGGAATTTGTGAATGTATTTACTTCAGTTGGATAGCAAACTCGAAACGGGACTATTCATTTTCTCAAGGAAGGTTCTGCCCTTACCCTTAGAGTTTTGCAAAGTGAGATTTTTCAGGAACTCGGAAATGGCCTATTTTAGCCTGTTTACATCTGCCCCCTCCCCTCAGAAAAATCGGATTTTTTTTGAGGGGAGAGGGTTGCTGTACACCGGCTTAGTTATTGTGTGTGCTTTACTTCCCGACGCAAAACCACAAGTTATACATAAAAAACTAACCCATTTATTGTCAAATTAAGTATGTTCCATACCACTGGGGATGCAAAGCGGAGAAATTGCTGATTCCCAGCTATCTGCCAGCAATTATTCAGTAAATTTTGAACCTTGGCATGGACGCTTAAACCGGTGGACTGGAGCCTGGTGCTCGACAGAAGAAACACTTAATCAGTTCTTGCAAATCGATTTAAGAGACATTAAAACGGTGACACACATAGCCACTCAAGGATATTTTGAAGGGGCATGGGTGAAGTCATATTCTTTGGAGTACAGCGCTGATGGTGAGCAATGGTTGGAATACAAAGAGGCAGGAGGACATAAAAGAGTACGAACAACAATATTGTTCTTTTTTATTCTTATGTTTCACCGAATGAACTTTAATTACGGCAATTTTTCTGACTTTTTTCGGTATTCAGATACACCTTCTTCCATAAATTGGCGGCAAATTTTGATATTCTTTTGTCTTTATGATAATTGGCTCTTCACCCCTCGTTTCATAAGTAATACTTTTTTAGAATTCTGTAGGCGCAATCGATAAAAAAGTGGCCAACAAAAATATAAAAGAAAAGTAATATTGTCCCCATTTTATGATTAGATGTATTCATTTTCAAGAGCTTGTTAACACGTTTGTCACGTGATCAAAAGGTGTGATCACGTGACTCAATACCGTGTCCGCTGTAATTCCTACGATCTCATTTGATTAAAGAACTCCAATTCGTACCAATCAACAGATTCATCAACTAGCACCCCAACGTACCCCCAGCCCATCAATATCCTTCGTTGACCTTCCTTATATCAGTCGCTTTGAAAATAGTAGTAGTGCAGCGAGCAACGAATTAGCCCACTCAGGATAACAGCTTTGTTGTCGCAAAGGCAAACTTAAGCTTGGTATCTAATCTTGCCAGGCCTGTTCGAGCTAGAATTTTTATATTGATATCCTTCTTATATTCCGACCCGAAGACGGCCTTTTTAAATCTTTCACATTGTTTGTAACGCCTTGAACTGTATGGCTAAATTAGATATTTTCGGTTCATTCCGTTTTTCCTTCAAGTTTTAAATATTGACTTACAATGTTGAGCATCCAGTTCCAGTTTAATCCTCCAATCGGCAGGCTTGTCACCACGTAGTTGCATTGGCGAATACGCGTTCAACCAATACTTATGGTATTTGTGGTTGGGGAAATTGTGCCTTGACATTTCAACGAAAGATCGTAACTCTACAAAAACGGGCCTTACGTCTCATTTACTTCAGTAAGTCTAAGGAACACGCCGTACCCTTCTTTCTCAAATCAAATTGCCTTCCCCTGCCTAGCATATTTTTCAGAGATTGTAGCTATTTATTGTATGATATCAACAGACAGACAGCACCAGTTAGTATTCTCAATCAGTTCGTTAAAACAAGTCAGATTCATAACTACAGAACAAGATCTGTCTCTAGCGACTCGTTTTATGTTAAGTTCTCTAGAACCGATAAAATGTATGCCTTTTTCACGAGAATCGGTGCCCAAATTTGGAACTCTATTCCGTATTCGATTAAAATACTTAAACGTTCGTCCTTTCGTAAAAAAATAAAGGAATTATTACTAAATTTTTTGCGGTCAGAAGATGATTATGTCGAAGTCTCCCGTCTTATTAAGTTATTTAATACTTTAGTTAACCTCTCTTCGTAATCGTTATGTACATGCCTTGTTTTTTGTTTTTTGTTTTATGTTAGTTTAAACTCTATTTACTGTATTGTAGTGTCTTCACTGTTATTTAGTCCATCTATATATAATTCTTGTTTTGTAATATGTCTTCAGCTCCCCCCGCCTCGATTAGTTCATAAGCTATTTGCGGGTGGGAAAGTAATGTAATTAGTTATTTTCCAATTTTCAATAAAATTTGTTGTTGTTTGTTGTTTTTTGTTGCAAGTTGAAAAAAACTCATCTTCTTCGACATTTCCTTTTTTCCAGATATTTGCAGGTAATAGCGATTCCACCTCTGTAATTCGACAACGTCTGCTTCATCCCATACATACTCGCTTCTTGCGTCTAACAATTTTGACAGCTCATCGTTTATCAAACAATCACGCTTGTTTAAGAATGGAGATCTATGGGTGCAGCAAAGGTAAAAGTCATATTTATTTTATTCTCCTTCTGGTAGCCTGTGTACAGACGTCCCCCCTCCCTCAGAAAAAATCGATTTTTTCTGAGGGAGGGGGGACGTCTATACACAGGCTACCTTGTGGGGATGTCTTTACATTGTTTAACACTACGAACCACTAAAGATTGCCAGAAACTGGATGACTAAAGATCATGCCTTCAAAGCTTGTCATTTTTTCTGATGTTTATTTATCTCATTAATAAAAACTGCTAAGCTACCCTAAGCCAAAATATTTAACATCGAAGGATAAGGTAGCCTTCCATGAAGATGATCTTAGGGCTTGCTAGTCTATACAGAATATACACCTCATGTTTTCAACTTGGTTAAAAAAACCGCTTGCAAAGGATTATGAAATAGAAAAAAAATTGAAATATTTTCAGGGAGGACTTCACTTTTCTGGGAGAACTGCACAAAACAGCTGTAAAATGGGTTTTGCGCGACGAATTTGTCGAGAATTCAAGAACTTGTCAATCGGAGGGTCTGAAGCGATTGTGAAAACGCACACGTCCCACGTTTGTCTGAGGTTCCTCACTTAATTTTCGCGGCGGTGCGTTTTATTTCAACAGCCGTTGTGAAAAAGAAACTGACTGAAAATTAGAACCTGATAATGTCTCCTTACAGAAACTACACAAATAGACGAAGGAGCTCCTAGATTTGGATTAATTGGCCCGACAGAAATGATCACTTGGCCTGGAGCAAATGTCTCAATACGTGGTGAGAAAATGATTTTCGTCCCTAAGAGCAAGTTCTATTTCGTCAAGTAAATGGAAAACCTTACCCTGGGTACCAGAGGTTTTTTCTCGCGTGCGACGGGGAGCTTCGTTTTGTCGGCCGCAGGCCGACACGTGTTCGGCTGAAGGCCGAAGACTTGACCGAAACCGGAAACCGCGCATGAAAATCCTCTGGCACCCAGGGCAGGGAAACCTTAACACGGAAGCGAAAGGGTGTGCATCACGCCATTATTAAAATGGTTACATTTTTTTTTAAAATGTCTTACTTTGAAACTTGTTTACATAAATATGATTTCCAGTTATTCCCAAACTTTTCTTACCATGGTTTTAGAACAAAAGGCCCCCCCACAAAACTGAGAAAATTTTTTACGAAACCGGGTCCATCTCTTGTTAACATTAAACATGAGAATTGCTTCTTTTTTACTGAGCAAAACTGTGTCGTGTTGAATTTGGTAAATTTGAATATTTTTATCGAAAAAGGCTAATTTAAAACAAATTGGTAACTCTCTTTAAACGTTCTGGAAAAGCTCTCCTCCAATTACGTCGATTCAAATAGGAAAGAGTTCCCTTAACCCAAAATTCTAATTCTCATTTGTTATCCCTATATGTTTTCAATAGAAGTAGTGGGGAGAACTTGTTGAAGTATCCATTAGATTCATCCAGTGTGATCATGTCCTCAATTCACATGACCACTCTGTTTTATAAAGCAGTGGTATTGAAAGGAGAAATTCGTTGCTCATCAGTCTTAGGGCTTAACGGGTTAACTCTGACCTCACGGCATTTCTGGGAGTCGAATATAACGTGGAATACACTTGATAGATAATTGTAATCATTTGCAATACTTTTGAAATTTTAGGTTTTTACCAATATTGTGAAAGTGCTTCAAATGTGCTGTTACGCCAGCCTTACGTAACCGTCTTTGGAGAGTGCAGATGCTTAGCACCTTCGGTCACACCAAACTGCCAGAGCGTCACTTATTATGAAACTTATTTTGTTGCTTCTTTGAATCCAGGGACTTACTCAATCATGGTAGGTTGCTAACAGAACGCACTACTCCTTTCACATTTTATTCTTGGTGAACTTCAGTTTTATTTTTGGAGATAGCGTTTCTTCTTATCCAGTAGCTTATGGTTATATTTGTGTCATTTTTCACCGAATTCGCGTTCCAAATATCTGGTGCAAAACGTTCTCGTTTGGACTTCTATAGCAATTGCGTTCATTATTGTACTAGGAGTATTTTTATCCTGTTATACCAGGACTATGCCAAACGCCCAAGCGCAGAGGAGCTAGGAGGAACGACTGTATAGGTGGTTTTCACGTTACGTCATCGCCGCCATGCTGGTGGACGGTAGACAAAAGATCGCTCATTAGCTCGTTTTGTTTGTCCACCAGCCTTTGTTCATTTCACCATTGTTATTTGTGTCTCCCGAGATTGCATGAAAACCACCTATTCGCAGGCTATTTTACTATATTCGCGTTCAACGAAGCAGAACGCATTCTAATCTTGCACGCACAAGAATTCGTGAATTTGTGTGAAATGCCTTAGTAATGATAATGATAACTTTATTAGCATCTCAAATATTTAGCATTTTTAAGGGACATTTCAATAAAATTTTTTTCAGCCCTTCGGGCCCCAGTTTGGTCTAAAACTAAGGGAGGGTCCCTCCCCTGGATCAGCCATTGTGTACACACAGCCTAAAACGCGCCAACTGCGCATGCCTGTTATCTATTACTGAAGAGGTCTATTTTATTATAACCCGGTGTATTTCAGATGGGAGACAAAAACGATAAAAGCGGTTGTAGTGCCACAAGAATGAAGAACGCGATCAACTTGGGAACTATTCAAGTGAGACCACAAGGTGAGTGTCATGATACTCATAAATGTTCTTGAATTTTATGCCGGATTGTGAATGAAGCAAGTGGCGCTGGAGGAATCTTTGAAGAAGAAATAGGCAGTAAGGTCAACGAAAAGTGGAGGGGAGGTGGGCAAAATGATATTATGAAGCTTCCTATTATCTTCAGTTTGTAGTTTGGTTAGCAAGCACTTTCACTCCAATTTTGGCGCAATAACTCTATTCGAAAACCTTGCTACGCAGGCTATACAGATACTAGATCGACTATAAGCTGAAGTTCAAAAAAACCTAAGTTCGCAAGCCTTACATAATCATTTGTTACATCAGTCTAATCTGTCACTTCTCTATGAAATACTGGTCAGTAACAGGATAAAAAAGAGTTTTGGGATAAAACTGGCTTGAAATTTGAACGTCACATTTGCAGTACTCGGATCTACATCTTGTGTTATCATCGTTGTCGTTATCATCATCATGGTCATCATCATTATTACTATCACTCTCATCCTTATGGTTGACATACCCACCACCAAGACACCACCTTCATTAACACGTCATAGATTATCGTCAATGCCTGTATATTCGCATAGTTAACAATACCTTTGACTGTCAGTTTTTGTATCTGTTTTGAAAAGGAGCATACCCGAGACATTGTATGGAAGCGCAAAACTGGCAAGGATCACAGAGTCGTTCAGGAATTTTTACATTGAGCCTCGATCCTAGTGGGAACGACACATTTGACGTTTACTGCGACGAAGAATGGACAGTTGTTCAACGGCGCAAAGATGGTTCTGAAATCTTCGATCGTGGATTTGAGGATTATACGAATGGTTTTGGAGACCTTGCAGGAGAATTCTGGCTGGGTCTTCGAAAGCTTCATCTTCTTACTCAAACCCCATCAGTTCTCTTAATCGAACTACAGCTCCTTAATGGCAATAGAGTGTTTGCTATGTACAAGCTATTCCAAGTTAGGTTAACAGGACTCCAGAATGAAAATCGTTACCAGCTAATAGTTGGTAACTACGTTGGGACTGCAGGGGACGCTTTAGGCGACTTAAATGAAGTCTTTTTTTCAACACGTGATAGTGATAACGATGATGACGTAGTTCGTAACTGTGCAGGCACACTGGGATCAGGGTGGTGGTTTAAGAAATGTATCTCACAATATACAGTATCTGTAGATTTAAATGGGAACTATCCCAGTGGAATTCGCTGGCGTGTTGGGTCGACTTCTCATGCTATTACATCTGTGACCATGAAAATCAAACCTAAACAAGGTAATGATATTCTAAAGTTTTTTTTTCATTTATTATTCATTACTCATAGAGTATTTACGAGACTGCGCGATGCAGTTAATATTGTGTGTTCACTTGACATAATGTGACTGCACGATGCGGTAGTTATGTCAGCCCACAATTGACCTGCTCACCACTGAGTTCTCAGTAGCTCAGTGGTTAGAGCATCCCCCTAGTGTACGGAAGACCGTGGGTTCAATTCCCATCTGAAACTCAGAAGTTTTTTCTGTTTTCTTCTCTCCATACATATCATTTCATTTATTATTTAAAGTTTTATCGCCTAATTATTTCTAAAGTGCTGTAAACCCGGCGGGGGGGTCTGAACCAATATTTGAGTATGAGTGAACTGTCGTGGGTTTGAAACCCTGACCTTGTCTAAGAAAAAATCCTACAATACATACCTCGTTTAGGCACATACCCCTGTTAGGACAACGCCCTCAATTTAACAACCCTATTTTAACCATCGTTTTGGACTGTTTTAGCTGCACGTTTCCTATTTCATCAACTTGAATCTCACGTTTGCCGTTTGCCGCAAACGTCACTCCTTCAGGATTGACGAAAATGAAACTCAAAAATTTGACAATTTACCTGCTCTCAAATGTTAATTATAGTACAACACAAACTCAGGATTGACCAAAAAACAGTATACTAACTTTTGACAAAACAGACCTTTTGGCTTTCGTTTTGTGATTCAGACTCAAACTTTTAATTTTCTGGTTTCTAAGACATATTGTGCAGCGACGAAAAGTGTTATGGTTTATCTAGTCACGTTGCAAGTTGGAACGACTCTTTGACCCAAAGTCCAAATGGATTCAGGCCAGTGAAGATTACAAATAAGTACGAACAGGATGTTGTGTCCGGATTCGCTTCATCAAATCCTTGGATTGGTAAGATTGATCATTCAGGCCTTGGGAGATTGGGGATTGCTCACGAAATTCTTTAAAAGTGACCTTCAATTTCAAATCCATGTTCACCAGGACCGTTTTGATATTGCTCAGTTAATTTTTACTGGGTATTTGCCGCTGGCATCTCAGAACCCCTACCCCATTATAGTCTATTCTGTGGCCAAACATAGACCCCATCTTAGACACTTTTGGGAAACCGTAATTTTCACCGTCCCATCTTGGTTTTAAAAAAAAGATTGTTCATTCTACTTGTATTTCAAATCAATAGCTATTGGTTGCCAACTCTATTTCACAGAAATGAAGAAACGGATCACGATCATCACGTAATCGGGCATAAAACTCTGAGCATTCTGGTTTTCCTGAATGTTTAAAGTTGGGCAACGCGGTGGTCATCAGACAATTAATGTTTTCCATGTTCAGTTGGGGTGATTATGGAGTATTTGTTATGAGTTGTGAGTTGTTTGTCTTTGCTTCTTAATTCTTTTTTCCCTGTAGGATTGTCGACCAGAGACGTCCATCAATCCATATGGAGTGAAATCGGAGAAGCACTTGGTCTTTCCCATTCTGAGAAGTGTTTGCGCATGAGTGCCGAAGGTTACCGCTGGAACACAACACCATGTGACTCTCAGACGTTTTTTATTTTCGAAAAAGGTAACAACTTACGGTTGGTCCCAGCCCTGGTCAGGCTGCAAATCAAGGTCTTATAAGGTCATGCTTGTTGTGTTTTAGATATCGTCTCAGGTGGGAAAATCGCGTCTTTAAGCAGTGCATCAACCATTTGGCGTTGGCCCTTTCCTTCATTCTTCTTTTCTTTAGTCAATTCAGGAGGATTTAAAAAGACCCTTACTGCTGTTCGAAAAGTGTACAAGACGTATCCCAATGATGTACTAAGCTACCTCTGTTCGTACTTTCCGTATGAATTGGTTGGCTAGGTTATAGTGTCCCCTAAGCCAACATTAAACTTACTTCTCACTTAGGGCAAAATTTTGGCTTAGGGGAGGGGTACGTGGGCAGTTTCCCAGAAACCTAAACTGACCCGGAGAATCTATACTTTCTCTGTAGATAATGAAATGTCCCTGCTGGACCTCAGTTTTGGTGGAGGTGGATCTTCTAACACAAGCCTGTCTTTAGTGTATGACCAAAGTAGCTATTGTATTAGAATTAAAGTGGACACCTATTCCTTCAAGCTACGTTTGAACAGAACTACGTCATTCAACGAATGGACTCATGTAACAGTGTCCCTGAACAGATCCAACAGGGTACTGACATATGGCGAAAATGGGCTAACTATGTCACAGGTAATGATCTCGTTTAGTCCCAAGACTACTAGGTGTTTAAATTGGAGGATACTTTCCAGTTTTGTAAAGTACTTAAAAACAAATCGCACCATATGAAAAGAAGCGTTTATTTCAATGGCCACGCTATGGAATTTTGTCCAAAAGCTCAAGTTAGAACTATATAGCGCATATGTAAAGTTGACCATCGTCACTGCTGACATTATTATTATCACCACCATCGTTTTCACTATCGTCAACACCACCACCACCATCATCATTAACATCATCGTTGTAGACATATTAAATTCTGCAAGCAGAATACTGCAATGCTGATCGTACTACGTGAAAATTAACTCTGCAAGACATCAACACGACAGCCATAGACAGCTGTTTCGCCCTCTTTGAGGCTCGTCAGTATGGCGTAACAACCAGAGAAAGCTCTGATGAAAAATACCCGCGCACTCTGATTTAAGCCCTGACCTAGAACTCTCAACACCCACAGAACCACGCCATACCACGTGTGTTCTGGGGGGCATCATCACCTGCCATCATCATCATCATCATCATTAACATTTACACCTTATATAACTTTATATAACTTCGTCATCATCACCATCATTATCATCAACATCATTGTCATCATCATCATTAACATTTACCAGGAGCCCATCAAATTTGATGGGCTCCTGCATTTACATCTTATATAACTTTGTATAACTTCGTCACCATCACCACCGCCACCACCACCATCATCATCTGTCATCAACATCATCATCTGTCATCATCATCATTAACATTTACATCTTATATAACTCTGTATAACTTGGTCACCACCACCACCGCCACCACCACCATCATCATCTGTCATCATCATCATTAACATTTACATCTTATATAACTTCGTCACCACCACCATCATCATCATCATCAACATCATCATCTGTCATCATCATCATTAAAATTTACATCTTATATAACTTTATATAACTTCGTCACCACCACCACCGCCACCACCACCATCATCATCTGTCATCATCATCATTAACATTTACATCTTATATAACTCTGTATAACTTCGTCACCACCACCACCATCATCATCTGTCATCATCATCCATCATTTATCATCTTATATCATTGTCATCATCATCATCATCATCAACATCATTTCATCATCATCATTAGCCCATTTACATCTTATTAATGGGCCACCACCACCATCATCATCTGTCATCAACATCATCATCTGTCATCATCATCATTAACATTTACATCTTATATAACTTTGTATAACTTCGTCACCACCACCACCGCCACCACCACCATCATCATCTGTCATCATCATCATTAACATTTACATCTTATATAACTTCGTCACCACCACCACTGCCACCACCACCATCATCATCTGTCATCAACATCATCATCTGTCATCATCATCATTAACATTTACGTCTTATATAACTTCGTCACCACCACCATCATCATCATCAACATCATCATCTGTCATCATCATCATTAACATTTACATCTTATATAACTTTGTATAACTTCGTCACCACCACCACCGCCACCACCACCATCATCATCTGTCATCATCATTAACATTTACATCTTATATAACTTCGTCGCCACCACCACCGCCACCACCACCATCATCATCTGTCATCATCATCATTAACATTTACATCTTATATAACTTCGTCACCACCACCACCACCATCATCATCAACATCATCACCTGTCATCATCATCATTAACATTTACATCTTATATAACTTTATATGACTTCGTCACCACCACCACCACCACCACCACCACCATCATCATCATCAACATCATCATTGTCATCATCATCATTAACATTTACATCTTATATAACTTTATATAACTTCGTCACCGCCACCACCACCACCTTCATCATCAACATCATCATTGTCATCATCATCATTAACATTTACATCTTATATTACTTCAATTTACTTTTTAAGGTATTGCTGGAAACAGAAATCCCAGACTTGTCATGGAACAGTGTCGCTGTAGGAAGATCATATGATCCTGCTTTTAACACTGGATTCATGAAGTCATTTGAGATGAGGAAACTAAAAATAGCGAATTTCAACGCCCTCGAAGATGGGATTCATACGCTAATGGAAAAGGGTAAAAGCGGTGTTTTCTGCATAGTTGATGTGTTTGAGTTTCTTTACATAACGATTGCAAATTTTACGTCCACTGTTTTCTAAGGTTTGCATGAAAACGCAAAAGGGTTTCATAAGACATACAATGCTTTAACTTGTGCACTGTAGTAACTTAAAGCATTTAGTGTTGTTACTTTTTCTTTGAGTCTTTTGTCTCTTGTGCATTTGTATAACAATAAAAGTTTTCAGCCTTGTATTTTTCTGAACAAGGACAGACTAACCAAAAGTGTCCTCTGGGGCGACAGGAATCGAGAATGAGAGGCTTTACAAGATAGCCGGGTTCCTAATTTTACACCTAGGTTCTCCAGTTATGAATTAAGTGGGTTTCAAGATGTGTTACTTATCTTGTAGTGAAAGCTACGTATTTTCAACGTGATGGATGCGCGTTTGAAAAGATCAACATCGTCAGTGCTCCTCACTTGGGTCAAGACTGTCGGCTGGCTCCGTATCCTGTCACGTGTACCGAGAGACTCTCTTCTGTAGGTCAGTAATCCTTGCATTCACATACAAATTCTCTCAACTGTCTCTTTTCAGTTCCTTAAAAAGTTCTTTGAAAGAAACTTGATGGAATCTTTTCGCTGATCAATTTATTAATTCTCATCCCCTTTTCTCTCGTTGAAGTATTGACATTACCAGGAGAAAATTGATTTTTGTCACTCTTGGGACTTTGAGTGTTAAGGGAGGGGGGGTGCTTATTTTGTTCCTCAGAATGTACACCTTAAGATGACTTTGACGTAGTTTTAAATGAAAATTTTATCATTTAAGAGGGAAACTGGAACGTATCTATTATTAACCGAAATGTTAAATTTTTGTGTGTGTGGCATACTTGGCTTTTAGCGTCCTGTCTTCACTAATCTCTGTTGAAACATCCGGGGGTGAGGAGATCATTTTGTATATGTTACACTATATTCATTGAGGGCACACGTACTGTATACCCTACATTAGGTAAAAAGGGGTGTGGTGGTGGGGGGGGGTGCGTATTTGAAGGGGGCGCTAATTGAAGCCTTTACTGTTTTTTTTTTCTCTTATCACAGGGCCATTTCATTCAGATGAAAGAAAACCCAGAAGCTTAAAACTGCGTGAAGACCAAACTGTAAAGAGTCCATTTATCAGTGATATCTACGGATGCTTTACACTACGATTACGTTCAAATAATGGCTGGCTGTATGTTTTTCTCCAGTTTACGAATGAAGAAGAGGAGCTAGTGTACGTTACGTATGTCGAACAAGGACAAAAGCATGACGTATATATTAGGCTGAAGAGTTTTGTTCGTGGTTCATATCAGGTAATTATTACTCCTTGTTCTTCTTTCGATTCTTCTCTTAATGGTATCCAGAATGTGACTGAAATTCAAGAGATTCGGGAAATTTGTGAAAAGCTGAACCTTAGTTAACGTGCACTTTCAGTCTCTGTTCTCGTTCTCTGCTTTGCGCCTGAAAGTTTTTACTTAGACTTTCTACAAGTCGACCTCTATTAATTTCTTCAAGCGAGCCTCAATGAGTTTGTGACAGAGCAAGCCACGAAGTCGAGAGGTCAGCTTGTTTCGCTTGAATGGATTTGAATCAAATTATAAATTCATGCGAGAAAAAAATACGGGTGTCTTCCTAGATCTTCTCGAGTTTCATCATGCTAAAACCCTCCATCTACTATTGGTCAATTGTCAAAATGTCATCGATGGAATTTTCGATTGCTGAATTTCGGCAATAGGGATAATTATTAAAGGTTTGTAGCAAATCTAAGCTTTACTTTGCCTTTCCTGTTCATGAAGAGGCGTTATCTTAACTCACGTTTTGCGCTAGTTTGTACGTTCTTTTGATGAGGAAAGAAAAAAAGAATGTGCAAAAATCGAGTGTAGCTAAGACCTGGTTCAGACGCCCCTCCACTCGTGTGCCGAACCTAACTGATGAATTAAGTACGGCAAAAGAGCGGCGTCTGAATCAATTTGGTACGGCAGTTTTAGATTGGTGCTGCAAAAGCGTTAAGTTCGACAGAGTCTGTCGAACTTTTGTCGAACTTAACTTAGGTTCGACACACGGTACGCCGTCTGAATCAGATGTCGCGCCGGCGTCGCTCCAAAGTCGAACTTATTCAGTTAGGTTCGGCACATGAAGAGTACGGCGTCTGAACCAGGCCTAAATGTCGTGGGTCTTGGGTAGTGGGTAGAGGTCCTGGGTTGTGGGTCGTGGGTGTGGGTGTGGGTGTGGGTGTGGGTGTGGGTGTGGGTGTGGGTAAATGTCGTGGGTAAAAGAAGTATAGAAAAAACGATAAAGTAATTGAAAAAAAATAAATGAAAAAAAGTTGTAAAATATTTTTGAAACGAAAACCTTCGACTCCTTGATTGCCTTTTTCACGGATTCTTCTTCGTCCTGTTCCTGATATCTCCTTAGCCACGTGGGACTTGGGTCCCCTTTCACAACATAACTGAAATTTCTCTTTTTCCCTTTCATCATTAGATACGTCTTGAAGCAAAGTATAATCAGATCGTAATTTTTGAGGATAGTATGAGGCTCACTGTTGGAGAGTGCGAGTCAAAGGCTCCATTAGGAGAAGGTATGTAAACAAATTTTCTTCTTTTTACTGCCCTTTAAAATACTTCTCATATTTCAATTTAATTTGGGGCTTAATAGACACATCAGGCAAAATATCTGATTATCGCATTTTTACCAATAAATAGGCTACCTTAAGTGATTTTTAAGCCGATATCTCGTATTAAAACATAGAACACATTTGCCATGGACCATTAGTTGAGTATGGCGCTCTATAAATTTATTTTAAATTTAATTTTAATTTAGTGTACAAAATGGCTTTTTAAAATGACTTTTCTAAACAAATTTGAGTGGACGTGGCACAACTTCTTGGTATGGCTGTAGTTTCCGAGGAAATTCTGCCCTCTTATTGGTTACGTCCCGAACCTTCCCACCTGACTACTACAGAAATATATCTCATTTCTTCCTGTTGACAAAGCCGCCACATCTAGGGCAGTACAGAGCTTCAAAACATATTACAGTATAAGTCCTTTTGTTTGTCAATAGCAAGTAAAAGCCTTTGTTATACTAGAAATACGTGTATGTCGTGTATCGCAGAACCTCGTAAAGCTTGGGGAAGGTGGCCCGTATAATGTTAGGGATAAGTTAGAGGAATGAATTGAATTGTGTAACTGTGGAGGGCCGCTGAACACTAGCCCTGAAATCGGACGATGAGTGTCTTTTTGATGGCTGGATTGAATAGCAAGTAAAAACATTAAGGTAATATTATGTCTGTGCATTTAAATATTCTGTAGGATTTCAGAACTCCTTTATCCGGGGCGACCATCATGTCACCGACCACCTTTATAAAATCCTTTTGGGGGAAGGCCATCATTGGATTCCTTGTTACAGCGCAAGAAAAGACGGCTGGGAACCTGAAGTGTTTCACAACAAGTGTGATCACAAACCTTATACATTGTTCTTGGCCAAAGCCAACTCATGGTGGATATTTGGTGGCTATAGTAACAAGCCTTGGAATGCCTGTGAGATGATGAGTCTATTAGTTCACCTTTTTTTAACTGTAAAAATCGATATAGCTTTTTACAAAACCCGAGTGATTTCTCGCGCCCTGATTGCTTGAGAACTATGGTAAATAAGAGAAGAGTACAGAGCATTGGAGTGACATTTTCCATCCCGTGCCATATCGTAAGCTTCCGCTTATAAGCCCTGTATACAACTTCGTAAGGGTTTTTATGAGGGCTTATAAACGGGGCTCTTATATCCGGGGAAACTTATAACCAAATGTATTTTTTGTTTACAAGTAGATGGGCCTACAACTGAGGGGTTGGGGGCTTATAAAGGGAGAATCTTATATCCGAGGGAGCTTATAACTGGGGGATCATAATGGAAGCTAAAGGGGGGCTTACATCTGGGGGGCTTATAATCGGATGTATCTTTTGTTTACAGGTAGATGAGCTTATAACTGGGTGGTGAGGGATTATTAGCGGAGGATCTTATATCCGAGGGGGCTTATAACTAGGGGCTCATAATTAGATCAAAACGGGAGCTTACACTCGGGGGGCTTTTAATCGGATGTAGTTTTTGTTTACAGGTAGATGGGCTTATAACTAGGGGGTGGGGGATTATTAGAGGAGGATCTTATATCCGAGGGGGCTTATAGGAAGGGGCTCATAATTAGAGCAAAAGGGGGCTTACATCCGGTAGGCTTATAATCGAATGTATCTTTTGTTTACAGGTAGATGGGTGTATAACTGGGGAGGCTTATAAAGAGAGGAATTTAAAGCGGGAAGTTTACTGTATTTTTTTCTTATTTTTAGTTGTCAATGGTTCAAGCAAATGTCTTTCCTGTTTTCTCTTCTCATTGGTCAATTATAATGGAGCATATTCCCCATTCAAGAATGTTAGAAGAACTAATAGGAGGGCTTCCATCTTAAATGACATGAGTCATGGACCATCGATTCCCCCAGACCTTATTCTGACTGGTAAAAATGGAACTAGCGCTCTTGGTCAAATATTCTTTTCTGGGAGCGATGACTGGCGGCGAGGAAGGCCACAAGAGGCATTATTAGCGGGAAGTTCAGAATTCAAGTTGTCGGAGCTTGAAGTCTACTATGGTAAGCTTTTACATGGGTTTTGGAAACAGTTAATGTATATTATTTTAATCTTTTTTCCCTTATCTTTTTTCTGTCTTGACTTTGCTTTACCTTTCGTTTGCTTCCTTCAAATTAAATATTAAGTTTGATAGAACTGAATATTGGCCTAATCATCTAAAAATTGAAGGAATAATATCAAAATTAATCTAAATTTGGGTAAGTATGGCAGATCCAGACCTTCAGATAAAGGGGAGGGGGCTGATCTTAAAAAAAATTCTTTCGGCCCTTCAGGCGTAAGTTTGGTCTAAAAATAAGGGGGGCGGGGCGGCCCCACAGGCCGCCACTGAAACAGGTTTTCATTCGTCAACGAAATTTCATTCCAAAATTTTGGAATAATGATCCCCCCGTCTTCCTTCTTTACCAGGGGCAAGGAAAAGGCGCATACAAGACAAAGGCCCAAACGGTCGGAGCCTATCCCCGTTTCCTTAGCCTGAAGCATGCATAGGAGTATTGCTACTCCTCCCCGGACGGGATGTTAGTCCATTGCATGGTTACACCTCCCCCCCAGCAGTATGTCGCCGGTTCCATTTATACCCCCGGGTGAAGAGAGACAAAGAAAGCTAAGATTCCCTGTCTAAGGAAACAATGCGACGGGCGAGGCTTGAACTCCGGACCTCCAGATCCCAAGCTGGAGCCACACACGCATGCTCATTGTGTGAATGCATCAGTTGCTTTTCTTAGCCTGGAAAATAACCCTTTTTTTTCTCTTGACAGGTTATGATGTGTTTTCCAGAGTGAAGACTTGCTTTGCAGGCAATGTCGTGCTGCACGTGGGAGATAACATGTCGTGTCTGCTCGGTGGTTCAAAAGATATTGAACATATTTATCTTGAAATTGGTTGTGATACTGCTCACAAAGCTACTTTCCAAATAAATTTCAACGATCGGGCAGAGTCAGTAAGGTAATTATATTAACCAATCACAGCTGACAATGGGTCCATTAAAACAATTTCATCAAGCGCGGGAAAACGCAGGCTACAGTTACAAATAACTGCTTGGTTATGATTGGCTGAGACAGTGACGAGATAATTGTTAGTCAATCACAAAGTCCAGAAATGGACGCTTGGTAGGTTCCTTTACGAAATCCAGCTTAGAAATTTCAAAATCTTTCACAAACGATCACAAAACCCAAACTTGCATTTTGCTACAAAACATTCCTATACGATATGCTTTTCAACTAGAAGATTCAGAAACGAAACCGATTTTAAGATGATCCGTAAAATCTGAAATTTTCCAATAAAGCGAACTCTCAATTGGAAATTGCTAGAACTAATAAAATAGCCTGAACGTGATGGCTGACGTATCAAAAGTAGGGTCCTAATGTGAGAATTAAGGCGCCTTCAAAGCTAAGATATATCTAAAGAATGAATATGTGTAATAAAAAAATTTAGCTGCTGGTTCTTAAAACGAACGCCTTTCCTAATAAACCAGCTCCTGGATATTTCAATCAAATGAAAAAGCCTGAATAAAGAGAGTAACTGTACTTTAATTAACACGATAGACATCACGTTTTATTTAATTTCCGTAGTTGTAAAAGGTAATGGCAAAGCCTCCGCTAAGCAAATCCCTATGAGTGAGGGGACACACCTCGTCAGATTAGCGATCAGTTAACGCAAAGTGAAATGCCTTATGTTTTTAAAGTCTGCATGTGATAACGTACTGCATCAAGGCTTAGAGTATATTAAAATTCGACTATTCTTAAACTCTTATATTTGTAATGTGTTGTATTCTATTTATGATATTGCAGATTTCTCAAAGATGCTATTTGTGGATCAGTTTTTTACTTCATAAAAGTCTATGGTGCCACAGAAATAACCCTCACCTTACTCCGACAGGTCAAAGCTAATGACACCTCAGTTCAGGCAATTGGCTGGATTGGAGAAAAAGGTAAATAACACCGTTTCTGCTTACTGATATTCGCCATTTGCACATCTTCCATATGCACCTTGTTTGCCCCTCCAAAATTGTGCTTGAGCATTGTTTTTAATTTCTCCTGGGACAACCGCATAATGCAAAACTTTTAGAAAATGTGGACATGGCGAATGGATGAAAGCGTTTTTCTCAAGTGTCTATTGTTATTAGTAGTATAGTAGGGAGAGATAAAGCCGTTTTTGGGCAAGAGTTTCAGAAACACTGATAACGTCATGCAAGGGCATCTCATTAAAGTGATGTTACACGAGATGATTCGCAACGACGACTTTTAGCGCAATACAGCGACGCAATGTTGGAACAATGTTGGAAGCATTCGAAGCAATGTCGTAACAATGTTGTGACGCAGTGTTGCGCTAAAAATCGTGGTTGCGAATCGTCTCGTGTAACATCACCTTTACAGCAAGGAGCCCAAAAGTGTGACCTCTTTTAATTTATTCACATTCTTCCGTGCAGATTTAATCCAATCAGAAGCCAGCTAGAAACTGTTCTCGACTTCTGATTGGTTAATGTCTGCATAAAAGAATGTGGGTTAATTAAAGGAGGTCACTCTTTGAAGCTTCTTATGAAGTGGAATACATTAACGCGGATGACGTCATTAATTTCATTAAGACAGGGAACCTTTTTATGCACGAATCTCATTAACGATGGAATAAGTTAAGGTTAATGACGTTTATCATCCACCATATTTCTATTGTTTTTTGTCAGTCGTCCAACCCACCACCCAGCCAAGTCCTTATGCGTTTTCTCTGTCCCGTTTTCGGCGCAAAGTTTGGCGAAGGGTAGGCGAGTCGAGGGGTAGGCGGGTAGGCGTCTCGGTGACGTCACTGTTCACAGTAAAGTCCAACAATGACCGAGCCGAGACCACCTGAGGACTAGGCCGGCCTCTACCATATTTTATGTTTTAGACTTTTTCATTTTTTCTGAATTAGTGACGCTGTTCTTTTAAGGGTTCAAGGTATCCACCATATTTCTATTGTTTTTTGTCAGTCGTCCAACCCACCACCCAGCCAAGTCCTTAGGCGTTTTCTCTGTCCCGTTTTCCGCGCAAAGTTTGGCGAAGGGTAGGCGAGTCGAGGGGTAGGCGGGTAGGCGTTTCGGTGATGTCACTGTTCACAGTAAAGTCCAACATTGACGGAGCCGAGACCACCTGAGAACTAGGCTGGCTTCTACCATATTTTATGTTTTAGACTTTTTCATTTTTCTGAATTAGTGACGCTGTTCTTTTAAGGGTTCAAGGTATAACAGGTTGAACATTTCCTTGCCTCTGGTTCGTATTTATATATTTATGTCATTTTTTTAAAATTCAACCGCAGATCAAATAAAACCGCTGTTTCAAACCCCAAACCGGTATTGGTCCTTGGATAACTTTCGACAAACGATTACCTCGGCTAATAATGCTACCACTAACGGGAAAAGTTTCCCTCGACGTCTAAAGCGTTTAAACATTGAATCGGAAAACGTTACGTTTTTTGCTGGAGGCACATTGAACCTTGGGAATGTCACTGATCCATGTATCACAAATCCAGTCGAAGTATCCTGCCCAGATGGATTTACAGTGTCATTTTGGCTCCGCCTGCAGGAGACAGGGTCATCGCAGGCTCATGGCTTGAAGATTCTAGGATTTGGAGAACCAAATGATAATAGACGCGGCTTCATAGTGATAGAACGTGATGGTCAAGTCGTGGTGCAAGTAACGCACGAGAGCTTTAAGACTGAAGTGTCATTTGATGTCATACATGGTGTTTGGACGCACATTGTTTTCACTTTCCGTTCATTGATCACTTTAAAAGTTTATCGCAACGGAGAGAACTTGGGCTCCAGAACAAAATCTTATGGGAACTTCGTTGATATAGTACAACCGCTGTCCACTGGTCAAGCGGTTGCTGTAATTGATGAACTAATGGTTTGGTACAAAAAGTTTGATCAACAAACAGTCATGGGCATGTACGAGTATCTTACAGGTACGTTGACTGATGAAGGTAAAAACGTTTTATATTACGCACCGGTAAGGCTGGGGCCGAGTGTTAGCATTCCTCTCTCGAATTTTTTTTTGCTGAAATGGTACTAGTACCACTAGGGCGATTCATTTATTAAGGGTGACATGTGACATTGGAAGCTGGGAAATACATGACCCCTGTTGCCTAATAGGGAGCTTAAACAAGGACGACGGCGACGGCAACGAGAATGGTAAAAAGCAATAGGTATAGATTAGCAAAACAACAACTTTGCACGTGCATCAAGCTTTTTTGTACATTTCTTAGTGCCGTTACTGTACGACTGCGACGTGAAATGCCTAATTTTCGTAGAGGACGTGAAAACGAGACGACGACTTTCTTTTTCTTTTAATTTCCTGGACTTCGATACAGTCTTTAAGAATTCAACTCCAGAAAAATTTGCCACCATTTGACGAACTGAACGAGATGGAATAAGCGCGATAAAGTTTTTAAGTGACGTTTTCGTGGCCGTCGCCGTCGCCGTCGCAGTCGTTGTTGCTTGAGCTTCCTAATATTCTCTACATGAAATCTACAATGAAATCATCACCTAGAACCCGCCACACACGAAACATCTTTACCTGAATGGCAGCACCATAATATTGAATGCACGCTCGACGGGCTCTTTCTGCAAAGTAAGCGGCAATAATATTCCCTAAATGAGACGATTTTATTTCTCAAGGCAAACCAGAGATGCTGTGGATTACAGTGGAACTGAAGTTTCCAAACAAAGTCTGGGCTGAGTTTCTAAGTGAGGAACAACGCGAAGTTAGAAGAATTGAAAAGAAAGTAAGAAAAAACAGTGTCTTGTGGTCTGTATTCCATCTCATGACACTTTAAATGATGAAACATTTTAGCAACAGCTTTGCAAAAAAAATATTGTTTAAATCGTCATGTAAGGGGTTAGCGAAACTTTTAATAACAATTAAAATAGGCCCTGCCTTTTACATGGGCTGCAATCAAGGCATCCTTGAATAGCCGGCCTTGTAAGATCAAGTGGTCTTCGTTTAAAACAAAACGTCTTTATGGTACAAGAAGCAGATGAGACACTTTGCTAATTAACTTGATTGCAGCAATTTAAGATCGTGCGTTTTCACTCCTTTTTATTTGTGACACTGTTGGTTGGTTGTTGATTTCTTTTTCCATTTATTTCAGCTGAACCAATTTTTTGAAGACGACAGCAACTATGCCTCTTGTTTCGTCTTTTCATTTCGGTCAGTATCATCAACGTTTAACCGTACTCATAATCAGCATTTTTACAAGCATGACTGCGGAGGTGCTGAACTGGGGGCTAGTGGCCGATCAATTGAAGTCGAGCCCAAGTGACCGCACTGAAGAACGCAGCCGCGCTAGCACTCAACGTTTTTACGTCCATTTATTTGGTCCTTTCTTAACATCAATCGTAAAAATCCGTATAATTCATGGATAAGCTAGTGTAGACGCGACGTAGAGTGCTATGGCCTAGCTACCTGCCTGAAAGAAATTTGTTGTTCATGTACGTTATGACTAAATTCAGGAAAGACTTAGAACCGCCTTGTGCAGCATAATGAACAGTAACACAGGAAAGTACTGCTCAGCAGCTTTCATTTGAATGGTAACACCAAAGGATTTTATCCACAGACTCAAAAGTTAGAACCACCTTGTACAGCATAATAAACAGTACCACAGGAAAGTACTGCTCAGTAGCTTTCATTTGAATGGTAACACCATAGGAATTCAACCACAGATTTAAAAGTTAGAATCACAAATAATCTCGTCATTTCTTGGTCTAGGAAGGAAGGGTTAAGCTACCCTTACGACCTGAAGTGATTGTTTCTTTTCCAGTGCCGGGAGTGTTATCACCAACGTAAATATGTCATTCTATTCCTTGGGAGTTGACCAGGCCATCAAAATCCATGAAACATTAACTGGAAATGCGTCTGTGATATTTGAAGAAGAGGCCAACATCACTTCCTATTGGTCATCAGATGGTAACGGCCTTTCATTCTTACTCAGGGGCGGATCCAGGATTTTTTTTAGGAGGGGGTGCACTCGTCTCTTGCTCTAGTTGAACACAAATAAACCACATAGTTTTTTTTTTGCAGAATACCAGTTGTATTAGAATACCGCAGGTCATCTCAGGAGGGGGCAGGGGGTGCGCACCCCCTGCACCCTCCCCCTAGATCCGCCCCTGTTACTTCCTGCTATTTCGCTTCACACGTGAAACCCCCGTTGATAATATATTCCCCAATGAACAATTCAAGGGAACGGTTTGCAAAAAATTAAATGGTATCGAGTTCTCAAGAACATATTAGCCTGATGGACGTCTAACGCTATTTACGTATGAGCTATTGCATCCAGGCAAGGCATGATCTTGTACCTGTGAATCCGAATTTCGAAGTGTTTGTCGATTGGCATGATTCGCCTCTACGCCTTGCCACCCTGAGGTTTCCAAAAACCATCAAATTTGCCCCACTACGGGTTTTTCAGAATATTGGTAAAGCTATTAAATCAGTTGATTCGTGGGTGGTAAAACGTGCACCATCCCTGTCCAACTCGTTTTGCAGGAATGTTGCACTTTTGTGTTGCTTGTTTCCCGTACCTTTAGATTTTATTGCTTTCAATACTTATGGACTTACATAACAAGGGGGAGGGGAGCCAGAAGGCCTAAAGTTACGTGAAACGGTAGTTTTTTCAGAAGGCCATAAAGAGAAAAGCGCATAATAATAGCATGGTCTCGAACAGATTCGACACCCTCGTATTCCGTTTGTTTTCAGTGCCACTGTACAGCCCATCTAATGTCACGGCGACCCCATGTAATTCTCTGACTCCGTGTCTCCTGGTGTCGTGGGATAGTTTACCTGACTCAACCTTATACGATATTAGCGGTGTATTCCAGTATTACAAAGTTCGCTACCGTACAGTTACTGCCCCATTTGTGGAGTTGATAGTACCAAACAATGATACAAAACAGGACAAACAAGACGTGCAGTTAACAAATCTCCTTGCGTACACTGAATACACTATCCAAGTTTTTATGGTCACACTATTTGCTCATGGATTACCCAGTGATGTTGTTGTTGTCTCTACTCGAGCAGGTGGTGAGTGCCTTTTAACACGTGCATGAATAATATGTGACGAAAACCCTAACGAAATCCCTGCTATTTTAACAGTTTGGATATGTTTTCATAATCACTGCAAACTTCCTTTCCCTGTTGTTTCCCCATAGCTATTCTTCAAGAGTATGATTGTTTGAAAACATTAAAAGTAGTTTTACTTTAACATATAACTTGTAAGTAGTATAATAGGGATGAACACAGCTTCTTTTTGCAGGTAAAAATTTACCTTATCGAAGCTAAATCATTCCCCAGTAAATTCATGTGATTCTAGAAAACGATTGAAATATTCCAGCTATTCTATCTACATGTATCAAACAAATTCTTGTGCAAAGTATAAATATAAATAGTGTAAATATATAAATATAACTGGAAATTTTTGGCATCTCATATTTCCTCTTTCATTCGTCTTCATCTACATGGCTTTCAGAGAAGGGTGTGGCAGGCTTATCTGCTTCCTGAAAAAAAGTTCTAACTTAATTTCAGTGCCAGGTGCCTCGCCTATGAATCTAGCGGCGGTAGACGCAAATTCAAGCTGTATCGAAATCACGTGGAGTCCAATTCCTGACAGTTTAATTAACGCACCCTCACTTTTGGGTTACGAGATATCCTGGAAGAAATACAACGATTCGTCTTTCAATTCAACAATGACAAATCAAACCAGAGCTTGGTTGACTGGATTACAGCCATTTACAGACTATAACGTTTTGGTCAAAGCTGTAAATATCGTTGGTAGCGGTCCTGGTAGTACAGTTCTGACACGTAAGACCACTGAAGAAGGTAAGCTATACTTTCACCGTAGGGAAATGATCTTAGGAGTTATGTCCAGAAGTGCAGTCATACTCCTTATGATAGCCATCATAAAGTGTTCCCGCGGCCCTAATCTTTACCTAAACGTAAGCAATGCTATCAAACATGGTCAATAATTGTCTAATATAAGTACCCAAGGTCTGCGTTGTATGCATGTCTGGGTATAAGTGGATGTTTCATTGGGCAAAGCAGTATAGCTTACGTGAATAGCCTTTGCAGACAAACTACAGTCGCACCCTATCATGTAAGTGAATGTCGGTCGTTTCGCCTACAAGTTGTTTTGCCCACACTGAGGTCGATTCGCCTACATATTAAATTAATTGTTTCCTAGACGATTTATATATTTTTATATTCGTCGCTAAAACAATTATGAAATGCGGCCGGATTTGAGTTGGATTTTGTGATTTATTTGCCATTTCCTTAGCCGATTAACTTGCGTGAACGATCAAGTTAGGGTGCGCAAATTTTTGCACGAACTGCTTTGAATATAAATTAAACTTTGGGTTTTGAATAAATAGGTTGAGCGATATTATTACTCGCAGAAAAAATCCTCGCCTTTTATTAACGTCAATATTATTTTCAAAACCTATGGATAATTCACAAAGGAAAGCCAAATAGATCACGTTTGATCAGTGTCTTTAAATCAGATTAAACACTTGTAAATCTTACCCCTACACAGTTTTCGTATCAAAACTTCTCCAAAGTCCGGGGGTAGCGTGTGAATAAGCAGCAGTACGTAATGTTTCTTTCTCCACACCATGTAAATTGAGATCAATTCAGGTTTGAGGTAAACTGCCCACCTACCCCTCCCCTAAACCAACATTAACGCTTACTTCTCACTTGGGGAAAATGTTGGCTTATGGGAGGAGTCTCACGGTGGGCAGTCTCCTAGAAATCTAAATTGATCCGCAAATTGTTCGTGAAAAGCGTCAAAAAAGTTATTGTATTTCAGCTTTGAAGGATGCTCCGCAGAATGTCTCGGGATACAACAAAAGCTCTACAAGCATTCATGTGATATGGCTACCCATTTCAAACCAACCAAACGTACTCTATTACAAACTCGACGTTATTCATCTGGGTTCAAGTGCTGTTTCTTTCGTATTCACGATCATTGGGCTTGAGCGTGATATCCAAGGATTGCAAAAATACACTGATTATCAGATCAGCGTCTGTGGTGTAAATACAGTCGGAGACGGACCCTATAGCGTTCCAGTGATAATTTCAACTGATATGGATGGTATGTATTGTGCCTGGATAAAGTTTTTAAATATAGACATTGAACCATTTGTGTTTTGGTATAATTCCAAGAAAAAATTTACTGGTTGGGAAAAAATCAGGACAAAACGTGCATTTTTCTGGTGCAAATTGACTTGGCTTTTAGTATGTGTACTGTACAAAAACGCTTTATGAAATCGTAGCATTAAGCTCGCTGTCAATGTGGTTCGTCATTAAAACAGTTTTCACTAAATAGTTGGTTTCAAACCAGTGCTGCTTTTGAAATCAATGTTCAGCTGATTTCTGTTTCCGTTTTTTGTACAATTCAGCGCCTTTAATTACTATTGCATTGTCTAACCTGATCCCGCAAAAGCTCGTTCCCAGGATTCTCTCCTCTTTGTTCTCCGGAGTACGGACGAGTAGAAGAGAGTCCTGGGTATGAGGTTGAATCCTGTACAGCTCAACGATTGTGTTTTTTGTTTCTCAAGTTCCCAGTGCAGCACCAACTGAACTCATGGTGACTAGAATCAACTCCTCGAGTAACATTAGGCTAAACTGGACTTCGATTCCTTCCGAGTATATAAACGCTCCGGCGTTGCTTGGTTACATTGTTGAATACCAAGAAGTAGGGCCTTTGGCTCTTCAAACGAACAAGACGAGTGACACGTGGCTTGAGCTGACATTACCAAAAAATGACACACAATACTTGTTTACTGTCAGTGGCTATAACGAGAGGGGAAAGGGTCCAAACATTTCATTGGCTTATTGGCAGTTATCAGTGGATACCCCTACCATTTGGAGTGACAGTGTGCTTCCTACCAGAGGCATTGCAAGTTCTGTTAATATTTCACCTTCCCGTAGCAGCTCTGTCGCCTCTTCAGTCACATCATGTACGTTGATAGCTTGTACAGTGTAATGTTAAAATTGTGTTTTTGTGAGGGCAATTTTTCACCTCGCTCAAAAACGTTAATTTGGTTGATTTGGTGATTGACTAATTTGCTCATTGAATGATTATTTGCTTTATTCATTGATCCTGTTTCTTTCGCGAATTAAAATATTCATTTCTTATGCTTGTTTTTTCTCCTATCGATTATGATTGATTAATTCATTTCACCTTTAATCCATTGACTGATTTACTAAACGACTTACTGAGTTATTGATTGGTTTTCAGCTGTTAGGAACAACAATGACACCACCACCACTAGCAACACTGCTGCCAACAACACCACCAGCAACACCGCTGCCACTATCACCACCACCATCAACACTACTACCTCCGTCACCGTCAACACCACTGCCACCACTGGCAACACCGTTGCCACCCCCACCAGCAACACTGCTGCCACCGTCACCATTAACCCCACCATCAGCAACACCAGTAACACCACCGCCAGTTACACTGTTGCCACTGCCATCGGCAACACCGCTGCCACTAGCACGAACAGCAACATCACCCCCTCCGTTACCATCAACAACTCAATAAGGTCAAACGATGCAGATGTATCAGGATTAAATCAAAGCATTAAAAGCAGTAAGTGTACCAGATTCACGGTTTGTTTTAGCTACAATCTTGGACAAAACTGTTGAGAAAATTGCATACTTGGGAGGCATTTTTTCTAAACTTCGTAGCTGACCGATTTTTCCCTCCCCCCCCCCCCCCCCCCTGGAAGCAGTGTTGTTGGGTCTTCAAAAGAAAGCCGGATCCCTAAAACATTTGTAGGAAGTAGCTTTGAACTGGAGGGAGGGAGTTTTCTTTAAGCAAAGCCGATGATTTGGAAATAGTTTTGTTGCGTTAGGTAGTGCGCATTAATGAAAACATTTTCTCAAGTAGTTTTGTCCAGGATTGTAGATATAATCTTACAATCTTTTCTCGCTGTTATGATGATACAGTATAAAAAACTATAATGCCTTGCGCTTTTTTTGCAGCTTTTAACACAAGTGCAAATATTATCACCAGTACGCCTACACTTCAGCCCACCACGACATTGGTTTTAAAAAAGGGTAAGTTGCGCTCAACAGCTTTAAACAACTTACGAAAACAAGGAACAGGTGCAACACGAAGGAAATTTGGAAGTTTGGATAACCACTAATATTCCTAGGAGTTCTTGCGATAATCGATTCGATAGTGAAGCGATGCCTCGTCAATCCCCCTTTTCACTATCCGTGGAAGAATTGGTTAATGGGGATTAGAGATGTGAGTGGCTGTACTTCATTGACTCCTTCACCGTTCATTCATTTCTTTTACAGCACCTGCAGGGTCACCGAGGAAAGTTCATGTAAGCAATTACACAAGTCCGTATTCCTTACTGGTCACGTGGCAGGAAATTCATCCCGCCGCTCAAAATGGGGTTATTCTGGGTTACAGAGTATTGTACACTCTCGTGTTAGTGTCTCGTCAGACGGAAATTACCACTGATATAGAAGAAATAACAGTTCAAGCTCCGACTAAAAATGTCTTACTGACTGGTTTAAGCAGCTTCTCCTTGTACAAGGTTGAAGTACTGGGTTTCAATGACGTTGGAGATGGACCACTCAGTAGTCCAGTTTTTGCAGGTGTGTTGAGATGGTCCACTTTAGACATGTTTGCTTGTGCATCCCTTCTCAAGGAACCTTCGTTTTAGGCCCTAAAACGACCACCGATTGTGGCCTTCAGACAACCAGCCATCGAGGATAAAAGATTGGAAAACGTAAACCCATGTGTCATCTTTTCATTACATTTTCTGTAAAATTGTACTTCTCCAAAGTGCTGCTCTATAGACTAGCGCTTTGCCAGCTTGAAAACCTTTTCTTTTTTGTTGATAAGTAGAAAATGTGGTCGAATCGCGTAAGTTTACGTATTTCTATTTTAGAGACCACCCCACCAAAAGAGAGAATCGAGCGGTAAGCACTGTACTACTAACACTCCAAAATATAGGGAGACGAGTTTTTTTGTGCCTTCCTTCTACATGGAGAAGGAAGGTTTCGGATGTCCTGGACTTGTACATGTCATCTTTACTTGTTTGTGTACCCAGTGTTTGCTTAATGTTCCTCAGGAACTTTCAACAGTCTTAAAACAGAAATTTTTATACTCAATCTCTTACCTAGCATCCTTGGACTCTTTCGAGTTTCCGCTAAGCAAAGAACCCATAGACTCTGAGTACTAGATCAGTTTTTTAATGAAGTGAGTTTTAAATCAATTTAGGTTTCTGGGAAACTGCCCACCTACCCCTCCCCTAACGCAATATTTTGCCCCAAGTGAGACACAGACGTTAACGTTGAGTTAAGGGAGGGGTAGGTGAGCAGTTTACCAGAAACCTTAATTAATCCTGAGTTTTTCATGTCATCCCTAAGAAACCTGTAGGTGTCCGCCCTCATTCAGTACAAACTGGTGGCACAACCCACCTTATATGGACGCCGACGATCAATCAAAAGGTATTTTTCCATTCATCATACAAAACATGGTGCTCTCATGCTGTCAGCGTTGCCAAGCACATGGAATAACTACTGTCAACATTATGGAAAGTAACACGGATCACCCCGACAAAAAGCAAGATCATATTGCAGTAAGAAGTTCTGTGGAGGAGAGTGACTTCAGTTTTCCACTGTTTGGCTATGAAGGACAGCGGCAGTTTATGGGGGAGTATGGCTTTCTAGCTGTTGTTAAGTCTCCCGCTGTTGTTTTTATTGTTCCCAAAGAAGACACAAGTAAAGTGTCGTTAAGACTTTTATCTTCTGTGTTCAGCTGTTGGCCAGTACTACTCCTCAACTTTTCTATTGTTTTGCTGTCTGGGATAATTATTTGGAATTTGGTAAGTATGTGGATCAGTAAGATTCTGGAAACCTACCGACCCCTCCCTCCTGGTGCAACATTTTGCCTCAAGCAAGACGTTAGTTTATATGTTGGTTTAAGGATTGGTTAGGGGAAGGCAGTTTCCCAAAATCCTGTACTGATCATGTCTTTATGACCTGTGTGATAGCCTGTGTGCGAAGTAGCACCCTCATTGAGGACCTCTACACAAGGGTTTCTAGCTCTTAAATAACTAAAAAAAATAGTGAACAACTTTTTTAAATACAGTGGAAGCCGAACGGACACTCTCGTAAGGGGACAGCTTTACTTACGGCTGCCTTCACAAAACGCCATTTTTCTCAACTCCCGTACAAACTCTGTATTTTTACATTTCCGTAAAAGGCCAACTCCAGTTACAGACATCTTTTTCGCGTCCCGAGAGTGTCTGCTCACGAGAGCTTCCACTGCATGTGCAAAAATCAAAACATAAAAATTTTGACATTTAAGCTGCTTAAACTGAACTTAAGATGTTCGCGATTACAGATGATTGAATGAAATTGGAGTGCAACTTAAGCGTAGAAATTCTTGCATCTTTTAAACATTGTCTTATTTTGACGTCTCCGTGGACAAAATTCTTCCTGCGGTTACAGAAGATTCAGCAGATTCTCCCATTTAAGTGTAAAGAGAGGATCTTTCTCTTTTGGGGAGCGAGGGTGGCGTAGTGGTGAGAGCACTCGCCTCCCACCGGTGTGGCCCGGGTTCAAATCCCGGCGTCGATGCCATATGTGGGTTGAGTTTGTTGTTGCTTCTCTCCTTTGCTCCAAGAGGTTTTTCTCTGGGTATTCCGGTTTTCTTCTCTCCTCACAAACCAACATGCCTCAATTCGAATTCGACCTGGAATCGTGTAGACGAAGAAGCACTATGTGGATGTGCTACCTCCAAATCGTTATTTATTAATTTAATCCGTGCATACTCAATCACAATCCCTGCTAATTAAGTGACGTTAATGAAGATAGTCTTCAGTTTATTATTACTGAAACATTTCGTCAATAATTTTTTGTTTAGGATTCCTCAAAGAATGATCAGGAATTTTCAAAATCTTTCCTAAGAGGAGCATGGGAAGGCATGTGGTGGGCATTCATTACCATGACAACCGTTGGGTAAGTAAAGTACTCGCCTCTGATCCACTGGCAATGTAATCTTGACCTCAGGCCAGTTCGCGCTATCCGCGTAAACGAAGGAGGCTTGGAACTGAGCGCGAATTCTCATGACAACCTTGACAGGTGATGTCTCGTCGCAAATCGCCGAGGACGACTGGGAACGAGGCTCCTTCGGCAATGATCTCCGTTTTAGTCCCTACCGGTGACTTTTCATCCATATACTTTAAGCTACTTTAATGTCGCATTCAAGCGCTAGCTGAACCAATGACGTGTCGTTGGCGAACTTAATAGTATTCAAGAAATGAAATACATGCAGTATTTATTAGCTAGTATGCCTCGCCACCTAAAATATTTCAGCTGACTTCGAAAGTGGACTCTCCACACTTGTCAGCGGCACTTTCCGCTAGTCAAGTCATTGGCGAACGTTGTCATTTGTCGAAATAGTAGTGAGTTTACCCAACAGGGCGGAAGAGGAAAGAAGACGTTAAACCTTGTGTGACGAGCATGACAATAATTTTGTTTCAAAAAACTTTTCGCCAAACTTCACATTCCTTTTATTACATCTCTATGTAACAAAAACGGAAACAATAATGTTAAATGAAGATCACGATAAAACACGCAAGTAACAGTCCTGTCACGTTTGTCACACACAAGCGTTTTGCCGTCTTCTTCTTTCTGCAGTCCTGTGGCGTAACCTCACTCATTCCCAACCCGCAGTGTAGTTGCTATTTCGCAGGTTGGTCAGCGGCATAATATTAGCAAATGGAAACCGTTAATTAATTGCTTAGCGCAGTTCTCATCTAGGTTGTGTTTCACCTTTTACAGGTACGGAGATAAGGCGCCTAAGTCAAAAATGGGACGAATTTTCTCTGTGATGGCCACGCTAGTTGGCCTAGTTTCTATTGCCGTGTTGCTAGGCAACCTAACAACATCCTTGACAACAGATATTGTTTTCAGTGACATCAAGCTCTATGGATCCAAGGTGATAACAATAAATCTCGTTTTTTTTTTCCGAAATTGGAAAAAACGATATATTGCCAAGTGTGGAACTTTTGTGTGGAACCTTTTTGTAAAATATAGCAGTGGAGTAAATAGATCAATTTAGGTTTCTAGGAAACTGCTCACCTACCCCTCCCCTAAGTCAACATTAACACTTACTTCTCACTTAGGGCAAAATGTTAGGTTAAGGAAGGGGTAGGTGGGCAGTTTCCCAGAACCCTAAATTGACCCAAGTAAATCTATCTGCAACATACCGCGGCGGGACTAGCTCAGTCCGTAGAGCGCTTGACTGCAGAGCAGAATGTTGCGAGTTCGACTCCCGGGACGGGATCAATACTCAGGGGCCCGTTTCTCCAAAGTCCCGATAACTTTTCGGGCCCAAAAAGCTGTTTATGTTTGCTGTGTTTGCATTCAAAATCAAAGTTTCAATGATTTTGAAAACGATACAATGAAACTATCAGTTAGAGAACAAAATTGACCAGTTTGTGAGCTTGGAACTGTGCTAATATTCAACAGGTTTTGATTTCAAAATTTGCCTTCGGACCCGAAAAGTTACCGGGCCTTTCAAGAAAAGGGTCCCAGGCTCTTAAAATAACGGGTGAGAAGAGAAAGCGAGGGTCCAGCCGTTTGCTGGACCCTCGCGTGGCTCGGATTAACACGTATAATGGCGGTTCTCAATTAGTACTTCCGTACTAAATACATTGACACTCAAATTAAGTGCTTTTTTCGGTGAATTTAATAAGTTATATATTAACTTCTTATCACAGGTTGCGGCTATTCACAATTCCTCCGAGTTTCGTCTTGGATTGCGCAAAAACGCAAAAATGAATCCAGGTAATAATTGAAATAAGTCATTTAAATGTGGAAAGTCGAAGAAGTGTTGTGGTTTTTTTTGCTTATTTATAATTTCTAATCAGCAACTATAGGTATGTTTTAAAAATAGGGGGTTGGACCTCCATAAAGAGGGGGGGTCGAGCACAAACTTCATGAACTTGTATTGATGGATTCTGGGGCACGAAAAACGTCATCCATTCTTTCCAACAGGGTGGGAAGTTAGTCCCTACCAGGTGAGAGCACTGGTCTCCCAACATCGTCACCAAGGGTGGTACGGCTCAGAGGCGACTATGGTTAATTTCGGAAGCTTATCAAAAGTATAAAGTTTCTACAAGTTCATTTTATCGGAAGTCGAAGATGATCGACGATTTTTGACTGTATTATTCTTGCAATGTTTTTGTGTGTGTGTGTGTGTGTGATTTTTTTTTACATAGTTGCACTTCTCCAACAGGCAGAGAATACAGAAATCTGGATGAAGTTTACGAAGCTTTTCTATCGCGTGAGGTTGACGGGGCGCTTATAGATGCTTTGATTGCGGGCAGTCGAGAAGACTTGTTCAACTCCAGTGGACTGAGAATTTACCAGACTTTCCAACATTCTTCAGTATATGGAATGGTGTTGGCTGGTGAAACCAAGAAATTGCAACAGTGCTTTGAGAAATTCATGAAAGAGAATTCCGCCATGATATCTGCACATGTGGCATCAAAGACTTCAGTTATTAAGGTAGAAGGGCTGCTTCCACTCACTTAGGATTTAAGAAATCCGCGTGAAACTTTTTGACGGTTTTGACTGATTTCCTATGCGATCGGCGGAAAGCTTAGCACACGACTGACTGAACACAAACGAGCGACAAGTAATGGTGACGTCAACAATCACATTTGTGAACACCATTTACAGACGAAACATCAAATCGACTTAGACTCTGCGACATGTATTATGTATCCTACAGACTACTATCAACGAACTCACTTTAGGAAGCTGGTTCAAACGCCACTGAATCTTTTTTAACTAATGATCCGGGTAAGGTGGATAGCAATTTCTTTTCTTATGCGGCAACGGTGCTTTCCCCACATAGGAATGTTCTCATTTTTACACAGAGAATGCATAAACCTACATGAAGGCCGTTTACGCAATAAAGTGCATTTAAACTCCACTTTGAAAGGGTGTTTTTTTGTGTTAAAAGATTTTGACCAATCACAAGAGTTGAAAACAATAGCCAAGAAAAGTTTACAATTTTACATGTTCCCCGCATAGGATTTCTTTTTTATTCAAACTGAGACCAGATTTTGTTAAATGGAAGATGGTTGGAAAGTAACGATGAATATATGTACCGCCTTATGAAGTTTTGTTAACTTTTGCTGTTTAAGCCAATCAGAAGTAAGTGCAGACAATAGAAAAGTGAGCACCTTTTTTGCATTCCAACATGTTCGTTGCCGTTGTTGCTATCGTTCTTATCTGGACCGTTTCTTAATTCCATTTTTAGCCGTCTTCAAAAAGTGCAGCTGTGGAACAAGCAATGAGCCTTTTCGATCCCAGTAATAATTTATTCCAAGATGCTCTTTGGCGTTGCCTCATATCCTTGGCCTTTCTAACAGTTTGCGGCCTAACATGGGAAATCATTCGAGCCATGCGGACATCGCGCATGCGCCGAGGTGAGACTCTCAAGCTTTTACCTAATATTAATGTGATGCTTGACTATTTCTTATTTGTCAACAAGTTAATTGTTAAACAAGTTTCATAAAATGGTCTTGAATTTTTTTGTTCTAGTGAAATTATACTATATCCCCAGCAGAAATCGCCTATAAAATTTAAGAAAAATTTAAAGCTTTTTCTCGGCATGAGTTCTTTCGATCTTTTGAACTTAACTCAAATTCAAAACTTTAATAACTGATCACCCCCAATTTAACATTTTTTGTCGTATTAACTCAAACGACGCTATGTTGATTTGCATCCACAAAGACTCTGTTTTTAATTGTGTTACAGTTCATCAAGATAGGCAGCTAAATTGTTCATCGATGAAAGTACGCTCAGAAATGGAGAAAATTGTGAACGAATTTTACGAGAGCACAAAAGGAACTTTTGAGCAACTTTCTGCAAGGCACATCCAGGAAAGAAAACACTTCTTCATTCGTCGACAAAACCAAAGAAGAAGTCGCTTTTATTCCTGGAGTTGAAAATAATGAAATAAAAATAATATCCTCAATATATGGGTCTTCATAGCTCAATTGGTAGAGCACTGCAGCGTTAACGAAGAGGCCATGGAGCCGAATCCCGTTGAAGTCCCGAAATATTCTTCGGATTAATTTGCAATTGTTTAAATTACAATTAACACTGCGAGGATCATATCTTCGTTTAAAATTTGTACTTCAGTAGTTCACGTAATTTTTATTATATCTGTAATCATAATCAGTTTCAATTTCTTGCCTTTAATGACTTGTTGTGACTTAATGTAAACCAATAAATTACGTGTTAGAATAAAAGATATTATCGAAATATCGATCGATTTTCTGGAAAGAATCACTGATGATAACCAACAAAGAAATTAGCTCCTAAGACTGATTCCCGCAAAACATAAAGCCAACATAACGGTTTGAAACATATTGAACGGTTAAAATGGTGTTATACCGTAAGTGTTTTGTTTCAAATTGTTTCAATTGTTTTTTATTTTACAACATATCCGAAAATATTTCTCTTCTATTTTCCGTTAGGCATCTGAAAAATAAAAGAATAAATTATAGTCGATTTTTGTCTCAAGAAACATGATTTTGACTACTAAAAAGTCTTTGTCTCAACTAAAAATGCAACCTCCATTATTATAACCAACAAAAGTACGCTAAATTGTTCAAATATTGAAATTTCCGTTTATTCATTTTTTCCCGTTTTTCCCGTTTTCTCGCATGCCACCACTTTTAACCTGGTGGTGTCCCTTAGCGGCACCAAATAAAAATAAAGGATTTGAGGGAAGTAAAATTGATGGAGCTCATATTCTAATCATCAGAAAAAAATTGATTTAGTACACTTAACGTTTTCAAGATTTAGGGAGCTTTAATCATCGAAAACGTCAGTTTTAAAAGAATTCCCGTTTTTTCAAAAAGAAATTGGATTTTGGAGTTGATTTCTTGAGGACCTTTTGGGTTGAGATTCGTCAACGTTTCTTCATAAAAGATGGAATAAAACGGTAAAGAAATAGTGAAACGTAATACACCTCAGAAGCGTCGCCGTGGTTTAAATAATAAAACCAGTGAAACGTACCTCGACCATTGCGCTTTACGTGTTATTGTTGAGGGCAACAAATAGCAAAGCGGTCGGCTGGATGTATGAGACAAAAAAACTCCGGTGGACAACGCTGACCACCCCGCCCGCAATAAAAATTTGGCAGCGGATGCTCACACGGCGTCACTGAAATGAATGGAAAACACTTCATTTCACTCAAAAACAGAAATCGGAGGATATTGCGCTTTTCATTCATAAAATGTTTACATGCTCGTTAGTCGAATACATCTTGCTTTAATGGACAAAAACCCGATGATTCGTATTCGTTCTATTTTTTAGCGATGCTTAACCCTTTAAGCCCTAAGAGTGATCAGCATCAAATTTCTCGTTATAATATCAATGCTTTGTAAAACAGAGTAGTCATGAGAATTACAGACATGATCACACAAGATGAATTTGCTTGATATTTTATCAACTTTTCCCCACTACTTCTGTAGGAAATGAGTAGGGGTAAGAAATGAGAATTCAAATCTTGATCTTAGGGTTTAAAGGGTTAAAGAAATATTGAGTGCGATAATCAGTTTACAAGCATTATGTCGATAAAACATTCACTCACCACTTTGGGGCTTTGCAAGACTCTGCGAGACCTATTTCGGTAAAAACATGTGATAATATACGGGAATATTCTACTTCTCTTTATTTTTAATTGTTATTAGTATTATTTTTGCCCGAAAACCCTGATGTAGCTAACAATAAGGGTTTTTTCTTTGACCAGGGCGGTACTCAGACGGAATAAACATGCTTTAACGTTGACTTTAATCGGCAAAACTGGTTAAACGTGGGTAAATTACAAAAACGAGATACACCCAATAAAATACTAGCTTAGGCTCGCTACGCAAAGCGTGGCTAAACCCTAAGCATGTCTGCGTGGGAGGCCTACAAAATACTCGCAAAAACAACTTTATTGCAATTACCTGCGACACTCCCGCGTAAGGTACAAGCAGACTGGAGGAAAGGCCTATGAACGGGGATTTGAGCCCAACAAATATTGAGGCGTTCACTGCCAGATTTAATTATGGAATTTACTAAATACAATATAGGATTAGTTTTGAGTTTTTACTTTGCCTACTGCCAGGAAAACAAAGGGTTGAAATACGGCTTATTGGTTGTTTTAAAGAATATCCAACCTACGTTTGTAAGCACGATGAGGTACACCAACATCAAGGCTAAGATTTTTGCGCCCATGCTGCAAATGCCTGTGTTCTCTGAGGAAATTAAGGGCTTCACTATTGCTTAGTGGACCGCGAAAAATTCTGTATGAATTACTTTTCTGAGTCTCGGTGCTTGAATGTAAAGTGACAACCACTCAACTTAACAGACGTATACTGTTTAAACAGCTTCTGTTTACGTATTCAGCCCTTTAAGTAATTTGTCTGTCTCATGAATTGCACGTGATGGAAAATACAGTTGTTTAAACATAGAAAATATGAAAAATGGACACAATCTTAAAGTCAGGCTAGTAACTTAAAACCATTTTGATGTCTAAAACGGACTGGAGAAACGGACTATTTGCACATTGCATCCCCATCCTTCTATCCCCGTTATATAACGTAACACTTTCCACTGCCAACACAATGTAACGTGTCTTTGCCTAGTCTCTCGGCCTCATTTTACCGCGTGGTCTATGTGTTTCGAGTCACGTGGTCAGAGCTAGTTTTCGTCTAGGATACATCACCGAAAATTGACCGAGCAGGCCTGGGAAAACGCCGTACTAGGACTAGGCACGTGACTCATTTCTGACACCGCTGCGAGGCTACTTTTTCCCGATGTGTACGAGCGCGTATTCCGGTTCAAAAATGTGGAGGAATGAATTAAAAATAACAGGCCTCTAACAAGCAGGTTTGTTAATTGTATCAGCTTGATCAACTGCAGGTCGTATGTTACCGGCCAGGAACAGCGGTTTATAACAAGAGTTAACATGAGTTAAGTCTGAATGTTAAACTTTTTCGTTCAATCTTTAGCAGTATTTTGTGTTTCAGATAGTTGTAAACCCCATCTTCATTCAAAGAGAAAGTCAAGAGAAATTGATCCACCTTGACCTGAGTACGCGCCGATAGAAAATGGGACAATTGTCGGTGAAAGTTACTTCTCATACGCCAGTACACATCGTAAAAAGGTATGTTCTACTTGCAGGATAGATCTTACAAGTACCAGATCGGAAATTCCGGTAGTTTGTTGGTGTTGCAGACTGTTGCAATCACCAAAAGACGAAATACAAAAGATTGAAAAGACACTGAAAAATGCCCAGACTACAATACAAAGGGGAACCAACAATAGTTTGCGGAACACCAAGAAACACCCGCAATTCCAACAACTGTTGCTCTGTGCCTATGAAACATTCCATGGAAAAAGTCAATATTAGCCTTTTATTTTTTATTTCTGAAAACTCTCATTTTCTCTAGTACTTCATTTAAAAGCACTATCTAGGTGCACATGTTTCCATGCGATGGGTGATCTACAGTCAGCGAGCTATAAATATTTGGCAAAATTACTTCGAAGTAGAAAACTTTATTTTTTTATTAAAGACTAAATCAACTGGGAACCACATGAAACATGAAAAATGGGAGGGGTGGACCTCTCATTTTCTTTAGGGAGAAGTCCATAGAAAGAGGTTGGGGTAAACCGGCAGGGTACATTATGGGCATTGTGAACGTGGGGAACGTTCCTTTAATTTCATTAAAAAAAATGTCATTAGGTTTTTAAACTGTATTGGAAAATGAGAAGCGTATGCAAACAGGTGGAAACACTGCAAACTGATAAAAACAAACTGAATGCAATGCCGGCAATTTGTAACCTGACATTCGTCTATTACATATTCAAGGATTCCATGTAGTCTCCGATTATTCCAACTGCCTTGTTTGTGTTTCCTTGTTGGCCACCCTCAGGACAGTGACCGATGACAACCGCTGTCATAGTTCCTTGTATGCACAATGCTCCGCTTTCTTTTTTCTTGGCAAGTACGAACTTGTCGTCTAGCACCCGCAGGAACTGATATCTAGTTCCTTCCACGTAAACACCATCAGTCATAAATGGCATAAAATCTTTGCTCTTAAAGCACCTGGCTATGTTACTTGCCTCACTTCCTTGTAGCTGGAGAGAACAGAAAGAGACAATAAGGAGGTTAAACAAAGACACTAGGAACGCCTGGGACCACAAACTAAAGTTACTTACTAGACGTTTTAAGCGACGTACGTCAACCGGAAGTGAGGCATTTTCGCTTTTTATATACCTTGACGCTTCCAAATGAGCATTGCCAATGGTGTCTCGTGAAAATTTGGGGATAACGGTTGCCCAAGAATGCGAAAAGTCCACTTCCGGCTAGTCTCCCTCGCAGCCGTATGGGGAGCATTGCGTGACATCCAAAAAACGGCTGCGAGGGAGACACACTTCCGGCTGACGTGCGTCGCTCTAAAGTGTCTTTGCTATAGCTTCCTAATAATTACTCAACTACAGTAAAACGTAACTCCAATATAACAAACCGGCATATAACGAAACGGCATAACGAATGACATTCCCTTTCCCCAATGAAAGTGAAATATATGGGGCTGGATCAGGATTACCCCTGTCATAACGAACGATTTTTGTCAGTCCCTTGCTACTTGGTTATATCCGGGTTTCGTGACTGTAAAACCTAATTCGCCAACTCCAAAATCTACCGCATAGGGAGAATGGGTACAAGCTTTCAGGTGAAGATTTCTCGGATCGTATAAGTATCCAATTTAAGCAATGATTGGTCAATGGTTGCCTATGGATACCATCGAACTCATTTAAATTCATGAAATCTCGACAAGGAAGAACAGTGTATGTGACATAAATGTCGTCATTATCTAATACAGAAAGGGGCGACCTCATGTTTAAAACTTGACGCAGGTGATGAAAAGCGCGTGCATTTTTGATGAAGTAATGAACATATTTCGACCAATCATAACACGTGTCTGTCTTTGAACATTTTAAACAGTTCATATGTATTTGAGTCGACGAACAACCTTACTTTTAATGCATTTGGATGGCTAGGTGTAGTCCAAGGGGCTCCGCCGTCCAACCCAATGATACAGGCTCTGTCAATATGTGCCTTGCCAGAAGAATCTTTACTTTGTGCGATGAGGTTATCAATGTAGCTATCCCAAGACATTTCGAGGAAACCTTTATGAACAAACTGTATGATAAGAATGAACGAGACAAGAGAAAGATATTAGCTAGAGCAATTTGACTCTCTTTCTTCCGGTTTTAACAAGGCGTTTTGTCATGTTAAGTGGAAGAGGAAGGACGGGAGACGAAAGAGTGATTGAAAATACGAGAAAAAACTGAAAATTGATGTTAACTAACAGGATCTAACAGCATAAAACGGGAAATTTGATGTCAAATAACAGCATTAGACTGGAATTTTTGACAAAGTTGGTAAAACTACGATTTTTAGTGAATGGTCGGCTAATTAATGAGGTTCGTGATAAAGAAATATTTTGAATGAAAACAACAGTCTACTGAATTCTTACTTAACTAGTAGTCGCAAAAGAAAACAAATAGTTTTTCTAGCTTTCAGTAAAGCTTTCTATCAAGAGTCCAACTGAAACTTACCCTTTAGAAGACAACTTCGGTATATTTACTCTGTACTTAGGACACTTAGCGTTCAGTTGTTACATAGAAGCTGCAACTGGTCGGAGAGGTTTATGTTCCTCAAAGGAACTAGAGTTTGTACTTAAATAAAGGAACCGGAATTACGTAGTTTCCTCCCCAAACTTTTAAAGTTAAAAGCCTTAGTACGATGATGTTGCAAAATTTGTGAAGATATTATGCTTTTGTCATTAATTTAATATTCAATTTGCAGCTTTTTGAAAATTATCCTAGCTCGAAATCACTGACCAATCGGCAAGAAAGCAAATATCCTCCTGTATCGAACCATAAATATGTATGTTACATCAAAGTTTAATTATGTCTAAGGAGTTATCAACAGCGCAACGAGAACTGAAAATATTTCCTTGTCACTTAAGTTCCGAGGCCGGAATACGAGATTGTCATTGAGTTATTTGGTGACACCAACATGCAAACGAGAGTCCAGGCTTAATCAAGTCGAGAACTGACTTACATGTGCGTTCCTATCAGGATCGTCAAGATCATAGTACATCAAAGGAACCGATGAATCTTCTCTGGATAAGGGTTCGTCGGTTCCTTTGATGCACCATGATCTGAAAGATCTCGGGTCAGTGATCTTGTTCAGGATCATCCCAAAGGAACGCATTACAAGGCTGCAATCTGTCAAGAACAAATATCAGGGGCACACATCGTCAATTTTCGGAAAATATCTGTTCGGAAGACGATTTGAGATCTAGAATTTTCGGAACATTTGTTGTAAAATTTCTCGCTTGCCCGCTGCCTTTCCTAAGATTTTCGAACATCTAAAAAACGGTACAATTGTCCATTTTACACGGATTTTTACCTTAAAAAGGTCACCTAGAATTTTCGGAAGCCTTTTTTCTCGCTGAAATTTTCGAAAAGGTAAGTTTTAATCACTACGATTTTCGGATCACTAGACTTTCAGCTAGGAAATCCGAACAGACGAAAAATTTTTAGGGGATAAAAATATGCCTATATCTACCGTTTAAATACTAAAACACGTTTAACAATGCTATGTTTAAGTGGTTCTGAGCTATATTCTCGTTGGGTGCCCCTGAAATATGTCGTTTATTCTCGTGACTCCGTTTGCTAGATGAAGTGTACTTTAAAGCTCCAAACCATAACCACTTAATTTATGTGTTTAGTCGAAACGCCGATTGTTGCAACATTTTCATTGACAACGGTCCTCCTCGGATGTGAGAAAGAATATAGTGTGCGATGCTCTAATCATATATATATTTAAACTGTGCTTTGTAACTATAAGTTACTTGGCAAATATCATCCAACTGAAGTTATTTTTTGAATTTAATCTTTTGTCAAAAAAATGTTGTTCTGTGGATAAGGTATCGTTACAGTACTAACATATTAATCGGACTCGCGGAAGTCAAAACAAGCGATGATTCGTTTAACAATCATTTTATTGCCTACTCATCTCTGGACTTGTTGCTTATTTAATAACATTACACTGACACTTAGCCTTATTTAAAGATTATGACAAGTTTTACGTTTTGTTTTCTTTTGCTGAAATTCTAACAAGCTGCAGGCACCGAGTTTAAATCTTCTAAAGCAGGCATGAGGTACTCTGGTAAAATGTCAGTCCTTTCTTTTCAACTGGAGCCATGTTTCTGGAAGCATCATCCCACTAATGTTAATAACGCACTAAAAAGGAAAAGCAAAAGCAGAGAAAAGAATGTAGTCAACTCATGCGTTTCCCACACAATCAAACACTTATCGGTACTTCTACTCGCCACCTATGTATCGATATGTACGTCAATTTGTAAAGCGTTGGTCTCCACAGTGATCGGCAGGTCCTGAGTTAAAATTCGTGCTCAGACACAAACGATGGTGTTAAAAGACCTGACAAAATCTAGGTTTACTTGAGTCATTGGGGAGGTGAAGTCAAGCCAATGGCCTTTTTGCTTTCACCAGTTTGGTCTATGGTTTATGTTAAAGAAATATTCCACTGCTCTTCGCCGCAAACAGCAAGGGGCGTATAGACTCTGGTGTTTGAAGTTTACCCTAGTTCAGGACTAGAGAATAACTATGACTAGTTGGGATGTAAACTGCAGAGGGAAAATTTGCGCCCACAATAAGTAGTCGGGCAAATTTCCCAGCACACTGTTGTTTAATGTTGTAGTTTAACTTATCCCTTGTAGAATTTTTCTTTTTATGCATTACCCTACCCAAGTAAACGAAAAAAATTAAACCAATGGTCAAATTTAATCATAACATGTATTATTCCTGCAAGCTCCGAGGGAAGTGGAGAGTAAAATGTGTTTGTATTCAAAGTACTTGTGACTGGTAGGGGCCGTCGGAAAAAGCAATCTGAAGCTACCTCTAAGCTTGATCTAAATCATTGGAGGTATAGGCTACCCCTGGGCGATGATCCTAGAAAAGCTCACCTGGGTGTCTACAAAGCGTACCACATCCGGAAGCGCAGCACTTAAGAGGGTTGTTAAGGCCGCAGTCGGAGTCAGAATTGCAAAATCGCCCGCATGGTAAAGGGTTCGGATGATCGAAAGGTTGGAGCTCCACGTCTGGACAGTTGCCTGTTTTAAAAGGGGCTAGTACATAACGAGAGAACAAAGTATATGAACAACATTTAACAGTGGGCTTGGTTGACTCAGACCGCTTCCTCGCGCCTGGGCTACGTTCCTCCCAGAGTAGTGTGTCTAGAGGGAGGAACGCCGGCTCATTCTCCCACACATCGGCTGGAAGTCGAACCTTTTTCCGAGTGACTCCAAGCCTCCTTTTCAAAGCGAGGCCAAGTGCGAAGCCATGATATGAAAATAATTTTTTCAGTTCTGCTCATGCAAATGAAACTCGTTAGAGGGGTTAAGCATTCAGTCAATTTCAAACCTGCCCATCTCCCCTGAACATTTGTGTCGCCCAACAAATCCACCTGGGGGGATGGGCACGCTTGGAATTGTCTGAGCCATAACACTTCCCTAATTAATGGTGTGAAAATCAGCGAACATTTTAACGGACACTTTTTACTTTTTTTGAGCTCCAGTTTAATTTTTTTCAGCACTCTTGAAAGGCCCCGGTAGCCAAAACTCGAATATTTTCCTATCAATTATCCTTTCTCTACTGATTTCAACCTGAAAACAGACCCCACGAATATCTTAATGTAATGGAACAATTCCAAAGCAATTAAAGGAAACCCTTTTTGAATTTCGGTTACTTTAATAACGACTAGGTCACAGACGGGCCAACCTAGCCTTCGTCTCTTCCACCACCCCTTATTCAAAAAACTATTCAACAAGTTTTCGATTTGTTTAGCCGCGTTGGGTAACCAGTCTCACTCAGCAAATGTGCTCAAAATTCTAGACTTACCTTTCATTGGTGTTGAGCGACCCTGTAAGAACAAAACAAATTTTGTCATGCTCAAAACTCCTTTGAGTCAGTGTACGTTAATGTTCTGAAAAGAGCACGTTGTGCTGTTTTAATCGACAAACGCAAAAGAGGGAACCGCCTTGTACAGCATAATTAAACGATGTAGAAAGTTATGCTTTTCAACACGGGACAGCTTTCAGAGCTTTCATCTTTATAGTCACGCACACGCTTTAGTTTAGAATTTAGGATTTTACTCAATTACACAAAATCTTGAACCATCTTGTAGAGCAAAGTCAGTCGCCTGTAAAGTTTCTATAACGGAGATATGGGAGAAAAGTGGATAAGAAATAGACTAAGAAATCGCATTTAAACAAATAAAACTCACCGGAGGAATGTTATCCACAAAGTAGAGTATACAGATCAGCAGAGCAAGAGCTACAATACGTTGCATTTTAGAATCCTCCAGGGACAGCGATCAGTTAAACTTGCCAAGTCTGACAAGGCTGAAAAAGAAATTCTCAAACTCATTAATAATTCATAAAGAAAATTCAAAGGAAATTAATGTTTAATGAGTGTTTGGATATCAGATGAAAAACTGCTCATTTTTGCATCCTTAATTTCTCCTTCAAAAATGATTTTGTTTGAGAAGAAATATCAAACATTCGACACAGTGTTTCATCGCCAGATGAAACACCTCGAAGTTCGTCAAAAATAATCCGCTACGCGTCGTATTTTCAACTCTCTTCTCGGTGTTTCATCTGGTGATGAAACACCGCGTCTCATGTTTGATATATTACGTAAAAGATAGGGAATTGTAAAATAACTGTTCCGAAGGTGAAGCCGCCAAAAGCGAAATCCTAAAGATTTTCTTGTTCGCTCGATTGTGACTTCTCAGGCAGAAATGACTCGAATCTCTAACCCACTATGACCCAGAATTAAAGGAAACAGCTTATAGGGTGGGTCAATGCTCATTTCGGATGTCTAAACACCGGGAACTTGATCCGCAATACCCAATATACTCTAGTCATGCTACGCCCTTGTACTGACTTGTGAGCAACTTAGAGCATCATTACTTTATACTTTATCGCTAGAGACGATTAAAAATAATCTTCTCTGCATACCGTATCTCAACTCAACTAAAAACAAGTTTGGCGTGATATGAATTATGATGTATCATAGTTTGCTCATTTTCCTTGAGACGTGCAACGAATTATAATTGACCGGGAAAAACAAATATTTCTGTTAAGTGTTCGTGAACTTAAATATCAGATCACAGCTTTTATATCAGTAAGTATGCAGCTTCAGCTTTTCGGTTCATATCTCTTTTCCGCATTGATCGAAAAAAATCGGCATCTCGTTTTTCCTACTCGAGTCGCCGATATAAATGCGTGGTGATAATAAATTAAAAGCTTTTTCATAAAAGTTTATGTTTTAGAACATCGAGAAAAGAGTTGTTTCTGATGAAGCAAAGTGTCTCTCAATTGAAGTTTAAGTTGTGTCCTTTAATTGCTTGGAAAAAAGTAACGATATTCAGTAAAAGCAGAAGCAGAAGCAAAAACAGTTCAGTTGAAACTTTACTTAGAGCTTCAGTGAGATGAAACGTTGGCAAATATCGTTTAAGCAAATACAGCAGTGATTCGATTGCTGTCCTGTCTGATTAATTTCAGTGTGTAGTACAGAAACATTGTTTTTCACTCTTCCTACAATTTTTTTCAATGTTTAAGAGAATCCTTTCATTAGCAAAACGAAACAAGGCTTTCATAGGATTGTGCAAAACACAAATTCAGTACAGTACTCTAATCTTCTTAATCGTGCCAATCTACCTAGCTTACAAAATAGGTGTTTACAAGATCTTGCTGCCTTAATGTATAAAGTTAAATATGGTTTGGTACCTAGTAATGTCGTTGAGATTTTTAGTGTTGAGTCATCGAAATATCACTAAAGAAATATGGATTTTCATTTACTCAAATTTAACAGTGTACTTTACGGGAAGCATTCTATAAGGTACTTTGGACCATATACAGGGTCTAGATTGGACACCAAAATCAAGGAAAAATCTACCTTACAATCCTTTTCGTCCCGCATACGGCGTATTAACCTTGTGGATCTTATAAGTGACCATTAGGGCTCCTGTCTTACTTGTAGTTCTTGGGTTTTTGGGAATTTTTAGAAACATTTTTAGCATTTTTCTGTATATTTTAGTACGGATAACTTTACTAAACTTAAATTTACCTAACGATACCATGTATAAACTCATTTTGTAATTTTCTTCCTATTATTTTAGTGCCCCCAATTAGCTTTCATAAGCTAAAGACATCGACACTTAAATAAGGTTGTTATGTTATGTTATGTTCATATATATGGGTTTTGATGATTTTGCAGGCTACTGAGCTGTCGACCCAGCAGAATGCAGGATTAACTCTTTATATCCTCCTCATGGGGAACAAAGTGGAAATTCCAGAAAAGAAGCCAAATTTCTAAAAATATTCAAAATCAAAGAGAACAAAAGAATAAAAAAGGGGGTAGTTCTAGGTAGAAATTTCTGACCCCCAAGTAAAGAAACTGTAACAACTAAAACTTACCTTTAACAATCAAATGTTAACTGAGCGACTTCAACTCAACCTTCAATCTGCGATTGATCTGATAGGTAAATGTCCCTCAAAGGAACTAATATTTATACTTGTAAAAGAGAACAGGAATGACGCAGTTTCCTTGTTCTTTTCTTTAAGTGGCTAGGTGCGATGACACTGCAGATTATGCCTCACCAGTCAATATAAAGGCGACAACACTTCAGTCAATAACCTGCAGTATCGCTCTATATCGTCAAAGGACTTTTATATTTCAATTTCATAACGATTCGTCCCCACAGAGGCAAAATCAATTAGTGTATTGTTTAGTTAAGTAAACTGCTACAATGTTTTCCTCAACCGAAATGAGAATTTTCACTACTCTTTTATATACTTCAACTAGCTGCCGTTTTCATTTTTCAAAACCTAGTTTAATTAAACATGTTTGGTTGGTTTGAAGGAGGCGTTATAGTCTTTTTTGTCTAATATTTCTTTTAAAGCCCTTCTAACTTTCAGGTGTTTTTACTCACGTGACCTGCAGCTATGTAAAAAATGTAATCAAATACAAGTTGGTAAATTCTCTCACGTTTCTGCACTCAAATCCTGGAAGCCTTCGTGCCAATTTACTTTTGACTTTTGTCGTTTTCAACGTCAAGATCAATGCTTTTACCTTGTCGGACAGATTTTGTAATCGTCCTAACTTTTGGTAGTATCAAATTATGTTTTGCGTTACAATTAACAATGCGAGGATCAAATCTTCGTTTAAAATTTGTATTTTCGCGGTTCACATCAAGTTCATTATATCTGTAATCATAATCAGTTTCAATTTCTTACCTTTAATGACTTGTTGTGACTGAATGTAAACCGATAATTATGTAAAACTATTGCAGAAAGCTATAAACCTCTCACATATTAGAATAAAAGATATATGTAATGCTATGCCCTACGTGACATGTTACAAATGCTATACTACTATAGGGAAATTTCTGCAGTTTGATTGGGTTAGAGCGGTGGTATTTCAGCTTAATTTGAAATACCTACATGTGGAAAGTACAAACCTTTTGCAGGTAGTAGTATAAAGAAATAATAGCATGATTTGTACGTGATATTTGGTATAAATACCACTCATGATATTTCAAAGTTTTCTCAAATTTCACTCGCCTAACGGATCGTGAAATGACGTGTAACAATTTTGAAATATCACTCGTGGTATTTATGCCAAATATCACTACAAATCATGCTATTACCTATATTAATAGGTACATAACGAGCCACATGAAGTGTTTACAGATTGTCACAAAATATCCTTACATAATGTTATTTACGAACAACTACATAACTTTGAAACATATTGGCGGATATAATGCTGATTTAATTTCCTTTACAGCCGTTTCTCCTCTTGTGGCATCTGAAAAATAAAGAATCAGTCATAGTCTTTGTCTCAAGTATGATTTTGACTACTAAAAATGCAACCTTCCTTATTATAACTAACAAAAGTACGCTAAATTGTTCAAATACTGATTTATTCATTTTTGCCCGTTTTCTCGCATGCCACCACTTTTAACCTGGTAGTGTCACTTCGCGGCACCAATAAATATATGAGAGGAATATGAGAGCCCATATTCATATAAAATTGATGGTACACTTAATTATCTCTCTAATCCTCAGAAAAAAGAATTGGATTTAGAATTCTTTTGGGTTGAAGTTAACGTCGTCAAGATGGAATAAAACTAGTGAAACGTACCTCAGAAGTTTATTTCCTCGACCATTGCGCTTTACATGTTATTGCTGAGGGCAACAAATAGCAAAGCGGTCGGCTGGATGTATGAGACAAAAAAACTCCGGTGGACAACGCTGACCACCCCGCCCGCAATAAAAATTTGGCAGCGGATGCTCACACGGCGTCACTGAAATGAATGGAAAACACTTCATTTCACTCCAAAACAGAAATCGGAGGATATTGCACTTTTCATTCATAAAATGTTTACATGCTCGTTAGTCGAATACATCTTGCTTTAATGGACAAAAACCCGATGATTCGTATTCTTTCTATTTTTTAGGGATGCTTAACCCTTTAAGCCCTAAGAGTGATCAGCATCAAATTTCTCCTTGTAATATCAATGCATTGTAAAACAGAGTAGTCATGAGAATTGTGGACACGATCACACAAGATGAATTTGCTTGATATTTTATCAACTTCTCCCCACTACTTCTGTAGGAAATGAGTAGGGGTAAGAAATGAGAATTCAAATCTTGATCTTAGGGTTTAAAGGGTTAAAGAAATATTGAGTGCGATAATCAGTTTACAAGCATTATGTTGATAAAACATTCACTCACCACTTTGGGGCCTTGCAAGACTCTGCGAGACCTATTTCGGTAAAAAAACATGTGATAATTTGGCGGAATTCTACTTCTTTTTTTTTTAATTGTTATTAGTATTATTTTTGGCCGAAAAACCTGATGTAGCTAACAATAAGGGTTTTTTTCTTTGACCAGGGGGGTACTCAGAAGGAATAACAATGCGTTAACGTTGACTTTACTGACTTTAATCCGCGGCAAAGCTGGTTAAACGTGGGTAAATTACAAGAATGAAATAGATCCAGTAAAATACTAGCTTAGGCTCGCTACGCAACGCGTGGCTAAAGCCTAAGCATGTCTGGGTGGGAGGCTTACAAAATACTCGCAAAATTGTGAAGACAAAACAAACTTATTGCAATTACCTGCGACATTCCCATGTAAGGTATAAGCAGACTGGAGGAAAGGGCTAATAACGGGGATTTGAGCCCAACAAATATTGAGGCGTTCACTGCCAGATTTAATTATGGAATTTACTAAATGAAATATAGGATTAGTTTTGAGTTTTTACTTTGCATACTGCCAGGAAAATAAGGGGTTGAAATACGGCTTATTGTTTGTTTTAAAGAATATCCAACCTACGTTTGTAAGCACGATGAAGTACACCAACATCAAGGCTAAGATTTTTGCGCCCATGCTGCAAATGCCTGTGTTCTCTGAGGAAATAAAGGGCTTCGCTATTGTTCAGTGGACCGCGAAAAACTCAGTATGAATTATTTTTTCTGGGTCTTGGTTCTTGAATGTAAATTGACAACCACTCAACTTAACAGACGAATACTGTTTAAACAGCTTCCGTTTACGTGTTCAGCCCTTTAAGTAATTTGTCTGTCACACGAATTGCGCGTGATTGAAAACTCAGTTGTTTAAACATAGAACATATGAAAAATGGACACAATCTTAAAGTCAGGTTTGTAACTTAAAACCATTTTGATGTCTAAAACGGACAAGAGAAACAGACTATTTGCACATTGTATCCAAATCCTTCTAACCCCGTTGTGTAACTAACACTTTCCACTGCCAACACAACGTAACGTGCCTTTGCCTAGTCTCTCGGCTTCATTTTACGGCGTGGCTATGTGTTTCGAGTCACGTGGTCAGAGCTAGTTTTCGTCTAGGATACATGACCGAACATTGACCGAGCAGGCCTGGGAAAACGCCGTACTAGGACTAGGCACGTGACTCATTTCTGACACCGCTGCGAGGCTACTTTTTCCCGATGTGTACAAGCGCGCATTTCGTTAAAAAATGTGGAGGAATAAATAAAAAAAATTACCGGTCTCTAACAAGCAGATTTGTTAATTGTGTCAGCTTGATCAACTGCAGGTCGTATGTTACCGGCCAGGAACAGCGGTTTATAACAAGAGTTAAGTATGAATGTTAAACTTTTTCGTTCAATCTTTAGCAGCAATTTGTGTTTCAAATAGTTGTAAACCCCATCTTCATCCAAAACTATATACAGCTGTATGTCAAGAGAAATTGATCCACCTTGACCTGAGTGCGTGCCGATAGAAAATGGGTCAATTGTCGGTGAACGTTACTTCTCATACACCAGTACACATCATAAAAAGGTATGTTCTCGGGGCGGATCTAGGATTTTTTTTAGGAGGGGGTGCACTCGTTTCTTGCTCTACTTCAACACCAATAAACCACATAGTTTTTTTTTGCAGAATACCAGGAAACCGAGGTCATCTCGGGGGGCGCACCACCCTCCCTCTAGATCCGCCCCTGGTTCTGCTTGCAGGATAGATCTTACAAGTACCGGATCGGAAATTCCGGTAGTTTCTTGGTGTTGAGGACTCTTTTCACCAAAGGACGTAATACAAAAGATTAAAAAGACACTGAAAAATGACCAGACTACAATAAAGAGGAACCAACAATAGTTTGCGCAACACCAAGAAACACCCGCAATTCCAACCATTGTCGTTCTATGCCTATGAAACATTCCATGGAAAAAGTCAGTATTACTCTTTTATTTTTTATCTGTGAAAACTCTCTTTTTCTGTAGTACTCCATTTAAAAGCACTATCTAGGTGCACATGTTTCCATGCGATGGGTGATCTACAGTCAGCGGGCTATAAATATTTGGCAAAATTACTTCGAAGTAGAAAACTTTAGTTATTTATTAAAGACCAAATTAACTGGGAACCACATGAAACATGACTTGAAAATGGGAGGGTTGGGCCTCCCATTTTTTTTAAGGGAGAAGTCCTGAGAAAGAGGCTGGGGTAAACAGGGTATATTATTGGCATTGCGAACGTGACGAATGTTCCTTTTTAAAAAAAGAATGTCATTTGGTTTTTAAACTGTGTTAGAAAACGAGAAGCGTATGCAAACGGGTGGAAACACTGAAAACTGATAAAAACAAATTGAATGCAATGCCAGCAATTTGTAAACTGACATTCGTCTATCACATATTCTGGGATTCTAAGTAGTCTCCGATTATTCCAACTGCCTTGTTTGTATTTCCTTGTTGGCCACCCTCAGGACAGTGACCGATGACAACCGCTGTCATAGTTGCTTGTATGCACAATGCTCCGCTTTCTTTTTTCTTGGCAAGTACGAACTTGTCGTCTAGCACCCGCAGGAACTGATATCTAGTTCCTTCCACGTAAACACCATCAGTCATAAATGGCATAAAATCTTTGCTCTTAAAGCACCTGGCTATGTTACTTGCCTCATTTCCCTGTAACTGGAGAGAACAGAAAGAGACAATAAGGAGGTTAAACAAAGACACTAGGAACGTCTGGGACCACAAACTAAAGTTACTTATTAGACGTTTTAAGCGACGTACGTCAACCGGAAGTGAGGCATTTTCGCTTTTTATATACCTTGACGCTTCCAAATGAGTATTGCCAACGGTGTCTCGTGAAAATTTGGGGATAACGGTTGCCCAAGAATGCGAAAAGTTCACTTTCGGCTAGTCTCCCTCGCAGCCGTATGGGGAGCATTGCGTGACATCCAAAAAACGGCTGCGAGGGAGACACACTTCCGGCTGACGTGCGTCGCTCTAAAGTGTCTTTGCTATAGCTTCCTAATAATTACTCAACTACAGTAAAACGTAACTCCAATATAACAAACCGGCATATAACGAAACGGCATAACGAATGACATTCCCTTTCCCCAATGAAAGTGAAATATATGGGGCTGGATCAGGATTACCCCCGTCATAACGAACGATTTTTGTCAGTCCCTTGCTACTTGGTTATATCCGGGTTTCGTGACTGTAAAACCTAATTCACCAACTCCAAAATCTACAGCATAGGGAGAATGGGTACAAGCTTTCAGGTGAAGATTTCTCGGATCGTATAAGTATCCAATTTAAGCAATGATTGGTCAATGGTTGCCTATGGATACCATCGAACTCATTTAAATTCATGAAATCTCGACAAGGAAGAACAGTGTATGTGACATAAATGTCGTCATTATCTAATACAGAAAGGGGCGACCTCATGTTTAAAACTTGACGCAGGTGATGAAAAGCGCGTGCATTTTTGATGAAGTAATGAACATATTTCGACCAATCATAACACGTGTCTGTCTTTGAACATTTTAAACAGTTCATATGTATTTGAGCCGACGAACAACCTTACTTTTAATACATTTGGATTGCTAGGTGTAGTCCAAGGGGCTCCGCCGTCCAACCCAATGATACAGGCTCTGTCAATATGTGCCTTGCCAGAAGAATCTTTACTTTGTGCGATGATGTTATCAATGTAGCTATCCCAAGACATTTCGAGGAAACCTTTATGATCAAACTGTATGATAAGAATGAACGAGACAAGAGAAAGATATTGGCTAGAGCAATTTGACTCTCTTTCTTCCGGTTTTAACAAGGCGTTTTGTCATGTTAACTGGAAGAGGAAGGACGGGAGACGAAAGAGTGATTGAAAATACGAGAAAAAACTGAAAATTGATGTTAACTAACAGGATCTAACTGCATAAAACGGGAAATTTGATGTCAAATAACAGCATTAGACTGGAATTTTTGACAAAGTTGGTAAAACTACGATTTTTAGTGAATGGTCAGCCAATTAATGAGGTTCGTGATAAAGAAATATTTTGAATGAAAACAACAGTCCACTGAATTCTTACTTAACTAGTAGTCGCAAAAGAAAACAAATAGTTTTTCTAGCTTTCAGTAAGGCTTTTTATCAAGAGTCCAAGTGAAACTTACCCTTTAGAAGACAACTTCGGTATATTTACTCTGTACTTAGGACACTTAGCGTTCAGTTGTTACACAGAAGCCGCAACTGGTCGGAGAGGTTTATGTTCCTCAAAGGAACTAGAGTTTGTACTTAAATAAAGGAACCGGAATTACGTAGTTTCCTCCCCAAACTTTTAAAGTTAAAAGCCTTAGTACGATGATGTTGCAAAATTTGTGAAGATATTATGCTTTTGTCATTAATTTAATATTCAATTTGCAGCTTTTTGAAAATTATCCTAGCTCGAAATCACTGAACAATCGGCAAGAAAGCAAATATCCTCCTGTATCGAACCATAAATATGTATGTTGCATCAAAGTTTAATTATGTCTAAGGAGTTATCAACAGCGCAACGAAAACTGAAAATATTTCCTTGTCACATAATTTCCAAGGCCGGAATACGAGATTGTCATTGAGTTATTTGGTGACATCAACATGCAAACGAGAGTCCAGGCTTAATCAATCCGAGAAGTGACTTGATGTGCGTTCGTATCAGGATCATCAAGATCATAGTACATCAAAGGAACCGATGAATCTTCTCTGGATAATGATTCATCGGTTCATTTGATGCACCATGATCTGGAAGATCTCGGATCAGTGATCTTGTTCAGGATCATCCCAAAGGAACGCATTACAGGGCTGCAATCTGTCAAGAACAAATATCAGAGGCACACAACGTCAATTTTCGGAAAATATCTGTTCGGAAGACGATTTGAGATCTAGAATTTTCGGAACATTTGTTGTAAAATTTCTTGCTTGCCCGCTGCCTTTCCTAAGATTTTCGAACATCTAAAAAACGGTACAATTGTCCATTTTACACGGATTTTTACCTTAAAAAGGTCACCTAGAATTTTCGGAAGCCTTTTTTCTCCCTGAAATTTTCGAAAAGGTAAGTTTTAATCACTACGATTTTCGCATCACTAGACTTTCAGCTAGGAAATCCGAACAGATGAAAAATTTTTAGGGGATAAAAATATGCCTATATCTACCGTTTAAATACTAAAACACGTTTAACAATGCTATGTTTAAGTGGTTCTGAGCTATATTCTCGTTGGGTGCCCCTGAAATATGTCGTTTATTCTCGTGACTCCGTTTGCTAGATGAAGTGTACTTTAAAGCTCCAAACCATAACCACTTAATTTATGTGTTTAGTCGAAACGCCGATTGTTGCGACATTTTTCATTGACAACGGTCCTCTTCGGATGTGAGGAAGAATATAGTGTGCGGTGCTCTAATCATATATATTTAAACTGTGTTTTGTAATTATAAGTTCCTTGGCAAATATCATCCAACTGAAGTTACTTTTTAATTTGATCTTTTATCGAAAAATGTTCTGTGGATAAGGTATCGTTACAGTACTAACATATTAATCGGAGTCGCGGAAGTCAAAACAAGCGATGATTCGTTTAACAATCATTTTATTGCCTACTCATCTCTGGACTTGTTGCTTATTTAATAACATTACACTGACACTTAACCTTATTTAAAGATTATGACAAGTTTTACGTTTTTTTTTCTTTTGCTGAAATTCTAACAAGCTGCAGTCACCGAGTTTAAATCTTCTAGAGCAGGCATGAGGTACTCTGGTAAAAAGTCAGTCCTTTTTTTTCAACTGGAGCCATGTTTTTGGAAGCATCATCCCAGTAATGTTAATAACGCACTAAAAAGGAAAAGCAAAAGCAGAGAAAAGAATGTAGTTAACTCATGCGTTTCCCACACAATCAAATACTTATTAGTACTTCTACTCGCCACCTATGTACGTCACTTTGTAAAGCGTTGGTCTCCACAGTGATCGGCAGGTCCTGAGTTAAACTTCGTGCTCCGACACAAACGATGGTGTTAAAAGACCTGACAAAATCGAGGTTTACTTGAGTCATTGGGGAGGTGAAGTCAGGCCAATGGCCTTTTTGCTTTCACTAGTCTATGGTTTATGTTAAAGAAATATTCCACTGCTCTTCGCCGCAAAGAGCAAGGGACGTATAGACTCTGGTGTTTGAAGTTTACCCTAGTTCAGGACTAGAGAACAACTATGACTAGTTTGGATGTAAACTGCAGAGGAGAAATTTGCGCCTACAATAAACAGTCTGGCAAATTCCCCAGCACACTGTTGTGTAATGTTGTAGTTTAACCTATCCCATCCCTTGTAGAATTCAATTTTTCTTTGCATGCATTACCCTTCCCAAGTAAAAGAAAAAAAATTAAGCCAATGGTTAAATTTAACCGTAACATGTATTATTCCTGCAAACTCGGAGGGGAGTGGAAAGTAAAATGTATTTGTATCTAATGTATTTGTACCCCCCCAGCCCCCGATAGATGTCTCTCTTCTTAAGGAAAGGCGAATGATGCGGAGGTCTTGGAAAGAACATTAGCGGAAGCTTCCTTTAAACTCCAGTTCCAAACCAGTTTCAAAAGACAATCTTTCTCAAGTGTAGCTTCAAATTCTGTGATGCCGCAATCTGGATAAGGTCTCCATTCTAGAAACAGTTTGTACTGCTTCAGCACCGTGTTAAGACCACTTAATAGTGACTGGTAGGGGCCGTAGGAAAAAGCAACCTGAAGCTGCCTCTAAGCTTGATCTAAACCATTGGAGGTATAGTCTACCCTGGGCGATGATCCTAGAAAAGCTCACCTGGGAGTTTGCAAAGCCAGCCACATCCGGAAAAGCAGCACTTAAGAGGGTTGTTAGGGCCACAGTCGGAGTCAGAAGTGCAAAATAGCCCGCATGGTAAAGTGTTCTGATGATCGATAGGTTTGAGCTCCCCGGCGGCTGGACAGATGCCTCGTTTATCAGAGCCTGTACATACCGAGAGAACAAAGTATATGAACAACATTTAACAGTGGGCTTGGTTTACTTAGACCGCTTCCTCGCGTCTGGGCTTCGTTCCTCCCAGAAAAGTGTGTACGGAGGAACTTGGGTTCATTCTCCCACACATCGGCTGGAAGTCGAGCCTTTTTCCGAGTAACCATCTTCATCCATTTTAGCGGACACCTTTTACTTCTTTTGAGCTTTAGTTTAATTTTCTGGAGCACTTTTGAGTGGTCTTTTAGCTTTTTTTGAAGCTCTTTTAAGCGTGACCGGTAAAGGCCCTTGCAGCCAAAACTCGAACATTTTTCTATTATTTGTTATCCTTTCTCTACTAATTTCAACCTGAAAACATACCCCACGAATATGTTAATGTAATGGAACAATTTCAAAGCAATTAAAGAAAACCCTTTTGAATTTCGGTTACTTCAAGGACCTGGTCACAGACTTGCTAACCCAGTCTCCGCCTCTTCCTCCCTACCCCCACCCCCAACTCAAAAACTATTCAACAAGTTTTCAATTTGTTTAGCCGCGTTAGATAACCAGTCTTAGCAAATGTGCTCAAAATTCTAGACTTACCTCCTCTTACTGGTGTTGAGCGACCCTGTAAGAACAAAACAAATTTGTCATGTTCTAAACTCCTTTGAGTCAGTGTAAGTTAAGGTTCTGAAAAGAGTAACTTGTGCTGTTTTTATCGACAATCGCAAAAGTGAGAACAGCCTTTTACAGCATAATTAACCGATATCACACTAAGAAAGTGACGCCGGACAGCTTTCATCTTTTTAGTCACACACACGTTTTAGTTTAGAATTTAGGATTTTACTCAACAACTCAAAATCTTGAACCATGTCTTGTAGAGCAAAGTAAATTGCTTGTAAAGTTTCTGGTAGTAATGGAGATATGGGAGAAAAGTAGATAAGAAATAGTCGAAGAAATCGCATTTAAACAAGTAAAACTCACTGGAGGAATGTTATCCACAAAGTAGAGTATACAGATCAGCAGAACAAAAGCTACAATACGTTGCATTTTAGAATCCTTGAGGACAATGACAGTGCTAGAAAAGGAGTAAGCAAAACAGAGGACATTAATAGTCGTTCATCTTATTTCAATTCCGCTGAGAAGGTAAAAATAAGACGACATATCCTTCAAAGATTTTTGCTTATTTTCACTCGACTGTAACCGCTTCAGAAATGACTCAGATCCTTCTGGAGTCTTCCAATGTTAAGACTTTCCTGAATGTTGGACGCGTTATGCATCTGGCATCTGGAGAAACCCCTCATGGTGAAGTGTTTTTTTAAACGATAATCCGAGGAAACTTGGCCCAGTCAGTAGGCCCTTGTACCCCTTGTAAGCAACCGCCAGTGTATTGGCTTTAAAACATCATCAATCAATAACGGTTGTGGGTGACCTCCCTGGCCTGTTTTAACGCCAAAAAAAGGAATCGGGTTTGGCGGCTTGAAAATTAGACCGAACAGATTGGTCGATTTTGTTTCAAACCCGTGCACGGCTAAATTTTGATTGACGGAAACAATCTGCTTTTTCTTATCTGCCCTTGAACTTTAGGGAAATAGCTATAATAATCAAGGCTTCTATATCAAGAAAATTTTAACTTTTTCTTGTTACCTTATTTTGCTGTCCCAGTCGAAAAACTTCTATGGACGACTCCTGGGAAATTTGATGATGTATCAAATACTTACTTCGTATTAAAGAAGTGTCACTTTATTGATTTTAAGTTGTCTCTTTAATTCTATGGCAAAAATTGGCGACATTGATTTAAAAAGGAATAACTTCTTAACAATTCAAAACTTTTTAAATACATTGTACAGCTTGAGTTAAAACGTTCGTGTATATCGATTACACAAATACAGCTGGGATTCACATTGACAAACTATGATAAACGATAATTAACGGTCTTTTCTGCACACAGAAACACCTGTTTTGTTTTTCATTTTTCCGGTTTCTTTGGCGGGGAAGATTCCATACTTTTGGCCAAGCAGGATCGGTTTTAGTAACCAAGGATAAATGAATAAGATAAATACACTAATACCTAAGAAAACGCTTTCGTTTTAAAGATAATTTTTCAGTTCCCTAATTCAACAGTCAGTGTGCGCCCCAACCCCCACCCTCTCCTCTTTGTGATCTCTGTAATCCTCAAACATCAAGTCCGTGTTCCATTCCTTCACGTTACTAATCTAATGGACTCCAGAACCCCAGAACAGTCAGCGGCTGTCATCAATGGAGTTTGTGCCGGTTACTATGGCGACGACAGTACTTTGCGGGAAAGACTGCTCAGAAGCAAAGAGCAAAGTGACCTCATAAACAGCCAGAATTTACTTTAATATTTTATGATACGAGGTTAAAGGTAAGGTTGAATAATTAGGTATATATAAGACAATGAATGAGAGTTTCTCCGAAAGTTATTTACTGCGTTTTTGCTTCACGTTTCAAAGCAAGTAAATGATCAACTTCATCGAGTTGGATGATATTTTTGAGGGTATGATGTACGTAAATCCAGGATATAAGCTTAGGTATTGTCTTGAAACGTACTCAGTTCGTGCATTTATGTGCTTTGATCGTTATATAGTTTAATGAAACTACACGATAAATAATCTCCCGAATAGATTCAAAATAAACAGCTGAAGTTGTTTCTGATTAAAATTAAATCACAATGCAATGAAGTCCCTTAATCTACATTGTTTTTCGATGTGCAGTGATTTGTCTCTTTGTTGTTTCTTCAGGCATGGGAGCAACAATCTCCAGCCACACTCATGGGACATCTGTCAGTGAATATGGCAAAGGAAAATTGGAGTTCACACCTCAGAATGAAGCATTACTGAATGAAATAGTAAAACATGTGGAGGGGCTAGTCAGTTCACACCCCAGGGAGGCAGAGACGATTCTCAAGGAACCCTTCAAGTGGCACAGCACTCTTAATCCTGACAGTTTTGGAGAACTTAACTTTGGTTCAATGGGATTTCAGATAACGTAATTATGCTTTAAACTTGATAATAAAGTAACTCTGTGTCTATTAAAGATGGACAATGTTGGGACTAGTGCTAAATATTTGTCTGTCTTTCGTTTAATGGAGTCGTTCTGCCTCGACAATATTGATTTACCTTGTACCACCTTGTCACATGCTATGTGCTTGGGGTACATATCGTATGAGATAAACAAATCCTACAACTTGCCATGCTTGCAAAGCAAACGTATCGCTGAAATGCGCAAGTCAGTGGTAAGTTTGATTTGCGAGCATGATTAATGTCATAGACTCACTGTAAGCACATCCCATAATGAGACAGTGTTGCAACATGTAAATCAGCTTTTATATACAGTATGACCAGATAACTATAGGGTCTATCTCTAGCTTTCCTGTGTCCATGGAAAATGTCTACCCTGTAGAAGTGTCCATTAGAAGACAGTTGACTGTTTGCTTTTGTTAAACCACTTGGGTAGCCATAATTTAAAATTTATTTAGTTTTTGTGTCAAAGACAAAGTGAGGTAAAGATTATATTGTTAGCTCATGGGTTATTAGGCAAGTAAGGGAAGTTGCCTACATGTAGTAGCTCATGGAGACAGTCATTTAGACACTCCATGTAAATGTATCTATCGTAACTAACCCACAGTATACATGTACGTAGAATTGTATCCAAAAATTCATGGGTTTCTTTTTTGACACATTTAAAGTCACAGTGATGTGAAATCTGAGGCAAAAACACCAGGTGGAGAGCATTTATTGTCTATGGACAAGGTAAATGAATTCAGAATATTTTGTCATGATCCCTTATTAATCATTTTTTTAAAAAAAAAATAATAGGGAGCGGACGTAAGATCCAAACCTTCCACATCCTGTACCTTGCATTCCCGGGTCTGCCCCCTTTATCTTAGCTTCTTCTCTTTAGCCCTTTTCCAACTACAAAATGTTAAGGGTTATTACCTATAAACATCCACCTTTTTCCTACCTCCCACCCTTTTAGAACTCCCACATCCTGCCCTTTCCTCTCTTTAATACCTCCCATACCCCTTCCCCAGTTCTCTTGGGCTTCTCACCAACCTCCCCTACATGATGTTATAACACCATACAGTGACGGGTCCAGACCTTCAGATAAGAGGGGGGGGGGGGCGGTCATCCAAACCCTGAGTTAAGGGGGGGGGGCGGCCCAAAAAAATTTTTTCAGCCCTTTGGGCCTCATTTTGGTCTAAAAATAAGGGGGGGCACAAGCCCTCCTGGTCCCTCCCCTAGATCCGCCACTGCCATATCCTTACAGTTCAACAGCTCAGTTGTAGTGCTAGCTAACTCTCGGACTACATCTCCATATTTAAGTGAGCATCATTTCCTTGCTCTTTTTAGAGCTCACTTGACAATCAGTACATAGAGCACAGTCAAACACTGTTATTACAGACACTAAGGGGGCCATTGAAAGTGTCCATAGTAACAGGTTGTCCATATTAACCCTTTAAGTCCCAATAGTGACCAACATTAATTTTCTCCTAACAATATCCATACAATGTCAAGAGATTAGGTTATAAGAATTAATAAAATGATCACCTAAGAGAAGATGCTTTGATCTTTTATCAAATTCTCTCAACTCATTCTTTAAGGAAATATATAGAGATCAGTTTGGAGAATTTGTATGCGGATATTTGGACTTAAAAGGTTAAGCAGGTTGAATTTAGAGAAAAAGTAAGAGCTTGCTTTCCCCAGGGAAAACGCAAACTGTCAGTAATAATCATGTGTCCGTATTAAGTGGGCACGTCTGTAAGAAGGGTTTGGCTGTAAGAATATTTCAAAATACAAGAAAGACTTTAACAATAATATTAGCCAAAAAAATAGTCATAGTAAATTTATACATACTGTACAAAAGTCTGAGGATTGATGATGTATATAAGTTGTGTACAAATTTCTACATTTTGATCTTTAGGATGGTGAACAATATGTCCTAAAAGTCTGGACATTTGAGCAAATTGGAAATGTGCTCAAAGTTGCTGGAGAGAGAAAATGCCGTGAAGCTCAAGCTTGCTTAGAAGGTAATATTTTTATTTTACAAGATCGTGGACAGGCCATTTAAGGCAAAATACGGTACAGTGTCTCAAGTACTTTTGCAACTCGGTTGTAGCTGTGGGTGACGTTGGTTCATGTTGTGCTCATAAATTTATTTCTTAGTTATTTGCCTTTTACAGAAAACCAAGATCCCATGGTTAATGTGATGGGTGCGGCATATGCGTCTGTCAATAGCAGTGACAGGCCCCTGTTAAAGGCGCATGCTGATCTTAGTAAAGCCCGGGAAGACTCGTCAGAGAATGTTGATGAACAGGAGGCAAGGTTTACGCTCTCTCTTCTCATTAGCGAAATGGATAAACAGCTGCTAATGACATCACACAATACTATTGCCAAGTAAGTTCCCAAGTGTACTGCTCATTAATAGAGGAAATGACTGATTTATGTCCTTACAGATGACAAACATTCAAATCATTGGCTAACGTAATGCTTTTACATGACAGAGCGGTTTAACTCTTTAAGCCCTAAGAGTGATCAGCATCAAATTTCTCCTTGTAATATCAATGCTTTGTAAAACAGAGTGGTCATGAGAATTACAGACATGATCACACAAGATGAATTTGCTTGATATTTTATCAACTTCTCCCCTCTACTATTGAAGGAAATGAATAGGGGCAACAAATGAGAATTCAAATTTTGATCTTAGAGTTGAAAGGGTTAATACTGGAAATGAAAGGAGGATTTAGCAAAATATAAGGATGTAGAGTCCTATTTACATATCTCTAAGCTACTTGTACCTTAATTCCTGTGATCTGAAAAGAAGTGTCTTTCTTAAGTTTGTATGCATTTCAGTATGACTAATTTCTGAAAAAAATTATTTGTTGTAGGGAAGTCAGGTTGAACCCTAGTACTGTGCAGGTAATAATTCAATTTAACCTCTAGCCTGCGAGCAAGCTCTCCGGGGCACTCTGGTGTGGGAAAAGGAAGGAGAGCTTGCAACTACAAGATTGGAATTTGAATATCTGCATCAAAAAAGTCAATGCGAAATGCTGATTGGCTAAGATGATATTGGTAATAGCATAATTTCTCTTGGCGCATGTTTTTCAATTTTTGTTCACATTCTTTCTCATTTTTCCGCTTCGCGCTGATTGGTGGAAATCTGATGACGGGGATCCAGGCCAGAGGGGGATTGGAGGTGGAATTCAAATTCCAGAGATGTAGTTGCAAGTTCTCCTTCCTTTTCCAACCCTGTCGCCAGAGCGCCTGGGAGGGCTTGCGAGCTTGCTTGCTTGTATCGAGAACAAATATTAACACATCATTTCTCCATGTTACGTTTGTGAGATAGATGTCCATATAAAAAGACACATTCTGCTGCCCATTGGTTTATGCAGGATCTCACCTCCCCCTGCTAATTCAAAGGGATCATGCTGAAATCGATCAGCGTAACCTTGACACCAAGGGTCTACATTCTGTACTGTTTAAAATCCTTGTTGATTGTCTGGCCAGAGTTTGAACTCACAAGAAAAACTAAGCCAACTAGCAATGGTTTGCTTAGTTGGGAGCAAGGCCAGCTGAGACCTTGTTATTTTAAAAAATCATCCTGAATACTGAACCAGGAAGTGAAATGCCATAATGAGAGCTTTCAGGACACTGAATCATGTCTGTCTCGTAACCTACAGGCTGAGTATGAACTCCTGAAAACATTTGCTGGTGAAGAAGGGAATTGTTTGGAATACATTGAGTGGACACTTGGTTAGTATGTGGTTCTCATCAAGTAATGTATTTGTTGAAGTTTCACAAGCCACGTTGATAGTTTTTTATGGTTTAATATGTGATATCATGCTACACCATGTTGTTGTCACCTGTTTGGCAAACAAAAATGAAAAAAAATTAAATAAAATTAATTGACTTTTGGTTGTTAATTCTTTTATGATATGAAACTAACAGGAAGATTGAGATAATTTTGCAAGACAGTGATGTAAATGCACCCATAAAAAGAAAAAATGGTTAAGGGATATGGCAAGTGTTTGTCTAGATCTAAGATTTATTAATCAAACAGATAAGATAGCATTGGAAATTTATGTACGTTGTAAAAAGCTGATAAACAAGGCCATTCCTAGATCACCAGTTCAGTAATGGATGCCACGCCCCGCCCTGGCAGCAGGTCCATGGTGATATCAGCTACTTGGATGTGAAGCCGTTTGACAGTGACAAGTTGACTATCACTGCAAACACAGCAGGATACTTTCTGAACAAGGGATTGACCCAAGAGGGACAGGTCAACCATGAGAGAGAGGGAGACATCTACCCTACTCTTGTCGCACTTCTTAAGGCCAAGAGTCCACAGTTTGCCGCTGCTATTGAAAAGAAGGTAAATTAGGTTAAAAATAGTTGTATTTTGTGTGTTTCTCGATTTTGTGAAATGAAACTTAGCTGATGGTGTTACCTACCTCCTGGCAGGAGTTTGCATATTATGGTTCAACAGAAGTTAAACAGGACAACACTGAGAAGATTGACGAGACTTTGAAGGAAGAGGAGGATAATGGATCAGCTGGAGAAGAAGCAGCTGATGGAATAGAGGCTAAAAATCATCAAAAGTGAGCTTAAAATTTACCATCATTCTTCCAATTTGCCATACAAGAGCCTTTCATAGCACTGTGCAGGACACAGGTCACATTTGAACCTTGTATTATGCATGTGTACACCTTGTTCCACAATGGTGGTAAAATTAACTTTTTTTACTGTTAATGTTGATTAGCACTCTTTGCCTCAATTGTTAGATGTGCAGAATTCAAACAAATTTGAACCTTAAAATGAAGCATTAAGGACAAGCTATTGAGAAGGCAAAAGAATATGACTTAATTTCTACCATTTTGGAATTAGGTGTATGGTCTAGCATGACAAATACTCCCTATTAGTCATGAGTAACTAGATTATTCAAGCCGTATCTACTATGTCATTGGTGCAACTCCCTTTAAACCTTATCATGACAAGGTGATGCACATTACATTACATATATTTTTCTCCAAAGTGAGCAGCTTTACTTCACAAAATTGCTAACAATAGATGGGGTTAATACTAACCTGAGATCAGGCTCTATTTTCGTTTCACTTTGAAAATTACATTCCGGCGGGCAAGACGAAACGAATTTCAGCGGTAGCCGTTAGAGAGAATGTATGAGAACCGCTAAAATTGGGCCTGATCTCAGGTTAGGTTAATACAGGCTCAACCTTTGCTTCTTGGATTGTCTCCTATTCCAGGGGATGAGCATGCAGCAGAGAATACTGGGAACAAGGTTGATACAGACCGGCTATGAAAATGCTTACTAGCCTAACTTTTGAAATCTGTTTATGATTATTATTTTTTGTCTTTTCTTCAGCGCGGCTCCTAAGACTAAAACAACCAAAACGACGCAAAAGAAGAAAGGAACCAAGGGAGCAAAGACATATGAATCATCACCTCGCTGGAAAAATATCAAAATTGAATTCGGTGCAGATCTAATTGGTGACCAAGAGTAAGTAGTCTAACCCTTTAAGTCCCAATATCCACATGCAAATTCTCCCATGTGATCTTCATCGTTTCCTTGAAGGATTAGCTAAGAGAATTGGATAAAAGATCAAGGCATGTCCTCCTTGTTGATCATTTTATTAATTCTCTTAACCTATACTCCAGTTAATGTATAAAAATGTTAGGAGAAAATTGATGTTAGTCACTTTTGGGACTTAAAGGGTTACATCAGGGATTTTTTAGCTAATCAGAAGTAAAATACCAGCAGGGAGGTAGGGATAGCTTAAAACATAACAATACACAGACTTACAAAGGTTCCTTTCTTCAGTGACCATTGTGAACACTGACTTCAGATCAAGATTGCCCTTTAAAAATGTCCAGCTTGTTTAATTGTGTATTGTTGTGCTTTTTTAGTGTTAATGATGGTAAGCAGATTTTTTTCAGACCAAAAAACATTTGAAATAATGCAGTTTTGTGCATTACTTACAGTGTCTCTAGAGAATAAATAGTTTAAAGTTTTTTTTTTCTTTACCTGCACATATCACTCATTTGTAAAGCCACTGCACAGAAAACTTACAGGGGTTTTAGGGAAGTTAAGAGCCATTATTTTCATTTCACAATATTAGTATTGTTTGGTGACTGTAATTCTCTATATGTGCAGGAAAAAAGACAAAGACAAGCAGAAGGGCAAAAGCACCCCTGACAAGAAGCCACCATCTAGACACGCAAAGAGCAGGTAAGAACCTTTGTACAGACATTGTTAAATATCTTACTCTTTTACTCCACAGAGTCAATTGTCATTGATTTTTATCCTTGGCTTAATTAATTTATTTTTTGTTTCAAACTCATTATCATTAACTAGTATACCAAAAACAAAGAAAAGTAAGTTAAGACAAAAATAGATTTGAACCGCAACAGAGACAAGAAATGTAGTTCTTACTTTTGATGACATCCAATTACATTTCCATTTGAATGAAATGTCTTTGGCAATGGCATCTTTGAAATGGGATTTGCAATTTTTGTTGCATTTTGTATTTTTGGCATATTTTGTAACAACGTAGGGATGGTTGTAAACACTTTTGCTTGGAGAACTTTTCAACATGTGGTATGTATCAAATGGAATGGTGGATTTTAACAAGGGTGGAAAACAGGGAGGAGGGGTGGATAGTGAGGGAAATATTCCTCTCCCTTTTCTTCCCCTCCCCTCTCCTCCCCTCCCCTTTTTGCACCTGCCACACGGGCTGATTGAATAAGGTTTAGTTTGTAGCTGTTAGAGTCATTAACCCTTTAAGCCCCAATATGCACATACAAATTCTCCAGACTGATCTCTATACATTTCTTTTAAGAATAGTTGAGAGAATTTGGATTAAGATCAAAGCATTCTCCCTTTGGTTATCAATTTAGTAATTCTCATAACCTTTACTCTTCATGACCTGCTGATGTTGTTAGGAGAAAATTGATGTTGGTCACTCTTGGGTTCTAAAGGGTTAATTTTGTTACTGCTTTGTTTCTTCAGAGAGGCAGGAAAGGCTGGTAGAGTGTCCGTACGTTCTCAGACAAAAGGTGATATGGAGGAAGACTTCTCTGAAAGTTCTTCAGAAAGTGAGGAGGAGGAAGAGAACCAAGACAGACGACAAGAGTCTAATGCTGATCTTCCATCTGAATACTGGCAAATTCAAAAGCTTGTCAAGTACTTAAAGGTAAATAGCTGCTCAAAGAAATTATTGTCCAGTAGCCATCTCCAGTTTGATGAATCATTAAATTTTTTAAACAAGTGAAAGTGTATGTTAGATATGGCCCATATCCAGGTAATAGTGATCAACATCTATCAACTTGAGAAGTCTTGCACACTCACACAGGGTTGCCAAAGTATGTGCAATGGTTTAATTGTGCACAGGACACTTGATTCAAATTTTGATGCTTTTCTATATTTAGAGTGGCAATCAAACCGCTACTATAATAGCTTTGTGCGCCATGAGGGATTTCAATCTTCAACAAGAGACATGCCAGCTGGCTATCAGAGATGTTGGAGGACTTGAGGTGTTGATAAACTTGCTGGAAACAGAGGAAATAAAGTGCAAGGTGATCTTTACAAAATACTTTTTTCCACTGCTTGACGTATCCGCTTGAAATGATTAGTCGGGGCAGTTACTTCTTTTCATGCATTTTTACTCTTTCATCTCTTATTCAAAACTGCACGATCAACAATTCGCAATTTTCACTTGTAGTTGGAGCAGATGAAAGTAAACACTGATCTTTACTTTCCTCTTGACCTTTCAGATTGGGGCTTTAAAGATTTTGAAGGAGATTTCTAGAAATTGCATCATAAGAAAGGCAATTGCTGACTTAGGAGGTGAGGAGGGGCCGACGGCATATTGATCATTTCAGGGGGAGATAGTCTCCCATGTAGCCCTTATTTGCCTCATCATGGAGGCAAATTCTTCTGACCCTTCTTTATCAGGGAGGCATGTTCTGTGACAGCCCCAGTGAGGCTGTGTAAGAAACTGCAGACGAGATTGCTGTAGCCTGCAAGCAAGCTCTCCGAGGCGCTCTCGCGGCGGGGCAGGAAAAGGTAGGAGAGCTTGCAACTACGTTTCTGGAAGTTGAATGGCTCCATTAATTCCCCTGTGGCTCCCTGTTGACTAAGCGACCAGATTTCTGCCAATCAGCATTTCGCATCGACTTTTTTGATGCAGATATTCAAATAGCCTGAAATTCATCCGATTGCTTCGAGTCGTTTTCTCCTCTCAACAACACGCTACTGAGGGAGTAATAACGACTCGAAGTAATCGGATGAAATTCAGGCTAATATTCAAACTCCAGGGACGTATTTGCAAGCTCTCAGCTCCTTCCTTTTCCCTTCCCGCCATGAGGTGTTGTACATGTACAGTGTAGCACTGTTTACCAGGTGTTTGTTTCAATTTTTATTCTTCCCATAATACCTTGCGCCAGGATAGTCCAGTCATTTACGGGCCCCGTGCGATTTGTCGAAGCACTTCCGGCGAAAGCTGACATCGTAATGTAACTTTATCTTCTTCAGGTTTACAAACCATGGTCAAGCTTCTCCAGGGATACAATGATGAGCTGAAGTGTCTTGCTGCAGAGACTATTGCGAATGTCGCTAAATTGAGGAGAGCAAGGCGAACTGTCCGGCAGTTTGGAGGCATACGAAAACTGGTGAGTGTGAGAAAGGAGAATTTGTGAACTAGAATGAAACAAGCACTTCAAATTTCCTATGGCTCGTAGCTCTTCAAGGTGATTTTATTATGGGCTGCCTGTGAAATTGCGACATGATAGTTTGGGTCGTGGTATTGCTTTTGGTAATATCCAGTGGCGGATCTAGGGGATGGGCCCGGGGGGCCCGCCTCCCCCCTCCCCCCTCATTTTTGGACATAAGCCGAGGCCTTCTTGGTGAGTTTGTGTGAGGTTACTTTATATTGAAGCTAATAGCTATAGATGCCTTTATCGCTATCTCAGATGATTGCATCCAGCATTTAGTCAGAGTAATTAAAGCACGAGAAAACACAGCAAGCATACGGTTTTACTCCTTTCGGTCGAGAGAATTTTTTCAACCAGTAAAAATGTTTTTTTTTGTGCTAGGTGGCACTTCTGGATTGCGGATCTCTTGCAAGTGCATCTGCCATGCAAGCAGACGTGGCACGCTGTGGAGCACTGGCTTTATGGAGCTGCAGTAAAAGTACTAAAAACAAGCAAGCCATCAGGAAAGCAGATGGTATTCCTCTGTTGGCCAAACTGCTCAAGTCTAACAATGAAGCAATGCTTATTCCAGTCGTAGGAACGCTGCAAGAATGCGCTTCTGAGGTTAGTATGACCCCCGCTTTCACACTGTTTCGTACTGAAATAGTGATACGCTCAAAAAAGAACACTTGATAGCAGGTTAAACCTCCATGTACAACCACCTTTGGGGTGGATTTCCGCTGTAGCGTAAATTTTATGTGCGTACGCACATAAAACTTTTACGCGCGTAAATAAAATAGCTGCAATGTATACAAGGCCGCTCGTAAACGTAAAAACCTCCAACCTCGCTTTACTTTTAGGTTTACGCGTGATCTTCCATACACTGCCTCTGTTTTACCGACGCGCGTAGGCATGTAAAAATTACGCGACATTGGAGATCCACCTTTAGCAAGCGATCATATCCACAATACCAAGCACTTTGCTTGGCATTGTGGGAAAAGACTATCAAATCCTAGGATTTTAGGTTGGTTCAATTGTATATTCCTTGTTGAAAAAATCTTTGTCAAATGTATGGAATTCTAAAATGTAAAAGCCAGGTAAATATATGCTAACTTTCCAATTGTTGATCAGCGTTGTAAATAATTAATGCGCAAGGTATTTGGAACTTTGAAAAACTCTCTAGCGGAGTGCTGTTGGTAGTCGTGCTTTTAAAAAGTTTAATGTATTACGGTATTTCTTTTTCAGGCAAGTTACAGGCTTGCTATTCGCACTGAAGGAATGATCGAGGACCTCGTAAGGAACCTTAACAGTGAAAACCAAGAACTTCAAATGCACTGTGCTAGTGCAATATTCAAGGTAAAACTACTACTGAATGAAGAATGAAGAATGCATCGGAGGGCTTTTTCCACCATGCCACTGATGTTGTCGACTGGCTCACATTTCCATTATCTTCTTAACCTTTGGTCAAAATGGGCAGTTTTCACGAAGTTTTTAACGTATCATTTGTTGCTCTTGTTTTCAGTGTGCCGAGGACAATGAAACCCGTGATCTTGTCCGGAAATACGGTGGCCTGGATCCTTTGGTATCTCTTTCGTTCAATGTTGAAAATAAGGAGTTACTCGCAGCAGCCACAGGCGCTATTTGGAAGTGTTCCATCAGCCGCGAAAATGTAACGAGGTAATACAATACAACCCTGTCTCTTTTAATCTAAAAGTGGAAACCGTCTTGCACAGCGTGACTGAACTCCACCAGAGGAAAGTACTGCTCAGCAGCTTTTATTTGAATGGTAAAACCAAAGTTTGAGCCACCTTGTACAGCATAATAAACAGTACCACAGGAAAGTACTGCTCAGTAGCTTTCATTTGAATGGTCACACCATAGGATTTCATCCACAAACTCAAAAGTTAGAGTCACCTTGTACAGCATAATAAACAGTACCACAGGAAAGTACTGCTCAGTACCTTTCATTTGAATGGTAACATGATAGGATTTTATCCACAGACTCAAACGTTTCATCTTAATACTCATACATATTGATTGATGTTTGCAGATTTCAAGAATTGAAGGCTATCGAGCAACTGGTATCTTTATTGAATGAGCAACCGGAAGAGGTAAGTAATATAACATCATTTTACTTACTGAGTACTGTTTCTCTTTCTTAGTGCGATAAGGATAAGAGCGATAGCAAAAGCGATAAATGACAATTATCATAACGACATTGAAATAATGTTCTCGTGAGATGTTTAGTGATGACGACGGTGGTAATGATAAAAAAGAAAACGATGATATTGATGATGGTGACACTACTGTGGTGAAGATGATAATGATGATGACGACTTTGGTTTGCGTAATGATGATGAGGATGACAACGATGATGTTGATGATGATGATATGATGGTGGTGGTGGTGGTGGTGATGATGGTATGATGGTGGTGGTGGTGGTGGTGATGATAATACTGATGATGGTAAATGGTGGTGGTGTTACAGACGTTTGACTGAAATAAACTGGTGGTGGTGGTGGTGAGGATGATGGTATGATGTCCGCTGGGGGTGGTGTATTGGTTGTTGATGATATTCATGATGATGACTTTGATGAAGGTTAACCCTTTGGTGGTGGTGGTGGTCCAAATTTCCAAAGATTTGGTAAAATGTTGAAATATTCATGAAATGATGACATTTAAATGGTCACATTTGAATGATACAAAATTCAAAAGATGAAGGGGTTAATGATTAAGTTGGTGAATAATGAATGTGATGCTCTAGCCTCTTAACTACACTTGAACATACATTCTCTTTCTTATTACGTTGTTGATACTTCTTCCCTTATTAAGGCATATATGTTTCTTCCATGCACAGGTCTTAATTAACGTGGTGGGAGCTTTGGGGGAGTGCGCACAAATCCCGGCCAACAGAACTACCATCCGCAAGGCTGGCGGCATACCCTCACTAGTAAACCTGCTGACCAGTACGAACCAAGCTCTCTTAGTAAACGTCACCAATGCAGTGGGGGCTTGTGCGACTGAGCCTGACAACATGGCGTGAGTTCTTTCTTTCCTTTTCTCTTTGTCTTTGTTGCTGTTTTTTTTTTTTAGATTAAATTCCTTGTTTTTTTTTCCTTTGCAGTATCATTGATCGTCTTGATGGAGTACGTCTGTTATGGTCTCTTCTGAAGTCGAATAACCCCAACGTGAGTTTAATTTTTTTGCCTCAACACTTTCATCCACTGTCAAACTTTACTGACAAGGTTTATGTGCAGGAGCCAGTTGCATAGATTTTAACGCCAGACCTATCTGCCAGTACCCGACTTTCAGCTCAGTCGACTCTTTATTTTATCGCCAGCTAGGTTTTATGCAGATAGTCCCACAAGCGTTGATCTGACGGGTAGATTTTCATTCTCAGACGTTTTTTTACTCAGGCTCAGGTTCAAATTGTAATTAGTTCTTATATACACAAGCGTTGTTTTTGCAGGTACAATCCAGTGCAGCTTGGGCGATTTGTCCCTGCATTGAAAATGCAAAGGTAAGTCTGGATTGTGTTGCTTATCGAGTTAGTGGAAACAAGCCGGTCTCCTTCACAGTCCTTCAAAGACGGATCTAGAAAATTTAGAAAGAGGAGACGGGAGACAAGCAAAGAACTCTGAGAGCAATTGAGTCTGTAAAAGACTGAGTTTAATGAGAATTCTTTCCCTTATCACATCCCCCTCCGCCAGCGTCTTTTGGAAGGTGTCGACCACTTTCTTCCTCCCCTCCCCTCCCACCCCATTTCCCTTCCATTCTCTGCACGCCGTGTAACCATCAGAAAATGTAGATGTTTATTTCAAACTAACAAATCAGTACGTACAAATTTTTGTGCTGCGGCTGAGTTTCTAGTGTTTATTAACTTTTTCTTGATATTTTTAGGACGCTGGAGAGATGGTGCGATCGTTTGTTGGTGGTCTGGAACTGATTGTTAGCCTGCTAAAGTCTAGCGACAGAGAGGTATTTACATTTAACTGTTGACTGTTTGAATTTGGTCATTGTATTTCTGTGAATGGTTTGTTGATACAAAGAAATGGATCAGTTGCTCTATAAGCACCAGAAATTTGCTAATAGTTAGCTTAAGCAAAGTCGTTTTTGAGTGATGCACGCCAACCGGCAGTGGACCACTTACATTCTTGGGCAATTCTTTTGCCCAAATTTTTGGACAGCTCGTCTCAACTATTGGTCAAAGATGTGCTGGCCTTTCCTTGATGGGAGCACATACTGGAACACTAGGAATATGATTAAGAACAAATTTGTTAGCTAGCTGGCATTCTAATCTCAATTTTCTTTGGACATTTTAGGTTTTGGCGAGTGTCTGTGCTGCCATTGCAAATATCGCGAAAGATGAAGAAAATTTAGCGGTGATTACAGATCATGGAGTGGTACCTATGCTGGCCAAGCTTGCAACAACGGTAAAGGGCAAAAAAATTGCTTTATATCCATATTTTACGTCGATAGCTCGTGATAGTAATAACTGATAAACTTGAGGTCGATGTTGCGCTCATTTTATCCCCCTCTCTCCATCAATGCTCCGTGTTAACAACAAAAGGATGTGATCTCACCGGGGATCGAACTCCAGACCTCGCGCACCGAAGACCGCGCACTAACCAACTTGAAATACAGGTGTGTATAAATGAAAGTAAACGCTGGGAACTCGACACCAATCAGATCTCGAAGCCACCGAGCGCGGAAAAAGAGTAAGAGTGAGTCACTGTTGCTCATTTCTGCTGATTGGTTGACAGGGTGACGCGAGTGTCATGAGCCAATCACAGAGCGTAGCGATGCAAAACTAAAATACTAATCTGCTCTACACTGCCAACCACTGCTCGAAGATATAAGGTGTTAAGGTTCGTTGTGTACGGATATAGTTTATACCTCTTTAACAGGTTAGGAGTACTTTTTATTGTTTACTTTTAATAACATACGTCTTAAACTTTCGTATTTCAGACTGATGACCGCTTACGGCAATATCTAGCCGAGTCAATTGCCAGGTAAGTGACTGGATCAGTTTCCTTGTTGTCATGTCTAAAAAATCTTCGTATTAATCAATCTGTTTTCTGTGTCTGCGCAGGTGCTGTACGTGGGGTAACAATCGAGTTGCGTTTGGACAGGCTGGCGCTGTACCGCCGTTGGTTAACTACCTTAAATCAAAGAACCCGGATGTACACAGAGCTACCGCCCGTGCGCTTCACCAGTTGTCACGTGATCCTGACAACTGCATTTCCATGCACAACAGTGGTGTTGTTAAGGTAAATAGAAGTCGCCTGAGGTCATGTAGAGTTTGAAATAGTGTGATAATGAAGCGAATGTTACCTGTTAAAGCTTATTCGCCTATTCCAGGCGAATAGTGGGGCCGTTCTTAGTTAGCGTTGGTAGCACTGTGAAGTTGCCATTACTTAATAGTTGTTTATATTTCCTTCACAGTATCTTCTTGAAATGGTTGGTTCCACTGACGAAGTCCTCCAGGAGGCTGCTGCTGGTTGCCTTGGCAACATCAGGAGGCTGGCATTAGCCAATGAGAAGGCCCGCTATCATTGATTGACATTTCCAATATTGACTAGAACATGTACTGGCATGTACTTCAATCTAGATCTTGGTAGAGGAACTTGCATTTTTTATATATAAAAAACCCAACAGTATAAAAGCGTATGTTTTTCTTTGATTTATTCTGTCACAAGTCACTCAGTTTATCTGTAAATAGTTCATGGATAGTATCTGCGGCAGCTGTAGATAAAAGAAATAAAAATCTGTGAGGTCTTGTAATTTCATCGTAATTTTGGTTTTAGTACTCGCCCAAGGTGGCTTTTTCGTATTATTTTTGTCAACATAATCCCAATAAATTATTTATTTTCAACTCTTGTTGTTTCCTATTTCTTGAATCCCTGGATCTGCTTTTTCCTTCAAACCCGGCCTGTTACCTTTTTCGCCATTTTTAAAGGAAACAGACACTTACCGTACTTTTGAGTCTGTTTTCTAGAAAGTATGGTGTGAGTATCATTCAAGTAGTTGAGATAATAGGGAACGTCAACCGGCACCAAGTTATGGGCTCCTGCCGGCAGTGGCCATTTTGCATTACTGGGCAGCAACGTTTCCCAATTTGTGTGGCAATTCGTCTCAATAAGAGTAAAGATACCGTAAAATTCCGAAAATAAGCCCCTCCATGTATAAGCCGCTCCAAATATAAGCCCCTCAAAATCGTAACGCAAAAAACCCTCCGTTAAATCGCCCCTCCGAATATAAGCCCCCCGGGGGGCTTGTACTTGGAATTTGCCCTCGAATACAAAGTAAAACAAAGCAAAAATGGTAAATTTCCTTCCCACTACAAGCTAGCCAATCGATTTTGAAACGGAAATTTCCCTCCGTACATAAGCCCCTCCGAATAGAAGCTCTTCAAAAATAAGCCCTTCAAAAAGGGGCTTATTTTCGGAATTTTATGGTATTTAGCAAGACGCATTTGGCGGCATCAAGGTATATTAAAAGGGGAAAAGATTCTCTTCCGCTTGACGTGCATCGTCCAAAAACGCCATTGCTTGAGCTCCCTAGTAATTGTATCACTAGCCTGCCAGGGTGGTGACGTCAAGCCTTAGTCTCAGTCAGCCCCTTAGTTAATCAATTAGTTGATCAGTGGACATTTCAGTACTGCAGTCCTCTTATCAGCTACTTTAAATTACATTTGGTTACATTAGAATCAGGAGCAAAAGCTTGGAATGCATTAACCTTTTAAAAAATCCAACAAGATAGTCTAGCTCATAATCGGTCGTCTTCCTCCATGATAAGTAGTAAGTGGGAAGTAGTAAGTAGCTAGTTGTAAGTAGTAAGTTGTAAGTAGTACGTAGCTATGTGATTTTAGCTGGTGTATATCCTATTTATTTTCTAATTCATTAGTTATCTTACTTAATTATTTAGACACGACCCCACAAGCGAAGCATCGCTTTAAATACTTATCGTGTATAAATAAAGATTATTGATTGATTGATTGACTGATCCTCTATCACGAGTACGAGAAGAACATCAGAGAACCCTGGGGACCCTGGGAACAAGGGTACTGGTACCAGTCCTCGCCGTTTTCATTCCCATCTTTCTTAGCGAGCAGATTTGAAAAATGGCGGCTACGAAGCAAGACAGCAAGGCGATAACACTTAGAGGATCCGCAGAATTAGTCACTGAATTCTTTGGTAATTGCACATTTCTTTTTGCTTTTTTTAACGTAAAGCTTCTCTTCTAAACCGATTTTATCTTTTTTCACAGGATATGGGATAAACAAGTGAGTATATACCCCCAGTCAGTCATCGCTTACCTTTGATAAAATTAAATTAAAAACACTGTAGTGCTGCATAACATAAGCTGGCAAGCTTAAGCTTAAGATTTTTATAGTTTCCAAAGTTGTGCTTCATTTTTGAAGGAACAGTAAATTTGGGTTGTAATCGTATACTTTTTCTGTGTATTTAGCATCAGTTATAAGTCAGAAAATTATTTGCTGGCGTGACTGCATTAGTGGCATTTTTGGAGAATAATTAGAAGTTCATGCAGGCAACAGTTTTCCTTGAATGTTTTTTCTCTCAGCATATTGTATCAAAGAGGGATATATCCTGCTGGATCATTCAGAAGAGAGCAATTTTATGACCTAACGCTATTTGTTTGTGACAACAAAGAGTTACAAGAATATCTTTCCAAAGTATTACAGCAACTTAAAGGTAAAATATAATGTTATAGACATTAGATCAAGCTTTCTCAAATATAGGTCTCTTTATGCCGTGTTAGATGTTAGTGAAAGTACAGTAGAGACTTTCTTTCACATCTAGTAATACAGTATACCACCCTATAATATTTTCTCTCGCAGTACATGAAGATAGAAATGAGTGGAACTGGCATCTCTTGTGATATAAGGGAGCTCTTATTCAACGGGGTTAGGGATGTGGCAGTATTTTCTGATTTGGCATTAGCGTCTTTTTGGGGAAAGGCACTTATGAGAGTGTATGTGCTCTTATTCAAAGAATTTTGTTTACACAAACCTTATTCTACAACAACTGAATGATGTTTATACTCATAAGTCAGTGGGCAAGAGCTGTGGTCTCTTAAACTTTGGGAATTAATGAAGTGATGTCGTCTGAGAAAACAGATATCATTTCATGACACCACCACTGATTTCCCCACGAAATGATATTTGAGAAACAAGCACAGAAAATCCATACCAATGACACGTCACTACCCAGATCTAGGTAGTGCTTCTGATTGGTCATACTGCTTGTGAATTTTGCTTCAACCAATCAGAAGCACTACCCACATCTGGGTAGTGACGTGTCATCTAAACGTTTAGACCCAAGTCAAATATAGAAGGATTTGTATGGAGTCATCAGAGCATAACTGGGCTAATATCTAAATAACAATTTGCCCCACAATGCTAGTTTTTGGCAAGTAGGCCTCTTGGATTTTTTTTTTTCAGAATATCCTGGCAAATCCCATAATTTCACAAAGTTAATTTTTTATGACGTCACGCTTAAGTACTCTATACTGTCTCGTCAACATCGCAAAATTAAGTACCAATAAGGCAGTCGATGGAAAGTTGTCGTGTACAATACTAATTTTGTTAAATAAACTTTTTGTTAAGGAATCATTTGGGGGTCAGTGTTTTCTCAAAACCCATAAAGTAAAAAGAACACTAAAAATCCGAAAAAGCTTGAAGAAATTTCTTCTGCCAAACTTATTTGCTCCATTCAGAGTGGCTTGAGGGGAATGCTCTTCAGCGTGTTGTCATGGTGATCACTCAGGTGGATACAGAAGAGGTTATAGAGAGGTGGCAGTTTGATATACACTGCGAGAACAGTGGACAAGCCACAGAAGGAGATGACAAGAAACCCACTAAGTATGTATCTGGTATTATTAATTTTACCATGATGTCTTTTTCTTGAAAATATGCTTAGAAGTAAAAAATGAAGATTGTTGTTATATTGATGCCCCTCAATAACAACAAGTTATTTTTTGTTCTTCCAACATCCCTATGACTAAATTATGCTGGTAAACTGAAGGAAAGTTTCATTTGATGCTTATAAGTAATAACAGCCTTATTTTGCTGGAATTTCATCTGTCCATGTTGGCTTGTTTCCATTCTCTCTGTAACATACAAAACAGTGGCTTTTATAAATACCAGTAATTATTGTTTACTGTCATTTTCAGTGCTTCATTCCTTTCTGTCCAAGGTAAAATACATGATTGACAAGACTTCTTTATGATAATAGCTTTTTGCAATAAGAAGACTATGAGAATATAGATATTACTCATTACAATGTTTCTTGTAGAAAACCTCCTCCAGCAAAAACTAAAAAAGACATTCAGAGAGAGATGAGGGATGTAATTCGTCAGATAACTGCTAGTGTGACTTTTCTTCCTCTTCTTGATGGCCAGTGTAAGTACTATAATTTATATTTTCAAATATCAAGATATATATATTCTCCTTTCTCACACTCATGCTTTTCCTCCAAAAATTACAGTTGAATGTCCCATAAGCAGACACCCCTCAGGGGCAGATCCAGGATTTTTTTTAGGAGGGGGGAACCACAAAAATAAATCAGTTTTTTTTTTGCAGAATACCAGCCTTTAAACCCCATATGGAACAAGAAAACAAATTAAACCCCATATCAAGATAAAAATTCTGCAGACTAATCTCTGACTTTCCCTTAGAGCGTTAATGGAGAGAATTTGATAAGAAATCAAAGCACCTTTCCTTTAGTGATCATTTTAATAGTTCTCATAATGTTTTCTTATGACGATGTGTTGATATTGTTCGGAGAAAATTGATGTTGGTCATTCTTTGGGCTTATAGGGTTTAGAGGGGTGTCCACTCTTGCATTATACCCTTCCCATAACTTCTCTTGGATGGTGGGGTGGGCGTGGCAGTGCATAGTTCAGCTGGTTATTGTTGCTTTGATTTCTTTCAGTCATAAAGAAGGGTAGTTGTCTTATCTATTCACCATGATTTATGACTTCTTTGTAATTATTTCCAGGTGCATTTGACCTGTTAGCATACACCAACAGAGACCAAGACGTACCAGAAACCTGGGAAGAATCTCAAGCTAGAATCATTGCAAATTCAGAAGAAGTCCGACTAAGATCATTTTCAACAACTGTTCACAAAGTTGACACAATGGTGTCGTACAAAGCTGAAGACTGAGAGACAGGGATGAGCATCGCATTGGTCTTGTTAAAGTGCTTCTTTTGACCTTCATGTAATGGTAGGAAGAAGCAAGCGAACACAACAAGCTCACATCACAGCTAAAATAGGATTTGAATTGTTGTTCCTTTAAGTCTTTTTCTGGTGAAATAGTCCATTTATAAGATAAACCAAAGATCTGGACACTTTTGTATAGAAACACCTTAAGATATTGAAGTTAAAACTGAAAGAAGACAAAATGGAAAAACCAGAAACATATCTGACATTAAGCAGTGAATATACAAGACAGCATTTCATGGAACTTGACAGGCATGGTAACCTAAGTATCCTTCTTTCATTTTTTTGGGTCATGAGTGAAAAGTTAACATCAATATTGACATTACAAAACTGGAGTGTAGGCTGGTATGCACACAAACAGATATAGTAGTCTGAGATCTACAGCAACGTTATTGAAGTTGTTTAATGACAGGCAAGGCAAGATGGGCCCTTTTTTGGCCATATAATAAATCCCTTATTGACCAAGTTTGTTTGGTCAAGATGGCTGTACATTGGCCTCATTCCTTCAATAAAGACAGGAAAAAGATCTTGGTCAATATCCAGCCATCTTGACCTTGTCTAACTTGATAATAGACATACATATTATGGTCAATTTGACAGCTGTCATAATAGAGTATCTACTGGCCATAGTCACATGACTGTATCGCGGGCTCAGGTGCCAACTCACCCAGGTCAACTGTTCTTTTGAAGTTTTCTGCTGACCAGTGGTGAACTTTTAATTGATTGCAGGCTCAAGTTTATGTTTTTCAGTCATATGGTTCTCCCATAAAAGTTAAGTATAGATTTGGGGATTTCTCTGCAATGGTTTTAATTCCATGCCTCAAGTAAATTTTGAATGCATAAACGGGAGCTTGGTATTTAGTTAGCTGTGGCTAAATCTATATATTTCTTTTTGAAGCAGGTGAGCATTTAAATGTTCACCCATGGCATATTAATGCCCTGCAGCATGTGCAATCTCTTCTTTGTTTAACTGGTATCATCACCCATGACCTATACTGAGTTCACGTGGCATTGGTGAAACATGCATTGGACCACCGGATCAGTCCAGAATGGATCATTCCTTTTAGTGTGTTCAGGCAGCGGTTGATTTGATCTGGTACAATCCAGGTCAGTTCTTGAAACCTGAGTTCACCCATGACAGAAATTAAATAGGTTAATTTGCATCTCTTAATTTTAACTCATAAAGTAATGTTTTTTAGACCTTAAACCACTTGTTTTCTCCTTGTTGTTCAGCATTGATCAGCATTAAGTAAAGACAGTAGTGATAGTTAGTGACAAAAAGAAACAGACAGAGACTGTATATTTTTGCAAAGCTATAGTCTAGTTTATTTAGTACATCATAAACATTACAGTTGATTTTGCAATAAAAAAAATGTTCTCGTGCTTCTGCTCACTTTTTCATTGAATTGATTGTGAATACATGTTAATTTGTCCCAGGGGAAGGGGTGCATGGTCTCATTGAAGTGATTTTGAATACACGTTTACATTCCCATTTGGCTGGGTATCACCTGAACTCTTTCAGAACCTCTGATCAGAAGCTTTGATAATAACTGCAACATCGTTGTGCGTTGTGATGCGGGCAAGAGCTTTAAATTTTGAGCTTCCCGCGAACAACCTGAAAACCAATGTTGCGCAATGTGAGAGGTTACCAATGCAAATGACGCCTGGAAGTTTTCGTTCTTCAAACCTTGTTTTGGTCATGTTGATGGTTTGTGTTTCAAAAAAGGTTTTCATTGCTTTAGAAATTGTTTCTGGACATACAAAGAGGGTTTTTAACCTTCCTGAATGAGATAGAAGCAGGAAGAAGCGGTCGTACTATTTGTTAATCAAACCGTATTCAGCTGAACATCGTCCTTGTAAACAAGATGGAGGACCCAAGGTTCACACGTGTTGCCCAAGATCCTCGCTTCAAAGTGAGTAACTATCTACTTAATATCCTTCATTAACGTGCCGGTTTATTCTTTATCCATGAAATAAGAAGAGAGTTTGTCTGAAATCGTACTGAATACTGAATGTCTTCCAGTTCAGTACTGTGTATGTCATGTTTCATTGTCAAAAAGCGTAAAATGCTTTTTATCCCCGGTAATTTTTTGTTTTGTTTTTGGGTATGGTAGTGTATGCTAATGACGTTGAAACAAAGGAAAAATAAAAATAACCTGAGATGAAAATTTACTACTACATACATATTGGATAATAATCATTTTTTTCTACTTGTTTGTTGATACTTGATTGCTGGAAATTTTGGTTTAATCTTAATTTGTTTCTCTTTTCAGAAAATCTCCCGTAAAGAGAGGAAACTTAAGATCGATGGACGGTTTGAGAAAATGTTTACAGATAAAAGCTTCACGACAAAATGTAAGTAATAAAGAGAGGTCTTTTGACTTTAAGGGTATCCTGTGGCATCTTTAGAAGAAGAAAAAATACAAATTATAAAGTGTAAAATATCAATATGTTGTAATGTAAATATATTTTTACCCACAGATTTTGTTGACAAACGTGGCTCAAGAGTTGAGAAAACATCAACAGAAGATCTCCACAGATTTTATGAAATGTCTGATGAATCTGATAAAGGTAGGATTTCCACTGCCAATGAAAGTATCACCAACTAAATAACTTACTGGTAAACTTTTTAGTCTTGCCTTAAAAATGAACATATTTGTTGTCTGGTTTTGTAGAAGATGAGGATGAGGAAATTCAACCAAAAGAAAAGGAAATAAAGGAATTAACAGAGAAAAAAGTGGCAAAGAGGTGCTTAATGAAGACCATCATTTTCAATTTACTATACTTAATAAAAGTGATGTCTTGTTAAGCCTTTTACTTCTAACAGTAACTGATGTGATAATTGGCAATAATTAACAATTATTCTTCAAGCCCGAATGGGCTCTGAATGGGCTATTGACTTAGAGGCAATGAGGGCGAGAGGAATAATAATTATTGTTTTGGTAAGATCCAACTAGTTGGTCAAAAATATCGAGAATAAAAAAAGTGTAGCTAGTTAAAGCTAGCCTTTAATCCTTTTTTGCCACCAAAAAGCCCATGCTTTTTGCTACTAGTGGCTATAACATATAACCTAGTAGTAGCTCAACCAATCAGAATGCAGCATTGATAATAAACCACTAGCTGGATTTTACTAATTCTCAATATCTTCTTGTTAACAGCTAAACAAAAAGCTAAAGTAATGGGTCCATGAAGAAAAATGTTTGTGGCTTAAACAATGACCAAAGCATTTGTCAAAGAGTTAATGAAATGTCAGCAAGCTAATATTGTTTAATATCATTATTGCCATTGACACCAAAGTTTTTTTTAGCAAATCTAAGAAAGAAAAGGCAGTTAAAAAAGATGGCAGGAAAGTGAAAAAGAAACTACAAATGATGGAAAATGATGATAACAAAGGGGTGGGTAAGAAAAGTTCAAAAAAGGTAAGAAGCAAGAAGGAAGATGAAGATGAGAATGGCAGCAGTTCAGAGGAGGATATAGATCTCAGCAGGGGAGAAGGAGATGTTCAATCGTCTTCTGAAGAAGAGGATGAAGGGCAACTAAAGTTGAAAATAAAAGAGGTGAGTATATATTATTACCTACTGTTGTAACATTACTATCAGGCAAAAATCTACACCAGTTTTTACATTTTATGGAAAATGGGCAGATTTCTCAGAATCATTATTTTAATTTTTTTTTCAAATAAAAGAAAATTTCAAATTCTCTGGTACTGAGACACTCAGTCTATGGTGAATGTTCTACCAGAGTAAATCAAAGACCCTCTTCTGAGTAAAGCTGAACCAAGAAAAGGTACTCAAGGGAGTTAAATCTGAAAACTTTCCCAAACGTCCCTTGGCACTTGATGTTTCAGAAAACAATCACTATTTTTCTTAGATCTGCTTGTGATTATTTATGGTACCATGACAGATTCCAGCTAGTTGGTTGGTTTACCAGTTCCTTAATCTTAAAATATCAAGGCCACTAACCTTTAACTATTATTATTGTATAATTAATGTTTATTGATATAACAGGATGAAATTGAGCACCCATGGGGTGAAATGGATGTTTCAACAAAAACAACAAAAGATTCAACAAGACGTCTTGCGGTGTGTAACCTGGATTGGGACAGAGTAACGGCAACAGACCTGTTTGGTAAGTTACATACTCAGGTTTCTCTTCCTCTCTTTATCTTCCTTCATTTAGTGTTATTTGATGCAAGATATGTGTAGCAGGGACTCTCAGACTGGACTACATGTACAAGTTATTTTAATGCCTGTATTGAACAAATGACTTATTTCGTTGCTGCTGTTTTAATTAATCTGGTCTTTTGATTATTTCTTAGTGTTGTTTAATTCCTTCAAGCCTAGGGATGGTGTCTTAAAATCAGTCAAGGTAACTTAAATATTTTATCAACTTCTCCCCACTACTTCTGTAGGAAATGAATAGGAACAGCAAATGAGAATTCAAATTTTGATCTTAGGGTTTAAAGGGTTAAACTCTACTCTTTGTTCTAGATAAGAGGAAGTCTTTCTTCAGGCCTGCAGTTTACGCATGCAATTTCTTTTGCAATAATATTTTTCTGGTGCTCAAAGTCATAAAATTATTGCAGTGTAAACTAGTAGTGATTTTTAGTGCAGTTGGTCACTGTGAACATTGTGAATGAATGACACTTTATTTTAGTAGGGCATATAATAATATTACAGTCAGACTGTAGTCTCCCTTATGGTCCTAAAATACAACAAGTATACAAATATTACTAAAATCCTTAAATGCTTAATACTTAAGTACTAAGAGTTTAAAGATATTAAATAATAAAATATCAACTTCTTTAAAAAACTAGAAAAGTTATGTCAATTCTAAAGCTCTCAAGTGTGAATTTACAGTAAGTCATTTTACAGTTATGTTGCTACCTCAATAGTTTTTCTGTAATAACAATAAATATTTACTAGAGTATTTTGTTTCCACTGCAGATTTATCCTTCTGATTATGGCTTGGAACAAATGCAAAAAGAGGAGTGCCTTGGACCTGTTGAACTAAAAGATGATGAAAATGAAAGTGAAAACATGGGTGAAAATGGAAATACAGAGGTAAGATGTAAAGATTTTTGGTCTTGCTTGGCATACTGAACAGAGTCAAACTAATTTGAGAGGAAATCCAATTTATTATGACATGCGACCAATCTCTTTCTTAATCCCTCAGGGCTCAGGGTTTTCCATGGAGAAACTTCGCCAATACCAGTTAAACAGGCTTAAGTATTACTATGCAGTGATGGATTGTGATTCACCAGGTATGGCTTAATAGGGGTAGGAAAGGTATACATATAAAAGGCCCTCACCAGACTCTGTGAGACAGTGCTACATAAAAGCCCAGCTATCTTATCATGCATACCTGGAGACACAGTGCAGAGGAGTAGGCTGGATAGCTGTAACCCTTCAGCAAACACCAGAGACCAGGCTGTTACCTGATGTAGTCGGGGCAGGGCTTGTTTTCTCAGCCACCAGCATCCTTGCTTTCACTAGGCAGGGACCTTTTACCTCCTGAACTCTTTGTTTGCAAACCCAAGCCATGAGATAGAGGACACAAATCTTTTCCCTTCAGCTGATGAACAAATAGCCCACTAAATAAAATGTGTTTAACTTACATCTAACTTTACAAACTGTGTAATTAAACCCTTATGAAAATGTAAACTCTTACACACACAGAACACATATTTTTCATGACTAGATTGTATTTCACTATTACATTGTCAAAGCTGTCGGTAACAAAAGCTCGTTACAAAATTAGCGTATTATAATTCAACTATATAGCTTGGGATAATTATTTTCGATGCATAGCATTGTTGCATATTGGACAATTTTTGAGTAACCACTTTTCCTTTTTTATGTCAGGGACTGCTGAAGTTCTGTATGATGAATGTGATGGAACAGAGTTTGAACTGAGTGGTAATATACTTGACCTTAGGTATATCCCAGATGACATGGAGTTTGACCATGAACCACACTCAGTTGCCACAGGGATACCAGCCTCAGGGATGTATAGTGCCCCAGAGTAAGTAATCAAAGTGCCTGAGAGTTTGTTAAGTTAATCCTAATATCAAGTAATGAACTCCTTTACGATGGAGTCCATAGTGTCAGGGACTATGCTAATCACCTCAATTTATTAGGCCCGAAAAGTTTTCTCCACTTTTGATGACGGGTTTGTGGATTGAATGTTTTAATTTACTTTGATTTTTTCCAGGTTTTCTACGACAGCACTTCATCAAACAAATGTAAAGCTGACTTGGGATGAAACCGACCCTGGGCGGCAAAGAGCAACCATGAGGAAATTCAAAAAGGAAGATTTGCTAGAAATGGATTTTAATGCATACCTTGCTTCTTCATCAGATGAAGAGGATAAAAAAGATGGTGATGAAAAAATGAATGAGGATCAGGAGTCTTCAGACAATGAAGACAAGAAAATTGACAAGTACAAGGTGAGATGTTAGTAAGTTTTTTTTGCTTCTTCTCAAAGTCCTTAAGTGAAGAATCTGCCAGGTGAAAGAAACAAAAAAGACAGCTCTCGAATATGTGGGAATTCTGAGTTTTTAAGCTCATTTGAGTCTGTTTTGTTGAGCCTCTATGTGTGAATACTGGAGCAGAAGTAACCATTTGTCATATGTTGGGAAAATGCGAGGAAAATTCACTGAGTTATTAACAAGTTTTTTTAGTTTCTTCCAACATTTCTTTTTTCTTTGGGTGAAGACATTTGCTATATGTTTATCAGTTTTTACTCTAAGGAGGAGAATGGATGCAAGCTTTGGGTGCTGTGATTTCTGGGATTGTTTTTGGGGTGGGTGAGGCATTAGTTATGATTGGTCAGTTGTATTCAAGGCAACCATCAACCAATCATAAGTAACCCCTGTCCTAATGATCCCAGAAATCATTTTGCGGAAAGCTTGCACCCATTCCCCTTAAAATTTCTGGAATGAGGAGTATGTGCTCACTGGATCTGAATGCTGAAAAGGTCTATCGCATTTTAACAATTATTTTACTTCTCAGCTGTTTTTTTTACACTTTTTTGTTTAAAGCAATTGCTGAGAGAGATTGAAGAAAAAGATCGCGAGGCGGACAGAGAACAAGAAATAGAGATCACTTGGGAACCAGGCCTGCAAGAAGCCACAGAGGGCTTGGTGACGAACAAGATGAAAGAGAAAGAGAGAAAGGAAATGACACCATGGGAAACATATCTACAAAATAAAAAAGACAAGAGAAAAGAGAAACAAACGACAAAAGATGCATCAAAGAAGCAGTAAGTTACAAATACTTCAGTATGATTTCCACTTTTACTCCCTGGGGGTGGAATAAGTCAAAAAAAGTCAGATGAGGTCCTTTAGAAACCAGTTCATCAGCATCTAAATGGCCAATATATTTTCCCTACAACTTTGTGGCATTCATTGCAAAACAGAATCTATTTGTGAGAAGAACATTTGTTTACGTCATTCTTTACGCAGTTGATTTTTTGAATTTTTTTTATCCTATTACTACTTAATTATCAGAGGGTATATAAGTTTTGGAGCCCTTTCAATGTTGTGGTCTTAACGATGGATTGTTACTTAAGTGCATGTGAATCAAGCAGAAAATATAAACGAAGATATTCCTGTAACCCAACATTTCACGATTCTGTTTTGAACCTATTACAACTTATCGACTGGAAAACGAGTTTAGCTTCACAGGTGTCTAGATAGCTTTTTTGAAACCTCTGATAATTATCTTGTGTTGTGCTTCAGGATATCAGAGAAAGAGCCTGACGAAAGTTACGAGAGTTTCACAGATGTTGACGTGTCAGATCCTTTTTTCAGTCAAGAAATTGATTTTGGGTTAACCAAAGGTGACAAGGCATCTGCTAAAACAAAGAAAAATCGAAAACGAGCCAGGAAAGAAACTGAGGAGGATAAAAAAGCGAAGGTGAATGAATAGTTATTACTCTTTTCAGCCCTATCATTCCTCGGAAAATCAATGCCAACATTCCCAAAACTTTTTTCTCGATATCTGAATCGTTGTAGACTCTTTCGCAGAAGTATACCTCTACTGTTTGCAATAACGGTGCCTGTAAGTACATAATACCTATTTTATAATTTGTACCATCGCTGAGCCTTCAATCGGTAAAAACAAATTGTGTTACGATCACACGTATATTTGAGTTCGTTTGCGAACGTATTCGTTACTGCAGTGATAACAAGAAATACTGTTAAGTTAAATGCTTGTTTCAAAAAGTAGAGTTATGTAGAATATTCTGAAGGTGTTTTGGGTTAACCAACCAAATTTTAGTTCACTCAATTTTCATGTTTTGAATTAATTTCCTGTTTCACTTGATTTGTTTCCGATTAAAGGAGGAACTAGAATTACTTTTAATGGAAGACAAGGACGACCGACAGCATTTTAGTCTGAAAGGAATAATAGACAGTGAAAAAAGGAAAAGTAAGAAGAGAAGGAAAAGAAAAGCAAACCAAGAAGAAATTGTGGATGATAACTTTAACGTGAACTTGAAAGATTCGAGATTTGATGCGTTGTTCACTTCACATCATTTTGCTGTGGACCCGTCAGATCCCCAGTACAGGTAGGATGTGTCATAACTTGGGTGTCCTGTGCAGTACCTGATGTGAATTTGACATTTAGCTACAGATCTGTTGTCGGACCCTACTGCGCTTGCGTCGTGTTCCGCTGAGAGACAGTAGAGTCATAAATTAGAATTGTTTCCGCTTATCCGAATAACACTCGAGTATTCAAGACCAAAAGTGTTGCACATGCGCAAATTTGCGAAATTGAAAGACGCTCTAAGCGCAAGCCCAAGTACAGGTCACCGCTGCGTCTTTTTTTGAGGGAGCAAGTAAACAGCAGTAACCTTTTTCCAATTTTCTTGTGGCACTTGAAGGAGTAGCCAATGCCTGACGAAACCATAAGAAGGTCTGCGTAGGCGATTGAAGGAGGGGAGACGGAAATTGTCTCGTAGCCTGATTCCATAGGAATCATCTCAAACAGACTGCCTTGCCAAGTAGCACAAGACCACAATAGGAACTGAAGCACACACTACCAACTCTGCAGTATGGCCAGTGCCTTACGCATGCGCACATATCACCATATCACCCCAGCAGTGGCAGCCATGGACAGCTGTTTCGTCCTTGTTGGAACTCTTCAGCATGGCATAGCCAGCACGGTCTCTCTTAAGATCACAGACCCTGCCTTTTATTGTGGTCTTGTTTGGCAAGTAGTCGTTGTTTTGCGCAACTTTTACTGACCGGTGACTAGTGATCTACTTGTGGAAAGAAATTGCCAATAATATTTAGATAGCTAATAGAAGTGTCTGTTAACAGGAAAACTAAGGCTATGAAAACCATTATTGAAGAGAGACAGAGAAGAAGAGAGACTGAAGGAAAAACCGACCAGGCAAAAGGTGTAGAAGGTGAGTAAGAAGGTTAGGTTTGAAAGTTAGGCCTTTTTTACGTTCGTTGGTTTCCTGTTTCGTAAAATGCTGAATACTTTTTTCGTGACGTTATAAGGTGATATGGTGACGACGAAGGTGAAGATGAAGGTGATGATGATGATTATGAAGATGATGAAGACGACGACGACGACGACGATGATGATGATGATGATGATGATAAAGATAATCGTAATGATGATGATGATGAGGAAGGTGAAGATGATGATGATGAGGAAGGTGCAGATGAAGATGATGAGGAAGGTGCAGGTGACGATGGTGATGAAGATAAAGATGATGATTATGATGATAATGATGATGAGGTAAAGGTGCTGGTAGCGATGGTGAAGGTGATGATGATGGTGTGGAATGTTGAATAGGGATGATGATACGATGATGACGATGATGACGGCGAGAGTGATGATGATGACGAGGTGTTGGAAGCCATTGTTTAGGTGAAAGTGATGAAGATGGTGATGGTGCTTGAATGTTAAGGAGGGAAAATGGTGGCAGTGATGGTTTGTATGGCGTTTATGATGATGATTTTGGTGATGATAGCGATGGTGATGTCGTTGGTGATGATGATGACGATACCTTTATGAATTTATTTACGTCCCATTTGTTTAACATGCGAAAACTATCTGTACAAGACCAATTTGTAATCAAGCAATGTACTTTTATTTTCGTTACAGGAGACCAAAGCCAGAGAAAAGATCCCAGGTGAGTTGAAGATCTGTAGGGAAGCAGTTGAAGATATTATGTTAAAATAGTCTTTCTTTCTTTACTACCCTTGGCGTCTGGTTCTTCTCGCTAAAATTTTTGGGTCAAGAAAATGTGAAATTATCAGACTAAAAAGAGGTCACATTTTACGAAACAGATCTGATATAAAATGATAACGTGTTGGAGTTGACACTTTTCCTGGGGAAGTTGTTTTTGTGACCTTTTATCATATTGCGTTTTCTCCTTAACAGGAAGCTTAGTTTCACTGTTTGTTAATTCACACTCATCGACTTGTTCATTGACGTTGTTGATCGTTCTTGTATTTTTCTTGTTTCTTGTTACTCCATAGCTTGTCCTTGTTGGTGAAATCAGTGAAGTCAAAAACAGGACAATTCTATGAACAGAAAAAGAAGAGAAAATTAAAGCAGTAAAGTTGAGGATACATATCACTCAGCCCTGTTTGGTCCCCAGGGGGCCATCGTTAGCCACGTGATTGGTTCCCAGTTCCTCGTCTCTCAAGCTACCCAAAATACCGGGCAAAGACCCTCTGTTGACTTCTAACGACAACGTATCGTACAGATTAAGAGGACTTGCTCAAACCTCTCACGCAGGATTATGTGCGCTTACTTTCAACACTTGGATAATTGGATCGTTTTGCCAGACTCATATATGATAAATTTTATGTTTTCTATTGGTAGCCACTCATTGCTCAGCTTGTCTACCAAAACTATCCCAGAATGCTTAGTGCTCAATCCCCTTATTATGTCTGAATGAGCGACGATTCTCTTTGACATATCGTCGACCCAGATCCTTCAGTCGTGTAACAGAACATCATTTTTCGGCTACAACAGCAATAATTGCGTTGTCTCTGCCCGGATATGGACAAGGTGCAGACCTGAGATTAAAACCGAGTCTTCAGAACACCATTTTTTTGTGGCCTCAAATCAAAAAGAGGATTCAAGCAAGTCAGAAATGCCTTGTAATCAACATTTGGACACTCTCTGCTTATTGCTAAAATCCCACGAACACTGATTTTACTGCAGAGCTTGTATTAGCCTAACTTCGGCTCTTTTTATTGCATCACAAATGGAATTTTATTCAGCGCTCTAAATAAACAAAGTTGTAAACAAGCATGGTCAATAATGTTTTTTATTTTCTTTGTAAGTAATGGTTATCGGTCAGAAACGATGGGTTATGTGATAGCGGAGCTCCTCGCGAGCGGAGCACGATAGCTGAGAAAATTTGGTAATCTATCCATCCGAGAATATTTGGTTATGACGTCGCGTACGACCTCCCGTCCGTACAGACGCTGGGGGAGGGGAAGGGAGTCAGACGTCAGCCCGTCGGGGGGGACTTTCGGAGATAAAAAAAAACAACAAGAAAAACAAGTCTTTCTTTGCACTAAATTTGAATGTCTACATTAACTTAGATAACAGGGAAAGAGCTAGAGCGAGAAAAAAATAACAAAAAAGACCAGTTTCGTTGGAACAAAAAGATGAAAATTATATAGCGGCGGTTAGAAAATGAGAAATGCTAGCAGCTACCAAAGAGAAAATGAGCGGCAGTGAAAAAACAGAGTGAACACGAACACAAACATTTCCTCCATAAAACGTGTAAATAGGAAGTAAAAAGAAGATTCAGTCGCGTAAAACAACGGCAAGGAAATGTACAAAAAAGTGTGCTGCACGTGCAAAGTTGTTTTTTTGCTAATTAGAAAAAAAGTATGCTGCACGTGCAAAGTTGTTTTTTTGCTAATTAGAAAAAAGTATACTGCACGTGTAAAGTTTTTTTTGCTAATTATATTCATTGGCGAGGAAGGGAACCAAAAATACACTGAAGAAAAATGTTTTACTGTTCACCTTCTTTTGTTGTTGTTGTTGTTTTTTAACATTTCTTAGTGACATTGGTGGCATGAACAAGGCTTTAGGATTTTCATAAAGTTAGTTTTTTCAATTTCGCATTTCGAATTAGTTGTCTGTAGTAATGCTAAAAACAGCAACTTTGAGTGCTTTCGAGGCATACAATTTTACTACACAAAGCAGTTTTTACGTTAAAATTTACACTAAACCGTAAGAAACTATCTGGACACGCTGCTTTTTGGGGTTGATGAGCACGGGCCAGAAGCTGCGATTCGAATTTCCATCCAGAAGATTGGTTGAACGACAATTTTACGAAGGAAGAAGTGGGGTTTAACACGGCGTGGAGGTAAGAAAGTGTGAAGTTTTCTTTGTTTTTTACCTTTTGTAATCTTTGGATCTATTGTGGTGACTATTTTTCTCTTGACTTACGTCACTCGTGAAGATAACAGGCTATTAGGCCGAGGATAAGCTGAGAAATCCGCTGTCAAAGACAAAGACTACAAGAATTGAGGCACAAATGCCGAAAAATGCAAAACAGTCAACCGGTGGAGTGTAGGAGGTGAGGATGATTGACTAAAAGGGAGCAAAGTTTTACCAGGAAATAACAATGACACTCAGGTTTTATGCTTTCCCTAATTCTGAAAATTCCCCTCTTGCTAAGCAGGTTTGCTTACAATAAGATGAGAGCGATGTTGTTTTCACTCGAGTTATAGCGCTGTGATTATTTAAGCAATACGTGAACGAAAAGTTATTCATGAACAACAAATTAAACTGCAAGAGGGTTGTCCATTAAAATGCAGGGGGGGGCAATACATTTTGTTCCAGGGGATATGACTTATTTGCCTTGCATAACTCCTCTTGTTTTAATTTGCTTTTCACTAGCCTCGTTTTTCCTTTCAAACAATCACAGCCATACTCAGCTTTTTAGATATGGTGTTTATTTGGAGGTCATGTTATGTGTTTGCTGCTTCCATCCTGCCCTCCTCCACACCGCCCTCTAAAACATCATGGTAAACCATTTCTTGCTCCATTTTGACAATTAGCAAACAGAAGCGAAATTTCAAATTTTGACCCAAAATCATAGGCTAAACCCTTGGAAAAATCCAAGATGGCTGCCAACGTCTCCAAGCCCACGTATAAAATTATCTCCAAATTTAAAAAGGTTAGAAGAAAGATGACATACATAATAGGTCTTGTACATCTCTTTATTCACCCTTTGTGTGACTGTTTGACACAATCCTTAGTCCCAATCCCTTCACACTGATAAAGTGATTGATTTTTATAAATAACGTTCCCATTCTACCTATACTTACAAATTTTTGTTCTGTACATGTGATGGGTCAAAATTGCCACATATTTCAGTTCTGTGATATTTGACATCAACCCTGACAACTTGATTTACACTCAGAGATATGATTACTTAACTCTACTTACAAATACATATTATACTTGTAAGACATTTACAACTTAATCTATTATATTTTAAATACAAAGGGAAAGAAAATCTTGAATTCATGTATCCTGTCCTTTAAGGTGGGCCACATTTGATTTGTCCTCAGAATGTCACTGAGGTATAATTTTTGACACGAAGGTGTTAAAAAAAGTAAACGACCAGCAAACAATATCGTGACCATTACAAACATTTTCCTTATCAGTAACACAGAAAATTTATAATAAAGCATTTTGGAGAATATTGGTGCAAATGGTAGGGGTTAATATGTTTAAATGTGTTACACTAAGGAAAACGTAGAGTGATGGTGATATCAAAGGTAATATCATTCTCGCTTCTGACTGGCTGGCTAAATAACTGTGCTTGTTTCCAGGCAACATCTCCTTTTCCTCCACTGAGTTTAGCTGTTAGTTTCAGAGTCTTGGAGCCACTTAAGGATGAAGTTGTTAGTAACTTCTGATCTGCAAGGTACCAAAGATATTATATAAATTATGTACGTGAGCATAATGTTTTAAGAATGAATGAGTTTGGCTCTTCATCCTTCAATGAAGCAGTTACTTACCATCAGACAATCCACCAGTAAGGGTGGATTTTCACTGCCGTGTTAATAAAATAGAGGTAACGTATTGAGAGTCGTGCGTAAATGGAAAAGTTGAACCTCGTGTAATTTTTAAGTTTACACCAGCCTTTCATACATTGCTTCTATTTTATTTGCACCCTTTTATGTGTGCAAAACCAGTCAGTATGTCATAACAGTAAGTCAGTGAACTAAGGATTGTGTCAAACAGTCACTCAGCTAGTCACTACATCAATCAATCAATCAATCAATATTGCAGTTGTAACTCTTATTTTGCGAAATCCTGTGGTGTGAACAACAGAAAGACAAATCACTGTTAACTTTCACATGGAACTACTATTTTTTACAATATGAAGTTTGGAATTATTTTCTTGGTTGAATTCCTTTATTTTATTTACTGATAGGAAAATTACGTTAGATCATGTAATGGGTGAAGTACACACCATTACTAAAATCGAGGCTTTGTGTGTCTTCATCATCCCCCACTAGTTTCCAGTCCACTTGCCCAGTTTCTGTTGTAGTGACCTTGGCCATTATAGTAACTTCATCAATCACTAAATCAGAGGAAGTCAAATCCACCTTCCATGCAATCATGCCAGATGGAGAGCCATGTAGTCGTGCAAGGTAGGCCTGACATAAATAATAAACCAATTTTTATTGTCAGAAAAATTAAAAGGATTAACAAATCCGAAGCATTTTAATACTAAATTTTCGCATGTATATTCAGGTCACTGTGAATTAACATTAAGATATGACAACTTTGTCTGTTCCACATCATTCACACCTTTCTCATAAAAGCAGTAAATTTTAGATAAAATATAATATGCTTACATTTCCTGTCTGTAAGAATGTCAGGTCATCTTCCTGGACTCCTCTCTCAAGGAGATAAGAAAGCACCTACAATGGACAAATTGTTTTTACGATTATTTAGATCACCCATGTTGGTTTTTCTGGAATACACACTTTGTCCAATAATGCTCACATCTGCTAAATACCATCACCATATGACTAACAGCTCTACACCAGACAGTTTTGTTGTACTATGACAAAGAAGCTGCACTAACTCATGTCCATACATATATTTGCTGACCAATGAGAACTACCACTATAGATTTCCTCTGTTCCAAACCTTGCTACCATACCTACGACACACCCATATCAGCCCTATATCTAATCTATGTTGGACGGTATGATTATACTTGCATGGATCAATAACCTGCGCATAAACAGAGATCACTTCCCCCAATCTAGATTTCCATCCTATACCACTAGCTTGTCCTGCCTGTGGCACATTCATATGGACAATATATCCTATCTATGTTGGTATGCCTGTGACAACTATGCGTGTACTCTGCCGGTAAAATATGGAGATAACTTGTCCCATTCCAGATTAAGTTACTATGCCTGTGCAGACACATTTATACTTCCAGACAATGAGTTCAGTTCTGCTGTGTTGGATGTCCACACTGTGCCACCAACTGTTAATTAATACATCTGACACACTTGTATCCCCGCTTATGTTGGTGTGCCTGTTACATACATACAACACTTACTGCTGTCCAGTCATACTCATATTTTCTGAACACTGAGATCACTTCTGCTGCTCCAGACTTCCAGCCCTCCAGGAATGTTTCCTTCCTGGATCCACGGAAGTATTTATCACTTGCACAGCAATAACTCAAAGTCAGCCTATAAAAACAATGAATATCTTAATATAATGTATAATTTACTCCGACACTTAACCAATCACAGTCCTAGGAGTGCAAAGTTTCAAACTCAAGAAACTTCTTCACACCTCTCCATCACTAGAATAATATTTTATTAGGTGGTTTAGCAAAGACAACACTGAGGACAGTGGTCAGATCTTTGTGTTCAGTTCTCACTGTGTGCTTCCCTCATCTGCCCTAATGTTGCATTGTTGTCACCAAATCTGCCTTAAACCTGAGCACCCGGCCTCATATCAGCATGCAGACAAAAACGACTCGGAAGCTCTAGCTCAAAAATCAGAATAAAATGTGTTGGTACCTTTCGTTGTTTATCTCTTCATCAGTTGGTACAAAAATATAAGGTTCATGCTGCAAGATTAAAAGCAAACATTTTGCACACTGGTCAGTGCAAGTTTGTACACTGTGTTGCCTGTTCCATTTAACATTGAGTATGTCAAGCTGATGATTATGCCAAAGTTTTAAAGCAACTATACACAACTTTATCTCATACTTTTGGTACTAAAATGCCCCTCAAAAGTACTGCAACAACTCTAACTGTGGCCATTTAAGATTTTAGTGTCCTTAAGCATTACAAACACACACCCTTGACCTTTTAAGTCCCAACGATGACCAACATCAATTTTCTCCCAAAAAGATCAATATACAGTCATCAAAAGACAGATCAAGATAATTATTTAATGATCACCAAAGGGAAACTGCTTTGATCTTTCGTCAGATTCTTGCAACTAATTCTGTAAGCAAAATGTCCGGAGATCAGTGTGGGGAATTTGTATGTGGATCACTAGATATTTTGATTTTTAAAGTGGAGAACCTCCCCAGGGGTCTGAATATCAGATGAAACATTCCTTCCTGTGGTTAAAAGACTAAAAAAAGTGAAAAAAAAGTGTTACCAAAGATTCAGGTCTCCCTATCATGCGTCTCCATTCAGCGGTCCCAAACAGTTTTCCTTTGTAGTTTGAAAAGAATTCCACAAGTTCCCTGACAAAACGCTCTCGTAAGGCAATGCGACGCTCCATAGGAAGGTTTTGTTGGCGCTGGTAAAAAGCAAACTGCCCATTAAAATATCATCTGGCTTTATTAATAACTTCTTGAAAAAAAAATTTCAAATTCCTGTGAAAGCATAAATCAAATGGAGCCTTTCAACTGGCTTTTAAAGGTTTTAATAACTTACTAATTTGTTTATTTCAATCTGATACCTTGCTTCAGTTATACTTGCCTGTTGGTTAAATAACCCTATTGCTCTTGATAGCCATTCTTCGCGAACCATTAATCTTCTTTGTGTAACTTCATCGTGGTTCACCGAGTATTTCCAAGTAACGTCCACTACCTAAGAACACAAAAGAAATCATTTGCGTTTGATGCATGATGAATGATAGTTGAAGATAAGTTTAAACTTGTTAATTTATAACTAAGGTAACATTACTTCTTTTGAGAATTAAGGCTGGTTAATGAAGGAATGAATCAATGAATGAATGGGTGAACAAAATGTCAATGAATGGATGACTGAGTGAATGACTAACTGAATAGGTAAGCAAATAACTAAATTTATCTTTTGTACTTATTGCTACTGGTTTAAGGCCCTATAAAAAACAATACTACCTAATTTGCCAAGAAGAGAAACCCATGCCCATCCCTACAGGCCTACAGGCCTACAGCCTTTCTCAGCTGAGTGGCTTTTTACCTCTCCTTTGAAAGAAGGAGTCAATCATGTGAACAGAGATGACCCAGCATGAATTCACAAGCTTTTTTATTACACAAGACTAAGATGCTACTGCTGAGGTCAGCCAGATTCTAGTGAAAATTTGTCTAGAGGCCCTCTTTGGGTAAAATTTTGACAAGCAACATGGCCTTGAAACAATGACATTACACAGATGAAATGGCGTTAAACAACACAGTTTTGTTGAAACTGTTTCAGTAACAAGGAAAATCACAGATGCAATTATAGCAAAATACCAACAGGACATGGCCCACTCCTCAAGATGTGAAACAGCCACTTTTTAAAATTCAGACTAGGGACATACATACTCTGATAAGTGGGCCTCTGTATGAATAACTAGAGCTAGGACTATAGAGGATCTTAAAGGCATAGCACACCTCATCTTTAGAAAATGCCACAATGTAAGTTAATTTCTTTCCCCAGCCCTGTTCATAAAGCAGGAAGTCATCACATTTGCCTCCGTCACAGATAATCCATCTTTGTTGAGATTCTGAGTAAACTTCCACCCACACATGATCTGTCCAGTCAGTGACGTGTCGCACCTCAAAACCAAGTGACTGTAGCATCAATGCTTTAAAATTTGCAATCTCACCGCATCTGCCACGACGGGTTTCTGTAAAAAGACAAGACAGTGGCCATTTCCTGCAAGGAACTTAATGAAACTTGGCAGTTGGCTCCCAGTTGTGTGTGAGAAGGGGATAAACCGGTAAATAACAGAGCACATGCAAAAGAAGGTACAGATAGACAAAATAATTGCAAATTCTTGAAAACTTGTTAGCCTTTCTCAGCTTGTGATCCTAGGAGCATTGAGTTATATGAGTTACCCTTTAAGTCCCAATTCTGTTATTCTCCTCATTTAATTGTCAAGAGATTAGGTTATGAGAATTTTGCAAAAAGGTTTCAACTTAGATTGGAGAATTTGCTTGTGGATATAAAAAATAGGTCCCATGTTTTGCCTCAAGGTTTGGTAAAAAATAGGTCCCAACTTGGTAATCTAAACTTACCCAGTAGTTTTCTTGGATGGTTGTATCTAGGAAACCTTTCATCTTTCCCACAGTTTGGGCATTTATATAATTCAACTCTCCCTGCTAGCCACTGTCTCTCTTCTTCAGTTGGATATGCTCCTCCGTTGGATTCTGTCTTAGTACCACAATCTGCACAAATTGGTTTATCCACCCAGTGAAAAAAGGTACCTGAAAGAACAGCTTGAGTTGTTGTCATACAAACTGAGATTAAGAGATGTTAATATTATTTAAGCTCTACTACTCCCCTTTTTTTTTAAGTCAAAAGAATAAATACATTAAATGAATAAAATAAATTAATATAAGAATTAAGACACCTTCAGGACCAAGTGTAAGCACCTGCATTTAAGAGAATTATGCAGAGGCGTAGCCAGGATTTTTCCAGAGGTATCCCCCCAACCCACCCCACCCTGCCCCCAAAGTCTATAGTCTTTTTCATATTCTTTCATTTAAGGTGAGGTTACGTAATAAGCCTAAGTGTTTAATTAATGGATATGAAATGATGTAAACAAATTGTACAATTTTTTGTCATCTTTTTGGATTCATTGACTAAAGAACATCAGATTCGGTCCACCAATGAATCACGTTGCTTCTCTGGAAACTGACATTAGGGTGTGGAAAAAAACAGTCTGTTGTTTTAGAAATAATTATTTCAAGGAAACAAGGAGAGTTAAATGAATTGAGGCAAACTGCATTTTAGACAATTATATGATCAATTTTTATTTATTTTTTCTTATTCACATTTTTATTTCATTTATTTCATTTTAGTACCCTCAACTTTTTCAGGTGCATGTGCGTACCACGCATACAGCTCCTGTTATGGTTCAACAAACAAACATACTGATTGTGCATACCAAACCATGCAAGAACCTCCAACAAAAAACAATCCTTTTCGTCCACACCATCTTGTCCACCTTCTTTGCTTTTTTCACAAGCCTCCCTTGCTCTTTCCTTTAACTCCTCAACTGGTACATGACTCAAAGCTTCTTCTTGCAAATGTGGATCTTCATAAAGATGCACACCTTCATCTAAAGATTGCAGTCTTGCAAAAAATTCCCTTTCATTCTGTTTAAAAAAGGAATATGTTTAACAGTTGGTTTCTAGGTACATCTCATGGCCAAGATGAATTTAACCTGCAAATTAATACTGCTGTTTTTCCTTGCTCCTTTCTGCTAGGTAATTAAATGTGAGTGAGGGGAGAGGGCTGTTCTCTCAGGCTAAGATGAATTATAATTTTCAGATGATACATTTTGTACAAACTCAAATTAAATTGAAGCTTTAAAAAAGGGTTTTCTTCTCAGGCACTGCCCCTGGACAACAAAGGTATGCATTCGCTGCTTATGTAATGACCGATGTGTGTTAGTTACTGTGCTTTTCAAAAACATGCCAATTCTGAAGTTCAAAAGGCAAGCGACGTTTACATTTTTTTACTGCTGTCAATCATCTTAGTGGACCTCTTAAGGCTGGTTTTCACTAGCGACGGAGTCGTAGTCAGAGTCCGAGTTGTAAGTGGAGTTGTAAGAGCGCTTATGACCTAGTGAAAATAAAAAATCGAAGTCGTAAGGGGTGTCATAAGCGTGATGGAATCAGAGTCAGAAGAATCAGAATGTTTCCATTTCTTCCAACCCCTCTTCCGACTCCGTTGCTTACGTTCTGCTTATGATCTAGTGAAAACCAGATTGTCGGAGTTAGAAGCAGAAGTGGAAGGATAAACCAATATTACAATGCACGTTCCCACGCTTTGTGATTGGTATAGTTCTTCCGCTTCTGCTTCCGACTCCGACAATCAGGTTTTCACTAGATCATAAGCGGAACGTAAGCGATGGAGCTGTAAGGGGAATGGGAATGCTGTTTTCACTGGATCATAAGCCCTAAACTTCTTATTACGACTCCGACTCCGTCGCTAGTGAAAACCAGCCTTTAGGAGACAGAAGTTTACTTCAACGGGTTCAAAAGGTCACGTTTTGAGATTTGTGATTGGTGGATTTCGAACCGTTTTGTGTGTTTCTGTGTATCAGGGTTGGTTGCTTGTATTTGCAATTGTGATTGATGGCATAGAGAAATGCAATTAATTGTGAAGGCAGCTTTTGAGCTTCAGAGTTCGCATGTTTTTGAAAAGCGCAGTAAAGAAATACATAGACTACAAGGTCCCCCCCTCTTTGCAAAAAAAGGCAAAATTTTAAATTAAAGCTTACATTTTAGCTAAGATCCACGTACAGGGTGATCTCTTTAAACTGAATCTCTTACTTTGAATTTGGCTTTAATACCCTTGGGTGAAAAGTGCCAGCGTAATTCTTGCAACAGAATGAATTTTTCAATTTCTAATCATGTGCGATTTCGTAGTTACACAGAAAGTAATGTTGTAAAGTAAGCCATTAGCAAATCAATAAATGGGCCAATCAGGCAATCTTCATCATTAATTTTAATTTACAATCACCAAAATGTGAATTAAAGATCGATAACAAATTTCATGAATGTTTTTAAGGGCATAATATCATAAAATCGAAGGCCATGAAATCGAAAGGAAGCGGTCTACAGGGCTTTGGAAAGCAAAGAAATTGACAATGTTCATAAAACATTTTATATCGTGTAAACAAACGTCTTAGAAACACTTTGAAGAAAAAGTTAGGTCATCGAAATGCCCTATGTCCTGTTTGAGGTTTTGAAACCTCTTTAAACGTACCTGCTGTCCGTAGTAATCCAGTAACCCGAAAGCGGTAGCCATCACTAAAACCTACAAAGTGCAGTGTATCCTTTACCATGACGAAGCAGGAAGACAAATTTTCAAATTAGAATTACCATGTTTTTTCATGGAGTAATATGATAACTACATTCACAAAACGAAACTTACCTTCAAAAAATTGTACCCAGATAAAACAGCACCAGATCCAGAATATCTTTAGACCAACCGTACTAATAAAAATTAAAGAATCAACGAAATGTTTGATAAATGTTGTGTTCGTGTCGCTTATCTGAAGTACAACTTTCTGACAGTAGTTCTAGATATCGCTGGCTCACTTCTCCTTTGCACATCGAGGCGGCGGTTAAGGGGATTGGGGGGAGGGGGGTGTGGGTTGGGTAGAGCAGGCTAGAAATTTGGTTCTGTTGGTATCTGTTTTAGAACTATTTAAAAACTAAGTTTCCTGTTCGAGGCAAGAATTAAGAGTTGGTGGTTGATTAAAGCTTTGGACAGATTTTGAGCGACACTGGAGATGAAAGTTCCGAAAGTTTTACCGTTGTTTTCATTTAAAACTCATGGAGCGTGAACTATGAAACCTGAACTACGCGGCCAGCTTCACGAGATGGCAACGGCGATAAACGCGGAAAGATTTCTATTTAGTGACACACGCGAGAGAATATGCAACAGATTCCAGGAGGAGGGAAATTAAAACCGATTCACATGCAGAAACAAAATCCTAAAACAATATCGAACACGAGGTAAATATAATTACAGACCACATAAACGTAATTAGTGAACATACCATGATATCATTGTTCTTGGCTAAAAACCGAGTATTGAACGGACCAGAAATGTTAAATCTCTCCGCAATCTTTCGGGTGGCTTCTTTGACCTGAAAGTATAACAGTTAAAAATCCCACAAAATCAGCAAAAGGCAACCAATACAAAGAAAACGTCGTGGTATCTACGTTGGCTTAGTGTGTTATTGATTTTCATACGTGTTTCAAAGGATTTTTCTGGGTATTCCTTGTAGCACAACAAACAGATGCAGCTAAATTTCATTGGAAACGCATAATAAGGCGTGAAAGTAGTTTAGTCGTTCAACCGCTTCTAACGAACATGTTGCTCTGTGAAACGATACAACGAGGCAAATGCAAGAAATAATCACCCCGCATAGCCTACAAAAGGCCGCAGAACTAACTGGGGATAGCGACTGTCAAAATTCGTAATAGAAAAGTCGACACGTGGTCGGCCACGCCTCTTAAAATTAAAAGCCAGTTGAGCTTTAGATCTGCAACGGTTTCTGGCATCACGTGGAGTCGATCTGGGTTGATCCGACCGGCACTAGCGGTCCGAGTTGATCCGGTTCAACTTTTGTAACTGCCTACACTATACATTAACAATTGTGTGAATCACCAGACTCAATAAATCAAATAATACACACATACATACATACATACATACATACTTTATTGCAACTCCCTAAAAGGGTTTTTCAGTTACAAGGCTACTAATCAACTAAAATAGCTAAATAAATTTCCAAATAACTAAGATAATAAATATACGTTAAAAAATAAGTGAAATACAATGGATCATTCACTATTTACAAATTCATAGATTGATCAGAGAAAAGTAGGTTGATATATAATAACAATCTTTATTGTTTTACATCGACATAGTTAATGATTTTGATAAATAATATGTTAATATATAATAACAATTTTTATTGTTTTGCATCGACACAGTTAATGATTTTGATAAATAATATGTTTCATAAATAACGTCCCATTCCACCGTATTTACAAGGTTTTGTTAACTGATAAAAACTGTACACAGAAGATCAACGAACTGACCGAAATGGGTTAAATATATTTAATACTGTGATATTTGATCTAAATTATTATTGGAAGTATCTAAAACCAGCCACCTTATGGTCCACTTAAAAATCAGTTCTTCTTAGAAAGGACAAATTTTGCTCATAAAACATATACAACTTAACCTATTTCTATTACTTTAATAACTAGGAATTATTACTAGGAAATATATTTATGAATTTCTCAAAGTTGCCTGTTACTAAAAAAGGCCACATCTAATTCTCCACAGAAGATCAAAGCTTTAGCAAATACAAAGGTGTTGAGAATTATATGGAAATGATCATTAAAAAAATATCTTGACAATAACACAAATTCTCATCATCAGTAGCATGGGAATTGTGTGAAAGAATTTATATGGAGAATATCCATGATGATATTAAGATTTACATGTTTAAATGACTTTCACTAAGGAACACGAAGAGTGATTGTGATTTCAAAGGTAAAATCATTCTCATTGCTGATTGGTTGGCTAAATAACTTTGCTTGTTTCCAGGCATTATCACCTCGCCCACCACTGAGTTGAGCTGTCAGTTTCAAAGTCTTGGAGCCACTTAAGGATGAAGTTTTTAATAATTTCTGACCTGCAAGATACCGCAGATATCATATGTAAGCATCATGTTTCAAGAATGAATCAGTTTTAATTTCAATTAATCAATGAATCAGTCACTCAGTCAAATAATCAGTCAGCCAGTTATGTCCTTCACTCAGTGCATGAATCAGGGAGTGAGTGAAACAGTCACTCAGTTGGTTGGTCAACCAATCAATCAATCAATCACTCAATCAATCAATCTGCCAATCAATCAATCAATCACTCAATCAATCAATCACTCACTCATTCACTCAATCAATCAATCAATCAATCACTCAATCAGTCAATCAAACAATCAATCAATCACTCAATCAATCAATCCATCAAACAACCAATCAATTTGATTGAGTTGTAACTTTAAGTCTACAGATGAAATCCCGTGGTATAAGTATAATGAAAGACAAATTGTGCATACTTTCGGATGGAACTAATAAAATACCTTTTTACGAGATGAAATTGCAAATTGTAAATGTATTTCTGTTAAAATGACTGAAAACAGCAAGAACTGTCACTTTCATCTCTGAAAAGTGCTTTGCACAATTTTCCTTAATTTTTTAACTGTTGGGAAAATTTTAAGTAATGGGGTACACACCATTACTAAAATCGAGGCTTTGTGTGTCTTCATCATCCCCTACTAGTTTCCAGTCTACTCGCCCAGTTTCTGTTGTAGTGACCTTGGCCGTTATAGTAACTTCGTCAATCACTAAATCAGAGGAAGTAAAATCCACCTTCCATGCAATCAGGCCAGATGGAGAGCCATGTAGTCGTGCTAAGTAAGCCTTACAAAAAAAAATGAAATAATAATTATCTTTAAATACATCAAGAAAGTTACCTAGTCATAAATTATCATATTAACAAACTGTTGAACGATACAAAACTAAGAACGAAAAAGAAAAATAATAAAGAAATGAATAATTATACAGTCAGAAAAAATCAAAAGGATTAACATTCCTACAGGGAAATTAAATTGTTTGTAAATTTTTTGAGGGTGCTTTTTAGAAATTTAGAATCAAACCAGAATCTATTGTTAGCTTTCGTGTTCACTTAACACTTGTACGATTTTCTATCACTTCTAAGGAAATAGTTTAGTTTTTTTAATTGTTATCTCATAAGTCCAGTCAAAATAAATGAGTTCTTAAACTTTTTGGGCCACTTATTTAAACTGAGTTTAGCCCGTGTTCAACAAAACTGCATTCTAAGCCATTTTCAGTTTGCTCAGCGCTTTTATCTAAACACCATTTATCGTGTAGACTTGAAAAGCACTGTCGTGAATGCTAACGCAGAAACTTCACGATTTCACAGTTTCAAGGGTTTATTCCAAATACGAAACGTTCACTGCCAAAGGTACACACGCAATCTAAACCCAACTAACTAAAAAAAGATTAAGATGACATGCTTAAAAACAAGGTACCGCAATAATTGATCCCTTATTGATATACATTCTGATCACTACCACGATAATTAAGTGTCCATCTTGATTGTCACGCAAAGTTATAATCTCACACACAGCACTTATTTTCTTAAATTAATCCACTAGGAATGAGATCTGGAGATCAAATGATTTCTTAAACTGTGGCCTAAGTTAACAGACCCTTTATATTGAACTTGAAAATAACTGTTAGACAGTTAAAACGTCATTAGTTTTTAATGCTAATTTTCATAGTTAAAACAAACCACAAGGCAGTTTTACTAATGGTTGACATGTTTATTCAGGCACCAGTGACTCAATGTGAACAGACAACAACTGTGTCTGTCCCAAATCATTCACACCTTTCACAAAAAGGTACTGTTTACTTTAATATGCTTACATTTCCTGTCTGTAAGGATGTCAGGTCATCCCCCTGGACTCCTCTCTCAAGGAGATAAGCAATCACCTACAATGGACAAAAAATTTTACAATATTAAATATCAAGATCCCCATGTTGGTATAGCTGTGATGCACACTCATAACCCCAGCCGCTGTTGGTATGCCTGTGATTACCATCGTTTACATTGTCCAAACATGCTCATATTTGCCAAATACCAAGATCACTTGACCTTCACCCAATACCAGACAGTTTTATTGGACAATCTGTGAAACACTCATACCACCAGCCATCTTGGTGATCAGGTGAAAAAGAAGCTGCTGCACTAACTCCAGCTTGTTCATTCACACACACATTCTGCTGTCTCCTCCACATCTCCACTCTGTTGCTATACCTATGACACGTGTACATCCTACCTATGTTGACGTGCCTGCAAAACTTTTACTTGCACAGTCCAATAACCCTTACATTCCCTGTACAAAAAGATCACTTCCATGATATTGGCATACCTGTGACACATTCATATGTCCTGCCTATGTTAGTATGTCCGTGAAAACTAAACTTGCTGTAGTCCAATCACGCTTATATCTTCTGAACATTAATACTTCTACATTGCAACACCTGTTATATGACACAAGTATGCCTCCATGCCTTCAGAGTAAGTGTGACAGGTATAGTTGATTTTATGTTGTAATAGCATGCTCATATTTTCTGAACAATCAGATTATTTCAGCTAGGTTAGATACTGTTACCTAGTACATTTGATGCGCTCATGCTTCCACTGATGTTAGTGTGCCTGTTAAATGCATACTGCACTTACCGTTGTCCAATCATGTTCATATTTCCTGAACACTGAGATCACTTCTGCTGCTCCATTTTTCCAGCCCACCTGGAATGATTCCTTCTTGGTTCCACGGAAGTATTTATCACTTGTACAGCAATAACTCAAAGTCAGTCTATAAAAGACAATGAAATTTATGTCATAAATGTAAAATTTACTTACTAACTTATTTAATGACTGTATGATTTTGGAAGGATTGCTGATCATAGAAATATTGAACTCTCTTAGCCTCCTGAGTGCAAAATGTTAAACTCATGGCAAACTGCACAAGAAGTTGTGTTCAGTTTTGTGTTCTCATGTGGTGAATGTGGCGTCTTTGCTAATTAATTAGCCAAAAACCTGAGTACACCTCGAAAGCATACAACAGTGGCTCTCGTTCAAAAATCAGAATAAAATGTGTTGGTACCTTTTGTTGTTTATCTCTTCATCAGTTGGTACAAAAATATATGGTTCATGCTGCGAAATAAAAAGACATTTTGCTCACTGATCAGAGGGTAGGGTGGACAGGTGCATGTTCGTACTTTCAGTCCACTGTTCCATTAGACACCGATATGTTAGGCTGATGATTATTCCAAAATTTGAAAATAATACATTCAATTAAAATTATAATAATTACTTCTCCCATCTAACACTACTGGTAATTCACTAGACAATTTATGAAGAAGATATCCCTTCTCTGCATCTGGAAAGACAGGGGTGCTCTCAGAAATTTTCAGAAACTCTCCTAATACGTCAGGTAACATATTCTCATTCTGTGGGGGGTGGAATACATTTCCCCCTAAGAGCTATCAATTATTATTATTCTACAATAAATTACCTGGCTCTGATTACTTTCAATAATAATGAAAACTATCCAGGCAGTTGACTCACAAATAGTTTCCTTGATTCATTTTATGGCTCAATACAGTAAAATGCTCCTTAAAGGTACTACAGCAACTCTAACCAGGCCATTTTAGATGTTAGTGCCCTGAGTGATACCAATCCACAAATTGTACCTTCTAATAGTTATGACAAGTATCCCCACCATTTTCATAGAGGCAAACCTCTTCCAGGATGAAACACTTCTTACCAGTGATTCTGGCACTCCTATCATGCGTCTCCAAGCAGCAGTCCCAAAAAGTTTTCCTTTATAGTTTGAAAAGAATTCAGCAAGTTCCCTGGCAAAACGCTCTTGTAAGGCAACACGACGCTCTAAGGGCAGGATTTGTTGGCGCTGTTAAAAAGCAAAGTAGGCATTAATTACATTCTCATCTATGGGCCAGCATACGGCAATTATGTGTTTTTATTAACAATTCCCTCCCCAAAAACAAAATATTGTTTTAAAAAATTAAAAGCATCACAACTGTCTTTTTTCCCAGAGAGTACATATTAATAGCACTATATAATATCAGTTTTATTTCTAGCTGGTCCTTTGCTTCAGTTATACTTGCCTTTTGATTAAAAAATGCTATTGTTTTTGACAGCCATTCTTCCCTAACCAATAATCTTCTTCGTGTAACTTCACTGTGTTTTATTGAGTATTTCCAAGTAACATCCACTACCTAAGAATACAAAAGAAATCAATTGAGTTTGATGAATCGAATTTTAAGTAAAAAGAAGTTTTGATACTTAATGAAGGAAATTTAACCTAATTGATAATTGCTCAAAAGGTAACTTACAGTTGAAGAATGAATGAGTGAACAAAAGACTATTTTTATCTTTGGTCTTGATTGTTACTGAGCTGGGCTGTAGATAATAATGCTAGCTTATTTGCCTTGAATAGAATCCCAACCCCACACACAACTCAGGAAAAGTGGGGCCTATTGTCTAGGACAGCTGTGTGGGTTCTGTAGTCTCCCTTGAATCAATATGGAAGCATGAAGCAGGCACAGATCCATACTGATCTCCAAAATATTTTTTCTTCACAATTTTAAAGAATCTATGCCACTGATATTAGTATTATGAAATAAAGGGAGATGTAAAGAATCGAACATAAGAGGACACAGAAAAAATCTGAGCCCCAGATGGGATTCGAATCCACGACCCTCCGTGTTCTAGATCAGATGCTCTAACCTCTGAGCTACCGAGGACTCGTTGGTGAGCAATGGTCATTTTTTCTGGGTTGGACTTGCGAACCACATCACGCAGTCACGCAGTCCATTCTTTACATCTCCCTTTATTTCCTTTATAATACTAATATCAGTGGCATAGGTTGGTTGGAGGCTCCTTCATAGGCGAGGCATTTATTGCAAATAATGTGACTGCGTGATGCGGTTAAGCCTTAATGTGTTGCTTGTGATGGACTGCATGACTGCTTGATGCAGTTCACAAGTCCAACCTGCAAAAAATGACCCTTGCTCGCCAACAGGTCCTCAGTAGCTCAGAGGTTAGAGCATCTGATCTAGAACACGGAGGCTCATGGGTTCGAATCCCATCTGGGCCTCAGATTTTTTCTGTGTCCTCTTATGGTCGATTCTTTACATCTCCCTTTATTTCCTTTATAATTTCAAAGAAATCTGTCAAATTTTTCCTGTTAAACGTTTTTTATAAAAGTATTTATTTCCAAGTTGAAATGGAAAAAGGTAGCTAATATCAAGTCTGAATTGAATAACTCAGAAAGCCAGGATTATTAGGTGACTTTAGGGATCTTGGAGTTAACCCCATAAAGCCCCCATGCTATATAGGGAGTTCCTTGCTTTGGAAACTTGGTCACGCGACGCTCTCATGGCATTTAAATGCATGACTGGTCAAGCTCCACATTACCTCAGCGATCAATTTACAACAAGAATTGCGGTCACCGGGCGTGTGACTCGAAGTTGCCAATTATTAAACATTCCCTTGTAAAAGTCGAGTACCGGACAGAGAACATTCCACTACCGCATGGTGCACATTTGGAACAATCTAGACAGTACTCTTAAAACTGCAAAATCGATTTCTACTTTTAAATTTTGTCTGAAAAACAAGTTGATTACTGACTTTTTAAATAGCACGTTATGATAGTATTTTAGTATCTTACTAGTATCTTATTTTATTTTAACTTAAAATATGCATATTGTATAGTACGTAGTGAGAATATTTATTATACGATTAATTCTTAAATAGGTATGTTTATATTGCTTTGTTCACCGCATTCTTTCTTTTTAATCGAATTGTTAACTACTTCTCTTATCTTAATTAGTTTTTTTTAGTCGCATTGTCACCGAAAAGCCCCACCAGGGGAGTGTCAATAAACGATTGTATTGTATTGTATTGTATGATACATCAGTACTTGTAAAGGAGACAAGGTTCATTGTTTATGCCCCTGGCCAATGATGCAATCATCTAAACTAAAATGGGCCAGCATGTTGAGGATGCCAGGTAGGAGCACTGTATAAATTAAACAAAGCTAGGACTATCATTGAACTTAACATATCAACTTTATACAGTGTAGCACACCTCATCTATAGAAACTGCCACAATGTAAGTTAATTTCTTTCCCCAGCTCTGTTCATAAAGCAGGAAGGCATCACATTTGCCTCCGTCACAGATAATCCATCTTTGTTGAGAGTCTAAGTAGACTTCAACCCAAACATGGTCTGTCCAGTCAGTGATGTGTCGAACCTCGAAACCCAGTGACCGCAGAATCAATGCTTTACAGTTCCCAAACTCCCCACATCTGCCTTGACGGGTTTCTGGAAAAAGACAAGACACTGGCTTATTTGTTGCAAGGGGCTAGATGGGAACTTTTAAGTATTTAACTGACTAGTCAGAAATTAAAGGTGATTACTTTAATAGCTGTTTTAAGGGTTAAGGTTCATTTTAACAGTCTCCTTATGATCATTTAGGTGAAAGGTGGGTGACTCTTGGGTGTGTCTTTCTATCTTGGAGTTTCAAGCTTTTTGGATTTTTAAACAATATTCTATAAGGACTCTATGTCTTGGTGAGTCTCAGAATTTACCATAATTGAATAACCCTAATTGCATTATTTTAATCAACAAGATATAAAATAATAACCACACAAGTGCGATGATGAGACTGGAAAAAGTATTAGGTACAACATAGAAATGCTTGGAAAAAAAAATCTGAACCCCCAGCAGGAATCAAACCCATACTGCCCCAGATGCTAGTAGGATGCTCTAACCACTGAGCCAGGTGCAACTCTTATGGTGTGCAGGTGGCAGGTTTTTTTTCGGAAGTCACAAGATTTCACATGTCGCGAGTACACCGGACTAAAGTGTACTAAACCTGTGACTTGCTCACTATATGAGATGCCCATAGCTCAGTGGTTAGAGCATCCTCCTAGTTTTTGGGAGGTCGTGGGCTCGATTCCTGCTGGGGGTTCCGATTTTTTTTCCAAGCATTTCTTTGTTGTACCTAATACTGTCTTATTTCTAAGACATAAATAATATTACCTAGTAGTTTTTGTGGATGATTGTATCTAGGAAATCTCTCATCTTTCCCACAATTAGGGCATCTATATACTTCAACCATCCCCGCTAGCCACAGTCTCTCTTCATCCGTTGGGTGTGCTCCTGCTTTGCGTTCTGTCTCAGTACCACAATCTGCACAATGTGGTTTGCTAAGCCAGTGAAAAAAAGAACCTGAAAGAAAAATCTAAATTGTTGTGATGTTGTTGTAATGACAGATATAAATGTTATTATACATGTTTTACAAACTATACCTCTTTTAAGTCTAAAGAATGAACATGTGAACTGCCCATGCAGATCCCTGTTTGTCCCACTTGTGACATCGTGTTGAGGCCTCAGATGTATTAAATGACCCTAAATGTAATACAGGTCCCAAGTGTAATAAATTTTTGCCCCACTGAGGAAATGTAATAGAGGTCCTAAGTGTAATAACCTTTGCTTTAACTCCCTATTAACATGAATGTAACTCAACTTTGACAAGGCCTTGAACCTCTTTGTGTATTGCTGCCCTTTGAACTATTTATTGTTTCTTCTGGCAAAAAATCTATTCTTGCTCTCAATAAACTACAAATCACTCCCCTGTACATATATAATAGTTGAACCCTGAAACATTATTGACATGTGATTAAATAGGAGCCAATTTTACTTTAAAACAGTCCACCTTGGTTAGTTTTCCTTCTTTTCCTAATATCAGGTTCAGATTTAACAAGGCCAGGTACCTTGGGGTTTGTTTAGAACTCTGTTCTGGTTTCAGAGAAACTTTACCAATACCATTGTAGTCATTTAAGAATTTTTGTTATAATTTTTCCGCTTCTCTTTTCACATTACCCAAATAATAATACACCTTGTTTCCCACCAAAGGTTTATGCCTAAGCCTTGTTTTCAGTTTACCTTGGAAAACCTGTAATACCCAGGAGAAGACAGAAACAATGGTTATGCAAAATTTTGAAAGGTAAACAAGATGTATTATGGGCTATGTGGAAATGGTGAATGTCAATAAAAATTACATGGCATAGAAAGTGAATCACCTGGCTATGACATTATCGCATCAGACCATTGCATGTTTCAGTCAGTGACTTCATCAAGTTTAGGGCCAACAGTTATTATACAACTGTTGGGTCTTTCATATTTACATTTAGGACCATACGCTATTACGTTTAGAACCTTTAGTACTATTTAAAAAATGAGCAGGAGTGTATTATCAGGTTTAAAATCTCCAGGCAAAGCTGAGAGTTTTTACAACTGATAATACACAACTGCAAGTTTTTTAAACGGCTTCAAAATCTGATATAGATCAAATCAGTCTTGTACTAATATTTAGATTTCAGGTTACCTTGGTCTAAAACTTTGGACGTAACGTTTAGCTGTGCCTTTATCGGATATGAAGACACTTGTTAACATTAACATTAACATCTTTATGAATTATTAATGAGTCTTTGTGAGGGCCAAAATTTATTACACTTAGGACCTTTATTACATTTAGGGTCATTTTATTTCATTTGAGGCCTCAACATGTCAACACTTTAAACAGTGATAGACACCTTGACTCCTAACTTGTGCAGGGAGAAGAGATCTTTCAAACCACGCCTGAATGAGCACAAGTCAGTTAAACTAGCCCAAAAAAAAAAAAAAAAAACCTTTAAAGTAGACAGGAAAATTCCAATGAAAATTTCGTCCCATTACTCAGTCACCCATACTTCCTTTCAAATAATTTCATGATCCTCAGGGTTTTGACAGAAACCTTTCCCACCGAAACAAAGCCTAGAGAATGCCCAGCAAAAGAAAAAAAGTACAGCAAAAAAAATAAAAAAGCAAAGGAAGCAGGAAGGAGAGAAAGCAAAAGGCAAAAATTTGGGAGGGTAGTGTCAAAATAAACCTCAAAATGTGCCTTCTGTGCATTCCAAAAGTCCAGAAGCTTTAGCATCAGGAACAGACAGCAACATAATATAGTAGTCAACTTATAAACATTTTGGGTAGTCTCAGTTCTTTTTGGCCAGAACGTGACCAGAAAATGGCTGGACTTGCATCAAAAGTAGTTTTTTGCCCAGACTGGGTTAGTACTTATGAAAATAATGGTTTGACCTCATGTAAGAGGACACCCTCAGGACTGGGCGTAAGTGGAGGTGCAGTCGGCTTGTGGAAGGTATGTTGAATGAAGGAACTATGCCCTTACTCGATCATTAAGCACCATTTGACTAAGCAGATATAATCAGTCACTTAAATGAGGCTGACGATAATAACCTATTCATGACTACGATCACAAATTAAACTGCTCAGGACATACATTACTCCTGGGTTCAAACCATTAAACTGCGGTTCAACAAAAACAAAAAATAAACAAATTGTTTGTGCATACCAAACCATCTAAGAACCTCTAACAGAAAACAATCTTTTTCGTCCACACCATCTTGTCCGCCTTCTTTGCTTTTTTCACAAGCCTCCTTTGCTTTTTTCTTTAACTCCTCAACTGGTACATGACTCAATGCTACTTGCTGTATATGTGGATCTTCATAAAGACGCACAACTTGACTCGTAAATTGCAGCTTTCCAAAAAAGTCCCTTTCATTCTGTGACATTCAAAAAAGTAATACGTTAAACTGTCTTCGTTTTCAGATATATCACCCAGCAGGCAAGATAATTTTAAAATAGTCTCAGATGATAAACTAATTGTACAAACTCAAAATAAAATTATTTCAATTTACCTTAACTTACAGCTAAAAACTGGGTTTTCTTTTGAGGCTTAGCTCATAAATAGCAAAGATATGCATTCAATCAATCAGTAGTCAGCAAACCAATAACTTAAATAAACCAATAAGTCAATCTTCATCACTGATTTTTACAACTAATTTCTTGAGTTAATTCAAGATATAAAGAAAGCATACATCTTGAAGTTGCTTAAGGTAATACTATTTACTAATAAGGTATCATAACAAGCCATGAAATCAAAAGATAGCAGAGCTACAGGGCTTTGAAAAGTGACGAAATTGACAATATAATATACAAAATGTGACAGAAACAGTTAGAAAAGACATTACCGGTAATTAGGACATATATACTCCTTGGGGTTTTCAAAAAACCTCTTCAAACATACCTGACGTTCATAGTGATCCAATAATCCACAAGAGGTGGCCATCACTAAAAACCTACAATGTGCAGTAAATGAAGAAATACGAAGCAGGAAGACAAATTTTCAAATCTGTAAATGTTAAAGTTACAAGCGTTTCCTTATCGTGGATGAGTAAGAATTACATCCCAAAACAAAACTTAAAAAAAAAAAATGTATACAGTAAAAAAGAATTCCTACAGCAAATTAATATGGGTGTCCCAAATGTTAATTTCTTCAAGTGTTTGTCAGGTTGACCATTATTGGCAATACAAAAATTTACCTTCGAAGGTTACAATGAAACATATATATACATATCTATATCTACATATATATATATCTACCTATCTTCATACAGCATGTACATGTCTTTTTTATATAATATTACACATACATTACAAGACTAAGTATGTAATAGATATGTTATAACATCATTTCCCCACATGATGATGTATGTAAAGCATAATTTATTGTGCTGCATTGCGTTAAGTCATTTCTATTTTTCATTCTATTTTTTCATCTTATTACACAATAATTATTATTAACCCTACAGAACCGTATTCGAGATGCATTTTTCTATTCTGCACTGTAGATTGAAGTGAAGGTCTAAGACAGAAATATAAATTTTATATCAAATTTCGACTTTTCATCTTTTGTACGTCAGAAGTTCTGTCCTCCACCTTTGTCTTCTTTTTATATACACAAAAAACAAAAGATATATGTCTTTCTGAAGGAGCAATGTTTTTGAAAACAGGTGTATATATCAGTCTATATGTCTAAAAATATAAAATTTAAAAACTTCTTCCAGAAATGTTTCAGTCTCATGACCTTTGTTCATCACTTACTATTCGTATATTATATTGTGGTTCAAGTTTACCCTTGGTTTAAATTTTATTTATATATGATAAACATTATATCTTCATTCCTCTGTTGGGTGGTATTGCTACCAAATATGCACTTTATATAAATTAAATTCAACTGGAGATTGGAGCCAGAGAAAGAAATAAACATTTTGTCACATTTACTTAAATAAACCCCCAATGTTTCACTTTCAACCTAAAGCTATTCTAGCACAATAATTATTTTTTATATCCATGATATTTGTCATTTTGACATCTACCTTAGCATAATCTATAATATTTTTATTTATAGTTGTGCTATTTATATTTTCAATGAAATTTAGCATCCCCAATTAGCTTAACAGTAAATACTCAGACATTCAAATAAAGTTCATTCATTCGTGAGATTTTGAAACAGTGAAAGAACCTTCAATCAAGTCATTCGTGTACACATGGTTAAGTTTATTCTGTTTATCTGATACAAAAGAGGGAAAATTACATGTCAGTGAGCGTTCATTGTTTTTACATTTCCGTTACATAGGGTTCATATCTGCTTCATATGTGCCTCTAGTACACAAGCGGCAGGGGCACCCAACGAGGATATAGTTCAAAACCACTTAACATAGCATTGTAGAACGTATTTTAGTATTCAAACGGTAGATATAGGCATATTTTTATTCCCTAAAAACTTTTCATCTGTCCGGATTTCCTAGCTGAAAGTCTAGTGATCCGAAAATTATAGGGATAAAAACTTACCTTCTCGAAAATTTCAGCCAGGAAAAGGCTCCCGAAAATTCTAGGTGGCCTTTTTTAGGGTCAAAATCCGTTAAAAATGGGTAATTATACCATTTTGTAGATGTTCGAAAATCCTAGGAGAGGCAGGCAAGCAAGAAATTTTACAACAAATGCTCCAAAAATTCTAGATCTCAAATCGTCTTCCGAACAGATATTTTCCCGAAAATTGGCGTTGGGTGCCCCTGAAGCGGAATGTGTCACACGTCGTTAGCAAAATAATGATGTCTATCGTAAGGCAAAGTCAACATCCCGTTCAATCCCAACAAATTTAAGAGCATCTGTGGCACTATATCTGTAAATAAAGAGAAAAGGAGTGTTTAAATAAGAAAATGAGGGAACATTCCTCATAACTGAACATTCATGAGGGTTTTAGTTTGTGTTAAATATGGTAGCCCTTTAGCCCCAGAGTGTCCAACATAAATTTTTTCCTAAAAATATCACTACATATCAAGGGGAAAAGTAATGAGAATTCATAGAATAATCACCAAAGAAAAAAGGCTTTGATCTTGTATACAATTCTCTCAATTAATTCTTAAATGAAATGTAAGCAGATGATCGCAGTCTAGAGAATTTGTATGTTGACATTAGGGATTAAAGGCTTAAACATGACAGGTGCAATATAGTTTCCACAGTATATGCTTTAATGATGAAGTAGAAAGTGCTGTTTTAAGCGAGTCAGTTCATAGTTTTGCTTACCTATAATCAAAGAACAGTTCCTCTCCAGCTTCAACGTCACGCTTGGCAAAAATACCGATTCTATGATCTCCATTCACCATCATAACTGTAACAAGAAATGTTCACAAACTTCTAGTTTTCAGCAATGTAGATAAACCTTAACATTAATTTAGGTTCACAGTGGACAGTAATAGTTTGTTTCTGCTCGCCAGACAGTGGCATGATCATGTTTGGAAAGACTCTTGTCCTACTATTCACCTGAACCTTGCGGATGATGGAGCTTGGGCACAAGAACCATGACCCTTGGACGCCACCATATTGAGACTGTGATTTATAACTAATGTGTGACGTGAATGATAACAAAAATAGTCAAGTCCACAAGTGTAGTGTGGTGAAGAAACGAAGAGGAAACATGTGAGTAACACTGGGAAGAGAAAATAAATTCTTTCTATAATCCGCAGAGCACCCACTTTAAAATAATAGAAGACTCTAGAGAAAATGAAAGTTTGAGATCTAAGAATAGCAGCCAAAGATATTGATACGGCTGTAATTGAACACAACTACTTATAACAGATGCCCTATAGACTTCTAAAACTTGTTCAAGAAAGAGCGCAGTGAGTTTACAGGGAGAACAGAGGCTAACAGATCTGGCACTGATTCAAATGCTATAAAAAAGTGCCTTTATTTCCATTAACTACCTTTGGCATAACAGTTTGGACTGATAGAGTGGTTGGCAAATCTTATTTTGTTTCCCTTCCGAGTAGCATCCACAACAAAGTCTGAAACAAAAAAAGCATCAAATGGCATTCGGAATATGAAACAGCATTTAAGAGCAATCATGATAAGCACATTTACGCATGTATTCATGTCCATTACACTGGTTACTCTGTTTAGTTTTCATTGAAATTTAAACTTTTATCTTAAAACATCGTCTAAGTTTGTTTTTAAGTTCATGTAAACAATTAATTCCATTGATTGAATGTTGAAGTTATAATATTAATTTTGCTTGCCTTGTCCTGAGCATTTGAAGTAACCAATCAATTTGGAAACACGTTTTTATTAACCAATCAAAATGAGTCATTTTCCCGCGCTAGCCACTAGTTGTACATTAATTTTACTGATGTCATAGGATGTGCATTAACCAATCACAGAAGACACGCTCTCTCACAAACCAATCAGAATAAGCCACTTTCCAGTGATTGTCATGACTTCATGTTAAATTTTAAAATGATTGCCCATTCTTTGACTCCTGCCATCAGTTACATTTTAATCTGTTTTGAAGACAGTTGAACCTACACTAACGGCCACCTCTCTCAAATGGCCACTTTTTTGGGGGGACAGTCGATACATCGACTCTTGTTTAAACCTCTCTAAAAAGGCCACTCTCTTCTGTTCCAAAGGTGGCCGTTGTGAGAGGTTCAACTGTAACTAATTATCTCATTGTTAGTTTGTCTTCTTACCATTGTTAAGGTTAAATAAGAAACTGCACATGTACTTGTCATAAACCTTCCCCCTACGGTCAGCCTCATCCTGGGAAATTATCTGCATAAAAAACAAACAAACAAACAAATAAAGACAAATAATGGTCCACTTATTAAGGTTTCTGAAATTTAAGCTGCCCTTTCTGTATGTTATACTACAACATGAGAAATTTCTGCAATTTGATTGGCTTAGAGCAGTGGTATTTCAGCTTAATTTGAAATACCTACATGTGAAAATTACAAACCTTGTGTGGGTAGTAGTATAAACAAATAATAGCATGATTTGCCCGTGATATTTGGCATAAATACCACTCGTGATATTTCAAAATTGTCTCAAATTTCACTCGCCTAACGGCTCGTGAAATTTCGTATAACAATTTCGAAATATCAATCGTGGTATTTATGCCAAATATCACTACAAATCATGCTATTACCTATACTAATTTATTATAGCTTTACCAAAACTAAGTGGTTGTCGGTTACTGTTCTTACCTCTCCGCAGTATTCTCCAATGAACTCGTTCTTTTTACAAGATTCCTTGATGTAAATTCCCCAGCCGGCAACATCAGAGGGTGCCAGAAGAAGATGCTGAATGAACAGAAGCAAAGAACACCATCGCATCACTGAATTTTTACATTCCAATGTGGTTGACCAAAAACCAAACAGGGAAAAGAATCCTCGCCTTTTCATAGGGACAAGCAGATCATCCAAGGTAAAAAAACACTGATGCAGCAGATGCTAATCGTGGGGAAATGCATGTGTCCAACACATGATTACTTTTATTTCTGATTGGTTAATGAAACAGCAGTGGAGACCTTTTCCCAATCAAAACCATTGTAATCCACTCAATAGGCTATTTGCACGATGACGTCTTTTTACTACTAAGACCAGAATTCATTTCATTTTTTATTTCATATTTAAATATGGTAAACCTAGTGAGGTTCAAATAACAAAAGCCTTACTTCGCAAAAAAAGCAAAACCATTAAGGATTCTGGTAGTAGTAGTGAAATGACGCCATTCTGCAAATGGCCTATTGAAACATGGGGTTATTTACAAACTTCACAGACTATTAACAAAATGTAATTATTAACTCGTGGGTACGCGCGAGCGTACCACGAGTTATTGCAGGGACTGAGATATGCAAATGAGTCACTCACTCACTCGTAGTAGACGCACTTCGTAATTAATCGGGTCCGAACTCGAGAGCGCGAAGATCTATCGTTTCCAAAGAAGCACGCGCTCGCCGAAGTTCGGTAGCATCAAATTCCTCGCTGCGAGCGTGCATCGTGCGCTACAGCACGGTTAGGATGGAGGTCTTACCAAATTTAAGACAGGCAGGAATCTTTCAAATTTGTACGGTTCAAAAGCCTTTGACCCGTCCAGGCGATAAACTTGACAAGAAGATGAACATTTGCTCTTCGACTCCTTCAACTTCGACGCTGGCTTGATCTCCTACCTTGTAGTAATGTAGTAGGTTATGTGTATGAATGAATTTTTGGCGGTCAGTATAAAACACGGACTACGGACTGCGGTCTGGGTATAAAATACGGACTATAAAATACGGACTGGTGAAATGTATGGTAAAGAAAGGCACTTCTTCTTCTTCTTCTTCTTCTTCGAGATAAGGAAACATAGGCTAATGTTTTGCGTCCTACTTCGCGGAGGAGTTGTGTCGGCTTTGTATCGCATATATATGTTCTTTCCATTCATTGCCATGAAATGCGTTTACATTTTTATTGTTTTTTACTGTCAGTAGCCTGGTTTCAATTAGCCTTTATTTCATCCCATTGCTTCGAGTCGTTTTTATGGCTCGATCGTTTGCCGGCGGAAGTTCCATGGAAAAGGCATTAAATCTGAGACTTTTCGCTAAATCACGTGACCATCCTCAATGGCGCAGTGGCTGTGTGAAACCGGGTCAAACCGAAGGTACCGGGTTCAAATCATGCTAAGACCTTCTTTTTCCCTTCTTCCTTTTTTTTTTCTTTTTTGTTTTGTCTTGTTTGCTTATTTTGTTTTGCTGTTTTTTTTTTGTTTTGTTTTTAAATATATACTTAAATATCTGTTACTAAAGTGCAATAAACAGCAAGAAAGGTATTGTGTTTCCAGAACAAGGATAGTATATTTATAATATGAATTTCTATCATTTCCTAAAATTCACTGTGGGAAAACCAGAGGTGATAACTAATTGATTACTTTCTAAACAACGTACCCACGAGTTGACGATAGTCTTTCTTTGATTACATTTCGTCATGAATGATGTGGACACAAGACCATATCAAAGAGTCAAATTGAATGTTACAGGTTTTAGGGATTGAAGCGTCAGCAGTGATACAGTATTGAAAAAAGAATGCAGTCGAAAGATTGGGAAGCTCTAGGTGGAAAATAACTGGGTTATTCAGGCAAACAGTTCAATGCTGTTTAGAGTGCACAGTTCCTATGACCAGTACAGTAGTTGTACACAAGGCTTTAATGCAAGAAGGGGGATTTCCAGACTAGTCACAATTAAAGAGAGAAACCAGCTCTTAGATAAATCTAAGCTCTAACCACATTAACAAGAAAACACAAAGTTTACCTTTCGCTGACCACGTTGAAGTCCAACATTTCTACAACATTTTCCATCAAAGCTATCTAATGAAGAAAAAATTAAAAAAAGGATCACTTACCAACTTTGACCACCCCAAGTACACTGTTTTGACAGTACCCTAGAATGACCCACTTGTATTTTCACCTACACATGTCTGTAACCGAACTGTGCAGGATTTATGCATGGAAAAAACTTTAACCTATCCTTGTGGATTCCATGGGAAGGGAAACCTTAGTTTTGAAAGTTTCTTTTTATAATGTTAATTTTGTTGAAGCAAAGATCTACCTCCAATACTTAACAGCATCTCTCCAGAATTTCTATACCTCTATTCTAATAAATTTCATGACAATCTCAGATTTCCATGACCAGTGTGAACCCTAGAATACTATGTGAACATACACTGCTTGAGACTGAATGATACTAGAAAGGCTGCGAGATTATTTTTTCACTTACCAGATCCACAAGTCTGACAGAGGTCTGGGTCACACTCTCTGACCGCTAGGAAGCATGGGCACTGCTTTGTATTACACTGTGCTTTACAACGACATCCAGGGAAACGGTTTTGACCTAGAGACAAAGGCGGATAAAGAGATACTTGACTGATTCATTGCAGTATAAAGTGGTTGCTACATTTGACTGGAAGAAGACAAGTAAGCTTTTTTCACGAGATAAGGAGTACAGATACTAAGCTGAATTATCTAAAAAACTGTTAAAGATTGAGCTCTTTTAATTTTGAATAGCCTTGGGAATCATAGAAGTATCCACTAGTTGGAAAAGCCATGTTTCAGAACTTAATCTAATTTCTATGGTAAGAAGCAGCTACTAAGAGCATTGCTTCTTCTCACAGATGGGAGGCTCATCGTTTGCATAAATGGCTGTTTTCCACTTGTATATTACTTGTAACTTTCTCAAATCTGAGCACTAGGGTGAACTTATTGCATGTATACAAAAATTTAGTGCAACCTGTTCTCCACCTTTCCCCCTACACCCTGAATACAGAAGTCTCTCCTCTGATACAAGCTTGAGCCATGAAGCGACAGCAGCAAGGCACAAAATAACTATTTTTTTATTTTTTTTATTTTTATTTATTTATTTATTTATTTTATTTATTTTTATTTTTTTTAAACTATTGACAGTAGAGATGTCACCACTTCATGGCTCCAAGTCAGAATTTTGGGTGAGAGAACAAAGATGGTCTGGAAAAAAAAGACACAAAAAATACTTTTTCACTCAACTTACAGTCCATACTACATTGACAGAATTTTTCACAGAAGTTCTGAGTTGCAACACAGATGCATGACTGATCACATGGCTGGCCAGGATGATCACAAGGAATGTAGTTGTATACATGGGTAGAAGTAGAATCTGAGAAAAAAAAGATGTGTCAGGCAGGAATGACAGAGCACTAGGCGAGTAATGTTTCTCTTACTCATTTGCATGATGAACAAGGTTCCAGGCAAGGCGTCTTCTAACTATTTCAATCACGTAGTAACGCAAGGATGCAACTGTACCCTGTACATGCAAAATGGGATTAATTGCCCACCTACCCATCCCCTAAGTCAACATTAACACCTACGTCTCACTTAGGGCAAAATGCCGGCTTAGGGGAGGGGTCGGTAGCTACTTGTCTAAGCTGTAATGAGTATTCTAAATTCCATTTAAAAATTTTAATAGTTAATTGCCCCTGGATAGTTGATCTGCCTTATGTCATAGTTTCAGCCAGTGTCATATTTTGGCCATAAATTGATTGTATTCTAGCTGGGGTGTCATTCATTGTCTTTCTGTTAGTTCAATGATTGTACCGTGCTGATTGTTTGTGTCGATTGCCATTTTCAGGTTTTTTAAGGACTGATTGATAAAGCAAATAAAAATATAACTTTATTTCTACAAACTAAGATGCAATATTCATCACATCAAAACCATGGGACAATCAAATTACTATTAGAAAATGAACCATATCAGCACCTTTTTTCAGCTGAATCTTCCGGCAATGTAGTGACCACATTCTGGAAATCAAAGGGAAGAAAGTAAAGAAAAAAAGCATTCAACATAAGACCCAGCAATAAATTAAGTATATCTTGCATAGCGCACCCATTGTTTTTACAAAAAATTATTGGCGACAGTACCCAACTAAACCCCTTTGGCAAAACTAGTTATTTCATAAAATTTTACAAAATGAAATTTTTTTTTTCCAAACGTTTTTTATTTAGCAGCTATTAGGAGTAAAAGGTTGAAGACTTAAAGGCAAAAAGGATAATATTTCAGTAAAAGGTAACTAGAGACCTGTGCTTTCTTTTCTTTTTTCTTGGTGGTGTGTTCTGATCATCTGCTGTTGGTAAAGGTTCATGTGATTCCTGACATGCCCTGAGATACACCTAAAGAGTGAATTACTCAGAATCAAATAAGTCGATATGGTCACCTTCTAGGCAGCTCTTCAGGGACATATGAAGTCGTCTGAGATTATGTTGTACTTTAAGAAAATTGTAGGGAGCCCAGTGCTCTGAATCTGTGAAATAGAGGGTGCCCAAAATATGATATTTATGAAAACTAAGATTTCCCAGGCACTGGAAGAGTGCAGAACTATGAGTTCGCAACATTTTGGGATAGCATAGGTGGGGACCTTACAAGCCACAAGTTCAAGCTTTAAAAACACACCCAATAGTATGAATGTCTTTTTATCATAAAAAATTTTCATCACACTTTAAATTTTTTTTATACAAAGCAAAATTAAGGTGTGTGAGGCAAGTTACTTGTTTCCTGTTCAATCTGGGGTATGGCCTGAGGAATGCCTTCATCACTGAAATAATTTTACCTCTTTACAGGTCTTGGAGCGAATTAAGTTAGCAATACTGCAGTAATTGTTACAGTAGATTGGCCTCAAAACACGAAACAGTGATGCTTCCGCTCCAGTCCACTCAGAAGACACCGGTGAATGTTCTGGACTGCTTCCTCCAGCCTTCGATAAAAACACATGGAAACATATGATGAAGAAGAAAGGTAATGATAGATACATGTTGTCAGTGTTATCGGTAGACCTGGACTCAAATCTTTGTGACAGTTAAACAGTGGCACTGTACTATGCAAATGCTACTATTTTTATTCAGTTTTTCATAAAATGCAATATTCAAAAAACTAACTTCACAGGTGGGGTAATGCAATTACTGGTAAACTAGCAGTTTTCATTGTAACCCAGAAGGGTAAGAATCCCAACTGGCCAGAGGCAAACCAGTTGGCTATTTACAAGGGTGACCAAGGAGTTGAACTCGGGACTATCGAGAAACAATCCAGCTAAAGGTTAGAGTAGGAATTGAGACAACAATTCCAGCACCCTAACCACTAGGCCACCCTGACTCCTCCTCGGATGTTTCTTTTGAAAAACCGTGCCTAGATTTTTACATAGACCAATGCAAATTGAAAGACCCGAGATACACTACAGGTAGCAAGGTACCCAGTCCTAAACTGGTACCTCACTGGACAGTGTGATTCTAAGAAAGAGTGGAACATAAGAAATTTTGCTTACAGTAATGTGATCAGGACTAGGGAAACTGGATCCTTTAGTACTGATTCCTTTTCCTTTAATATCTCTACTGCTTGCTCGACTCCTTCGTCTGGTGCTGACTGCTTCAGATGCCTTCTCATCACCGTCTCCCTCATGTAAATTCTGCCAGACAAACGTAAAGAGCCCCAATAATCTTCCAAGAGGACAGTAAAAGTATAGTTTCCAGGACCCAAATGTTGCATGACTCCACTGAGGCCCTGCCAGGGTAAATTCCGACAAGCGACATGGCCCAAGAAGTAGCGACAGCGAGTAAAATGAAATCGCCACAAGAGACAACCTCCCTCGGCCAAATTGCGGCAGTAATGGCAAAGCCGACAATAAGCGACAAGCATTTATAAACACCAATACGAGACCTTTTAAAATTCAGACGGGCACCGACACAAGACGTTTTAAAATTCAGACGGGCGGCATGGCCCGCCCCCTCCCCTGGCAGGGCCTCTCCACTGGATTACACTGATTCTCTAGCATTATCAGTGATGCAAACTAACGCACTCTATCTCAGAGCAGCTCTGGTTGAAGGAAGTATCATAAGAAAGTTATAAGAATAAATAATTTGTACCTTTACATGCATATAGCAGTCAGGACCACATGGGTTTGTTTCTTGAAGGTCAACAGGACTCTAAACAATAATAAACATGATATATATTACATATGATCAACAGAAAGCTAAATTCCAAAGGATTTAACTAAAGCCTCCTTTGGTGTCCATTAGAAAATGCTGTTACAGAGATTTTAAGTAATTGCACCTTCAAGCTTTAAAAGAAAATAACAGAATCAGACAAACAACATCATCCATTCATTGTACTGAATGCAGCAGTTTTGTGTTTACTTTCGGCAGTTGTTACAAGTAAGATTATGTACACACGTACAGGTCACCGAAACTTAGATTATACGAAAGGGTCTAAGAATTAATTTTACTTTCGCTTAATAATTTTCTTTATTTATGCACAGTGCTGGTATTATTACAAATATAGTGGTCTTTCATAATGTGATGCCTATTCATTCAAAAGTCATATTTTGCCTCATTAATGCATGTGAGAATAAAAAGAATATTATTAAAAGGTTCATTACACTCTTCCTCTTAAAGTGAGCTTGGGCTGCCTGTGGTGGTTGTATGGACAAGCCAACACTGGCTAGAATTAGTTGTTGTAAATAACGTTGGAAGTCCAGTTTTTACGGTTGCTGATGCTTCAAGAAGCTAGAATTTGATGTAAAAAAACTTAGGCTCAAGAGTTTAAGACAGATACCTTTCGTTTTATCTGTGTAGGAAGTGTTCGCCAACCTGAATAAATGAGAAAGCATGTTAACTGACTGGAAAAAAAATATGGGGCACAATGAGTCAGATGATGTCACTGTTCTAGACACCACAAATCATCTGATTAGCTCAGTCAGTAGAATGTTGGTCTGCTAGGTAATATAAAAGAACTGAAGGGATGTAGACGTAGTATGATCCACCTTCAATAATTTTGAAGGCAGTAGAAGGCCACAAACAAGGTTGTGTTCTAAGAAAAATTGAAGGGACCCTGGTGCTCTGAAACAGTGAAATCCAGGGTGCCCAGCATAAGATTTCTATTAAAAAACTAAGATTTCCTGGTAGCCCGAAAGCAAAAGTAAACTCCTAGGGCCCAGTGACCACCACTGGCACCCTGACTTGGATCTTCTATTCCATTCATGTGTACTTTGCTATTTTTTACTAACTGTGTTACATTAATAAACATGTACAGTACATGTATAATCTCATTAAATGACGCACACTGCAACATCTTACCATGCATGAAGCAGTCATACTTATAACATCTTCTACAGAACAGCATGTGAAAGGAGTGAAGAGTCTGTTCCCTTGAAACTGACTGTGCTTTGGGACTAGATTAACACACAAAAACAATGACATAAAAACAAAATCACTATTAATAATCTTAACCGTCTAACATAACCCAAATAATTTTTCTAATCAAATAGTTGATCCCTTACTTTTTTTTCTGTTTCCACTTTTTTTTGTACTGACCTGTCAATATTTGGAGTACATTCTGGTGGCAGTTCACCATTTTTACGATCCAGTACATTCTTGTACCTGCAACAAAAATAATAGCTTTTATTGAGGTAGAAATTACAATCTGTGAAAAAAATTGTTGAGACGCTGTCACAGGTGTACTATAATTATTTTGGGAAAGAAAACAATCTTTACCCCTCCCTCCACCCTCTCATCCAAAGTTGGGCTGTTTGTTGTAAATCCTGATATGTTGAGTGATCTTGTCTTCTATAGAAAGATGATTTTTTAACTTTATTTCTTTGGAGATCCATGATGTGTTACCTTCGATAAACCTCAGACCCTAGCAAGCCTTTATCAGGGAACAGAGATGCAATGGCATCAAAGAGCTCATCATGTTCATGCTTCTCAGTTCCTTCTGCAGGTTTTGCTTCATCTTTTGAGGAACTTCCTTTAGTAATAAATAAATAAATATTTAAATAAATAAATGTAACTTTTACTGCCTAAATGGTCATGGTTTATGGCCTAATAAACTGGGTGGCCTTTTTAACAGGCACCAGTTAAAAAACTACAGTGTAAGAATATGACCACAACAACAACACTAACAGTGTTGAACAGTGTTCTCCAAGCCAACCTGTGTACATGGTGCTGAGACTGGAGAACAGATGATGGCAACTTTGATAATGATGATGATGATGATGATATTTCGATGCTAACAAATTAAAGACAAAGATAATCTGAGATCAGAATAGATATGAAGACGACTAGCCTTTCATTTATTTTACCTTCCGCTGAGGCTGCCTTTTCTGTGTCTTTTGTTGTCTCACTGTCTTTAATATTTTTCTTACTGGACTCCTTGTGTTTCTTTAATGCTTCAACAAGTTCTACAAGCAGGTCATCAGTGAGAGCTGCTTCATCAAACACTGAAAAATAAGAAAATTCTGTTACCTTTATACCAAATGCCTTTAACTTGTTGTGTCAAGCACCATGAATTTGTAAGTTAGAGAGTTTAGGATCTCCACGCTAGAGCACAGCCTTGGAGTAACACCAATAACTGGAAATAGAAAGAGAAAAGAGAAGGAGAGAAGAGAAGTGAGAAGGAAAGCTTTCGTATGTTACCATGATCTGGTGTGTTGTGTACTCTTCCTTCATAATTTTTAATAAGTTCCTCAATGAATGAACCATCTTGATCAAGGACCTCCTCTCCCATGTATGGAATATTGTGCAGTACTGTCTCATCCTCAACCTGGAGATAATAATAATAATAATAATAATAATAATAATAATAACAATAATAATAACCAAAGTGATCCCTATGGTTGTTGCTGTGTTTGGCACAGTAAAGATGCGGATTGTAGAAAACAGAAAACGTCAAGAAAGTATCAGAGAAAGCTACTGTGACAGAGACCCAAAAGATCTGTGTGCTGGGATCTGCATGAATACTCAGGAGGGCGTTTAGTGTATGAACAGAATAATTGACTTGGGTGGCTGATGCTCCAGGTGCATGGTTTGTGCCTGGCTGATGCACAAAAAGAACACCAGCAAAGACCGTGACAGAAGAGATAACAATAAAAATAACAACAATAATAATAATAATAGTAGTAACAAAGGGTTCTGTAAAAGGATTTTACCATGTAGTTCTGCTGAAGTGGAGACCATGTGAAAAACTGAGGTAAAGCCTGAACTGTGTATAGTGTCCTTAGTACTGTATGTTGAGTACCATGTCCAAATCCACTGTAAACAGAGCACTGCAAAAACAAGCGACATTCATTGGATTTAGACTAAATAGCTACCCCTTTATAATATACAGCAAATTCGGCCACGGCAGCCACTAAAGGCTGGGGTCTGGAGGTTTGCACACGGCTATAATAAGCATGAAAACAAAAGGAAAAGAACTTCCTAGCTGTTCAATGCCTGGGTCAATTTAGGTTACTGGAAAACTGCCCACCTACCCCTCCCCTAAGCCATCATTTTCCCCTTAGTGAGAAGTAAGGGTGAATGTTAGCTTAGGGGAGGGGTAGGTGGGCAGTTTCCCAGAAACCTGAATTGATCCCAGTGCCCTGCCTACTAACTGCCTATACCCAGTTACTTGAACTCTTAGAGAAAGCCCTCTCTGTGAAAGTTCAAAATATAAGTATTATTGCCTTACTTTTCTTGATGAGGGAAGTTGTTCAGCTGGTGAAATAAATGGAACAACTTGTTGTTTTTCACTGATTTGTATCTGTTTCCTCTTCCACAACAACTCTTTCAGATTTTGTTGGTTGGCTGAAAAACAACTCTGGAAGACAGAGAACAAACAATAACTACTGGTCATTTTCTGGTATAACTTTATTGATGATTGATTCGTCAGGTTAATTGCCAGCACATCAGGAACACGAATCCTGATGCCACATTGTGTTTTTAAAATGCAAGCAACCTCGTTCTCAGGTTTGTTCCTTCTCTCTCCTACCCATATTTTATATTTGGGATTCTCAGCTACAACTTTCGTTTTTGGTGATCAATCATCCTGGAAGCGTTTAACAACTTAATTTTTAACTGGAGCCCAATTATCATACTCAATCTGAGCACAGGAATTAATACCATAAGCAGATCAGAGCTACCGCTTTGGCTGATTACTCAGAACTTTCTTCTCAGAGTAAGCAACACTAGGAGAATAATCAACCGTACTTTTTGATGGTAGTGAGTAACTCTCGTGACATGATAGACTTCAAAGGGATCTTCAAAGTTTACATGACGCGAAAGTTTTCATTTCACATTTTTCTATAGTTCAAAAACGCACCTTTACGGCCTCTGTTTTCTCTGTTTGCTTGCACTGCCGAAGTTTTAAATACTCTAAACGAGCAATCCGTTTCAGATCGCTTTCCATTTTAACCAGACAAAACTCAAGACAGACTAATCGAGGAACTCGTGTTTATGAATGGCGGCGGGAAACACGTTTGAGAACAATACAGAGTGTCGGAAAACGTCGCAGAATGTTCGTTACTCTTCGGTAACGTCGAAGGTTTGTTCGGATATATAAACCAATCTTACATGACGTACAATATCTATTGAATTTCGTTGGCGCGAAGCTCAACTATGGCTGACCAAAGAAAGCCGAGTGCAAGTTTAGTAACGGATGTACTTCTTAAATCAGGTCGTTTAGAAAAAGAAGACATAAATTTATGCGTCAAGAAAACGTTACAGAAGGCAGAAGAAGTGAAGGCAAGTGTTTCCCCCCTTTTTTTTATCGGGTAAGGTGTCTCTGATTGCATCGAACCAATCAATCTCATTGCGTTAAATTTTAATCATATAGGCAGAAGTCCTTCAAGCAATTTACAAGGAATACACGTATGATGAGTTTCTAGATTTCAGTAATTCAACAGTTGAACTGAACTGGAAAGTCAACAACCTCCTATCTGAAATAGAGAATGTCTCAGGTAGATTGAAGGTCAGTAGACATGAAAGACAAAAGAAACAGCTGGGGACAGTTTAATAACACTTTTACAAGTAATTTTACAAAAGTAATTTACAAATGTAGCAATTGTTTTAGAGTCTGAAGACAACAGCTACACTTGTAAATTACGCTTGTAAAAGTTTTATTAAATTGACCCTCAGTTACATCTGACAAGTTTTGATGATCACAGTGATGATGATAATTATCATCATCATCATCATTACCAGCAACATCATCATGGTCATCACCATCATGTGCATAAAAAACAATCACAATATTTATTCTTGCATTGTAATGTTTAATATTATTATATACAAGCTTAACAATAATGAAGACAAGGAAAAATCATCTCCAAAGGATGTTTCTAGCAATGGTCTTCATTAGGTAAGGGCCAAGTCGCACTAGAGGACAAAACTGTTTATTTATGTCAAAAATCTGTCATCACAATGAAAAACCAAGTGCGACCGGTTTGTTCACCAAAGGACAAAATTTGGTCGCAGACGGACAAACTTCAAAGATGCCGTCGACTACCTCTGGAGCAGGCCAAATTGAGACAAATTTTGGAAAACAATAGCAAGGGTGTTTTAATTCGGAAATGATTTGACAGGTGATTTGTAGCAGAGTCTCTATGCTATAGACTTCGTTGGTAAAATTAATCACGTTCTCATTTCGCAACAACATGAATTCGCGGGCGACAATTTTTTTCCGCACGAATATCCACAATATCCACCAGGATGGATCTATCCTTTGCCAGGCCCTTACATGTTTAATGATCGAGGAAATCCCAGCTCATCTTCTTCGACCATGAGTGCTGACTCGTTGCCAGAATCCCTCCGGTTCAGCGAAGATTTAATGCCGCCATCAACCCCATGTTCTTAGCCCCGTGCATCTTCGTCAGCCGAGAACAAGAAGGCTCAGGACAGATGGAGTAAAGAAGCTTTTAGTTCACTGGACTGAGGGCTGAAAAGCATGGTGTTGTGTTTTGTTCACAGATTTTGTTCTTAAGTGCAACTGTAGCTTTCCGGACAAATTTTTTGTCTCTGGCCGATTTCAAGTCGGACTTGTCCAGAACAAATCTGAAATTGCCCTCTAGTGCGACTTGGCCCTAATTAACATTTGTTTGATTGCGTTAAAAATTGTTAAACGCATTTATAAACAAATTATTGGTGGCAGTCAACATCCCTTCAACTATTATTAATTAACAAACATTAGTGTTAAACAAGTGTTTAAAAAGGTTGAAACAAACCTTGTCATTCAGGAGATGCCTTGTCTCGTGTTGGAAACAAGTTAAGATCTGGTCTCCATCCAGAGACGATTTTAAAATGTGTGCAATCAACTCTCTAAGATGGACACCCAGAGTTAGTCCCTGCTGTACTTCAGTGGGTGCTGCTTCAGCAGTGTCTGCCTTAAGAGACTCGACGACACAAGTGTTGTTTAATTCCTCTTGGAAGACAGTTGATGTTAAGTTGATTCAAGATTGTTCTCTACATGTAAATAAACTTCACTTAATGTCGTTGTTTGCTTTACCTTAATTTTAAACTCATTAACTAAACACTGCGACATTAACTGTAATTTTTTTCCAGAATTCAGTTGAGGGACCTCTTGAGGCTGCCTCTTGTGAACATAGTGAGCTTGTGAGACAGTTGAAGGAAACCGATGCAATTGCTGAGATTCTTGGAAGACTTTATAAGGTAGATGAATTATGAGGAATCCATAAGCACTAAATTAGTGATTATGAAATCCTTGAAATCTGTATTAACCCTTTAAGCCCCAAAAGTGACCAACAGCAAATTTCTCCTAACGATATCCATACATTGTCATGAGATTTGGTGATGCGAATTAAGAAAATAATCACCTAAGAGAAAATACTTTGATCTTTTATCAATTTCTCTTAACAAATTGTTAAAGAAAATGTATAGAGATCAGTTTGGAGAATTTGTATGTGGATATTGGGGCTTAAAGGGTTAATGTTGACAAAAAAGATGTGTCCATTTCATACAGGTCTGATTTAAAGAAAATCTTACTGTTATTGTTTATCTTACTAATGTCAAAATAGAAATTCCCCTCTTTCTTTTCCCTATATGTTTCTTGTTAAAGTATTCAGGAGAAGCTGGTTAAATGGGTCATGTAGCAGCTGCTCAGGAGAGAAGTCACCACTGATGCGTTTCCCTGACCCCAAACAATACTAAAACAATTGGAAGAATGACATGTCATTGTTTTCTGCGACCAATTAGGAGAGACCTTACGAGTAGCTCCTACACTGCTCGGTAAAATGATCACTCATACCTTGAGCATTAAATTTATTAACTGACTGACTGATTGATATATAGAGGATATTACATGGCCGCATGGAGATACGCAATTTCTCTTTGAGTGTTGAAAAATGTGAAATATTTTTTCAACACGAGAAGAGAAATTTCGTATCTCCAAGTGGCCATGTAATGTTCTATTTATTATATAAACACCAATGAAATACCAAACCATTTCACTTTAATAGCTTTTTGGTGTGAAAGGCGCAATTTATTATGTAGCTATAGCAACGGTGATATTTTCACTTGTGAAGATAACATGTTATTTTCACATGTGAAGATATCAAGTTTTCGCACGAAAGCTCACCTGGTATTTCATTGGTGTTTCTATAATAAAATGAGATATTATCGGGGCTTAAAACTGATAGAGAGGTAAATGCTGTCTGAGATTGTTTTGTGAAACTAGGAAGAAACCTAACTAGTTACGTGTTTTGGTTGTTATTTTACTGCTAGATTCATGAAGCATTGGATGCTTTTCCAGCTGAACTACACAAAGCTGCATATGACAATGCCGCTAAACTTGTGCAAGAGACAGTAAGACAACTGTTCATTGCTTCCTGGTTTGATGCTCACCATGTAAATTTGTGGTTTAAATTGCTTGTTTTTAAAAAGTCTGTTTAAATGAAATCTCTTTATAGAAAGACCTGCTGTGGGATTTACCCAAAGCTGGACAAGAAGGAAGGATATTTATAGCTCTTAGGGTAAACAAATTATTATCTTATTGGTTATTACTCATGGTACATTATATTTTTCTGAACTGCAGTGATGAAGAATACATGTACTATTTATACGCATTCAAGGCTGCCGCTAAAGACCTGGGGGCTGGAGATTTTCTCCAGCTGCCATGAATGCTAGCCCTGTCAGCTTTCATAGGAAAACAGGAGAAAAATGGAACCAAAATAAGTCTGTAACTGTTTGTTTCCTTGCCTACCTTTCACATTATACCCAGCAACTGTTTCGGTGCATTGATATTACTTATATAGAGAAAATGGTGTTTGATCTTTGAGACTGTACACGGTTAAATTAAAGTGATCCTCAGACTGATAACTTTTACCAACATTTAGGAGGAATGGCGACGTCAAAAAGCTCAACTTACAGCAACTTTAGAGAGGGTATGGGCTAAGAGCATTCTGTGGATGACGCCAGCCACTGCCTCACTGGACAATAGACAAGCACATCTTAACACACAGCTCAAGCTTTTAACAAGTGCTGCTTGCATGAAGAATGTTCTACATGCAATGCAAGTAAGTTTGAGCTGCATATAAATCAGGCATTTTCGAGTTACCTCAAGCCTCTGTTTCAAAGTGAGGCCAAGTGTGGGGCCATTGATATGAAAATGATATATTTTTTTTCATGCAAATAAAACTGATTTTCATAACAATGATTTTGTACTTAGCCTAGTTTTGAAAGTGAGAATTTTTGGAATTCAAAATGGTCTATTATCCCATTCTTTCTCGTGGGAGATGATCAGCATGCCAGACTTGTCAGTTGTTATATACCAGTCTGCTCTGTGGAATGTTTGAGGTTCAAGCTCCAGCTAGATCACAAACAATGCATCTTAAACTCACTTCAGATGACACTGCCTTTGGGTAGAACTATTAGTAAAGGCATTGGCCTTGTCTCCTTCTTCTGTACTTGTTTTCTCAAAGGGTATGGTGAAGAACCCAAAATGCTCTTTTAAAAGAGGTGGGGTGAACACTCCATTTGTGTGGTTATGACTTTGTGTGTGGGTGTGTTAGGTTTGGGTGTAAAAACTACTCAGGGGACCCCATCCCTGATACTTTTCACACCTATTTTATGTTAAGTTTTGTCACAAACAAACAAAACACTCCTGATCAGTCAGAATAATCACCCAGACACATAAGTGTTCAGTGATCAATTAAATAGTGTTTATTTTTTGTGTGTTTGTTTTTTTTTCTAGGTGCTTGGCATTCTGGAGAAGAGATTAAAAGCTTTTGGTAATAGTCAAACTGTCACTTACATTGTAAATAAAATTGGCATTATTTATTCACATGTCATTAATAACTTCTTTACTTTATTTTTCCTTTCAGGAAAGAAATTGGTTCAGTTTATCTTCAGACCCCTAATTTTGTTTCCTAGGTATGAAACACTGTACAACATAAACTAAGATTAGGAATCTATGTTGTGGGTTTTATTTTTGTTTTGGCTTTAAGTTTTGAAACCAGATGGATTTGCTCTCTTTTTCTGTTTGTGCTAATGAATGTGAAACTACAATAAATTTTTCTGAAAGAATCAGTCCATTGTATTCAAAACAAGAGAGACTTATTTTCTGAATCAGATATGTCTATTTTCCAAAAATTCCAAGCTTTCATGGTGATAATGATGATGTTATAATCACTGTCTGGCACTGTCTATTTCTTTTACACAGCCTCAAACCAGAAGTTAATGACAACAAATCAGAAACCATTGTATCATTTTCCAAGGAAAGTGGCAAAAAGGTCATTGATCCTGGTTAGTACAGTATTAATGTCGCCGTTTTGTGGTAATGGCTTTTTGAGAGGCATAACCACCATCTTATTTAGCAAGTCGGTCAGTCTTTCAGACAGTCAGTCACTTATTTCAAAGTGAAATGAGGAATTACGTGGGTAAATTTGTTGGTTTGTGATAGGACAACAGTATAGGATGTGCAATGGGTCTCTAAGATTTTTTTGATTTTTTTAAATGTAGTGTGAGAGAAATTAATATACAGGTCTTTACATTCTCACATTCAGCACCCATTTTACATTTCAAGAGATCTTCCACTCTAACGTACTGACTTATTGTTCAAACTTAAAAATACCACACCCAAATTCAAACTGAATATTATTGTTATTCTTTGCAGTATCACTTTACACAAAGTCTTCTGTAGTCCTTGCTGTGTTGAGGAAGTTCTTTGATGGGACAAGCGTAAAGGAAGAGGGTGAAGAAGCCAGGGATAATAATGTCTCCAGTACTGCACTGTTTTCAAAACTGGGTAAAATGGCAATGTACTTATTTGTTATAAAGCACAAGCCGGTCGGGAAACCTGTTTTATGTAATGTGCACATTGTATAAACAACAACAACAACAAATCTAAATAGTGAGTATGTTTTGAAAAGGGGCCAGGCTTAATCATGAGTTGTTGCCATTGCTGTTAGCTAATAACCTCACTATTATCTTATCCACAGGTGAATTTCTGTGGCCAGATCTTTCTGAAATCATCATCTCTGAATGCCTGAAAAGATCTGTTCCTAACACAAGTGCACAGGTACCATAGGTAGAATAGGGTGAAACAGAAATGAATCAATAAAAAAGAAATGTGTGAAAAAAGGCAACAGTATTAACCGGATTCCAGATTGAATTGATTGAATCTTCTTAACCCTTTTGGTCCCAAGAGTGACCAACATCAATTTTCTCCTTACAACATCAGTAGATCAACAAGATTTAAGGTTACGATAATTACTAAATCGATCATCACAAGGAGAATGCTTTGATCTAAAAACAAATTCTCTCAACTATTCTTTAAAGAAATGTATGGAGCTCAGTGTGGAGAATGTGTATGTGATCTTGGGACTTGAAGGGTGAAAGGTGGGAAAAAAGGTCAGGAGATCTTTCGAGGTTGCTTGAAATTAACAAATGTTGTTCAAGATCAGGTAGAACTAAAAAAAATTATTCTGAATGACAGAGCATTATGGGAAGAGTTCAGGAAAAATTAAAAAATGTTAAACCACATTCTTTTTCATCTTTCAGTTTTCAATAATTTTAAAAGACTTATCAATGAGGCAAACACAGTAAGAATAGTAATGTATAAAGAACCAAAGCAACCTTTTTATGTTGAGATACTGTAACATGAATTTTATTTTGTTTTTTGCCTCTCTGTTTACAGCTAGAAAAGTACCAAGACATTATAAAAGCCACTGAGGAGTTTGAGACAAAGCTTGTTTCATTTGGTTTGTTTTAAATTGTAATTCTAATTAAATGATGATCTTCCAAAATATCATGAAGAACTTGCATACTGCATAGATAAGCCACTGTAACTTTTTAAAAACCCCTTGGTCACAAATAGCATTTTTGGAGTGTTTGTTAACATTTCCCAAACCCTCCCTCTTGATCAGCACAGTACCACAGGAAAGTACAGCTCAGCAGCTTTCAATTGAATGGTAACATCAAGGGATTTCATCCACAGACTCAAAAGTTAGAACTACCTTAAACAACGTAATAAACAGAACCACAGGAAAGTACTGCTTGACAGTTTTCATTTGAATGTTCAAACCAGAGAGTAGGAACGGCCCTGTTGTCATGTTAAAGGTCAGTGCAGAAGAGTACTGCTGGGTAGCTTACATTGAAATTGACATGACTGGTTCTATGATTTGACTGTTGCAGGCCTTGTCCCTCACGGAACAGACAATCTGACCTTATTTGTCAAGGATGTTGGTATTCACTTTGGGAATAAGAAGGTATTTTAAAAAGACGTATAGTGTTCTGATAATTCCCATGCAGGTTTAACGTGATTTGCTATTTTTTTTTGAACATGTGAACTGAAGCAAATCTGAGTTTTCATTTTTTACACTTCCTTGTTAGTTCAAATTGGCCGAGTGAACCAAAGGAAAAATAGCATGTAAAATGGCTCAGAAAAAAGACTTGAATACCAGCTTGTTAACTGGGTGAGCAGCTCTCCTAGTTTGTTTGCCCAGGGTTGGCCAGGCTAATGAAATTTAGAGAGCTTGAAGGAGTAAGAACATTCATTGAACGTTAATACTGATAATTCCTAAGCTATTAATCATTTTTAAAATATGCTTGTTTAGTGCCAAGATCTTCTTGTTGCTGCTCATGATTTAATGAAAGATGACATACACAACACGGTACTGGTGGACAGCAGTGTGGATAGAGCAGCTCTTGTTAGCCTGGGTGATGTAGAGAAAGCATTGCAAAACGTGAAAGGAACAAAGGTACAATCTATTTTCATTGGCTGCAAAACTTCCCGGAAAAATGTTCATCTACAGAGGTGTTGAGTTCAGAGTGGCATCTTTATTTTCAGTACAAGTCAGTACTCTGAACCCAAACTGAATATATGACAGAGCCATTTTTTATTTCCAGATAATCTTTTAATCCCAGTTATGACTCAACAGAACTAGACCACCAGGGGCTGATCCAGAAAATTCAGATAGGGGTAATTAAGAGGACACTTGGCCGAGAACTCTTTAAAAATATTAGAAAATTTCACGGAAAAAAGGGGGCGTGGTCAACTCGACCCCCTAAATCCACCTATGACCACCTAAGGGAACTTCAGCAGCAAGGAGGACAACAGTAGCTAAAAACAGAAGTTAATTGTAAACTATTGCTCTTTAAACTTCACGATCTCTTGTTTCTCGTTTGCTCATCCAGCATGAAGCACTGAAGAAAGATGCAGGAAGCACTTTAAGCAAGTTTACATTTCACCTGCCAACCTGCCGAGTTAGTGAAAGTACAAAGAAGTTAATGGACCTCGCTTATGAAACTCTAATAGAAGCCACTCAGTCAACACCACAATGGTATGAAACAAAAAACTGGTTGTTTTGGGATTGTTGCAACTCATTTCACGATAACATTTACCTTAACGTGTCAGATGTTTTTGACCGGTGATTTAAAGGAATTGAGCTGCCCGCTAAATGCATGAAGTTGTAGCTGTCAACGGTCTTTTCAATTAAGGTGTAAGTAATACTCTATGTCCCAGCACATCATTCAAGTTTACTAGTAACCATGGACTGGTCATGAGATAATGTAATTTAGTTGACATGCAATTTATCAACGTTTATCTTAGTTTGAGGAAGCTGAATCATACATAAGCTTTCTATTTTTTTTTTTTCATGTTTTTACCTTAAAGTTAGATTTAAAAAATACAGATAATGTTGTAAATAGTTTTTACCGTTTTTGTTTTTCCAGTGGTATTCTACTCTTCTACACCGTAAGGAATATGTTTGAGTTGTACTGTAACGTGGTGCCAACCTACCATGAAAAACGTTTGGTAAGTAACACAATCTCTTTAACTCTGTGAATTGGTTTCATTTCAATGGTCGCACTATGCTGCGCTTAATTTGTTGGTGCAGGTGCAAGTTGGAAGGTGTTAGGATAAGTGCTTTAGTTCAAGTCACACCCGCAAATTAAACCCTCAGGGTCACACAATGAGATTGCCTCCTCAGACTTGAATGATACCTGCTACGCCATTTCCAGTGCCTGTGCTAGCACTGGCATCATTGCATCGCAATTGAAAACGGGATAATTCAATGAACAACAACAACGGAAAACAAGGCAGGTGACAAGGACATAACGATCGCGTACCCCAAGTGTAAACCTTCCGCTGCTACTATTGTCACACGTGCAAACTACAACGGAATCCTAATTTTCGAAGTATCTTGGAAAAAAATTTTTTTTCGAATTATGAAGAGGTTTGAAAAATCAGGGGTAAAATTACAGTGTGTGACAGGTGAGGGGAAGTTAGATTTGGTTCAAATTATCGGGAATTTAAAATAAAAACTTGGTTTTGAGAAATTTGGGATTGTAATGTATCCTAAAAGTAAAAATCTAGGTTGTCTCTCAAATAGTCTTTTTTAGTTGTATGTTTTGTTTTCCCAATTTAGACCATGTGATGTTCTCAAGGAAATTTGCCTTTTGTCTTTTTTATAAATTATGCATATAATATATCAGCGTGGATGCACGTTCATGGTACGACACTTGAAAAAGGCTCTTGTCTGGGATAACATGACGTGGTCTGAAATTGGAAAACAAAACATGCAAGCTAAAAGTAAAAAGTTCTATTGCATGTTACATTTTGTGATGTTTTATCTGTTACAGAGCACGTTACCCCAGTTATCAGCGTTATACCATAACAACTGTATGTACATAGCCCATCATCTTCTCACCCTTGGACACCAGTTCAGACCCAAACTACCTGAACCACTCAATCAGAGTGTGGCATCGTTCGTGGACCTGGTACCAACCATCAGACAGATGGGCGAGAAATGTTTCCTCGAGCAGCTAGTTAGTAGCCACGTTATGTATAATTTAGAGGGGCACTCTTATCGAACCCGGGTACTCTAACAACTCTCGAACACAGTCTGCCCAATAGAAGTACCCGAATAGAAAGGCTTCAGACAAGTATGCCTTGCGGAGGTAGCAGCTTTCAGCAAGTTGACTGTCTTTTAGAGATTACTTCTATGTTTCGGTCTTTTCATAACTGGAGACAATCCACCTTCTGATTTATTATCCATGTTCCGTCAAGTACTTCGACATATTTACGGTTTAGAACAGTCTCATTTTCACGTTTTACTTTGGACATCATCAGAAGATATACACTAAATGAACATGGGCTTTCTTTAAAGGGCTGTCTAGTAATATGCTCACGCTTATAAGACAGTCACGGGCGGATCGAGAAAGTTCAGTAACGGGTGGCCGGGACACTTTGCAGCTATATAGATACTATGTATTTTACTGAGAATTATTTAAAAGTAATAGAAAGTATCAACGTAAAACGGGTGGCTGTGGGCTTTATCCGTCCATGACAGTTATCGAGTCTGAAGACGCAGTTCATATCTGGCGTACATTCAGTGGTAACTAATTTCAACTGTTTTCTCTCTCTCTTTCTCTCTCTCTCTCTCTCTAGAAAAAGCAGCAGTCCAATTTATTGGAGTTAGTGAAGGCCACAGAAGGTTTTGCCAATACACACGAGGATGCGAAAGGATTACAAGTTGAAAAGACAATGAAACAGGTTAAGTTACATTTTAACTTGAAATTAGTTCACGCCCCTTGCCCATTGCTTGATCTACCCTTGTACTTTACACAGTGAGGTGTACTGTTAACAGAGTTCGTTTCCATTCAACGTTTTTAGTTCATATAAGAATTTGGACATGCGCTATGTCGCCCCTGGCATCTTATGTAAGGAATTTTACTCGAAACCAAGTCGATCATGTATTTTTCCTAGTTTTTACTGACAACACTTAACTCTGCACACTGGCACTTCTTTCCTATTTCCTGCTTTTCATTTTACACTACACTTTCAGATTATTCACCTGCTGACTTATCTCGGTAAAATATGGAATGGTATTCTACCAGTTGATATTTACTGTCAGTCTCTGGGATGTTTATTTGATGACGTCCTTCAACGCATAACATGGGAAATCCTTCAACTTGAGGTGAGAGTATCTTTTACTTTAAGATTTTAAGTGTCCGGATAACCATAAACCACCCAATGTTCGCCCTCATTCTGCAAGATCACTAGATACTGTGATGGTCTTAACAACAGCATAAACGTCTCTGTCTGGACTTCAAACGTCTTCAAACAAAGTGTTTCGCTAAGTGCAGAGAGTAGGCTTTGCCCAAAGTCTGTGAATTGACCCCCCGGGGGAGGGTGGGGGGACTCCCATATGAAAGGAGCGGGGATACTCGTCGGGAATTTTGAATGAAACCCCTAAAGGAGACCAATTTGGCTGTGGCCCAACCTTTTTTTTGACCCCTAAAAGAGATTATTTCAAACTTTGATTAAATGAATCGAGTAAATAAAACGAATTGAAAATACATATCTTTTTTATATTTCTTCGCGTGCAACCCTAAAAGAGACCTTTATGGCTAAATATAATGGCGTTTTGAACAGAGCACCCTAAGTGAGACCAAAATCCTAAATTTACACCCCTAAGGGAGACGACGAGTGTCCCCGCCCCTTTCATATGGGAGCCCCCCCCCCCACCCCAGGGGTGACCTTGGTTCGTTCTAAGTGTGCTTTTGCCAATGCATGTAAATTTAAGAGTTGTTATGTCTTGAAATTAGGATATCTCGTCGGAGGAAGCCCATCAGCTACACACATTGCTTTCCATACTTGAACAGCGAGGCTCGGAGATATTTCAAAACAAGGATACAGATTTAACAGAAAATACCTGGGTAGGTGTAGTTTTTTAATGCTATAGATAGAAACTTATCTCTATGAGCCATTGGGAAGGACAATAGCTTGCACTAACGAACCTGACCCTGCTTACTCGTGTGTTAAGAAATGTTACTTTTCGTATTGCAGGACATATGCACTGTTGTACCCCACTGGATTCGATACAAGGAGTTAATAGGGATCTTAGAAGCCAGTTTACAAGATATTGTTGATCGTTGGGCAGATGGAAAGGTACGTTTTAAGAACTTGAACTCTTGGCTTTGTTACACTACGCTGGCTTAACACAGTCAAGTTTTTGTAAATTAAGCCCTGGTGACAATCGCAGTTACTTGTCAGGCCCCAGCTGTTCAAAAGGTGGATGGTGCAATTGGTTTCCCTAATGCTTATCCAGGGGGGCCCGGAAAGTTACTTTGACAAGAACAGTTTAGAAGACTGACTACGTTTAACACGCCACGGTCAAGCATCACGGCATGTGTCAGATGCTTTTGACGGTCCTGGAGGCGTGATTATAGTTAAACCTACTATAATGTACTCATCGTCGATTTGGCTTTGCTTTAGTAATTGGACTCACTCTTTCTCAATTTTCCAGGGTCCATTGGCGCATGAGTTTAGTGCTCAAGAAGTTAGAGGGCTCATAAGAGCCCTCTTTCAGAATACGGACAGAAGAGCAGCAGTATTAGCCAAGATAAAACCGTTGCAAGGATAGAAACTAACACTATTTGCGATGCACTTCAGGTAACGAGAGAAGGCCTTTAACTCTCAACCAGCAACCCAAAAGAACTTCTCTAATGTTTGGCCTTTTAATGGGTGTCTATCTAACAGAGGTCCCGACCTAAGAATTTACAGTAATACAAAGTTGAACCGTTTCAACGTTGCCAACAAACGTAAAAGAGGCAAGCTTCCTTAAAATAAATGTGACTGCGTAAAACGAGAGTCGATACGAATTTGGCGCGGTCATACTTTACGTTACGTAATGGTGTCACATATGACTGCAGTTACCAGGAGCGTCAAGGTGTTTTTTTTTTTCGAGCAAATTAGAAGTGGTCATTTTACACCTACTGGGATAACTAAAAGGAAATAACAGAAGATAAGGAAACCGTTCTATTGTAGTCAAAGAACGCTACTGTGAATGTGAAAGATGACAAAACAGGAATACCCACTTTGTGGCCTGCAGTGATTTTGCCGTCCATCACAGCCGAAGACCGAGACGACGGATAAATTTGGATAAATTCAAAATTTTACCCTTGGGTGAGCATGTTGTAACAGAACTGGCCAAAATAGACCTCGTAATGTTCTAAATATTTTTAGGCCATAAAGCAAGCTGAGTGACATTAGAGGTAATATATATTTATTGGTTCATGTTGGGGGACAAATGATTTAAGTGATATATGTTGTAGAATAACACAAGAGGTGAGCCTGTCTTCTTCCATGTAACAAAAGCATCTTTTGAAAGAACCAGAACTCTACGTATTATATTAATAAAATGCACAACTGTATTTTAACGTTTTTATTTCATTATTCGGACCAAAAAGCCCATTTTATGGCGCTGAAAGGTTTTTTTATGCACAATAAGCTTTTTACACCCTCCACACAATCTGCTTGTACTGGGTACATAACAGGACACTCAAAATTAATGTAAACCTCTTAAATTAATAAATACTTTATATTAGATTATCTATCACAGTAAATGAATCTATTATTTATACAATAAAAAAGGTCAAAGTAGGCACATTTTACGCTGTTAAATAGGGGAACAAATGAGCGTTACGTGGCAGGGATTGGACTTTTTGGTTCACCGTTAACAGTTACAAAACGTATCTTCTGGTTTTGGGTGAGCAAAAACATAATCTGTGAAAATATACCTCAAACAATATAGAACACCTGTGCAAAATGCATCGTTGCTAAAGTCAAGAAACTGTCCAAAGGTACACCATGCAACTGGTGAAAACTTTATTTGATGCAGGAACATCACCTTATTTTTATAAACCTACCACCCTGAAATGACCAAAGGATATCTTGTACAAAAATATTTCATTCCTAAAAAAATTGAATTCTATACAAACCTATGTTTGCAGCAGTGAAACGATACACTACCTATCTCACCCACGTGGGTAATATATGTTTTTCATATCAATTCGGCCAATGTATTATCTAAATTTTGTCATATGTAACAAGTAGCCAAGATTGGCCAACTTTGATGTCACTTGTTGCCTCAAACTTCGATCGATCTCTTCCTCGGCCATCAACCCTCAAGAACAGTTACTTTCTGAATAATAACTGTTGTTAATTCTTCAAAGAAACTTGTGATAGCCATTCGAAGAGAGGACACGCTTGCTTTTCGCTTCATCATCTGGAACAAGACAAGAGTAAGTCAGGTGGTGGAACCATCCTTTCAAACCAAGTTTCTGTAACAAGTGAGAAGCTATACTTACGAGGGGCAACAGGATCAAAGGAAGGAGGTATACTCTTAGCATGTTCAACAAGTCTATGCGTCAGAACATGGTCTCTAACTCCAAACCTGTTTGAAATAAAGAAGTCATCAATTTTAAAGAGACATTCATAGCTATCAAAACTTAAACACTGCATTCATGTAAGTGTCAAAAAGAACTGAAACAGTAGTGCAAATGTTACCAAAATATAGTCCAGTTGCCATTTGTCCAGCTACCATCGCAGCGGATAAAATACCTAAGGAAGACAACGCTGAGTTTCAAAACCATCCTTAAAGACATTACAAGATATACTAGACTAAACTATTTGTCAAACATGCATTAACTGAGAGCTTATATGAAGCTAGTACATTTGTAAATCCAAAGGACAAACACAACTTTTTCTTCCCCACTGTTCATTTCACCAGCTTTTAATAAACAAACCTACCAGGGGTTAATCCGATTTGTTCCTCTGGACCTCCAGAACAAACTGCTGAAGTCTGCTTTAATTTTCTTCCATAAATTATCACTTGTCCCAAGACCCTGCAATAAAGGCATTTTATACATAAGCCTATGTTTGGATACTTAAGGCAACCCTATCTTGTGCTATGACATTAAAACACAACTGACTAATGTTGTAACTTACCTGACTTTGTCTACCAACTGTGAATTTATCAAGATATGGGACACCATCCACACCTTCTTCATGTGTGATCACAGCTGCCGCTGTGTAACTAAAAGAGCAACAAACAAGTTTTGAAAAGAATATAAGCAACAAAATAAGACAAGGAGAAGCAACAGCATATCATAGTAAGAGAAGACTTCTTCTCAAGTGGCACTTGGTTGTACACAATGGCCATAAGTTCATCAGTTCTTTTACAACTGTCAAGTGTCATCACCACTTCACTTCTCTTCACTACAGAACCTCTTTAGAATGCTTGTGTCAAAGAATCTAGTCTCTATCAGTCTGAGTCATAATTGCAGTGTCTTTTATGCACGTTTTTACTGTAATTTTCTACCAGGTGACTTTTCAGTAATTAAACCATGTGTCCCACTACCAAGTCATCCAGCGAAAAGAGTGTTTCATGCATTTTGTATCCAAACGTAAGATAGTGTGGTCTCAGTAGTCTTGCCTTGACTGCTGTAACCATTTTTCTGGCCACTTTGTTTCCTGTGACAAAAACTTTACACCTTTGCAAACCCAGTGGAAAAAGCTTTTTGAAAACAAAACATTATTTTGCATTCCAGGACAATTGGATGGTTACAAGTGCAAACACTAACCTTTGAGTGACATACAAAGTGTGAAGGCGGTGTTGCAATGTAGAGAAGTATTCTGCATTCAGAGGTTTGTTAAACGATCTGAAAAAAGGTAATACCGACAATCAGTTTACTTTGTAGCGACATAAATAATGATGTGTGTGGAACAAAAACTGTTAAGGCCTGTGTGGCACGCATTAAAAATTCAGGTGCACAAATTCTCCCTTTCCCTTGCTCTTTTAATGCCTGCCACACAGGCTACAACTGTCAAACAATTTGGAACCAAAAGTTCCTTTGTTTAAGTTTTTGTCAAATTAAATCAAGGAAACAAAGAAAGTAGTGTCCAACATTTTGGGTGTTTCCTGGTGATGCAGAAACCATTTTTGGTTCTCTTTTGTGTTTATGTGTGGGTATAGTTCAGTGTATTTTCAATCTTTTGTATTACATCATCTGGCCCCGGGTGTTCAAACGTTGGATGGCGCTATCCACCGGATAAATCACTCTCCAGTGGATAAGTATTTGGGAAAACAATTGCATTATCCACTAGACAGATTTTTATCTGGTGGAGAGTGCTATCGAATGTTTGAACAACTGGGGCCTGGTGATTGCACCTGTACACAACACCAAGAAACTACCAACATTTCCAGTCCAAGGTTGCATAATTTTACTCCACTTCTATGATCATGGCTCATTTACGGGCACATCATATCTAACATGTTTGCTGCCAATATTGTGGTTGGCAACACCACTTACTTAATAAGGAGCTCCTTTAGCTTCTCAATATCAACAGTTGCCAAGGAATGGTGTTTATGGATCTCTTCTGGTCTGAGAAACATTGTGCCAGAACCTAAAAAAGATTGTTGAAAAGTAACAAACACAAATTACAGGGGCACCCAACGAGAATATAGTTCAAAACCACTTAAACATAGCATTGTTAAGGGTATTTTAGTATTTAAACGGTGGATATAGGCATATTTTTATCCCCTAAAAGTTTTTCATCCATTCGGATTTCCTAGCTGAAAGTCTAGTGATCCGAAAATTATAGGGATCAAAACTTACCTTTTCGAAAATTTCAGCCAGAAGAAAGGCTCCCGAAAATTCTAGGTGACCTTTTTAGGGTAAAAATCCATTAAAAATGGGCAATTATACCATTTTTAGATGTTCGAAAATCCTAGGAGAAGCAGGCAAGCAAGAAATTTTACAACAAATGTTCCAAAAATTCTAGATCTCAAATCATCTTCTGAACCGATATTTTCTGAAAATTGACGTTGGGTGCCCCAGAAATTAGAGTGTTTCATTAAGTATCCAACACTTAAACATTGGCTGAAAAACTGGAACAGGAAAGGAAATTTGATCAAACATTCTTTGCACTTTCAATTTATGTCTAATCATTACCTTTGTGTGTAAACAGTTCAGTTATTAAAGAGTCTGCACTGGTGATAACAGCAGATGAATACTCTGGTAGGGTACTTAGCAGTTTAGCAATTAAAATCACCTAAAACGGATAAATAAAATTAATATATCAGAAATAGACAGCCCAGCATATAGATTTAACTCGGTTTGTTTAGGTGGTAATGGTGGTAGAAACAGTAGGAAATAACATTAAAAATAACCTCAAGAGTCATTTAAATTTCACCATTGATGCCAACATAAAACCCAGAAGAGAAATTCCTTAAAAGGTTTAAGAATCGATCATCAAAACATGACACATGGGTGAGGCTTTGTTCAGTGTAGCGGAAGAAAACATGAGCTCACACTTTCACAGCTTCCAAAGCAGCAACTACAAAGATCTCTAAGTTTTCTTTACCATGAAAGCTGCATCTCGAAAACATTGACCTCTACGATACTTTGTTTTTCTAGTTCAAGATAGAGTCAGCGCCTTGCTATACTTAAGAAACACGATTTTTTCGGAGAGAAGCAGTTGGGACCTTTACAAATTGTATTAATGTACTTTACATTTAAAATACCTGTTTCAATATTGTCTCTGTGTGCCATGGCTGTTGTATCAAAGATGCAACATCATCAACAACATTTACATTACCTAAGACCTGTAGAAAAAGCAGAAAAAGAATCAAACTCCAGTACTTTAGTAATTCAATGTTGTTGCCTTGGTGAACTCTTACATCTACCATATTGGGAATGTGACACTTTTTAATAGTAACCGAGATGACCAAATTTTTTAAAACTCATTTACAGTAGAAAAAGAATCAAACTCTAAGTACTACCTTAGTTATTCAATGTCGTTGCCTTGGCGAACTCCTACATCTACCATATTGGGAATGTGACACTTTTTAACAGTAACCAAGATGACCTAATTTTTTAAAACTTATTTACATATAACTGAGTTTATTACATGTAAGTCCCATCTCTTACCAGAAAAAATACCTAATTTTGTTGTGTTGAATAACAAAGAACATAATGGACAGATACATGCTTTAAAAGCAACTCTCTTTGAGGTGTTTCAGTCACTATACATGATCAACTCAAAATAAATAGAGGATATTACATGGTGGTGCGAAGATATGAATTTTATTTTTGAGTGGCAAAACAATATTTTACGAACAAGGGCAGCAAGTGACTAAAATATTGTTTTTGCCACGAGAAAATAAAATTCATATCTTCAAGCCGCCATGTAGTGTTCTTTTTATCATAAAGACAAAAAGACATCGACAATATCATAGAGGGAAATTACCGAAATTACGTCATCGATAAACTCACGTGTGAGATTATGGAAAATAAACCACTCGGGTCTCGGATGTAGTTTTTATGAATTTTATGAGTGGTATATTTTCCAGTAAAACACTCGTATCTATATAATAAAATAAAATATACAGTGTATTTGCAATAAAATTACAGTTGAGAATAACCAGTACTATATAACATCGCTGTGGGTTTTTACCTACAGACTCAAACCTAAGAACCACCTTGCAGTACCAAAGGAAAGTACTGCTCATTTCACATTTCACACCACAGACTTAAAAGTTACAACAACTTTGTGCAACATAAAAATTATTTACTGTTACTGTTACTAGTTCTCCTGATATGACTTACAAGGAAAATAAGCACAAAATATTTTGTCGGAAGGAATCACTCACATTTCCCTGACTATCAAGCAAACCACCAGTAGTATTGAGGAACATGACTTTCATTGGCTGAAGAATATGAGCTATCCTAATAGCAGCATCATTAGAGTCCACACAAAGAACTTGACCTGATGGGGATTCCCCAACTGCTGTCAGCACGGGAATGTGTCCAGACCTAATTGCAGAGAAAAACCATTGTAATTTTACACTGATGATTTTTTGTTATATTCTTACTTGAGGCCCTTCTTAGTCTATGTTTCATTAAACCTTACATGTAAGTGAAAGGATGTGCAAAAGACATGACCTTTCTACATGAAGTATGCCCAGCATTAATTAATATAGATCACATGCATGTAGTTGCCTGTTAAATTATTACCTTAAGGATTGCTGCAAAGGTTTCACATCCACTTTGTCTATCCTTCCAAGAAGAGCAGCACTGGAAAAATGAATACAAAATCCCAAGAAAAAGTGAAAAAAAAAAACTGAATTAATTATTTTAGGAAGAAGTAATCTCCTCTTTGTACTGGTTAATGAAGCACGGGATTTTGTTGCAGCTACCATTATCAGCTAAGCCTGAAACATTTGGGAATGTACTCAAACAGTTGGCACTTTTATAGACTTTTAAAGCTATGAAAAGTTTAAATTTTTTTTCTGTATTCCAACCACGTGTTCCACTAACCTAGAATTTTGCAATTCAAATTACAAGTTCTTCAAATGGATTTTATTAATAATTAATAAATTTTATTGCTACAGAGAACAGATCTCATTCATATCCATTCCACATTAATTCACATGAAACTACCCAGCCTGAAACATTTTATGAATTGAACCTCTCTGCAAGATGTAAAGAGTAATCATAATCCCTCGACCACTGGAGCGGATGGGACACTGATGGAGATTTCTTCTCAAATACCACAATTTGCCATCGCTGTACTCAGGTCCCCGATATCAAGTCCTGAATCCCTAGCAATCACTTCAGGGTATGTTAGCTTATGTGAATGCACTCTGCCCACTTGGCGCCAGTGGATGAGAGATGAGATTATTTCTTTGTCTGCCTGAAAGCTAGCCTGAATTTCAGACAATTACTTTATGAAGTTTTACTCCCTCAGTTAAACAAGAAAACGACTTGAAGTAATCGTCTGAAATTCAAGCTACCTGATGGCAATGACCAGCAAACTGGCGACACTTTTGCTTGAGTCTTAACCCTTTAAGATCAAAGCATTTTCTCTTAAGTGATCATTTTATTAATTCTCATAACCTATCTCTTGACAATCTATGAATATCGTTAGGAGAAAAGGGATGTTGGTCACTATTGGGACTTAAAGGGTTAATGATAGAGGCGTTACTCCCCCATAGATCCTCTCTAGCAAAGCATGGTCTCTCCAGCAAGAGTAACACACCAAGCACTGAGAATAATTTTATAACCCACCTGTGGTTGTCATCCTCCAGAGTAGAGAGAACATGGCCAGAGCTCATGAAGGGTCTTGCTCTGCTGCCATGTCTCTCCAACAGGTCAACAAATTCGATGTTGTCTTCAATCAGTTTAGCTCGTCTAAGCCTAACATCACTGGAGTCATTCACAACGGCCCGTCCATCCAGACCATGTACAACAATTACAGGCATTCCATTACGATGTAGAAAGGCTAAACATGAAGCAAGCTTTTCTAACTGAAAAGACAGAAAGAAAATGTAATATTGAAAGAGGTCGAATAAGAAAGAGCCACCCTTTCTATATCATATACCACCACTGACCAAAAATATACCCCTTTCATGTCCTTTGTATTATTCCATAAAAAGAAATGATCCCCACTCTTTATACATGTATCTAGAGTTAACGCTGCTTCCCTTTTATTACCATTTCAAAAATTTCACACACTGTGCTTTTGAGTAACCTTTTAAAGTACTTGCTAATGGATCAGCCATTAGGTACATCTCTTTGAGACACATTGGAAGACCCGTTTCATACCTAAATGGCAGTTTTCCGTATAATTTTATTTTGCTACGCCCAAACTAGTGAAGTCTCTGCCCTTTGTCCACATAAACCTTAAGCCTGAAAAAGGTATCCCTTTTGGGCTGATCATTTCCACAGACTTCATTAACAGAGTAAATGTACTGTACCTTCCACCCCCTGGAGATAATAGGCTGATTTAGCAACAGAACAGGAAGTTAGTTGAGCAAGTGCTTGGAAAGGAATGAATGCGATTTCCGGTGCCCAATGTGCCACTCTACCATTGGTCAAGCCAGTTGTTTGATTTGTGTGCGCCGTCATCAACTGATGTTCCTTGCATTCTGTTGCTAAATCAGCCTAGTGTGACCATAAATTCCTTCATTCTCATAGTAAACGAGGGAGTCTCTTATCATGGTTTTAACTTTTGCATCTGTGGACAAGTTAAATCCTGTGAAGTGAACATTCAAGTGACAAATCTTTGGTGGTACTTTTATAATGCCATTTGTTCTTCCGCATTACAAAAAAGGCATTAGAGTTTTTGTTAAATTTTGACTCCGCGAACTCTGGGATAAATGAAAAGGCAAAGGACATAATTTTGTAACCTTTCTTCTATTTCATTTTTTATCATTATCTTTTCTAAACATTAATTTTAGCATATTATATGGATAAAATTTCTTCTCTAACTAACCATCACTTTATCATTCAATATTTGCGAATCTACTTGGACCACAGCGAAGGGCTTGTCAGGGGCTGATTCGTGGTTCTGAAACTGCCGCAACCAATACCTTGCTTCCTTTGGATCAGAACCGATCTATTAAAACAGGATTTGCATAATTGATTTCATTATATCAAAGAATTCCTCAAGACTACTTCACTAATTTTAAGTACAGTCGAATCCCATTAACACGACCACTGTTTGACCATAAAATCTTGGTTGTAATAATGTGGTGGTTACATTAACAAGGTCTTTAAAATAACAAAATGACCCAGTGATTTATGGTTTGGGTCGAAAAAATAATGGTCATTAGTAAAGTCCAACAAGTGGTCTATTATCAATGCTGCCTTCCGATTCGTTGAGCTACTACTAGGCTATATGTTATAGCCCATTAGTAGCAAAAAGTGCCGGCTTTGAAAACCAAAATAATGGCTGCTGAATCGCATTTTGCTGGCCAAAGTTGTTTTGTCTCGATATTTTTGAACAACTAGTTGGATTCTACTAAAACAACTATTCCCCTCGCCCACCCTCGGCCTCATGGGCTATTGACTCAGAGCCTATTCGGGCTCGAGGAATAATTGTTAATAATAACAAGGTGGTCATACAAATGGGACAGTTGTAAGGGGGGTTCCACTGTAGTTACAAACGATAAAGGCCAGAGCTTGTTGGATTATTCTGTTATAATTTTGAGCGTAACACTGTATCAGGAGCATCACGCATTAATGTTGGCATAAGTTTTTTAATTTCAGTTACAGGAAAAAGTTGGCCTTGGGTTGCAGGGGCATTTTACAACTTTAGCAGTATGCTCTGCTAAGTCCTGGCCGGGGGGGCGGGGGTGCGGTCACGTGCAGTCTCACGTGCCTGTTTCCTCTCTATGTAGACTCACAGGGATTTGTTTACAAACTCTCAATTCTCATTTATTCTAACAATGATTGTGTAATGATACCGTACGTGCGATTTGTCCCGCATATTGAATGCTGATAATCGTTTGAAAATGAAGCCGACAAGATTATCTCTGTATATACGACAGATGGGTCAAGTAGATTAAGCTTGTTTTTACGTTGATCTAATAAAACGTACGTGCGATTTGCCTCGTATTTTTGATGCATATAGTCATAAGCTTACCTCTTCGAGAAATCGTCGTAAATCTAGTTGTTGTTGGCTTGTAGTGTAGAACAGCTTCCGCTCTGCAGACAACACGCGCCGGTCAAGAATTTGTCGATTTTTAAAATGTCCACACTCTGAGACTGTTTTCTTCCTCGCTCGTACAAGGCATCCAAAAGGCTTTCTCAAAATTAGTGTCCTCCACATGGTGTTTCAAAGGCGTCTTCACAGCCTTTCCAAAACAAATTTACTGCAGAAGTTTAATCGCTATTCGTGAGTTGTTGTTGCATCATCCAGACTGTTTAGGTTTTCAGCGTTTGCCATCAAAAATCCATTCACGCGTCTAACCATACAGGGCTGTAGACCGAAGCAACAAATTTGGCAGAAATACCTGTGAAACGATCATTTCTGTTATTGCTTTTCCTTTGAATTAAAGGAATCCGCTATATTCATGTTACCAGGAGCGCGGCGGTCAACCTGCGAGCTCGGGAGCTCTCGGTTTGTGGTGTCGGGGGAGGACGACGTCAACTATTAACCGGAAGTTATATTCCCTAAGATTGTTGATATAGGGTGTGTGACATAAAAAGTTTCTAAAATACCATCTGGTTGACGTTCTTTATATTTTCCATTTATATACATCGGATAAAAATAAAAATTCTTTGCTTGAATGTCGACGGAATCCAAACTCCCGATGATCTTCCGATAACTCTCCTCTTACTTTTTGAAGTGATCTCATTGGTTCTTGTTGCCCGTGTCACGGAGCTTTCACGTGCGATTGTGTGATTTTCGCGCCATTTTGAAACGAACGAATGATAAAATTTCAGAAACAATCATGAGCCACTTTTGTTTATATTTATATCCGCCTTGTACTATCTTTGTTTTGCTTACGTGTCCTTAAGAGTGTTTATATGTTGAATCTTAAGAAGCTTAAGTTAAAGATTTAAAACACTCCTTTCGCTTGAATCTAAAGTTTCACGGTACTCATAGGCACTGTGATCAGATATGGCTCTGATTCTTCGAGCTTCGCATTTTCTAGTACGAAATGGAAGATGTACATTATCTGGTCTGAGGTTATCGTCTTTTACAACCAGATCGCGAAAAGTAAGTGAAGATAAACATTATAAAACCATGAAGCTTTCTCAATTAGAGGTAATCGATGAAAGGTGATTGATTTATTCACCCAAAAACAAAAAATTTAAAGGCTCGTGAAGGTTTATTTTGTTATCATTATATATAAACGTTGAAACTATTAAACGATAACTTACCACGTGGCCTTTATGTAAAAGTGTACTTCTTTGCGAAAGCTTTTAATATGCGAGTGTACTTTGTAGATGTAGATGAAATTTCTTTCTTTCTTTGTCTTGTTACTTTACTTTTTCACATTTCTTTGAATGATGCAATGCTAATGCACGTGGACAAAACATAACGAGTTCCATTAATTAATACAGCTATAAATTAAATAAGAAGGTGTTAATAGAATCATTAAAGTAATTTGGTCGCGTGGGCAATAATGCAGCGAAGTAGTTACATAATAATAACTTCTACCACACCCCAAAAATATTGGTCCCATGATCAGAGGATCAATTTGATTTTTCAACAATTATCAATACTTTTTCATATATCCTGTGCTGTCTTTCTCTTTCAGAGTTTATCAGCATCATTGGTTCTAGAGGATGGAACCAGACTCCAAGGATATTCCTTTGGTCATGGCAAATCGACATCTGGAGAAGTTGTCTTTAACACTGGTTTAACAGGGTATATAACTATTTTTTCCTGTGTTAGGATGATTCTTAGATACTAGAAAGTTGTGGTGAGAGATTTCTATTCAATAACCCGTATCCACACCCTTGCAATCAGTCTAGGGGTTTCCCCTCTCCTACTAGAGTTCTGATTGATATTCTTACATTAATAACCATCTACTTTCCCTTGATCTTTACTTGATTTATCATGTGAGTTACTCCATAAATTACCACCTTCTTCAATAGCTGGCTGACACCTTCTTAAATTAATGTAAATGAAACCCGGCAACACATCCAGGTGATGTTATTGGAGTACCCACCTCTTGGAGTTGATTGCTCTTTGGTTTTGTGAAAATTACTTTACAGCAAGGAGCTGAAAAGTGTGACCTTCTTTAATGAACTTGCATTCTTTAATGCAGACATTAACCAATCAGAAGTTGAGGACAGTTTCCAGATGGCTTCTGATTGGATTAAATCTGTACAAAAGAATGTGAAGAAATCAAAAGCGGTCACACTTTTAGGCTCCTTGCTGTAATGGAAAATCAATATTGTTTCCTCTTATCTTAGTTACCCTGAAGCACTGACAGATCCAAGTTACAGAGGACAGATTCTTACCCTCACTTATCCTATAGTGGGAAACTATGGCATTCCTAGCACCACAGAAAGAGATCAGTATGGATTATTGAAAAATGTTGAATCTGAAAATATACAGGTAATCCGCAGTTAGTTAAGTACCCAAAAAGCAATTTGCTTTCGTTTTCTTTTCATCTAATTCTGGAATGAAATATTTTTGTTGGCTAAAGACATAGAAATGTTCATTTTTTGCATGGATATCATATGCTGGGCACCCTGGATCTCACAGGGTCAGAGCTTTGGACTCCCTACAATGTTTCTCAGGATACAGCCTTGACTTGTACAAAGTCTTCAGAATGACTGCCAAGATCTTTGTACATCTTTGGATGTGATCAGGTCCTCAGGATAAAAATCTAACAACTATGACTAAAAAAAGTTGGCTTGTTCAAGATACTGTGGTTAGGATTTAACCCTCCCCCCTTGGTTGAACAAAATCAAAGATATTTATGAAAAAAAGTACTAAGTGAAGTAGTACAGAGCCACGTTTCTCTACCATCCTTATATGCATCACCCATAAATTTAATTCCTTTTTGTTAATATTTTCTTCCTCTTCATTCAGGTGTCAGGATTGCTTGTTCAGGATTACTCCCATAACTACAGTCACTGGAATGCTGTCAAATCACTCTCAGAATGGTTAAATGAAGAAAAGGTATGCAAAATGGTTCAATAAATTCTTATCCTTGGCTTGAATTTTATTATCTTCCTTTGTTTTGGGTATGATAATGTATGATGATGAATTTGACACAAAGTTAAACACATAATAATAATAATAATAATAATAATAATAATAATGATGATGATGATGATGATGATGATGATGATGATGTTGATGATAATAATAATCTACTGGTAAGGCTAAAGTACACTGCCAATGTTTCTAGGAAATACATTAGTTAGCTTTGATACTAGAAACAGTAAAACCAAGGACATTTCACAATTTAATTTATGTCCAAAGAGTGACCAACATGAATTTTCTCTTAACAATCTCCATACATTATCAAGAGGAAGGGTTATGAGAATTAACAAAATGATCACCAAAGGAGAAAGACTTTGATCTCTTTTCATATTCTCTCAACTAATTTTTTAAGGTAGTACTAGAGATCAGTCAGGAGAATTTGTGTCGGGATATCATTGCTTAATGTGTTAATGTAGATCAAGTAGTTTATTAAAACATGCATGGAATTTATCTAAAAGTACTTATGCTATTTGCCCATGATTTTATTGACAGATTCCTGCTTTGTATGGAATAGACACAAGAAGGCTTACCAAGACCATCAGAGACAAAGTATATAATTATGGTTTACTTTAATCCTTAGCTAACCAGGCCATTTCAATGTTTGACTACCGCGACTAGAAACAGAGTTCTACTTAGCTTTAAAGTTAAACTTCTGCACGTATTGTGGACACTACTAGGTTACTAATTGACCAGTACAGACATGTTACAACTGCAATCAAAGGGACTGATGGGCTGTTTTCATGCAGGAGCTCCATGTTCCATGAAAATATTCTTCATCTTAGTAACTGTTGTTGAGGAATCTGACTAGTGTTCATAAAGGTCAATTTTTCCTCTTTCAGACATAATCAGTATAAATTAACTCACATAATTAATGCAGATCCAAGAATCAACCATGCATCAGAATTATGTACAGGCTATGTATCAAACAATCAACATCAGCTTCTAAACAACAACCCACCCACTGTGCCATCCCTGCTCAGTTCTATGAATAATTTGATAATCTTTTTTCCTTTTTTAACAGGGCACAATCCTCGGAAAAATAGAGTTTGAAGATCAGCCTGTGGAATTTTTGGATCCCAACACACGGAATTTAACAGCAGATGTTTCTGTCAAGGTTGGTCTGCATTGGTTAGGTTTGCTATTAACCTTTTACTCGGAGGTTTTCTTAAAATGATGAGACACAGAAGGCAAACTGGTGAGGACCCCCCACTAAAAAACTTCAACACCCTTTTTCTGTGGCATAAAGCACCTATAGGAGAATGTTCAATCCAATGCAATCCAGTAGGCTATGCTATTTGGAATTGACGAATGGCCATTTTGTGGCCAATGCAAAGTTAACTACAATGGTAGAGGTGGCAGTAACCCAAACATACATGCTTGTTTTGTGGGACATATTATTTCAACAGAATTCAGATCTTTTGTTCTTAAGGCACCCCTCGACGAGTATCAGTGGAAATGGGACTAGGTACTATGTCTTCTGGATTTTTGTTGATCCACTTCAATGCAATGCAGACCAATCTGAGTAACTAGCCAAAGAACGTTCTTTAAGATTCTAATATGGTTAACCCTAGCTAGCAACTCTCCATTTTTTTACTTGAACCACTTTTTTGTTTGAAACTTGCTAGGCTTGTAAACTGTAGGTTATGAGATGCATTAGTCACAGTTCAATCCTCATACCTTTTTTTAGGAAAGAAAAATCTTTGGAAAAGGCAATCCTTATAGGGTGATAGCTGTTGATTGTGGAATAAAGCATAATATGATCAGGCATTTAGTGATGGTAAGTTTTCGCGGGAAAAAGTCAAAATTTTATCCCTAGAAAATATGTGTTCCCCGGGATTTTAGCGGAAAAAAGTCAATTTTCGAAAGGATTTTCAGGGGGCAAATTCTTGGGGAATATCCCTATTTCATGGGAAATTTGTGTTCCCAAGGAACAATCTGGGTAAAAAACAAATGGCAAATTTCATAAAATCGATCGATTTGGCGTCGATATGACCAGCGTTGGTGAACGTTTTTTTTAACAGGAATAATCATTTCCTTTCAACAACAGTTTTCCGAATGTTCTAAACTTTGACAGTTTTTGTTTTGCTTGAGTTTTGGGATGTTGCCGTTGCAGTGACTGCTTCAACTAAATTTGGACTTGAATAAATCCGGTCTGATAGCCAAGATAAGTATTAAATATGTTTTGCGACATGTATTTGGAAATATTTTGTAGGATTTCGCGGTATTTCAGTTTTTGATTTTTGTTTGAATTTCTCTTGTTAGCTTGACTGCACTACATTGTAAGGGGCAGTTGATTGTTTCATCTTGTAGTTCATCTTGTACCTTGGGATTATGACTACTCAGAGGAGATATATGATGGTTTGTTTATTTCCAATGGACCTGGTGACCCTGCTTTGGCTTGGGATGCTGTTCTTAATCTCCGTAAGGTATGTGATACCAGCAACATTTTAGTGTAGAGGCGTTAATTAAGGGTTACGGTTAAAAAAATACTGATGTTTGTTTCAATCTGTCTGTTAAGGTTAAGGTCTTTATTTTATGTTGGTGACTTTTAACAGTGCTCATTTGACTGATAAACCTGAGGGTGACGGTGGGCACATCCTCACTCCCCCACCCTCCATCAGCGCTCCGTTTTATTGATATTTTAAGCTAGTGAAAGCTACACAGAAAGGAGAGAAGTTGAAACAAGTATTTAAGGTCATAGCTGGGAATTGAACTTGGAACCTCCTACATACAGGGTGCAAAGAAAATCATTTTTACAGCTTGCTATTCAGGCAAGCTGAAGCTAGCATTCACTAGCCCAGACGTCATTTCAACTAGCCCCAAAAACTTTTTGAATAGCACAATTGATTTCACAGTTCTTGTGTTGTTTGAATTCGTCAAAAAACGTCACTTGTGCGATACCAAAATCTGCTAGCCCCGGGCTATCAGACACAATTTTCTTTGCACACGGTACATAGAAGGCCTTGCACTAACCAACTTTGTCATTCTGTTTGTTGCAGGTGCTGGAGAGTAATCGTAGCCAGCCAGTGTTTGGTATCTGTATGGGAAACCAGCTGACAGGTCTGGCTGCCGGTGCAAAGACCTATAAACTGCCTCTGGGAAACAGGTTACTGTTAACTCTTGTAGAAATTCATTCAGCGAGGAAAGATCAAAAATAAATTTGGATAGTTCTTTAAACTACAGGGTTGTACTCTAGAAGTGCCCAGAGGCCCCAGGTGGCTTATTTTTGTGACTAGGAAATCTTCCTTTTTGCATGGAAATCATATGTTGGGCACCGACGATTTCTCAGATTCAGAACATTGGGCTCCGTAGAATTTTTTTTTAGAGCACAGCCTTGAATATAGCCTAAAAATTATTACCTAACCCTAAAAATTATTACTAGGTTACTATTAACATGGATCTGATTCTGGGCTGGTACTGATATTTGCTTGCTGTCTACAAAACAAAAGCTGACTATCAATTTTCTTTCCAGAGGACATAATCAGCCAGTTATTAACCAGCTAAGTGGAGAGGCATTCATCACGTCACAAAATCATGGATTTGCCATTGATGAGGCTTCACTCCCAGCAGAATGGAACTCCCTGTTTATAAATGCCAATGACAAGACAAATGAGGTACAAGAAATCTAAGGTTGTAGGATCTTTGATTAAAAACTTTATTCTTGCCAACAAATAAATCTAACAGGGTGGGGAGTTTTATTAAGGTGGTGAGAGGCAGGGGGTAGGGGGTGAAGGGCAAGGGTTGAAAGGTATGAGGAGAGGAGTAGGGAATATGAGGTGAAAGATAGGGGTATAAGGTGACCCCTACCCCTCACACACTATCCCCGACCCCTCACCCCATAGCCCTTACCCCTTGCCCCCATAAAAGATCTGCAAATCCAACAGAAATAAACATTTTACCTCTTTGAGCACACAGATTATAAAAGATTATGATATTTACTACTAACTTATTATTATGGTTTTAGGGAATCATGCATACTGAGAAACCAATATTCACAGCACAGTTTCATCCAGAAGCTTTTGGTGGACCTACAGACACTGAGGTAACTATTACGTGGTTATGTTATCTTAGCCAACAGATAAAATCAGAGAAACTGATATGTTTTTCTATTTTGAACTTTGAGTCCCTGTTTCTCCTCAGTTCTTGTTCGACACATTCATGGATCTTGTCAAAGGGAAAAGGTCCTCAGTAACTCATGCCATGTCAAGACCTGTCAAAGTACCACCACCCCCTAAGGTAAGGCATTTGTCACATGACTACAACCCCTCTTACATACCTACAGTTCTTGACCCCTTTATCCTGAATGTACATGACCATAACTGAAGATATCTGTCCATGTGACCATACCCCATACTCGAGACATCTCAAAAGTGACCCCTCTTCCAATGGCTGGATTTCAACAGCTCTTAAGACTAAGGTACAATTTCTCTTACATGGTCCCACCCCCTAGGGGAGAACATTTCAAACTAGCCCCCACCCTTGTGGTTAAACATCTCTTGCATAGCCATACCCCCTAAATTAAAACATTCCTTTCATTGCCCCACCCCCTGAGGTAAAATTCTTACATGGCCCCACCCCTAAGAGGAAACATCTCTTACATACCACACTCACTAGATAAATTTCTTACGTGATCCTTCTAAGAGGTAAGGCAATGCTCACATGTGACCTTTAAATAGAATTATTTCTGTCTTACAAAATTATTGAAATGTTTTAATTGAAATCTTAGGTGTCCAAAGTTCTTGTGTTAGGATCTGGTGGCTTGTCCATTGGTCAGGCTGGAGAATTTGACTATTCTGGTTCTCAAGCTATAAAGGCTCTCAAGGTACGTTTGACATTTTTTTTTTCAACTAAGCTGCCTGTCTTTCCTGCCTGGTTTTGGTGGGATCGGCAGATGACTTCTTATCTCAAGGGAATAACTTCATTACCCCAGGAACCCACACTGTTTCTCTGGCGGATTGTTGACTGTTATCATGTTGTAATTCAATCACCTATCTCGCCCTGTCAATGAAGTAGTTGTTTTCTTTTTCTCCCTTGCACCCTGGGTGCTTCTCTTGAGTCCTCAGTGTTAACCTTTATTGTTTTTCCAACAGTAAGTAGATCTAAAGGTGTTCTGTTAAAATTATAGGAAGAAAACATTAAGACAGTTTTGATGAATCCTAACATTGCTTCAGTTCAAACCAATGAGGAAGGAGAAAAGCAGGTAAAATGGTTAATGTTATCTTAGTAACCCTTCCTCTTCTTTCACATGTTCAGGTTATAAAGCAGGTGTTATTTTACAATATTATTTCTTCACATGATTGGGGTGTTTGTTATTTTCATATTACTTTATCAACAGAAATATAGGTTTTGGCGTGTGGCGTGTGGTTCCAAAAATTAACTGTATCTTCCCCACGGAGGGGACCCCCCACCCACCCCTCTGGAAATTCCAGTCAAGCTTCAAATATTAGCTTAAATTTTTGGGCCTTTGAGAGCCCCCCACCCCCCAGGAATTTCCAATCGCTTCTGTGGGGGTAGTATGGATATTTTCTGGAACTACACAATAAGGATTTTATTGTGATCTCTGTAGTGGTCAATCCTGAAATTAGAGAACCTCAGCTCATCAAAGCGCTGCATTAAGGTATCACTATTTAAATTACATTTTTATTCTCACACAGGCAGATGTGGTGTACTTTGTGCCAATAACTCCTGAATTTGTTGAGGATGTGATAAGACGTGAGAGACCTGATGGAATATTGTTATCAATGGGTGGACAGACAGCATTAAACTGTGGTAAGCTCCTCCATAAACTTATTTTCATTAAATTTATTTAGTATTTTTTTACTGTAGAAACTTGTGACCTGGTTTTTCTTTTCATCTGGGATCTAATGTGTTGTTTTCTGCCTGAAAGCTAGAGGTGTTCTTTCTCTTTTTTGTGTAGGAGTTGAGCTGTTTGATAAAGGAGTATTACAAAGATATGGTGTTAAGGTATCAACAATTATGCATTGCTAATCAATAAAACTACCCCTAATGGTACTTTGGTTTATCAGTGATGTTAACCTTGCTCAGAGTATATAAAGGCAGATATTAAGCATACAACTTGCAGTAACCTTAGAGGAGGAATAACTAGTGTTAAATCCTAAATCTGAAACTTGTTTTTCCCATTACAATCTCGGGATCTTCTTTGAAAATACAGTACGGACACATGTTCACGGAAAGTTGGGCTTTTATTGAAAATGATCTATAAACGGCCTTGAAAATCAGTACTAGTCCCAAAGGTGTCCATCATTTAAGTTGAAAATACGTTTGAAAATCATTCAGACAGTTGAAAATTTTTTTATGAAAGACAGTTGTTATTTTATGAAAGACAGTACATCAATGACTGCTTTTCTTCATTTTTTAGGTTATTGGAACACCCATAGAGTCAATCAAGGCCTCAGAAGACAGACAAACATTTGCTGATAAACTTAAAGAAATTGGAGAGAAAATTGCTCCCAGTGTTGCTGTGGAAACAGTAAGTTTCTCTAGGGGTGGTGGTGTTTTTAACCAAAGCTTCTTTGTTCAGCGAAGTGAGCTGCTTATTCTCTTAAACTTAAATAATGAAACCCTGATCTGATGTGTTACATTAAGTCAATCTACCTAGACATAAAAGAACCAACCTATACTTAAGCACGCTGTTGAGAATTTCAGTCAGAAATGTCTAAGGGCTGATTTAGACGGTACGATTTTTGCTTACGACTATATAGTATTGTGCGCATCCATCCACTTGCGAACAATTTTCACTTACGGCATCCACATGTGTTGTACAGATGTCATGGGTCTAATATACATGAAATGATCTGGCGGGAAGTCATGACTTATGCTAGTCACATACATTAGTCGTAAGCAAAAATTGTGCCATCTAAATCGGCCTTTTCAAGACCAGAGGTCTAAAAGGGGAATTTATGACAATTTTTGGGCCTGTGTTGTAATATTTTAGGTTGAATCAGCTCTCAAGGCAGCAGAAAATATTGGATACCCTGTGATGGTCCGGGCTGCTTATGCGCTAGGAGGCCTAGGATCAGGCTTGTGTGAAAATGAACAAAAGTTGAGGGAGGTTTCACAACAGGTTAGTTGCAAATGACAAATAACCATGGTAATGTAAAATAATTATTGTCAGCTCATACAGGGGGTTGCAAGTCATTGAGTTTGGAGTAAGTCTGTGATACTTGGAAGCTGTTGATCAATCAAAATCCTAGGGAACCTGAGGAGCAAAATAACGCCAAATACTGCAAGACTGAGAAACAATGAAAGTGCTTGACATGATAAAAAAAATTAACTCCCATCAGGTTTCACATTTCAGAGTTTTTAAGACTTAAAAGTCTTATTTATTTGCACTTGAAAATTATTTTATAAGGGTAAGCTAAGATCCTCTCAGTATTTAATACATTTCTCCCTCAGACTCTCTTTTAAAAGAGAATCCTGTGCTATTATGAGTTGATTAATCTAGAAACAACAAGTGCCAATAATTTTATATTTTGTTTGGTTCCAAAAATCATCCATACCACCCCCACGGAAGGGATTCTTCCTCAGACCCCCCCCCCCCACCACCTCTATGGAAATTCCAGTCAAGCTTCATCATACATTTACTTACATTTCTGGGCCTTTGAGAGCCCCCCCCCAGGAATTTCCAATCCCTTCTGTGGGGGGAGTATGGATATTTTCAGGAACTATACGTTATCATTAACATATTTTTGAGTGTTCGCATTCATTATACTTGTGTACAGGCACTAGCATTATCAAGTCAAATTCTCATAGAGCAGTCACTACTGGGCTGGAAGGAGATTGAGTATGAAGTGGTGAGAGATGCTGCTGATAACTGCATCACTGTCTGTAACATGGAGAATTTCGATCCTTTAGGTGTTCATACAGGTATGGTCCATCTTGCCGTCTGGAATTACTTAACCCTTTAAGCCCTAAGAGTGATCAGCATCAAATTTCTCCTGGTAATATCAATGTTTTATAAAACCCGAGTGGTCATGAGAATTACGGACATGATCACAAAAGATGAATTTGCTTGATATTTTATCAACTTCTCCCCACTACATCTGTAGAAAATGAATAAGGGCAACAAATGAGAATTCCAATATTTATCTTAGGGTTTTAAAGGGTTAAGAAACTAGGAACTGTCTCATTATATGATCAAAGAATCTTGAAAAATGCCTGCTGTGTCTTTAAAGTGCTAAACATTGGTACTCCCTTAACCCTAAAGGAATATTAATACTATGAAGAGCTTCAATGTAAAATCTTTGTGGTAAAGATATTCTAACAATACCCAAGGTCAACTCTACAAAGCAAGGTTTGAGATCTTAGCAATACCTTGTCCTGAAGTTAAGGAATGCATTACCGCAAGCATTGAGACATGAGACTAATCTAAGTAGCTTTAAAAGACACTAGAAAAAAATTGACGTCACACAGTTATATTGATCTGTAAATAGTTTATATTTTTATTATTATTGAATTGTACAAAGTTTTATTTTATTTTATTACTAACATAATCTCAGATTTTAAATATTGTAGATAGATATTTTATATTGTATCTTAGTGCTTTTGTTTTCCTTGGTTTTCGTTATTTTTTTGCAATACCTTTAAAATAGGGATATTTGCAATACTGTAATGAGCTAAGTGTATTAGACCACATTAATAAAGGTTACTTACTTACTTACCACCCCTCTGATAGCTTGTGAACAGGCTCTCCATTAGGGGAAAAGGGACTACATGTTGAGAGGGAATAATCCTACACCTAGCTAGCCTTCTGCCCTTTTTCCCCACCAAGCAGCCTGGTCCCAGGCTACCCTGACAAACACTATACCATCAGTTTTCTTAAGTTAATTTGTAACAGACAGTTAAATATTGTTTTATTCATCTTCTGCAGGTGACTCTATTGTTGTTGCTCCAAGTCAAACTCTTTCTAACCAGGAATATCACATGCTACGAGAAACAGCACTAAAGGTTTGATCACAGCTTTCACTTCATCTAGTCTGAATTATTTTGTTTATAAATAATAAATAACAAAACTCATCTTTAATTAATTATGATTCGTAGACTGTAGTAAGCTCTGTAGGAAGTGTTTGCTCTTTGGAACACATTTATCTGCAGGCTACAGAAGTGTTCTTTCCTTAGATGCATGACACTGAGCAAGTGCAAATGTTTCCCATTTTTCTCACTGTGCCATGTTTTTGTCTAATAGTCAGAACATTCCATTCATTTTAGAGAACCATTTTTCCATGCCCTATCCATTTTCTTCCGTTACTCTGATCTCACAGGTTTTTTCTTTTTTCACTTTCCTCCACAGGTGGTACGCCATCTTGGTATAATCGGTGAATGTAACATACAATATGCTCTGCATCCCACTTCTTTGGAGTACTGTATCATTGAAGTCAATGCACGTTTGTCCAGGAGCTCTGCATTGGCTTCTAAAGCTACCGGGTAATTAAGTAGTATGTGCATGTGGTAGCCCCTGATCTTAAGAATAAACACAATTGACTTCCTCTTTAAGGACACCTCGCTAAAATGGACACCTAGAGTTGGTCCCTGCCTTTCTTTATCCCTTTTAGTTGACTCTCTATAAGACGGACACCTCTCTGAGACAAACACTTCGTGCTGGTCCCAAAGGCGTCCATCGGAGAGTTGACCGTACTACATGAAACTGTGTCTAAGGGCAGACACTGTTGTGGAACCTACCTTAGCTTAAAGGAATGTCGGCATAGAATAGAATTTCAGCTTAGACCAATAAAATGAACAAAGCTGTTCACTTGTTACACTGTACCACACACACAAAAAAACTTCTTTTGAAGAGAGACCTACATAAGGAACATACATAGGACCACATGACATGATAAGGGATGTTGTTTGAGGTTTTAGCATAGCCCAACAGCTCTTCTTGTCAGAGAAGTTTTGGTTTGGCTTTTATGTTACCTCTTCTGGGCTTGATTTTTCTGGTCTTATTTTTGCAGATATCCTCTGGCATTCATTGCAGCTAAGCTGGCCCTTGGTGTACAACTTCCCGACATAAAGAACTCAACAACACAACAAACAACAGCATGTTTTGAGCCCAGTCTGGATTACATTGTCACCAAGGTATTTCATAGTGTCTTGTCTAGCCAGGTGTAGCCTGCATGCAGACATCTCCTATTTCCTTTGCAGCATATGGAAAAAGGACCACGCAGGATAAGATAAGACAGCTGTAGCTTGAGTTGCATTGTCTAATTTCCATGGAAAGGAATTTTCACTCTAACTCAATTTTTTTCACTCAGGGTGTAAAAGGTTTTGGAGAAGTGATTTATAAATATACAAAGCCATTTATTTTTTCATTTAGATTCCTAGATGGGACCTTGACAGATTCCACATGACATCCAAACAGATTGGCAGCTCTATGAAGAGTGTTGGAGAGGTAAAAAGCAATTTTTTCACAACAGTCAGTCATATTTGTCCCCTTAACTCTATTTCTATTCCGTTTACATTTAAGTCAAGTGATGAGTTTTTCTCACTTTCTTCCTTAGGTGATGGCTATTGGCAGAACATTTGAGGAAAGTTTCCAGAAGGCTTTGCGTATGGTCCATCCCTCAGTTGATGGCTTTGTGCAGAAGGTAAGATAAGGTAGTAGAGGTAGTACATCCACATAGTGGTTCTTCTTCTATCGGATCCCTTATCAAATTGGAATTTGGAAGTGTTGGTTTTGAGGGTGGGGAAAACCAGAGTACCTGGAGAAAAACCTCTTAGAGCAAGGGAGAGAACCAACAACAAACTCAACCCACTTAATTATGGTGTTGATGCTGCGATTTGAACCCAGGCCACATTGGTGGGAGGCGAGTGTAAAAAACATAACTCCTTTCTTTCCTGCAAGAGCTTGACCAAAATGGTATGTTGATGAAGGTATGTTTCAAGTGGAATAGTATGTCCATATTACATTTGAAGGCTTGATTTATTTGTTTCTTCTTGGTCTTTTCTATTTTAGCTTCCCAGCATGCATCAGGAGCTGTCAGACGGTAGATTGGAGGATGAGCTGGTTGTTCCATCAAACACCAGAGTCTACTCCATTGCAAAGGTGAGTAGTTTTCCTTGACATTCAGATTTAATAATAGACAATGAAGATGTTAATTTAGCAAGGTATATTTCCAGCAAACTGTAAAAAAATTACAGCACTTGACTGGAATATGAGGAAAGTCACAAAAGGGAGGTGGTTGTGTACTACCGTAAAATTCCGAAAATTGTTCAAAGGCCCCTTTTGAGGGCCTTATATTTGGAGGTGGTTATATTCGGAGGGGCTTATCTACGGAGGGAAATTTGCGTTTCAAAATCAATTGAGTTAGCCTTACAGTTGGAAGTAAATTTACCGTTTTTGCTTCGTTTTACTTTGTATTTGAGGGCAAGTTTTCAAGTACAAGCCCCCTGGGGAAGCTTATATTTGGAGGGGCAATTTAACGAAGGGTTTTTTGTGTTACCGGTTTGGGGGGCTTATATTTGGAAGGGCTTATACATGGAGGGGCTTATTTTTGGAATTTTATGGTATATTGATTGCTCAGAGAAAGGTTAACAGTTGTTTAAAACCGGCTCTTGCCCAACTTGCTGCACTCATCTTCAATTATGCTCTATAGCAGTATTTTACATGCAACCCAGCCTCATCAAGGGCTTGTGTTTTCAGGCACTGCACGCAGGCTACACAGTAGATCAAATACATGAGCTGACCAGCATAGATCGGTGGTTCTTACATAAACTGCAACGAATAGTGGACATTGAGAGTGACCTGAAAAACCTGAAGCTGTAAGTTGTAAAGTATAATCACAGGATTGATTTATCCCTTTAAGCTCCAAGATCCACATACAAATTCTCCAGACTGATCTCCATACATTTCTTTTAAGAACAGTTGAGAGAATTTGGTTTAAGATCAAAGTGTTCTCCTTCTGTTAACCAATTAAGCAATTCTCATAACCTTTACTCTTCTGCTGATGTTGTTTGGAGAAAAGCCCAAGAGCCATTTAGGCAGTTAATACGTGATGATGTTGCTGTTGTTGGTGACCAGGGAGGGTGATGTTGATAACGAAAATGGTTATCCACCGTGATGGCGATGATTGTGTGGGTGGTGGCACTGACAAATTATTGACGCTGACGATGAAAGTTTCAGCAATACTGATATTGGTTGATAGTGGTGTTACACTAACACCATCATGAGGGTGATGATGATGATAAAGATATTAAATGCCCTAAAGATTATGGTAATGTTAATGATGATGGTGATAATGATGTTGATGTTAAAGGGGCTGTGTCACGGCAGTCCAGTTCATTTTGTTTAATTTTGCCAATTACTTGCCCTCAAGCACTAAAGTAATCAAAGAAATTACATGTAAATGACAAAATCAGAGATCTGAGACAAACAAATATGTCTCCAGAGCATTATTTTTGAAGTTGCAAGCAGCAGGGATCAACTGTACTTTGAAAAACTGTTAGGCTGAACAGTTTTCAAAAACCCAAATTCAATCCGTTTCAATCTTCTTCAGTTTTGCCCATCTGTGGCATCTGTTGTTTCTGTTACGTTGTTTTAACCTTCCTTTTAAGTTAATTTAAGCGGTTATTTTTATGTTTCTCTTGATTTAACGGGCATTTTGTAATTTCCTTATTTGGCTGAATTTCGTGACACAGCTCCTTTAATGGTAATGAATGATAGTAGTGATGATGATGATGGTGATAAAGGTATATGCCATGATGTTGATGGTGATGCTAATGATTATGATGGCAATGATGTGACATTGATGGAAATAGATGACGATGAGGATGATGATGGCAACAGTGGTGGTGGTGGTGGTGGCAGCAGTGGCAGTAGGGTGTGGCAAGGATACATATTTCCATTAGGTTCATTACTTCCTGCTGAGGATGAGAGAAAAAGCAGTTGTATTTGCAGGCTGCCATAATCACTGTTATGGATTTGTTTCCAGTTTAACCATTCAAATTGCTATCAAGCAGTCTATAGTGCTTACTTTTTTCTCAATTTTTTTGGTTTTCAGAGACTCCTTTTCCCAGGAAGACTTACTAGAAGCCAAACAAGCTGGTTTTTCTGACAGGCAGCTTGCCAAGCTGATTGGAGTTCAGGAAAGTGATATGAGGAATGAACGACTCAAACATGGTGTGAAACCTTGGGTTAAACAGGTATGTATTGTTAACAAGTCCCGGCTGGGCAAAATCCCTTATTTGGCCTAAAAAAGTATGGCTGCTGAACAGGGTTGGGTTTTCAGGGTCTTAAGCCCCAAGATCCACATACAAATTCTCCAGACTGATCTCCATACATTTCCTTTAAGAATAGTTGAGAGAATTTGGTTTAAGATCAAAGCATTCTCCCTTTGGTAATCAATTTAGTAATTCTCACAACCTTTACTCTTGATGATCTGTCTATGTTGTTTGGGGAAAATTGATGTTGGTCACTCTTGGGACCTAAAGGGTTAAGCAGAGTATACAATTTTACTATTATGCGTCTTGAATGGGGTGTCTTTTTGGACTGGAAGAGTGAATACCAACAATTTTTTTCCAAAATCTAATTCCATGATGTTAGTTTCATAAAATAAGGACTATTGTTTTTTAATAAACAGGGTAACAAAATGAGCAATTTTTGTCTTAAACAGGAGACCAGCAACTAATCTCTCCGTACAACATCACTGCTCAATCAATTAATCATCATGAGAATTATAAGAAATGGTCAAAAAGATAAAAAACCTTCATTATTAGACAAATTGTCTTTGTTCATATCCGCGCATATAACCTTCATATTGCCCCTTGAGTGGGTCGTACGTGTGTAAGTTTTCTAGGCCTTATACTGTGATATTGATAGGCTGTACTGTGTAGCAGGCGTGAGAAAGAACTTGGTAAGCGTGACCCGTTGCCCCGGGGGGGGGGGGGCACTTTAGGAATTTCTGGGTGGGGATGGGACCCTGGAACCCTGGAACCCTGGAACCCTTGACCTATACCAGAGCTAGTTCAGCTGAATTTTGGTACCCTATACTAGAGTAAACTCCCAAAATCCCCCTATCCTAGAGTAGCTGTTTCCCCAGTCTAGATAAAATCTTCAACCAACTGATCAGTTTCCTGAAAAATGATACCCTATTCTAGACCCAAACTCTCTGATTTATATACCCTATCCTAGAGTAAACTGCTTGAAAACCATACCCTTCACAGCGGCACATACCCATATAGCCAATATATGGCAGTACCCCCCGGGCCCGTTGCGCTCCTTGTTGTTTATTTCTGCTACGCAGTCTATGATATTGGTTACGGTTTAAACAATTAAACCCATTGGTGCATGCCTTTGTTTACATGTGGTTAGGAAGGTCAGATATCGAGATTTGTTGAATGGTGGAATGAATAATCCATGCCAGTGAGTTAGCAATCCAATAGTTAGATTTCCGAAAACCCAGAAGACAGTGGGTAAGGGAAGCAAAAGTGTACAAAATGCTTGGTCTCATACTGTACCACCAAAAGAGGTATAGGCTGTACCTTGGTCAGCCGTGTTATTCAAGTTTGTGATCCAATTAAAAAGATGAAAAATAACATATTGAAACACTTGAAGCTACAATAACTACGATTATAGAGAGAATCCAAAAAAATCCTTTCCGAACTTCCGAAATCACTTGCCGACGAAATCGTTTCATTTTCACGGGTTTTGTGAGGATTTCTCCTTTGATATTTTCATGTGGAAAGGCAGATGTTGGAACCTCGCAGCCCAAGAAATCACACAGCGGTTTCCATCCTTGTTTTACATTGAAAACTAGTAGCTTCGCGGGTGGTACAATGGACTTTACACGGTGATTGTGCATACGATATCGCTTTCTGAAAACACAAGTGGACTTGGGGTTTGTAGAGCCAAGTAAACCATAAATGCAAGAGTCGACAATGTACCTCAACTTTCTAACACTTTGCGATAGATTGTACGCTATAAATGATTTCCTGATTTCCACGCGAGTAGCGTGGATCATTTCAAGGTGGTTTACCCAACTTTGTATCCAAGAATCTTCATCTCGTTCGCTCAAAATCACTTTACAGTCAGGAAATGTTTCCAATATTTCCTCCCAGAAAAGGTTACCGGGTATATCCACCACCGCATCTGCATTCTGGTAGAGTGCTACATCTGGCTTAGCGCCATTCTGGAAGACATCAACCCAGTAATCCAGAAAATCGAACAGTTGTTCTTCCCAGTCATAGACCGTGAATCCAAGCTGTCGTAAAGACGTAAAGCTTCGGAGATTGATTTAGTTCCAGTCTTATTCATACCAGCGCATATAACCTTCATATTGCCTCTTTGATCTTAGCTCTTTTCTTTGGGTCTACAATAATATTCGCCGGCTACAATAACATTGGTAAGATTTTATAGACTGCGTGACATTCGTTACGATGGCTGCACTGGGCAAATTGCTGACGTGACGTGTTGTTTTCATTTTGTAGACTGCGAGCAGTCTCTCGCGTTTTGCTCGACGGACTACAGAAAAAAAGAGAGACTGCTCGTAGTCTATTCATTTTGCGGAACTTTTACACGATTTTCGTGCAAAAGCTATCATTCTATCATGCGCTGTTTTCCATTATTTCGATTTTTTTATTGGGAGAGTGTCTCGACGGTGAATCACAGAGCCTTCCTGATTTGTACTGAGGGATCAGTACACCTAGAGTGAGCCTCTCATCAGTCACTTTTTTTTTTAATTTGAATATGCCGCAGGACATACGATCTAAAGATTTTTCCATACCTCGATTATTGACGGTAAAAATGAACATGACAGCAGAAATTACGGAAAATTCTCCGATTTTTATCACTGTTGTTCAGAGAATAATTCCAGAACCCGGAAAGAGTATTTTTTTTTAAAGTTTTTTAAGTGGGAAGAAAAACGTAAGGATATTGCCGAACATAAATAAGTAAAGGAAAAAAGGAAAAAAAATTGGAGTAGAATAACAACGTGTTTGGCCTTATACGGTAACCAATAGAGTACCGAAAAAGAGGAATAAGATTTCTAGACTTATGTCTGTCCAATCACAAATAACAAACTCCAACAAGTGAAGCTACAATAACCGCGATAATAGAAAGGATCCCAGAAAACGCTTTTAGAATTTCCCAATCCACTTGCCCCTCAAATGTTTCCGTTTGCTTCACGGCAATTTCAAAGGATATTTGGTACACCAGACTGAAATTGTTAGAGAGGTAAATGTGCTAAGGATAAGCGAGGCCTGATTCTCTACATAATGTGCTATGATCTTCCAACATCATTCAGAATTGATTTTTAAAAACTAGAAGCATGTGGCGATGATGAAAAATTGTAGCAAAACTTCGCTTCTTTGTGTGGGGAAAACCCCAGGGGAACTCCCTATAATGGTCGGTCATACGGGGAAGCTCGGACCGAAATTTAGGCTTCAGGTACATGAAAGGTTAGGAATTACAAAACGTTTTACCCAGGAATCTTCTTCTCTTTCGCTCAAAAACACTTTACAGTCGGGAAAACCTTCTAATATTGTCTCGCAGAAGAAATTTGCGGGTATATCCAAGGCGGCATCAGCGTTATGGTAGACTCTCTTCACATCTGGCCGAGCACCATTTTGGAAAACATCGACCCAGTGAGCTAGAAAGTCGAATATTTGTTCTTCCCAGTCAAACACCGCGAATCAAAGATACCGTAAAGTTTTGCAAATTGATGTGGTGCCGGTTTTTTGCAACCCTACACAAATAACCTTCGTATTTCACTTGTTGCGATTGTTTTCTCGCCAGCAAGGTGTTAGCCTGGGTGGCAGGCGTTTGAAAGGGAAGGGAAAGGGGGTTTTGGGCGCGAGGGAAACACGCCCCTCGCGTTTCTCTCGCGCCTAAAACTCCTTTTCTCTTCCCTTTCAAACGCCTGCCACGCAGGCTAGCAAGGTGTTAATCGAGCTACTGAGCTCGCAGCTCGTAATCCCAATTTATTGATTTATTGTACCCGAGTCACGGGGCCGGGGGCGGGGGGGGGGGGGGGGGGGGTTACTCCCATATAAAAGTAACGGGGATGCTTAGGGGTGTATATTGCAGATTTTGGTCTCACTTAGGTTGTTTGGGACGGAACTGAAAGTCATTATATTCGCCCATTCAGGTATCGCTTAGGCTGTGCATAAAGAAATTTACAAAAAATTACCGTGACACTGACCACACAGAAATCGTTTTCCAAGAAGATTCATATTTCAACAAAAGTGTCAAGGAGATTATGTAGTGCGAAAAACTAGTATAGAGATTTATATCAATGCTTTTGAAATCTAAATATAGACAAACGCATTCGATGTTAACTGACATCTTTAGCGCATGTACATAGTATTTACTCTGCTTAAGATACGGTCCAGATAAGAATGATAGCAACAACGGCAACGAACATGTTGGAATGCAAAAAAATGTTTAACATTTTAAATTGGTAGTCTTGGGATTCTAAATACAAACAGTCAAATTTTAACAAAACTTGTTGAAAGCAGTAAATTTTTATATTCATCCCAACTTTCCAAACCATCTTCCATAAAACAAAATCTGGTCTCAAGTTTGAATTTGCTAAATTCTTGTGCGGGAACATTTGAAAATTGGCCTTTTGTCTTTTGTCTGTCATTGTTTTCAAACTAAAACAATGTGACTGGTCGAAACCTTTCAACGCTTCTGACCCCTTTCAAAGTGGATTTTACGTCAAATGTATTTTATTGCGTAAACGGACGTTCATGTAGGTTTATGCATTCTCTGTGCGGCGAAAAGGAGAACGGATGTTTTCCCTAAATAAAAACAAAAATATCTCTTATTTAGTTGCCGCATAACAAAAGCTAAAATTTTTGTTAATTTATGGGCCGGATCATTACATAGTATTTACATCCTTCGTTTTTCAAGAAGATTTATATTTCAACAAAGGTCTCACGGAGATTACGTAGTAAAGAAAAGTAGAGATTCATGACAATGCTTTTGAAATCTTGATGTCTGTTTTAGTATGATCTCCTTTGCCACACCCACATTGGTCTCCCTTAGGGGTTTAATTTTAATTTTCCGACAAGCGTCCCCGTCGCTTTTACATGGGAGTTACCCCCGGGCATTTCACGAATCAAAAGCGGGCCCAGGCGAGTCAGCTACAAAACAAGCACAGGCCAACCTCGAGTCAAGTCCAGATGTTTTTTTTTTTCCATTTTTGAGTTTCACTAAGTTATTTTTAGATCAATAAACGCTTGAAGTGAAAAAAAAAAAATTATCATTAAATTATTATTATTAAACTATTTTTCTTAGTTAAATTAACTCTTTCTAAGCTAAATTAAGTGCTTTTTAAATCGACAGGAATTGTAAATAGTGTTTTGAATGAATAGTTTTTTCTTTTTTTCAAGCAAATTAATTGTGAATAGGATTTTAACAGTTAGCATTGTTGTCAATAAAATTTTTTCAAAAAAAAAATTATTATTATTATTATTATCTCTATTATCACAGTCTTTACTGGTGTTCTTTTTGTGCATCAGCCGGGCGCAAACCATGCACCTAGAGCGTCAGTCACTCAAGTCAATCATTCTGTTTTGTAGATCCCAGCATGCAGATCAATACTTTCTTGAATACCCTTCTTCACTGTACCAAGCGCAAAAAAAAAATTACGGTTTTCATTCTTAAATTATTGCGATGTTTCTATTATTATTATTATTATTATTATTATTATTATTATTATTATTATTATTATTATTATTATTATTACTATTATTATTATTATTATTATTATTATGTACATAGTTAATCTCTATCGCAGCACATTCAGTGTTCGTCATCTTCGCTTTTATTAAGATTGCAATTCGAGGAAAAAATAGTTTGTGCCAAGAGTTGTGCATGATTGAAATAATGTTATAGTCCTTACGATTGGTGCTATATAACCAAAAGAATCAAGGATTGTCGAAATGACAAGATTGTTGTTCAATTAACAGTAAAAACAAAGTATAAACAATGAAGCTACAATAACGACGATAATGGAAACGATCACAAAGACGGTTCTCTGAATTTCCCGTTGAACCTGCTGCCCATATCTTGTCTTTTGAAAGATTTCTTTGAGGAGTCTTCCTTTAACATTTTCATGGGGGAAAGCAGATGTCGGAATCTCACAGCCCAAGAAATCACACAGCGGTTTCCATCCTTGCTTTGCATTGAACACCAGTAGTTTCTCGGGTGGCACAATGGACTTTACGCGGTGATTGTGCATACGATATCTCTTCCTGAAAACGTAAATGGACTTGGGGTTCATGGATCCAAACAAAGCAACTAGACTACAGTGCGCAATGTTGGTTACCGTTGTGCAGGTTTGCGATAGCATATTTGCGGTGCGTGATCGAACATCGTTTATTGTTTCTAGTTGAGTGACCCAGCTTTGTATCCAAGAATCTTCATCTCGTTCGCTTAAAATCACCTTACAATCAGGAAAAGCTTCCAATATTTCCTCCCAGAAAAGGTTTCCAGGCATATCCACGACTGCATCTGCATCCTGGTAGATTTGCTTCACATCTGGCGTGGCGCCATTTTGGAACACGTCAACCCAGTAATCCAGAAAATCGAACAGTTGTTCTTCCCAGTCATAGACCATGAATCCAAGCTGTCGTAAAGCTTCGGAGATTGATTTAGTTCCAGTCTTGTTCATACCAGCGCATATAACCTTCATATTGCCCTTTGAGTTGGTCTTATCTGTGTTAGTTTTCTAGGCCTTATATTGTGATAGGTTGAGATGAGTGCTAACCTTTGTGATATTGGTAGGCTGTACTGTGTAGCAGGCGTGAGAAAGAACTTGGTAAGCGTGACCTTTTGCGGAGTTTGCGCTCCTTGTTGTTGTTGCCCGAATGCCTGCCACGCAGGTTATGATATTGGCTGCGGTTACAACAATTAAACCCACTGGTGCATTCCTTTGGTTACCCAGGGTTCCACAGGATATTTTTTTCTTACCGATATCAAACTTTGAGCACGGTTTATTTCATATTAGGTATTTTGACAACGGACCGAGCCAGGGTAGCCTTTGGTTTCATGTGGTTAAGAAGGTCAGATATCGTGATTTGTTGAATGGCGGAATGAGTGATCCATGCCAGTGAGTTAGCAATGCAATAATTAGATTTCTGAAAACCCAGAACACAGTGGATAAGGGCAGCAAAAGTGTACAAAGTACTTGGCCTCATACTGTACCACCAAAAGTGGTATAAAGTTTTCTGTACCTTGACTACCTTGGTCAGCCGTGTTATTCAAGGTTCTGATCCAATTAAAAAGATGAAAAATAACATATTGCAACAATTGAAGCTACAATAACTACGATTATAGAGAGAATCCAAAAAAATCCTTTCCGAACTTCCGAAATCACTTGCTGACGTAATCGTTCCATATTTACTGGTTTTGTGAGGATTTCTCCTTTGATATTTTCATGTGGAAAGGCAGATGTTGGAACCTCGCAGCCCAAGAAATCACACAGCGGTTTCCATCCTTGTTTTACATTGAAAACTAGTAGCTTCGCGGGTGGTACAATGGACTTGACACGGTGATTGTGCATACGATATCGCTTTCTGAAAACACAAGTGGACTTGGGGTTCGTAGAACCAAGTAAAGCAGTAAAGCAAGAGTTGCCAACGTACCTCAACTTTCTAGCAGTTTGCGATAGCTTGTACGCTATAAATGCTCTTATTCCCACGCGAGCAGCCTGGATCATTTCAAGTTGGTTTACCCAACTTTGTATCCAAGAATCTTCATCTCGTTCGCTCAAAATTACTTTACAGTCAGGAAAAGTTTCCAATATTTCCTCCCAGAAAAGATTTCCAGGTATATCCACCACCGCATCAGCATTCTGGTAGACTCGTTTCACATCTGGCTGGGTGCCATTTTGAAAAACATCAACCCAGTGATCCAAGAAATCAAGTAATTGTTGTGGAACTGCATCAAAGACGGTGAATCCAAGTTGTTGTAAAGCTTCGGAGATTGATTTAGTTCCAGTCTTATTCATACCCGCGCATATAACCTTCATATTGCCTCTTTGATCTTAGCTCTTTTTGTGTGGGTCACTTGTGTCTCTACTCTACAAGACATTGGTAGGATTAAAGGTGAAGTTTTATACAGTCGCGTGACGTTAAATGATTACGGTGGCTGCACTGGCCCCCTAAGGGCAAATCGTTGACGTGTTGTTTTCATTTCGCGTAGCTTTTACGCGATTTTCATGGAAAAGGTATCATTCTATCATGCGCTGATGAGGAAAAAATTGTAAGAAGTGTCTCTTTAACGGCAAAATAACGCATGGATTTGTGGAAAAAAAGAAATAGTTTTTCTCAACTCCTTTTTGTTCTCTCTTGTCTTGAGTGAGCCCGCTGACAATGGAATTTGAGGAGGGTACCCTTACGAATATGCCCCAGGACTAATGGAGATCTGATCACTAAAATATATACCCAGTGAAGATAAATCTGGGAAGCTGATCGTTCTACGTGAAAATAAACTTTGCAGAACATAAACATGACACCAATAGAACCCAGAAACTGCAGATGATTATCAGTTGTTACATGCTGTTTAGAGAATAATTCCAGAACTCGGAAAAAAGTATTTATTTTAAAAGTTTTTTAATAAAAACGTCGAAGCAGAAAATGGGAAGAAAAACTTAAGGACATGATATTACAGAACATATAAATCAGTCTGTACATTTTAAGAACATTTTATTCCACATGTTTTTAAGTAAAGCAGTATTTAAGGAAACAATTAGGGTAGAATTACGACATAATTGGCCTTATACAGTTGAACCCCGCTATTTCGAAGTCCCAAGGGAAATGGAAAAAAAGTTCGAAATAGCGGGGTTTCGAAATAACCGGGGAAGCGTAAAATTCGTAACAATGAATCATTTTTTAATAAAATACAGTACAGTATGAAGAAAGACACTGATTAAATAAAAATACAGTAATTCAGAGCTCATACATGAGCATTTCAGCCGGAAGAACAGTTCACTAACAGTGCGTTTTGTTTTGTAATTGAATAACACAGCTGGAATTTCTTAGCGGGACACTGCACGTGAGTCAAGCATTGTTAAGTCATTAATTACGCAACACGAGCTCAAATAAAATGCAATACGTTTCCAGCTGTGCTCTTATGTACGCACTCTGTTTTTGACAAGTTCGAAATAACGGGGTTGATTTAAGGTGTAGGGAAAGAACGATGGTTCGAAATAGCGGGGAATTCGAAATAACCGAGTTCGAAATAGCTGATAGTATATGACTGAAATCATAAGAGTAAATCCAAGGGAATTCGATCTTCCTTCGAAATAGCGGGGACTTCGAATTAACCGAGTTCGAAATAGCGGGGTTCGACTGTACTGCATTACCAAAAGAGTAATACGTTTTCTAGCTTTATATCTGTCCAATCACAAACAACCAATTGCAACAAGTAAAGCTACAGTAACCGTGATAATAGAAAAGATCCCCCAACACGCTTTTCGAACTTCCCAATCCACTTGCCGCTCAAATGTTTCCATTTGCTTGGGCTTTACGGTAATTTCTCCTTTGATATTTTCATGGGGGAAAGCAGATGTTGGAACCTCGCAGCCCAAGAAATCACACAGCGGTTTCCATCCTTGTTTTACATTGAACACCAGTAGTTTCTCAGGTGGTACAATGGACTTCACGCGGTGATTGTGCATACGATATCGCTTTCTGAAAACACAAGTGGACTTGGGGTTCATCGAACCAAGTAAGGCAGTAAGACAAGAGTCCACAACTTCAGTCATCTTTCTGGCAGTTTGAGATAGCTTTAACTTTATAACTGCACTTGTTGTTGCGCGAACGGCGTGGATCATTTGAAGCTGGTTTACCCAACTTTGCACCCACGAATCTTCATCTCGTTCGCTCAGAATCAACTTGCAATCGGGGAAAACTTCCAATATTTCCTCCCAGAAAAGGTTTCCAGGTATATCCACCCCCGCATCAGCATTCCCATATACTCGCTTCGCATCTGGCTGGGCGCCATTTTGGAAAACATCAACCCAGTGATCCAAAAAATCAGGTAGTTGTTGTGGAAAGTCAAAGACCGTGAATCCAAGTTGTCGTAAAGCTTCGGAGATTGATTTAGTTCCAGTCTTATTCATACCTGCGCATATAACCTTCATAGTGCCTCTTTGATCTTGCTTTTTTTTCCGTGAGTCACTTATGTCTCTGCAGGTCAAGCACAGGGGCACGTCTCAAACTCGCTATGTGAGCGCAAACGTAATTGGGTAACGAAGCTATTTAAGAGACCGGGGGGGAATCCGCATATGAAGGGGTGGGGATGCTCGTCGGAAATGTTGAATTAAACCCCTAAATGAGACTGAACTGGACGTGGCTCAAGCTTTTTTGACCCCTAAAAGAGACCGTGTTAAAACACAGACAATACACATATTTTTGTATCTTTTCACGACCAACCCTAAACGGGACCTTCACGGCTAAATATGATGGCGTTTTGCCCAGAACACCCTAAGTGATACCAAAATACGAAATTTACTCCCCTAAGCGAGACGACGAGCATCCCCACCTTTTTCATATGCTGAGCCCCTACCCCCCGGGTTATGAGATTTACAGAGCTTAAATGGGAAACGTGAAAAATGCAGAAAATGTAGGATTATCTTACATTATCATGTACCTAAGAAATAAGGTTAACTCACATTCGCTGTATTTTGCGATCCTGTGTCGTTTTGAAGGGATTTTTTTTCCATTTTAACGTTTCCGATATGTACTCTTCAAATAGCCACCCTACGTGACGCATTATTTTCCTAAATTTTTCAACAAGTGCTCTCACGTGAGTTTGGTATGCCTGTGCTTTAGTAATGTATTCACTAGCGTGCTCTCATGTGAACGCCACGACCACGCGTTAAGGCAAATATGTGCTGACGTCATTGTTTACAGCAGCAAACGGTTTTCAAAAATGATATTATGCTTTTTAAAACGCAATTTTTAAAAAAAAAGTTGAAAAAGGTTGCTAAACCTAGCTGACTAAGCTCTTTTTACCTCTGTGCATGTAATACATCAGCAAAGACAGGAAATAGTATGAGAGTCAAGAGTGCAAAGTTTCTGAGGGCTTTAATGGTCAATAAGTCCTTACATTCTTGTAAAATTTCGGCCTTATAACATTACATATTTCAAAGGATATTTGGTAAACCAAACTGAAGTTGTCAGAGAGGTAAATGTGCTAAGGATAAGCAAGACCGATTCTCTGCATGATGTGATATGATATTTCAGCATCATTCAGAAGTGATTTTTAAAAATAAGAAGCACGCGGCGATGATGAAAAATTGTAGCCTAACTTCGCTTCTTTGTGTGGGGAAAACCCAGGGGTACTCCCCTATAATGGTCCATACGGGGGGGCTCGGACCGAAATTTAGGCGTCAGGTATATGAAAGGGTAGGGATTACCAGTGGTGGATCCAGGGGGGCCGGGGGGCCCGGCCCCCCCTTATTTTTAGACCAAGCTGAGGCCTGAATGGCCGGGGGCCCGGCCCCCTTATTTTTCGACCAAGCTGAGGCCCGAAAGGCCGAAAAAATTTTTTTTGGAGACCGCCCCCCCGCCCCCTCCCCCCCTTATCTCAAGGTCTGGATCCAGCACTGATTACAGTAGTTGAGGCATTTGAAAAGGAAAAAAAAATCTGTCATTTCGGCCCAAAAAGATTAACAGGTGCATGTGAAAAAGTCGAGAAACAACTTACAACCTTTTTAATAAAAACGTCAACGCAGAAAATGGGAATAAGAACTTGGGGAAATATTACAGAAAATAAATCGGGCTGAACGTTTTAAGAACATGTTGTTCCAACTGTTTTTGAAGTAAGTTAGCACACGGAAGGAAAAAGATAAATAAAAATTTGGTTAAATTACACCCGGCATAGTAAATCGAACCCAATCGAACTAAATTTCAATCGAACTCAATCGAACTCAATCGGTGGATTGAGTTCGATTGAGTTCGGCAATCGAACGAAATCGAACTCACCGAAAAGAAAAAAAATCAATCGAACCCAATCGAACGTTTGATTTTCGAACTCGTGATTTATGTAAAACAGACGTTGAAAATCCATTACCAGATCTTAGAAGCTCGAATTACTTCAGCCCTGAGTGTAGCGCACGTGTTTTTCGTAAACGAAGAAATTCCGCAGAAATGGCTTCAGATGCGTTGTGGATCGTAAACTTCAAATGTATAGTCAAAGGCTACCAGGAATGCCGCTTTGACGTCAAGGATGGCGAAGTTTTCAGGGTTTGTTCTGTTCTCTTCTCTTAACTACCGTGGACAGTTTATAAATGGGGTTTGTGATATAGAATAAATAGTAAAAAAAGCGCATGAAAAACTTTCTTTGACGGGCTTGCTTTGGGCTTGCTTTGTATAGGTTCACCAGAGCCAATCGAACGAAATCCTTTTAATTGTGTTCGATTGAGTTCGGTTTCCGAACTCAATCGAACACAATCAGACGGATTGAGTTCGATTGAGTTCGATTTGTTCGATTGAATTCGATTTGTTCGGAAATCGAACTCACTGAAAGTGTGGTGTTCGATTTCGTTCGATTGCCGAACTCAATCGAACTCAATCCACGGATTGAGTTCGATTGAGTTCGATTTTCGAACGTTCGATTTACTATGCCGGGAATTACAACATGATTGGCCTTATACTGTTTAACCAACTGAGTATCGAAAAGAGTAATAAATTTTCTAGATGTTTGTTTAATCACAAATAACAAACTGCAACGAGTGAAGCTACAATAACCGCGGTAATAAAAAGGATCCCCAAAAACGATTTCAAAACTTCCCATTTCACTTGCCGCTCAAATGTTTTCATTTCTGAGAGCTTTAGGACGATTTCTCCCTTGACATTTTCATGTGGGAAGGCAGATGTTGGAACCTCGCAGCCCAAGAAATCACACAGCGGTTTACATCCTTGTTTTACATTGTACACCAGTAGTTTCTCGGGTGGTACAATGGACTTGACACGGTGATTGTGCATACGATATCGCTTCTTGAAAACACAGGTGGACTTTGGGTTTATAGATCCAAGTAAAGCAGTACGACAACAGTCCACAACGTCGTGGTTCATCTCTCTAGCAGTTTGCGATAGACTTAACGCTATAATTCCTGTCGTTGTCGCGCGAAGAGCGTGGGTCATTTCAAGTTGTTTTACCCAACTTTGTACCCAACAATCTTCATTTCGTTCGCTCAAAATCACTTTGCAATCAGGAAAAGTTTCCAAAATTTCCTCCCAGAACAGGTTTCCCGGTATATCCACCACCGCATCAGCATTCCGATAGATTCGTTTCACATCTGGCTTGGTACCATTTTGGAAAACATCAATCCAGTGATCCAAAAAACCATCAAGTTGTTGTGGAAAGTCAGAGACCGTGAATCCAAGTTGTCGTAAAGCTTCGGAAATTGATTTAGTTCCGGTCTTGTTCATACTCGCGCATATAACCTTCATATTGCCTCTTTGATCTTAGTGCTTTTTCTTTGGGTCACTAGTTTGAAAGTTTGAAACTGTTTGAAACAAAAGAAAACAACAGCATGTACACTGGCGTGCTGTAATTTTAGCGTGAAGGCCTTGTTTGTAACTTCATTGTATACTTTTGCGATAACAGCGCAAGCCGGTGTGCAAATACAGTATTAAGCTGTGCTTTTGAACAAGAATTTTCTTGAAAAGTTGAAAGGGTTTGTTAAGGGGGAAGTCTAGTTACAATGTAAAAGCCTCGGTTTTCGTTCATTTACGATCTTTTTTTCAAAATCTACTTCCAACATTTCGTTCACTATCGAAAATGGCTCACACAAGGTCGGAGTGATTCAACCAATAAAGATTTAAGAATTTTTTGGATAATTGGATGATTTTTCCCATGGTGTTTTATGAATAAAAATAAGCGGGGGGTGTTTAAAGTTATGGAAAATTGGAACATATTCTCGGTTTTCACATGACGTCACGAAAATTCAAACTAAAGAATTATCAACTCTGTTGATTGCTTACTTTGATGAGGCATTACAGAAAATAACACGTTTACTTATACAAATTTCGGTTCGAAAGAGTTCTTCGTTTAGCGATAGAGTTCGCTTGAATTTCCAAGCTTTTGCGCGACGCTGCATTTTGATGGCGGCCGAGAAAGCTCTCATGTAGGCTAAAAAATGTGACTGATCTTTTGAGATTTTTGTTACCTGAGCAGTCCTGGTCTCAGAATATATATTACTTTAATCTTTATGACTTCCTCTAGCAATGAATTCCCGCTTTTGTAGCAAAACTCAAAGACAGATGTTGCTGTTGTTTGCCCCATGAAGGAACGCCAACATGGCGTCTCCAAATTTGTAAAAACACATTTCGGAGTATCTCGTATAAGAACAATGGCACATGCCTAATTCTTGATGAGGCTTTTTAAATATTTGTCTTCTTTTATTTTCACAGACAATGGCCTTTAAATGTTGAATGGTCCGGGTGAATGGTTATGATTTTTTTGGATGGCGTGAGCGTGAAATCCACCAATTGGATTTGAGAGTGGTTGAAAACTAAAATGTGTAGGGATTAATTGGGAAGAGGATTGTCCTCAAGGCATTCAAACCCTGACCCTGTTTAAGACAAAAAACGTTCATTTTGCTGTCCAATTGCTGCCGCATTTTGCTCCGCTTACATAATAAATTATATTTTGAAAGAAAAACTTGCATCATGGAATTAGATTTTTTGAAAAAAATTGTTGGTAGCTCGCCTTTATCATGATGATGATGATGGTGATGATATTTGTTGATATATGTGTTTGATTTGATCAAAAGATTGACACAATGGCAGCCGAGTACCCCGCCAAGACCAACTATCTATACATGACGTATAACGGACAAGAAAACGATCTCCTGTTTGACGATCAAGGTGTCATGGTTTTGGGCTGTGGTCCATATCACATTGGCAGCAGTGTGGAGTTTGATTGGTGTGCTGTGTCTTGCATCAGAACCCTGCGCAACCTGGGAATTAAAACGGTAAGATGATTTTGGAAAAAGCTAGAGGTCTCTTAGGCTTAGGGGGCAGTATCACCAGATGAGAATGCTTCCGAGTTTTGGCGAAAACTATTTGATTGTCTTAGGGCTGATTTCCAGTGTCGCGTAATTTTTACGTGCGTACGTGCGTGAAATAAAAAATAGGGGCAATGCATGAAAGGTCGCTCGTAAGCCTAAAAGTTGAATCTCGCTCAACGTCTCGTTTAAGCTCACCACTTTTTGTCTTGCCTCTATTTTAGTTACATGATTAAAATTTACGTGCGTTAACGTGCGTAGCCAAAAACGCGTCAGTGGAAATCAATTCTTAAGCTGCAAGAAAGCCACAATAAATGAGCGATTTTTCCGAATAAAGCCCTGTTGTGCTTTAAAACGTTGGCCCGAAATCAGGGACACTAGGCATTAATATAGTGAGGGTAGGCCGATACTGGTGACTGGCATTAATATAGTAAGGATAGGCCAATATTGGTGACTCACTAGTCAATACAAACAAAACTATTGGATTTTCAAGTACCGTTAAATCTTGGTGATAATGCCCTCGTAATCCTGTTTCTTCTTGTTGTTTGATGGTAGCAGAATAGAGTTTTATAAGTGAACTGTTTTTAACAATTATTCCTCGAGCCCGAATGGGCTCTGAGTCAACAGCCCGTGAGGCCGAAGGCCGAATGGGCTATTGACTCAGAGGCCATGAGGGCGAGAGGAGTAATTGTTTTAGTAAAATCAAACTAGTTGGTCAAAAATATCGAGAAAAAAATTTAGCTAGTTAAAGCTAAACTTTAATCCTTTTTGCCGACAAAAAGCCCTCGCTTTTCGCTACTAGTGGGCTATAACATATACCCTAGCAGTAGCTCAACTAATCAGAACGCAGCATTGATAATAGACCACTAGTTGGATTTTACTAATTACGATTAACCAGTTGCCTTGCAAATCCATCGTGAAACCATTTTCTATTGTTGTACATTTTTGGCTGAGTGTTTGTGTCTCTTTTTTATTATTGTTATTTCTTCTCTCAAACTAGGTTGTTGTCAACCATAACCCCGAGACTGTAAGCACTGATTATGATGAATGCGATCGACTTTACTTTGAAGAGCTTTCGCTTGAAAGAGTCTTGGACATTTACCAACAAGAGGTAGGAATAACAATGCTGAAGAATCACCCAATGCCAGTAGAGAAGAATTTAAAAAATAATACAAATAAATGGCAATAATAATAAGATAGCTATTTCGAAGTTTATTCGTACAAATCGCCTTAAGAAACGCACTTAGTAATTAGGTACGTGAAAAAGCAAGCAGTCAGTAACTCGCTACTATAGAACGAGAGGGGAACTGGAGCCGAAATGCGTCCCGCAATTGTTTCTGGGATCGGTATTATTAGTTAAAGAGCCAATCATAAAACAATATAATGAACACGTGATCAATATCGATTTAGTGACGTCACCACTATCTGTGAACCGGAAGTTGTTAAAGCGGATGTGTCACAGGACATATGTTGGGTTCGTTGAATTTTCTTCAACTTTAAATGTAGTGTCTGAAAAGTGTTTTTTGATGCTTTTTGGTTGTCTAAGACAGAATAGAAATCATAGCTCAGAGAATTTAAAGGTTATTTACATAAAATGCTCAATGTGTTATGCAATAATTAACTATCAATTTAAGACAAGTGAACTGAAAAATGTAGAGAAGTTGGTGAAGCAAACAGTTCAAGCCTTAAAGTCTTATTACAAAAGACTGGGGATGTGCATTTTTGTACAATCTGTGAAATTATATTCCTAGTAGGTGGTCCTTGAAAAGTCCTTGAAAAATGGTTGCATTTTTTGTTGTATGATCCCTGTTTTGGGGACGCGCCGGTCAGCTATTGGCCAATTTTTTCCTTGTCCCCAGTAACAATCCCAAAAGTCTTTGTGAAAGTTTACTCGCCCCAGTTTTCTTGGCGTTTCTAAAGTGACGGACTTGCCTGTGGACTTTGGACTTCGTGGACGATAGAGTAAGCATTGAAGGGAAACCTGTTAATTAACACTCTCCTATGATATTTTATTGTTCAATATTTGTGCAAAATATACCTCCGAGTACTTTTAAATCTTGACTCTGAGGAATCTAAGAAGTCATAAACGATTGAGGTTAGGAGTCAACAGTTCATTGTTTTTTTTGTCATGTTACAGGTCTGCAAAGGCGCTGTTATCTCTGTTGGCGGTCAGATTCCTAATAACCTGGCTCTTCCATTGTACTTGAACAATGTTAATGTCCTGGGTACCTCTCCTCTTATGATAGATGCTGCGGAAGAAAGGTAACCTGAAATTCTACTTTAAACAACAGTGAAAACCCTGCTCCTGCCGATGTGGGGGTTTCATTTGAAACTGGGACTCGGGTACAAGCATCAAAGTACTCTGAGCACAGTACTTGCCTTCAAGCAAATGAAAAAAGGCTGACTCTCAAACCAACGTTTCCCGCCTACTCAACCATGGGCACCCTTCTATTTTAAACAATAGTGAAAACCCTGGCGATATTTTCTTATGAAAATAAGTACGTTGCTAGATCTCAAGTGTTCATTTTTTCTGCAGATCTCGTTTTTCTGCTATACTTGACGAGATGGGTATCGGACAAGCGCCATGGACAGCTGTTTCGTCAGTGGTTAGTACATGTAGCCATGTAGGGATTTGGTGTTTGATTATCCAATGAAACACTTTTTCAAGTGTTGGATTTGTTTTTGTTTGCTTTTTTAAACGTTTAGTAATTCTAGAAGAAATTTCTTTGCTGGTAACAAGCATCAGGTCTAAATCGTCATCACATTTGTGTTTTCTTTTTTCCCTGTTAAAAGTAATCGAGAAATATCGATAAAGTACAGCCGTGTATTTAACAATTTTTCTTTGTCTATCTTTTTCAAGGAGGATGCACTGAACTTCGCTGCTACTGTTGGCTACCCATGTCTTCTAAGACCCTCTTATGTGTTGAGGTATCAGTTAACTCTTTAAACCTTAAGACCAAAATTTGAATTCTCATTTGTTGCCCCCATTCATTTCCAACAGAAGTAGCGGGGAGAAGTTGATAAAATGTCAAGCAAATTCATCTTCTGTGATCATATTCGTAATTCTCATGACCCCTCTGTTTTACAAAGCATTGATACTACAAGGAGAAATTTGATACTGATCACTATTAGGGCTTAAAGGGTTAAACTACATTGAATTTATGGTGAATTACAGGCATATCGTCTCCCAAGAAAACTCGTGTCTGTTAAGATGCGATTTCTCTCTCATGCAAAGAATTGCAAAGATTTTTACTCGCTAATGTCACAGAAAATGACACTTGTCTCTGCATGTATCATCTGGTAACGCGTCCTATATAACAGCCATCCTGAGGCTACGTTCAAACGGCAACGGGCGACGTTTCGACCGGCTGAAAAATAACACCTTAACACGCGAGTTTTCAACCGGTCATTTTGGATATTCACCCCGACTAGCTGATGGGCGTTCTTTAGACGTAAGGACAGGCAGTCTTCGCCCCAGCTATCTGCTTCTGGTTCTCTTGGACAGCTTGCTGTCCGTGGCCAAAAATCTTAACCAAGCAGTCTTCGAAAACCTCTTTATATTCTAATTCGCTACCCCGCTCAAACGAATATAAAACATTTATCATGTAACAAGCAACCTCAATTGGGGTGTGTCAACACGAGCCGTGTGCGACCCTCTTTATTATGCCTTCATCAACAGAATGGATGGAAATAATACAACAAACAGAATGAAAACTCGGAAATGTAAAAAAATTACAGCAAGAAAAACAGCCCAACAAAATGATCTTTTGTATAACAATCATTCAGTAAACGTGCTAAACCTTTCATATAGCAGCATGCAAAAACTACGTCTGGTGATCAGCCATGGGCGTAGGGACGGTTAAGACGCGAATGAATATAAATGAGAACAACCAAATATATATGGACCGTTGAAGCAACAGTTCTTGGAACACCCCAAAGAAAAGGTTTCATAACCCATGATAAATACATTTCTCGACCCTTAATTCGTGCAAACTTGGTTTTATTTTGACACGGGCTGTTTTGTTCCGTATGTAGTGGTTCAGCGATGAATGTTGCTTATGGACCTGTGGAGTTGAAGAAGTTCTTGGAAGAGGCTGCCAGAGTTTCTCAGGTAGATTTTCGTCTTCCTGTGTGCTTTTGAAATCTGCTACATAGATTTATACCAGTAAAATGTTTACGCCAAAAAAGATGTTAGCTTAGAAGTTAGAGTAGAACTAATATTATAAACTGTTGATGTCAATACAGGACCACCCGGTAGTGATGACAAAGTTTATCGAAGGTGCCCGAGAAATTGAAATGGACGCCGTTGCTAAGAACGGAAAGGTTTGTGATGTTTGACCATTTTCTGCTTCATGTTAACTTAGCTATTAGTTGTGTTCTAATGGATTATCTCTGTTCTTACAGCTCTGTTTTTTGACTTTGGTATCTTGTTTCTTCCAGGTTGTTGCTCACGCTATTTCTGAACATGTGGAGAATGCTGGTGTTCATTCAGGAGATGCTACACTGATTTTGCCTCCACAAACAATCAGCGAGGAGGATATCCAGCAGGTACGAAAGTGGGTGGGGCTGACCACGTGCTGCTAGCAACTGATCGCAGTGTAGGTCATGTCAGTAGCTTACTAATAGGCGTGGTCACGCACCTGCCGCCTCGTTTACGCTAAGGAACTTGAGGAGGAGGACCCTTACGCTAGCCAATATGGAGGGGCTGACCACGTGCAACTAGCAATTGATCACAGTATGGTTGATGTCAATAGCTCACCTATGGGCGCGGTCAGATATGCGCCACCTCGCTTATGAGTTTGAGGGTGTCCACGTCATGACAGAAACCGCTGAAGATCTAAAGCTCAACTGGCGGAAGAGGCGTAACCAAAGAGGTTTCCCCTTTTCTGTGCTTACGAACTTTGACAGCCAGCGTCCCCAGTTAGTTCTGCGGCCTTTTATAGGCCGTGGAGGGTGATTATTTCAATGTGTCTGGTTGTATCCTTTCACTGAGCAACGTTTTCGTTAGACAGCGGTTGAACGACTATATTACATTCACGCCTTTTGATGCACCTCCAATGAAATTTAACCATATTCGTTAGTTCTGCCGCAGGGAATACCCGGATGAAACGCGAACGAAAATTAATAACACACTAAGCCAACGTATCTAGTACGACTTCTTCTGTGTAGTGGTTGCCTTTTGCTGATTTAGTGGGTTTTAAACTATTATACTTTCAGGTAAAAGAAGCCACCCGAAAGATTGCAGAGAGATTTAACATTTCTGGTCCGTTCAATACTCAATTTTTAGCCAAGAACAATGATATCATGGTACGTCCACTAATTACCTTTATGTGGTCTGTGATTATATTTACATCGTGTTCGATATTGTTTTAGGATTTTGTTGCTGTGAATCGGTTTTAATTTCCCTCCCCCTGGAATCTGTTGCATATTCTCTCGCGTGTGTCACTAGGTATAAATCTTTCCGCGTTTATGGCAGTTGCCATCTGGTGAAGCTGGACGCGTAGTTCGGTGTTTTTTGTTATACTATATTCTTTTACCAATGATCAAACTTGTTAACTTTGCTATCATTATCAAGACCAATCATCAGAGATCTTCTTATCGATGACAAGCCTTGGAAGTCAATCTAATTCATGAGATGAAACAGTCACAGTTTTGTTTCTTTTTGTACTGTCAGGTCATCGAATGCAATCTGCGTGCTTCTCGCTCGTTTCCTTTCGTATCCAAGACAGTGGGAACGGACTTCATAGATGTGGCAACCAAGATCATGGTGGACTATCCCCTGCAAGAACATACACTTCCCCATCTGGACACGCCCCTGCAGCCATCTGGATATGTGGGCATCAAGGTTTGTCCGCGCATTCTATTCTTGTTATTCTGTTTAAACTTTTTATTAGCAACCGCGGCAGGACTAGCTTGACTGCTGAGCGGGAAGTGGCGGGGTTCGAACCCCGGGGCAGACCAATATTCGGGATCCTAAAAAAACCGGGGAATGAAAGTACTGCCTTTGCCTTGCAGACAGCTATACCTCGATGTGGCTTTAAACAGGGTTGTCACTAAGATTTCAAGTTGCCGGGCAAATACGACAAGTAGGCGGGGAGTCAAACAGCTAGGGATTTCTTTTGGTTGTATTTTTCTTCTGTTAGCAGGAGACCACATTCATAGTAGGTGGGAGAAATCCCCGGCCCCCGGCCCTTAATGACAGCCCTGGGCTTAGATGACCACGTAGAACTGGTGGCCCGTGATTTGAACTCGGGACGAACGAGAAACAAATTCAGGTAGTGGTCAGAGAGGGATTCGAACCCAGAAGTCCGACTCGTAAACCATTCGGCCCACTCTTGGACAACCTTGACAACTAATTCCTATTTCTTAACTCGTTGGGTGTTCTTTTCAGGCGCCAATGTTTTCATGGCCTCGGCTGCGTGACGCCGATCCACTGTTGAAATGTGAAATGGCCTCCACTGGCGAGGTAAGAACAAAAAAGAATTGCTGTAGGCAGTAATTGACTGTAACCGCAAACTTTGACTCTTTGACCATAACTTTCGCGCCAAAATCGTTGTTCCAAGTAACTTATTTTGGCTTCGCTTCCCTGCAGGTTGCTTGTTTTGGCGCGAATGTTCATCAGGCGTTTCTCAAGGCTTTGATGTCAACTGGCTTCCGGCTTCCTAAGAAAGGCATTCTGATTGGTATTCAGGTACGTTGATTGACACTCCAGCGCTGCTCTCATTCAATCAGGCACGTCAGTCATTGTACAATTTTGATTTCCCCACCCGTAAATAACGTCTGTACCTTTAAGTTACTCACAGGAATTCTCTAGGGGAGGGTTAAGAGGGAGTAGACAAGATTTGTTTTATTCTCACGTCATCTAAGCTCCCACCCACACCCCCCCCTACATGTAGGAATCTCGCCCCAGGTCTACTCCCTCTCCACAGACCTTTCGTCTAACAGCTGACACTTGAACACAAGACTATCTTTCTCGAAATCCATTCCACGAAAAACACTTTGTAATAAGTCGAGGATAAGTGAAAAGTTTCATTCATGCCTCTAAACTTTATTTTGTCAATCCAAGCGTCGAGTTGGTGCCTTTGGTTTCAGAAAAACTAAAAAGTTGGCAGCTCGGGTTATCGTAGGCTTCCGTTTTAACTCAAATGAGAAGGGACACACTCTTTAGCCAGACAACTTCGTAATCGTTGCAATGCATAATACCAAGGCTAGATTATCTTGAGTTTTATATACATTAATTTAATGGCTTTATATTTTCATGTTTTGAACAGCAATCCTTGCAACCGAAGTTCCTTCCAACAGCGAACAAGCTTCATAAACTGGGATTCACGCTCTACGCTACAGAGGCCACCTCGCAGTATCTGAATGAACACAATATTCCAGCTCAGCCAGTGGAATGGCCACTTCACAGTGCTGGAGTAAACTCGACAGCTACCAGGTAGATTTTAGTCGCTGCTTTTAACCGTGCATGCCTCTTGAATACAAAAAATCATTTTTTTCTTCGTTACTTACGAACTCAGTTCCCTAAACTCTTAGAGAAGCTGCCACAGTTAACCTTTTTAGGAGAAAAACTAGCTGTTTTCATTTCGGAGGGTGGAGGGCGAGTTAGTTTTCCTCTGTTTGTCTACGTAGTAGTTTTCGTATTATCTTTAAAACTGCAGTTCGAAGTTCGCGTAAACGCCAACAATACAAAATTGGATTAATTGACGAGTTCATAAACAGCACAGTATTTGTCAACTCCCACTCCTGTCCCTGAAGTCTGCTGTGGATAGTTAAAACAACCATTCCTGTGAACATTGGAAAATAACACAGAATCATAAAGATGTAATATATAAAAGTGTTTAAAACACTTCTCTTCCATCGCGCGATGTTCAGGTTATGATCAGAACTGACATTTCGCACTGTCTGCTGTTGAAAATGAATTAGAAGCTGATGTCTGCGAACAATTTGATAAACTCTGATGTACAAAACAGTAGAAACCAAGAAGCAAATGGCAATTGCAGGGACAAAGGCTATCCTCGCGTAGGTTCTGTTCCATACGTAAAGACATGATGCAGAGAACATCAAGAACCAAAGAGTTAGAGATGTGCATATTGCGCGCTTATCCGTCATCAGATTCGGATAATGAAGAGCAAAAAACCGATCTAAGCTTATCGCTGTCATTGTACACAAAGAAACACCACAGCCTAAAGACGATAAAGCGTCGAATGCATCTTTAAATCCCTGTTCAGGGTTAAGTTGATATACAATGTAAACCGGTTGTACCACCAAGCCAACAAGAAGATCTGAGACAGCGAGACTGCACAAGAACAGTATGGAAGGTGAACGAAGAGAAGGAGTTGTTAATATGGCGACCAGCACGAAAACGTTCCCAATGATCGATGGGGGCATTAGCAGAACGTTAAGCAGACAATTCATCACGATAAAAATATCCATCCTCTTTCAGATTTTTGACTCCAACGGTAGCAAGTAAATTTTCATAGTTTAAGGTTTCCCCGTGGTAAGAATTTAATACACCAAGAAAATGAGGCGACTGAAAGACAAATATCAATAACTTGTGGTGCTCTGTGTCATTTTAAAAGCATTTGTCCCTTTTTGATTCACTCCTTCATAGCAAGTGTAATCAAACTCCCTGGAAAGTTGAATTGTGAAAATCGAACAGGGACAACACCTTTTAAATTATTTCCACCCAACGTGATTACACTGGTTGATAGCAATATAACTGGCTTTGTTTTGTCCCTTTGCAATAAAAAGAAATATAATGAGAAATTGCTTAGAAATCTTATCTAAACAGTGTTGACAATTATTGCTGTGGCCACTAAAGGGAACGAGAGGTCGTGTTTTTTTAATAACCGCTTTTCTATACCCGGGCAATATAATACAAAGGGACATTGTACAGAAACAATATTAATTTGCCTTTTAAAAATGAACATCTGCTAGGACAGAAATTTAAATATGCTTCATTAACCAGGCTTGTTCCGTCAATCTATTATTTTTTCCGTTTATTTGTTATATTTTATTATTTAATTGATTTATTTTGTGGACAGAGACAAAGCCAATTTTTAGCTATCTTGATCAAACAAGCATGGTCATTAAAAGAACCTCCAAATATGCTCTTGCGGTAAAAAGCGGTTAAACCCGAGCGGGCAAGATACATTGGAACTTCTTTATAACAAAATATGTGGAAAAAGCCTTTATATAAAGAACCCTTGGTTATAGCCATTCGCAGTCCCTTAGCCATCTTGCCCTCTAAAACAGACGAATCATAGCACACCATTCATTTCATCTTGGCTGCGCAGCCGTATAGCAATAGTTGTTGGGGAGTTTAAGATGTCACTATGGCAACGAGAACGTCAAAAAAGCAATAGGTTTAGGTTAGCAAAACAACAACTCTGCACGTGCATCACGCTTTTTTGTACATTTCTTTGCCGTCACTGCACGACTACGACATGAATTGCCTAATTTCACGTTTTATCGACAACGTGAACATACGACGACGAATTTCTCTTTCTCTCTTTAAACTTGAATATCTTTCTTAAGAGTTCAAATCCAGGAAAGTTCTGCCTGCATTGGACAAAGTGAGCGAGTTGTGATAATCGCGCTGCAGTTTCAAAGAGCGTGAAGTCACTTTTTAAGTGACGTTTTCACCGCCGTCGCCGTTGTGGTATCTTAAACTCCCTGTTATTGCAGTTGTCGGCGGGTAATTATGCATAAGTTCGGCTATCTTGTGTCTCACGACAGAAACTCCGCTATTCATTGTGATGTTTCGGCCGCTTACAGCTGTTCTTCATCATGCGATGTTTTCATGTTGTAGATTGATCCAGGACAAAGTCGTGGACCTCGTCATCAACCTGCCCAATCAGAACACAAAGTACATCAAGGACAATTACCTTATAAGGAGAGCGTCTATCGACACCGGTGTCCCGCTCATCACAAACTTAGAGGTATAACGTCATTCTTCTTTTCAGGTAGCAACCGTCCAATGACCAGATCTGGAAATCTAAGAACCACCTTATTCAGAATAATAAACAGCACCACTGGAGAGTACTGCTTAATAGTTTTCATTTGAATGGTAACACCATAGGACTTCATCCACAGACTCAAAAGTTAGAACCACCTTGTACAGTATAATAAACAGTACCATAGGAAAGTACTGCTCAGTAGCTTTCATTTGAATGGTTACACCATAGGATTTCATCCACAGACTCAAAAGTTAGAACCACCTTGTACAGCATAATAAACAGTACCACAGGAAAGTACTGCTCAGTAGCTTTCATTTGAATGGTAACACCATAGGATTTCATCCACAGACTCAAAAGTTAGAACCACCTTGTACAGCATAATAAACAGTACCACAGGAAAGTACTGCTCAGTAGCTTTCATTTGAATGGTCACACCATAGGATTTCATCCACAGACTCAAAAGTTAGAACCACCTTGTACAGCATAATAAACAGTACCACAGGAAAGTACTGCTCAGTAGCTTTCATTTGAATGGTAACACCATAGGATTTCATCCACAGACTCAAAAGTTAGAACCACCTTGTACAGCATAATAAACAGTACCACAGGTAAGTACTGCTCAGTAGCTTTCATTTGAATGGTCACACCATAGGATTTCATCCACAGACTCAAAAGTTAGAACCACCTTGTACAGCATAATAAACAGCACCACAGGAAAGCAACGAGCTAACTGCTCTCGAGCGTCCGCAACTTTTCCTTCCTCGTTCAATATTTCGTTTCCTTTCTAGCGTTTAATCTTCATTTCCTGTCACTTGTCTGTTTAGGTTGTAAAGATGTTTGCTGAATCTCTCTCTGGTGCTGGCAAAATAGAAGCGACATCTTTATTTCATTACCAGAAGTCTTCCAAAAGAAAGGCTACTCCTTGAAGAAAGAAAACTCAACTTTAAACCGTACAGAGAGGCAAAATTACTGTATAATGATGTGGACAAAACTATAAAGCCTATACTTCAGTCCAAATATTGGCTGTCCTCCTGAAAAGGTCCTTGAATTTTCTTTAGCTAGAAATGCACGAATCTTGAAACGGAAAGAGAGAAAAATTGAATTGTGCACGTGTAAACACAAAAGGACGCGTAACGAAAAAATAAGAAAGCTCTCTTTTCTTCCCCATGCCTTCTCTATCCGGCGCTCCTTTGCATCTCTTGTGTTTCGTACTCTCTCTCCTGTTTAGCGTCTTCCACTGAAGGGGGCGGCAAGCTTTAATAGCAATGTGCACGGTTTTTTACCTGCCATGTCCCCAGTCTCCCGCGTCCCTCCATGCTCTTGCTTGGGGCGCTTGGTGTAATGGGAAGGATGTACTGTGTAACAGAGCCTCGGAATGAGGCAGCAGTATCTGTTAACAGTGGAAGACGTTTTCAAGCGTGAAACCCTTAAAAGAGAATAAAATGAAGTATGTTTAGAAAAGTAAGTTATGGTGTAGATGTAAAATATTCTCACAATGACAAGAAATAATTATCATTCAATGTGTGGTTGTTGTTCTTGTTGTTGGGCAGGAGCGTATCCTGTGTTAGGGGATGGAACATGTGCCGACCCTGGTAGAGCATCTATCATAACGACAGTGCAGAAAATTCAATCGAGCGTTTTCACTCACGTGGCCAGCACTTAAAAGTGTTTACATTAGAAAAGAGTTAAACTCCCAAAGGGCTGGTTTGGGACACCAACATGGCGGATGTGACAAGATGTGAACTATATTCATATTTTTGTAATTATTTCATCGTTAGAAGTAACATCGATTTTTTTCACGCGATGTTTAAGCCAAAGCATCGTTCGTGTTACAACAGTAAAGCAGAAAAACTAACTGAACTGATTAATACGGTTTTCTTCTCGGAGAATTAGGTTTCTTCCGTTTGTTTACATAGTAGTTGTTTGATTATCTTTAAAACTGCATGTCGAAGTTCGCGTAAACGTCAACAATACAAAACTGGATTAATGGACGAGTTCATAAAAACCATATTCATTGTCAAATCCCACTCCTGTCTTTCAAGTTTTGGGTTAATGCCTAAAAGTAACAGTGATGTAAACAACGACAAATAACACAGAATCATACAGATGTATTATATAGAGGTGTTTAAAGCACTTCTTTTCCATCGCGTCAGGTTCTGTTTATGATCAACAGTCTCAGTTTGCATGATGGGCTGCTGTTGAATTTGAATCTGAAGCTGATGTTTACGAGCAATTTGATAAATTTCGATGTACAGAAGAGTAGAAATCATAAGGCAAATTGCAATCCCGAGGGCCATAACTAGTTTCGCGTAAGTTACGTTCCATAATCTAATACATGATGTTGTGCACGCCAAGAACCAAAGACTTAGTGATATGTTTACAGCGCGTTTATTGGTCATCATATCCGGGTATCGTAAGTGAAAATAGAGAGCCATAAACCGATCCACGCTGATGGCCGTCATCGTACAAAAAGAAACACTACAGGCGAAAGAGACGAGGATGTAGGCTAAGTGTTCTAATTCCGGTCCTGGGTTAAGTCTGAATCCAATGTAGATCGGTTTCACAACGAACCCGACAAGAAGATCTGAGACAGCGAGACCACATAAGAAAATCGTGGATGGTGAACGAAGAGAAGGAGTTGTTAACATTGCGGTCAACACGAGAACGTTGCCCATGATTGTTAAGAGCATAAGCAGACCATTAAGCAAGCAAATCGTCACAACAAAATTGTCCATCGTATTGACGAATTTTTGCCTTGAGTTGTAAAAGCTGATTCGGATCGCCTGCTATCTTACTTTCTTAGCTTTTTTCTCGGGGTTACACAATTATACTTAATGTATTATACACCAAGGTAGCTAAAAGACCAAAAATTAATTAAGCTTAGCATTCTTATTTGCTTTTTGATGTCAGTATAATAGCTTTTTTATGACTTCGTTATCCCTGAGTGTGCAGGTGAATTTTTGGGTGGATTTGATGATTTCGAACCGTCATGTACATATTGTATATATATTGGCTTAGCTTTCCCCCAAAAGAAATCTTGGAAACTCACTGATACGTAATTCAGGCTCAAGCGGACTATCTAGGTACATATGTTCTTCATATGTGTAGCGGAGATGACACGAATAACTTAAACATTCTCATTGATTTGGGCTTCAGAACTGAAAACCAGGTGCAGCTTCCATTCATGTCCCCAGTCCCCGTCGTTTCTGCTCTGGGTCGCATGAAGTCGAGTGCCTCTGGAGACGATATTGGACAGACTAGACACTAGACAATGGTTGGAGTTTTGGAATTCAAGTTTTGAAACATACTCTTTTTCGGTTTTATTTTTATCACTATTTTTTAGAGAAAATTTCCTAAACCCTAACCACAGAAGACCTAAAAAAAAAAGAAATCAGATTCACGAATTTTGTTACACAGTGCAACCCACCAGTGCCTAGTCTTTAAAAGATTCTAACGAACAAGTGGCATTTCGTTGAGAATCACCCGTTTAGATTACTGAGCAAGATAACAGACAGCGATTTCTCATTCCCTACAGGACAAAAATCTTTTAAAGACATACAGTACCCGGGGGCGGGGAGGCAGGGATGTCCCAACCTCCCGTACTTTGCATTCCCAGCTCTTGGCTTCCTCAGTCCCATTAGCCCTGTATTCAGTAAGCATTTGAAATCAAAAGTGCCATTTTAGAGAAAGGACGAATTTCTGAAATCAAACATTAACTGCGAAGTCAAAAATGAACCCGGCAAAAAACACGCCATTTTTTAATCAAAGAAAACAAGACAAGAATCAAAATAAATACCAAATGTCAGCGTTTCCGTGTGTTGAACAGTTATGCAACAGAGGAAAATAGTATAGGATAGGCAATTAAAGTGCATTCTTCACTGATTCGTGTAACAATAGACTTGTTGAAACCCGATCTTATCATGTGATCGCCCACGCTTATTCAAGCTATATTCTATTTAACAATTAGTCGCCTGAGGCGACTAATTGTTTTAGTATAATTACATTTATGATTATTCGAGAAAATAAAATTACTGATCAATTTCCGAGTCCGAAACATCAACAAACCTGGCTGCCATTTTGGAAAACTGCTAGCCTTCAATGCTATAATCACCGCGCGGTGATTGTAACGGGATGAAGCGAAGCTCCTAGCCAATCATAGCGCTCTATTTTCGATAATCATCAATGTAATTATACTAAACTGAATTAGTATTTTGGCTAGGTAACAAGAGACATTTTAATTTTTTTTTAACAAGAACAATTCAGTATAGAATATAGCTTCATCGACCGCAACAGTCTAGTATAAGTATGTATACATACATCTATATATCACTGGTATTCTGGGTAGAACGTATTTCGTAGAGCGCTCAATTCATTTAATTGAAGAGCATTGACTATTAATAATCACAGGAGTTCAGGCTTCAGGAGTAATCATTGATCGTTTATTACGACAGTGCTGTTTCGTATGGTCCGAAAATTGTAGGACCCCACTCATCAGGCAACTTCATCGATTCGTTGAAGTTGCCTGATGAGTGTGGTCCTACAATTTTCGGACCATACGAAACAGTACTGTCGCAATAAACGATCAATGATTACTCCTGAAGCCTGAACTCCTGTGATTATTAATACATCTATATATTATATATATATATACATTTTTTGACAAAAGAGAAAGGATGTAACAATAGGCTTGTTGAAACTCGATCTTATCATGTGATCGCCCACGGTTATGCAATCCTGAACAGCTATCGTCAACGTTATCAGGCTAAGTGAACTCCGGAATAAAACATTTCTATTTTCATCACTATCAAGGCGTGCCTTGACTTTGTTACAATTCGGATTCTCACAACTGAATCACTCGTGATGTAAAGATTTTCTGAAAATCGGCACACTCTCGACTCTTTGACGTTGGCCAATGCTGATTCCTTGTTCCTCCACACAACCAATCTCCCCGAGGCGAACACATGCTCCCCTTCGCCTGCACACGTGCGTATCTGGCAGGTACAAAGTTTAACGTCATCAGACGCCCGCTGTGCAGGTAGTGGTTGACCAGTTGGAATAGCTTCCAGCTTTTTCGTTATTAAACACGACATGTGCTGCCCATAACTAAGCTTGCTTTTGCTCGCCCGTAACAATTTTGTTGGAAACTACAATAGCTATCGGTTTTCAACATGTGTAGTACAAATGAACATACCAGCGTGCTTACAAGGTGTGAAATAGTGGCCTTTGATACGGGAAGTTGTTTGACCTTGAATTCAAAGACCCTTTGTTTTGAGAGGAATGATTTGGGACAAAAGTAAAATTCTACTCCGGACTGCATTCATAACAGGGAAAACGTCGTCGGGGATTCAGTTCAGTATCATTTTTCTGATTTGAGTGCATACGCCATGAAACAGTCTAAAAAAATAATCTAAACTGTTTGTTTTTTAAAATTTACTGTCGGAATTCTACCGTAAAAACAGTTGTTTCCTTTTAATTTTAACAGCAACTGAAAGTCTGTAAAAAAGACTAAAAAGGGGGGTATGGGCGAGGAAGACTATTTTTTCTTTGTTACAAGAACATATACTAGGAACCGTAGACGTTAATTAAACGTGGCAGCCACAAATGATATTTTGCTAATCGTTATTCATCATTGGAGAAAGTATGAAAATCACATTACTGTCATCAGTTCACGTCTTATGATATCGTTCCTTAATTTTATATCTGCATGGTATGCATTGTTTTCAATGTAGGCATATGAAAGTGGTATCAGTAAATTCTATGCCATCCATATGACCGGTTATCTGTTTGATCAGAAGTGGTATAGATATCAAAAGGTTATAAAGGGCTTGGCCCTTTAGGCTTAAGAGTGCTGCAAAAACTTTGTCCAGAAAGCCCTCTCCTCGTCACTCGCCCTGGTGTCTATAGCTTTGCGAGAGCAAACCCGTTTGTGGAAAAAAACTGAAAGGCAAACACAGGCAAGAACTTTCGAGACTATTATATCATCTATCTTATTCTGTTTTATCCTTTCAATACAAAACCATCTTGTTGCTTGCAATTCACGGCTTATTCTTGGAACCATCGCTGTGTCAGAATCTGTCAGGCTCACTGAAAAATGACATGATATTAAACCGCACAACAACTACTCCTTTAACTCCGGGTAAACGAATTAGTTCCTTTTCATGAATTAAACTCCCGCCTCCTCGCGATTTTCGGAATACACAGATGGATACAATTTTTTTTTTTTTACTTTTAAGCTTAAATTATTATTTTTATTTTTTTATTTGTGACGCTAGTATAGAGATTACATGTGACGAAAACTTACAATGTAAGTCCATTCAACTAACCTAGAATTCCAGATCCAGATTCTTAGTTTTTCGTCTTGATACGTCATGCGACACTTTTGAGCCAATGAATGCGAAGACAATTGTTAGAGACATCGACAGGCACTCCCACATATTAAAAGTTAGATCGTGATTACATCGACGTCGGTGTGGAAGTTACAAAGTGTCTCGGTGTCTCTATCCCTTTCAACGGTAAATTTTTGACTTTTTTTTAGTTTGGGGCAAACCTGAAAACATCAGCCGAGTTGATTTTCTCAGCAAGCATCCCATCATACAACTTTATCAAGCTACATTGCTTGGCTTCTTGCTGGTGTTCTCTGTAAAGTAGATTTTCCGCATTGCATTGCAATGCATGCGTTGCTTGTCAAGGTAAGAATCGAAGTTAATTCATTTCTTTTTCATGTGAAATCTAAGCATACTGTGTCTTCTTATTGTGTGCAAGGATCATATCAGGTCCCCTGAGGTTAAACTTTAAAATACTTCGCCACTTTTTCACATGTAAGCTCACTTGCATCGCATACTTGAATAACATTAGCTTAAAAGTGCCTGTTGTGTTGTGCATCTTTCTTTAAAGCGCTCTAAAAAGTATTGGGGCAGGAAACAACGATCTAGTGGTCAAAGAAGGGAAATTTAGGGACTCCTTGATTCGATAATCAATTACATGGTTTTGGTTACTCGTGCAAAAGTTGACAAACGTTGGTAGTGAGAGATGGCGTGAGGGAATGATCGAAGTCGCGCGAGTATACGAAGGACGTGCGTGGGAGGAAATTTGCCAATCAAGATGAAAGGAAATTCAAAATTCTCTTCCAGTAATTTGTTGAGTCTGTTGGGGGCCAGAACGAGGATATTGGCGCTGCTTCCCAGAGTCTGTGATTCAGGCTGCTAGAAGTCTTGTTAGAACTTTAACATGCATATGTATTATTTGAACATGGGCTATTTGCAAATATGAGCCCAAATCTGTCACATAACATCCAATCAAAATTTTAAGTTTCTTTGGGGGAAATCACATACATAAATTTTAGTTAATGTATGCCTCATCACTGGCTTAGACATGATAAGATGTGAGCTGCAAGTTTATCAACTTAATTCTTATGTTTGGATTATTTTGACCTAACAAATAAAAGGTAGAATTCCATATCTGCCAAAACACAAAGACCTGCCAGGGTGTTCCCTGTGTACTTGCTGTAAAATTCAGTCTGACTCCTTATCTGCAAACAAAAACTTCCTTAAAAATTAAATTCACAAGCATATCTGTGGATGCATGGTTAATGCTCCTACGAAAGCCAGATTTTACACTTGTAGCTACTGACTAACTATTTTTCTTGTGGTCATGACACCCGGTTTACTTATCATACATGGATGACAATTTTTTTTTTGAACGGATAGCCCGAGCCATTCAAACTGATACCAAATCC